AGTGCTGTTGGAGAAAAGCTTCCCATATTTGTAATTGGAAAATCAAAAAAGCCAAGATGCTTCAATGAGATTAGGTCTTTGCCATGCCGTTATAGACATCAGAAAAACGCTGGATGAGTGGTGAGTTGTTTCAAGAATGGGTAGAAGAACTGGACAACAAATTTCTGGCACAGAAACGAAAGGTTGCTCTTGTTGTCGACACCTGTCCAGCATATCCAGAAGTAGAAAACCTGAAAGCAATCAAGCTTGTGTTCCTGCCGCCAAACACATCTAAGACCCAGCCAATGGATCAAGGGGCAATCGCAATCCGAAGTTTAAAAGCAAAGTACCGAACAGTTTTGGTGCAGAAATACATCAGAGCAATTGATCAACAAAAGTCTCTACCAAAAATTAGCATTTTGGATGCAATGGACATATTAGATGGCCCTTTTAAAGACTTCAACAGGAATTTCATTAGCTTTGAGGTGAAATTGATCCATAAATACGGAAAATATTTAAATGTTTTTTTCCAAATCAAACTTAATATAAACTTTAGGGGTAATCCAGATGAAAGCCTCATGCGCATGTTAAGTAAGGGAGTAATTTGAATTTGCAATATCTACAGAACAAAACAGAACGGCAACAGCAAGCATAAATTTGTAAAAACGAAAAGCAAAGAACAGAGAAAAAATAAAAATAAAATAAAAAGGAACAATATGGTTGGATATTTAGATGGTTAATTTTATTATCAGTTTTAGTGCTAGGATTTTATTGATTATTGAGTAATAGCCAATTTTTGAAATGTTTCCGAAACAGGATTTTGTTGGGTAGTTCTCTTAAATGAATTGGTATATCGGTATATTTTCAGGGATCAAATGATGTATTGCTTTCAGGTGATATGTAGATTGTGAAAGCTGGACAAAAGCCCAAAGCCCATTTTCAAGTTAGCGAGACATTATCTTCCAATATTTTATAAAGAAAGCAACTTCTATAGCCTAGGAGACAAGATTCTTTTCGATTGAACTTGAAATCTTTAGAAGTTTAACGAAATATATGACTTCATTCTCATCAAACGGTAGCTTGCATTTCTTTGAAAAGATATAGAGGGGCTTTAGCTCCTGCTAGCCTAATGACTGTGCTGCTCCTACCAGTACATCAGCATGCAGAATTATGATCATGTATTTAAATGTGCTTAAAACTGCAGATTTTTCTGAAAGATACTTTGGACAAATGGATCCTGCTGCAATCACTGAACAAAATGAAGATTTTGCAGATCGATACGCTCCTTCGGTATGTGTAACTGTGCGTAGACATGGTAAATAGGATGAAGAATTTTTTTAAGAAAAGGCACAGTCTCTTTTCCGTGACAAAAGTTCTTAAAGTTTGAAGAAAGATTGTAATACTTTAATAGCTAGCTGTTTATTTGAAAACAAGTTTTACAGAAGTGTTTAACACGAGGGCATCAATTCTCAGCCATTTCAGTATGATATTTTTTCAAAATGGTCAAGATTTTTGGCTTATTTATTCATAATTTCTATTTAGCACAAAACTCCGGTTTCTAACGTTTCATATACAAATGCAAGGTGCCTAAGAGTTATAAGTTAATTTGAAATATAGAATAGCTTTTCACTGGACGCTTAGAAAGTATTTTCCTCTATCATACCTAGAGTAGTTTTCACTATTGAGAGATAGTTGTTGGCCCAAAGAAACAGGACTATTATATATTATTCAAGCAAGACAACACAGGGAATATGCATATATTATACAATCAAAATAAATGCAAATTTTCAAAGATCCCCTTCTTGCTAAATTAACAAGTTTTGACAATTGGCCATAATGACAGCAAACGTTCATATAAATCCCCCTCCCCCATCTTTGTTTACGTAAGATGTGAACGTTCGCATACCCAATAGCCACATATCGATAATTTTATCCAGTTACAAACAGTCTGACTCAAAAGAGCACTGGGTAGTGCTCAGTATAACCTTTCTAAAGTGCAAGCCCTCTCAGTTATTGGACATCAGGCACTAGAAATAATTTGCATTAGTCGTAAGTCAAAACCAAACATGGTTTGTCATAAATCTTGGGTTTCACACAAAATTATTAGTCATTAATCAGTTGGGAAAACAGTCTACTTGTTAGCTAGTAAAGACCCCTACTACACTCTCAACAGATATCGAATTAATTGAAGTATTGCACACTTGCTTGAATAAATTACAAGCTAGTTTGTAGCGGGAGTAGGCCTTCTGGCTGCTACATAGTTCTCATTTGGATCACGATGATCTTATTTAAATTGTAGAAATAGCAATGTTTTTAATAGTAATTCCTTATCAGTTTGTACTTCCAGTCTGTTCTTTGTTTATAATTTGGCAAACGTTGACCTATGGGATGACAGTCTGCACAAGCGGCAGCGCTGGTTGGTGGCACAAACTCAGACGGCTAAAATTTTCCATTTGTTTCGAAATCAGTGTAATAAAACTCCGATTCAGAGTCCCAAAGCATTGAAAAAGTCAATTATGTGTCAAAAATGCAAAATTGGCTCCTTTCACATGCACAAAATAAACATTTGTCCGCAGCATTTTCTTAAAGGTTTAATACGTGTGAGAACATATCACTTGTGACGTCAAAGATGATCGCCCACTTGGAACGATTTTCACTTCGAGTCTCAAGTTGTCGGAACAATTGTCGTTTCTAAACTTAAAACGTCTGTATTTCAAAAACGGTAAATGCGATTTAAAGAATTCTTTCGATCCCGAAATTTACTTGTTACAAACTACCAAACATATTTATGCGTGTCAGTCCTACTTTAAGAGATTTAGATAAGTAAATTTCAATCGTAGTTTCTTTGCTCTCTAGCCACATTCATACTTTGCACTCTTTGTGTTCGAGCGAGCGACTAACAGATTATTCTACAAACATGAAAAATCGGAACAGCTTATAGCTTCAGTCCAGGTTATTTGACACAAAAGCTTTGAGTTTGTGATCCTGCTCTTTTCCCCCAAATACCCCACATGGAGGTCATTTGACTAGGAAAGTGACGGGGGTGTTCAGAAAACCTTTTTGTATCCTATCCCTATTCCATGAAAAGATACCAAAAGCATACCTTATCCAATAAAAAGCATGCCAAAAAGAAGCCTGAAAAATGGTATTCAAATGTCAGATTGTTGTCTATAGTAACCACTAGCAGTTTGTCCTGCGAACTTTTTTGCACAGGTGCATTACTAATCTTGATGGTAACAGGTTCGTCACGAGAGGTATCTAATGCCAAAGATGGCATTTTTCTTCTTTTATTTCAAGGTAGTTGTGTGAAAAACATCATTTTCCAGCCTCTCTACTACATTTTACAGATTTTTGTCACATGTGTAAAGAGTGGCATCATTAGCATCATTGCACATCTCAATATCATCAATAAAATTAACAAATCATTCAAGTAGATGATAAAAAGGAGAGGTCCTAAAACCGATCCCTGTGGAACACCCAACTTTAGTTTATTTTTAGAACTAAACAAACCATTCATTTAACTCATTGCTGCCTATCACTCCAATTACTGCACAGAATGGTCAACGCATCGTGGTTTAATCGTGAGCATGTTGTTTAGCGATAAGGAGATCTTGCCTAGCACAATTGAATGCCTTGTGATGATTCATAAAGACAGCACCAACTTTTCCTCCAGTGTCTAAGAATATTTTATATTTTTCAAGAAAATGAGTTGAAACCTTTTCGGAAGTCACATAACATAACAAATCGGAAAATGAGCAACCTTTGGTCCCATCATTTGCTTGTATAAGAGTATTTCATTAATTTCGGAGACTGTGGGCAAGACACTAACTGGTCTACATAACTACTAACTACGCCTTTTTTAAGTAGGGACGAAACGTCTGGGGTTTTTAGTTGATCTTTTTATTTTTACTTCAAGTTCGGATATAGTGATATGCTAAAAGTAGAAACCAGCTGCAGTTGGGAAACGTGCTAGAATAGTTTTATGCTGGGATAGTTTGCATACTTTTCAATTGCTATATCAACTAGGTCAAGTGACGCCTTTCGTTGAAAGAATATTCTCTAAGTTCTCTGCAATTCCAAGGGTCTCTGTTGCAGTTACAAAATATCTGTTAAAGAGTTCTGCAATCTGGCGTTTGTCAGAGATAACCTCGTCATTTTCTACTTTGAGGCTGAACTATCTTACTTTGAGGCTTAATTTTGTCAGAGAGCAGTGTTTTGAGTCTATTAGCTGTAAGTGTGACGTCCAAATTATTTCAGTATTCTTTCTTTTCTGCAGTGGCAGATTAACAAACACCAGGACCGGGGGCCTAAGATATTTAGAGTCCGAAAGAACAAGATGGAAAATATATATCCAGTTCTCAATCGACTAGTACGCAACCAGCCACATTAAAAATATCAGGTGTGCATTTGCCAAACTTTTCATGTTGATTTAGAGCGGGGCCCTAAAAACGGCAGGCCACGGCCTAGTTAGGCCACGGCATGAATTTGGCAATGGAGATCATATCAATGAGATTAACGCGCATTTTATCTTGAGGGATGAGCTCGAAAAAGACAGAAATTACGGAAACTCAACCAGTGGCTTAAACAAAATAAGACTAAGCAATTCGTGCCAAACAGCTGTCATTGTTCCGGTATCGTCCACCTGAGCTGTTGCGGTTTCGCACTGTTCATTTTGATGTTTTCACCTTTTGCATAATTTGCATTAATTATGCATAAAATGATCATGCAAGAGTGATGTTCCAACACCTTGGGAATAAAATGCACGCTTAACTCGGAAATACCCGCTTCATTAATAAATCACTTCAGATTCATTTCTGGATTGTGAACAGGGTGATTTCGATGCACGTTTGATATGACGAGATTAAAACTGGTCTTAGTGCATTGACGCTAGATAATCGTGAAAAATTAATAGCTTAGCATTGATGTTCTTGAATTTGTACAGAGAATGATTAATTAATGTCCATTGATCAAACTTTAATATCAGTTTACCATTTGCTGGTGTGCAGCCCCATATATTAACAGTCATTTGATCTGACGATTCAGTCTGCTGCTACGAAAAGCAAAGAGGAGCTCAAGTCGATTCTAGTATCACCAAGTCAAAGTTTGCAGTCACTTGTACAACTTCAAGTGGAGAGGTCTCTCTGCAAAAGGTCAATTCAAGGCAACTAATCCTCTTTACAAGAGTGTGCCTTACCTATAAATCTTTCATTTTGAAAGCTATTCCAACATCAAGTCCGAGCAGACTTTGAAGATACCTTCGACAAGAAGAGTGAAATATCCGAACTCATCGGCAATTCAACACAGCTACAAAAGCCATGGGTCTTCTCACATTCAGCGGAGAGAATCTTCCATTTTCTGAGATCAAGAAATATGCTGATCACATTAAAAAACACGGCATCATCCAATTCATCAACACGTACAACCGAGTCAAGAACAGGACATACGATACACTTAAGTGGGGAGACGAGGTTAGTACAACTTTTTTATCTTCTGCAAAATTTTGTTAGCAAGCGGAATTTAATACGTAGCATTCAATATTTTTAATTTCTCAAGGTTTTTTCTGAAGCGTGTATTGCACATTTTTGAAAGCTTTGCCGAAACGCAACAGCAATTTTCTTTTCTCTTGCCATTTTCAGGTGGCTAAAATTTCCTGGGCCAGGTGAAACATGGCATTCTAAAAATTTCTGCCACTCCCTATTGAAAGTTGCAGGTCCGTTGTTGCCGCAAAATTCAAACACCCGTTAAAAGCAAATAGAGCAATTGACAGAGAAAGGGGGGATATTTAATCCAATGTTGAACAGAAAATAAAGTCAGTTCATCGTGAGGAGCATAGATTCTTTGGAAAGAGATTGTCAAATTGTCTTTCGAAATGAATGACAAATTATAATCATATACTATAATTTTAATTGGATATTTAGGTCTTCTCACATCTTCACGCAAACTTTGCTTCTTCAACAAATTAATGAATTATATTGGAGTAATTTTGTGATGAATTTCTTGGCAAAAATTGCGTTGTAAGGATATCTTGTTACTACATGAAGCCTACTTTTTGAATGTCAATGTCATGAGAGGTGTCCATTGTTTGGGAGTTACACCTACAAGTCTCTAACCACAGAAAAAGTTCACGGGTTGTTTGGGAAGTGCCCTTAAAGAGGTGCCAGTGTGGAGGTGCCAATGTTTAGGTGCTCTTATGGAGGTATCCGTGTGAAATTGTCCCATAAATAGAACCAGCAAAGGTTTCACTGAAAAGATCAGTAACTTGATGCTTCTTTGCCTAGACAAATGGCAGCCAACGACGATAATTACGCTGGTTCTGCCAAACTAACAAACTATGTATACTTTTCTCAGTAAGTTGAAAAAAACGATCATATAGTCGAAGAGCAATTCATTCTTGCGAGCATCGTATGAGATTTCAACCAAAACCAAAGGATTTCCAGGGATTCTCAGTTAAAGCAGTATAAATTCTACCAAAGATGTACAAGATTTTCATATAAATATTTCTCCCTAATCGTAGAAGATATTTCAGTATCCACTAATCGTAAAAGGTTTTCATCGCATATACCAGCATAGAAAAGTATCAAACTTCTATCTTTGTATATCAAACGAGAGTCTCCTAAGGGGGGGGGGGGAGGGTACTTGTTCCTATGTTCCTTTTAGAAAAACAACTAATTTTCCCGCGTTCCCGTTGAAAAAATAAATAAAATGTCCCCTGTTCCCTTTAACAAGTAAAAATATTCCGTGTTCCCAGTGGAAATTTAAGTTGTTCTCGTGTTCCTGTATCACGTGTCATGTTCCTTTGTTCTAGAAAATCTCTGAGAGGCCTTCTTTAATATACCATTTAACAGACAGGTAGACTGGTAGCCTTAAAAAGTTGGAATCTGGCAGTCCTAAAAAGACATTTTTCGATTTTGATGATGTGTCATCCAGGTCGCATGCTCTTTGCCAAATGGGCAAGCAGCATCCATTCAAACAGCTCCAAAATACCAAATTGTTCAATTATAAACATTGAAGCAGGTCATCAAATTCTGGAATAACACATTAATACATTAATTAACCACGTTACACACTACGAGTAGTAAACAAAAAGAACAAGCAGCTTCTTTTTAGCATTCATTAATGCCAAATGAATCGAGCCTTCAATCATCCAAGCGTTGGTGTTTTTCTCTTATAGTAAAATTTACTGCTTCAATATTTTATATGTCTTTGTTTTATTACTTAAATTCATTATAGTTTTCTTTGAAAACCAAGGTGTCTCTTAAATATATTTTGATTTACATCTTTCACCAAAGATATTTCGTTACAACTTTTAAGCAAGCTTATAAGTTAATATTGCAAAATAAATTTATCAGCAAAGTGCAGCTTTTTATTTTCTTCTGATTTCATTACATTTTCTATTTCATGAAGAATTTTTTTCCTCATTCATCTTGCACTTTCACTTAGAATTTTTTTCGAAGCTTTAAAAACCACGCAATGTTTTCGACAATGCGCTGCAGCATCTTCTATCATACTTCCATCAAGCAAATAATTTTAGATAAATCACCAAATCTTAATGTTTTGCGATAAAGATAACGTTTATACTAAAGCCATTGCATAGTTATGAATCATATCATAGAGTACTGATGTCTGGTTTCTTTTCAGTTGTCCCATACATATAATTGGATATAGAAAAATTGAATATTTATGTGAAGGAAGCTCTAAGCTATCTGATAAGACGCCATCTTTGTTCTCTTCCGTCTGTGGCGAGAGCTGGTTTCTCTATAGAAAAAATGAAACAGGACACAAATATGAATGTGACGACATAATGAGGCGCATTTGCAGTGATCATCATGTTGCATGCTCCTCAAGGTCGAATTTTGGGTCCTTTTCTATTTATGGAAACCTATTCTGTTTTCTAGACTCTATCCCTGGAAACATCAAGTGACATATTTCATTTTGGAATTAAATAACTATGTGGGAGTCGATCAAAAAGTTTTTGGACTTAATTTTGAGAAATATCCAGGGAATATATGCTTCTGTGAATTAAAGCAAATATGGATAGATATATTTTCTACTGATGTGTTGACCGGGCAAACTAGTACATCTAAAACACCTGATTCACAACAGAATATACAGCTGGTACCTGCAAAGTACGCTAATTGCTCATTAAGTCTATTCAGTCCGTCATGAATTTGAGCATGAAGCTGTGAATGTAGCCACACGGCTGTTTGTGACTCCTTTTTTGCATTGAAGCAAACAAATACCGAAAGATGTCAGTTTTTGTCAAGTGATTAAACTTTAACCAATGAACGTGACTTTAGCCACCAGGAAAGATATCACAACCTTATTACTGTCACGCATCATTACCTGCTGTTTAGATCAACTGGCTTCTTGCTTTTCGTTGTCCAAAACCCGGACTATCTGAGCAGCCTCGTCTTCGCTTACCATTAATTTCAGGCTAGCTGCTGGGCCTAAAAATATAAATTTAATCATTGCCTTCACGACTGTCACTGTTCTCTCTTGGAATATTGAGAATTTTTTGTCTCCGCTTTGATCTGTAATTTTTTCCATGTCCCTGGCTTGCAAACGACGTTTTTTGAGCCGGACAACGATAAAAATGATTGCAGTTATCGCATTCTCTTATAGCTTTATTTGCAGGATGGGCTTAATACTGTTTTCTTTATCTCAACTCCTCTGTTGCTACTGCAGCTAAGAATGATTGTTTAATATATGTAGGAAAAATTGATATTAAGATATTTAAATCTAACAGTGTTGTCATCAACTTGATTTCACAAGATTCATTTGATGCTTTTGAAGTTCAAAATTTCATTCTTGTACCAATTAGCTTTCAGGGTAGCAATATTGTTCCCCGGCTATCAGGAAAGATTCACTCACTGAAAACCCTCGATCTGTTTCTCAGCAATTTCTTCTAGTCCTACATCGTAAAAATGTAACTAATTATGTTGAATTATACATTTCACCGATATTTATCATGATAAAGTCAACTCCATGGATTTTCAAGATTTCAGAATATTTATATTCAGGCCTTTATGTTTATGCCAACATGCAATATTTTTAGGAAAATAATTGCACCGAAAGTTGATTAATGCTGCCTTTTTAAATGTTTTGATACATTAATTTTATTCTGATTTAATTTTATGCTATAGGTGGAGTATCAAATGCTTGCACTTGATCATCAGAACAAAACAGTTAAACTGGTTCTCAAATCCTCAGAAATTTTGCCAACGTTGCAGAAGGAAGAAAATGAAAACCCAGGGTAAGAGAATAATCTACTTAATCTAACATAGAATTAACATACGATAGGTTTGATTTAATGAATCATGTCCGGAGTCGCACTTTTGAAATTTTCAATCAATTCTGTCAGGTTCTTTTTTGGCAGTACTGGACACTTGAACAAAGCTCGTTTACATAACACTTAAAATGCTAGCTCATTAACTTAAGACAAATGCATCTTGCTCTTCCTATGCAATTGCTTTTTCAATCGCAATCCTTCCACTTCCCCCTCCTTTTTCTCGCATTCACACTCTTACTCATTTCCAACTGCTCTCCACTAGTGCACTCCAGCCATCTGCATATCTTTTCATTAAAAAGTGTATGTGAAGATTGTGTTTTTGAAGTTAATTCAACAATAGAACATTTTATAAGAAGAATATTTCATTATATAAACTTCTGTTCATTTTAGGAAAACAGAAACGGCGTATCGGGTTGAAATGGGCGAATTCATGATTGAATGTAAGTTATCAACCAATTTTCGATGTATTCATGTACAGGACAAAAAACTCACTAAATGAAACCATGACCAAACATTTCCTGGAGTGATATAGGCCTAAGTATTGAGCTATTTTTAGGCCCAATCGTTCCTGCTTGGCTACCAATGCTTTATTAACCCTTAAAGGTTTTTCACTTAAAAGTAATCGTAATTAGCCTAGTTGTTAAACAGAATGTTCGTTAAACTTCTTCGCCATCAGCTGTCTATTCCACTATACCTAGAAATGTGACGTTGCAATTAAAAACATTTGACAATATTAGGCTTAGGATAACTTTCAAATTTAAATGATTGACCTGGAATTGTTCTGCTTTTTGTGTCATAGCAAGCCCTGGTCAACCTTATGGTGGCTGCATGAGACATTTCAACCGAGTCGAGGCAAACATGAAACTGAGGTTAGTAACAAAGGAACTACTTTTGTTCAAAACATTTACAAAGGGAGCTTCCGAAGAAAGAACATATAATATTTAGTGCCCTGTTGTCAGTTGTTGCTGCCTGAGTTGGGTACCACGTTCATAAAAAACAAACAAAATGAATTGTTTAAATAATATTGATAAATGATGTGCCATAGGCTTCTCGTTGATTCCATTGAATTAGCTTATGACTTTGATTGAGAGTAATTTCTTTTTTATTTCTTACAGACGCGAGGAAATCCAGGCTTTGCTAGGCTACAATGAAACTGTTTTGCCTCTTTGCGTTTTTCCAAGGTATGAATAATCGTGATATTTCGTTACTGCCTACACTTCTCTCAAAGTAAATGAAAAGCCCCATTTTTCGTGCTTATAGTGAAAAATAAGAATCTCTGATCTGACCTCTCCTTTCCAAATAGACCTGTTTATCGTATTCATATATTAAAAAGCTGAAAAATTGCTCGATTCAAACATTTTGCTCCACTCATAGGCTTGGCTGCCCAGATTTCACATCACCGCATTTGGAGGTGAACCCGGAAACGAACCCAATCATGAAGTCACTTTACATTCCAGATGCATGCCTTACCCAGATGCATCCTCGATTCATGTAAGTTTGTGGCCATTTTAGATTATCTGTTCATGTGGAAAGAGGAAATACATTCAATTTCCAAGAAATTTGCTTGATTAGCGATTGGATCTTAAGTTTCGCTACCCAAAGGTTTTCCATGATAAAGCCATGTACCAACCTTGTTGGAAATTGCGTCATTATTAAAAATTTCTGCAACCTTTCAAATTCACATAGTCAAGTCTTTCACATAAAAAAATTTTCTATTTAAAGGAACTTAGCAGGCAAACCGATGCAGAGAAAGGGAGAAAGAGTTACCCAGAACATTCCAAGTAAGTTTGTTCTCTCTTCTACTTTACACGTTGTTGTGTGAAGATGTTCTGTGAAGAGCGATTAAGAACGGCCCATATGTATTCGTTGATATTATAGTTGAGAAGCAAACTGGCATAATTATGATGTTGCTATTTGATGTAGGTACCTAATACGTTCATTTACGAGTAACTACCTCCGTTCCTTTCAGTTTACCGTGATTTGAACACTCCAGACCCTTTTTTGGAGACGTTTCGGCAAGACGATGGCCAAGCTGCCAAAGACTCTCGCCCCAATCACGTCTATTTAGACAATGTACTCTTTGGCCTGGGAATGTGCTGCACGCAGGTATGAAATTTGACGAACGATGAAAGAATGAAAATTATTCTGTTTTACAAAAATAAAACGTCAAAATTAACGTTAGATCATGAATTCGAAGATGAATTCGGTGCTACGTTTTGTGCAATGTCAATGATTCTATGACAAAATCAATACATGACAGATATGACTACTGTCTCTGTTTGTCATAGGTGACGTTTCAAGGGTGCAATATCGACGAAGCTAGGATTCTGTATGATCAGCTGGCTGTATTGGCCCCAATTATGGTAAGAATTACTGACAAGCACTACTTGTTCTCCAAACCGCATTCACAGAGCACACTGAGAGATTTTGAGATTACATCAGGACAACATTATTGTCCAAGACGCATAGAAAAAACCAAAGTACCCTAAATCAATTAAGATACGATGTAACTGAAATGAATGATGAGGTCACAAACATTTGACAGAAAATGTCCTGAAAATAAATCTCCGAATTAAAACAATAGATTTTCGTTTTTCTTAAATTTCAAAATTTGAGACATTTCAACACAATGTTTAATGGTGAAGCGATGTAACATACAGTTAGCCTCTACTTAACCACAGAACGGAGAATTGGGACGCATTTTCTCTACTCTGTGACTTGACGTTGGCATGACATTTCAATTTATGTAGTGGAACTATGGAGACGAGTTTTTTACGTATCTTTTCGCCGAAAAGAGTTTGTGCTGCTCGCCAAAAGCCACTGACACTTACACTTTGATATTTGTTAACCGTAGCTTGCCTTGTCTGCCGCTACCCCAGCGACAAAAGGGTATCTCCTGAACACTGACTGCAGATGGGGCATCATTTCTGGCTCCGTAGACGACAGAACCGAAGAGGAACGAGGGCTCAAGGTAAATAGAAATACTATCTGAAGATAACTGATAATTTCTACATAGCGGATTGGTGCTTGCATTATTATTTCCTTTGAGCTTGCGTATTAGGAAACATTACATTATCAACAAAATAAACTTTGTCTTCGTCCTTCTTTAGTCCTTCTTTAGTGATTTGTTTCGACCTGACTCTAGTCTTCTCCTGCATCACTTCTCTGCATACAAATAATTATGACTGCTCAATATTCATCTTCCTTTTGATTTTGATTTCCTTTTGCAGAAATCCAACTCAACTTTGATATTATTCTAATTTTACCTACCTCCTTTTCTTTTTTGTTGACAAATTACTTCGGATCACTTTTGGTATCTTTCCTTTTCTCTTTGCAGCCTCTGAAAGAAAACAAATTTCAGATAAGGAAATCACGATATGATTCTATTGACATGTACATATCACCAGAAGGCGCCATGTACAATGACATTCAAATTGATTATGAACAAGAACACATGGACATGCTGCTAAAGGCTGGTAAGTATCAACATTTCGATTATGTCATCGTGGATGTGTTCTCCAACTTTTCATTAAACTTTAAACATGCAATTGTTGCTGCCTTGAAAGTGTTAAAGGAGAAATGCTAATGAGGATGGGAGCAAAGGAAGAAAACAGTGAAAAAGCCACTTCTTAATTTCACATTTAATTGAACAAGCTTAGATTGACTTGAAGTGAACCAGATTCTTTCCCGTCATTTTTATTTGATTGATTCTTTCTACTACTTGCTAATTCTTTGAACAATTTGACTATTGCTGAATCATTATTGTGGTGAAGGTACTTCGGCGTATTATAGTAAAATTCCTTTTCCGTTATCCTTCATATCATTATATGGTTGATTAAGAGATTGATTTTTTAAATGAATCTAAAGGGAATTCAGGGATACCTAGACCCAAAACGGAAGCATTTTTCTATATCCATTTATATAAACAACTTGTGATCTTGTTCCAGGAATCGACCAGCAACTTGCTACACACATCGCCCACTTTTTTATCAGAGATCCAATCTCATTGTTTTCTGACAAGATTTACGTGGATGATGAAAACGAACTCGAACATTTTGATGTAAGCAGTCTCCACTCAGATATCTGATTAAGCCCTTATTCCAGGGTTAAACATTAATGTCATTAGATATTTGTTTCACCGTCGTCATATTCTTTATATTTCATCATTCCTTTCTAGTTCTTGTTCATCCAGCGTACCTTCTTCGTTCTTCTTGATAAATTGTGGGTAGTCTACCTAGAAATCTTTTCCTAGCCTATTCATACTATTAGAATTTTTTGATAAAAGCTAAAAGCTGGCGTATCAAAAAATTGATTCCTTTTAAACGTCTTTTAAAACGCCTTTATTCTTCGCATTTCTATATGTATCAAATATATTGATATCAATCCTATCACTTGAATTCAGAATATTCAATCGACATGCTGGCAAACGATTCGATTCAAGCCACCACCTCCAGGATCTGACATGGGATGGAGAGTCGAATTTAGGCCAATGGAAGTTAGTAATACTTAGAATTTTGTTATAGCTCATAGAGTGGGTTTTAATAACCTAAAGGATTAGCATGGCAGTCAATACTTTGGCAAGTTTATAGTCATAAGCCTTTTTTTAAGCGACCTCTTAGAGCGATTGAAAAATTCAGCCCATTACCTAATGACAGAAGACAGAGCAAATTTAAAACTTGTTCTAGACTATTCTAAAAGGTACAACAACTGTTTGGCTTAGACTAGCAAACAATTGCGACAAAATTTAACAAAACTGTTTTTGCCTTTTTTAGAATTTAAAACGTTCATCTTCTTAAAAATTTTTGCAGCCAATTTTAGTAATGATGTTAACGATTCTAGACTGTTTGAAATGCAGAAGAAATATTTTCACATTGCCTGAAATATTTAGGTGCAGCTGACTGACTTTGAGAATGCTGCGTACACGGTTTTTGTTGTCCTCATGACCAGAGTTATCCTTTCCTTCAACTTGAACATGCTGGTGCCAATCTCAAAGGTAAGGTAGCCGACCTTTTAATCATTGTAAAATTTATATGTTAAAAGCATTACAGTCAAAAGGAATCCCCTGTAATGTCGGTTGTCAAAACATTCATTTTTGTATCATTTGAATACCCTGTAAGAAAGCCATATAATCATTACACTGATGCAAGCAACCTTGAAAAAATATCAAACATAACAATTATTTCGTTTATTATCAATGCGGCAAAGAGTATGTAATGTACGCAAAAGCAACGAAATCGAGCAAAAATATTTTTTTGATTTTTATAAGGTTTTCTCGATTTTGTAGATGGAAGAAAACATGAAAACTGCATTGAAAAGAGATGCAGCCCACAAAGGAAAATTCTACTTCAGGAAGAATATTGAAAAATGTAAGTGAAAAAGTAGCATTACATTGTTATTTGACACTGCTGACTTTCAGTGAGTACAAAATTGTATTCACCTACATAGTATCAAATTTTAGTTAAGACGGTACACCGTCTAGAGCTCCTGTATGGGTTCAAAAGACTTTCAAATTCTAATAAATGCTCTATACATTGTTTTTGTTTAATAATTAGAAGAAATTTCCTTTCAGGTTTTTGAAAATATCAGAACTAAGGATAAGTTTTTAACTGATATTTTGAGAAATCCCTTTGTATTTTTATAGATAACTAGCTAAACAGTTTTATTTCTCTGAAATGTAATTCATTAAGATTTATGGGAGCTCATGGCAAAATCAAAGTTTCACTAAAAATAGAGTTGAATTGTGTGAATCATAAACTTGTTTGCTTGACATTTTTAACTTCAATAATATTTGACAGGTTTTGATGAGAATTTCAATGACTGCGGCAACAGTGACTACGAGTTGATGAGCATTGATACCATTATCAACGGCAAGGTATGAAAACAAAGAGATCAGCTCTTTGAGTTTAAAGGCATTGAGTCATGGTAAATAGGCCTTCTCTTTAGGGGGTCATTTGGTTTCGGCGTGATCGCTGCTGTTTCATGTGATATTTGCATCCGTTGTTGACAACTTGCTATTGATGAAAATTGTTTTGTCAATCAGTACGAGGTGAGTTCATGTGACCAGATCCAGGTCAACCAATAGCATCGCAGTCATGAAAATCATGACTCAGCGGATTTTGGCACTTAGGTATCCCCAATCCATTTTATCATGACTCAATGCCTTTAATAATGTTGATACTGTCGCCATTGAAACTATGAAAGGTTATTGGCAATCCTTAATTTTGGGCGATATTGATTGCCCTGTAGATATGCTTAGTCCCTTCGTATTATTCAAAAATTACTTAAAATATCATTACAAAAGAAGCCAGAGTCTTAGGCTGAACAGATTTTGTGAAAGAAAATAATAACTACATGCTACCAGAGATAAGTAACAAGATTATGATCAGCTTTATAAGATTTTGGCTAGTGGTATATTTTCTACAAAGGTAAATTTTTATTATATTACATTGCGAATAGGTTCTTACTTCACGCATGCACGCTCGCATTTACTTAGCTATCTTCTCAATCGCTACAGGATAACGAATTCCCTGGGCTCATACCTTTGATCAATTCCTACATGGACCACATTGATGTTGACATTGACACAAGATGCACCATCAGCCAATACTTGCGGCTCATCTCTAAGCGAGCGACAGGTTTGCATTCTGTTTATTCTTAAGAACAATTTACATCGAGTACTTCTTAACCAATAGATGGCTTGCTATAGAGTTTTGCAATATGGTAAAATGGAAATAGGTGAAGAATTTTAACACGATGTTCTATATGAACAATTGTCTCATGTTTATTTAAAAAGAAATCAAATGGTTTTTCTTATACAACTTTTGACCGCAAACATTTAATGTCCCAGTGAATGACAACCGTGAACTGGAGTGATGCAGAAGTTGTAGAGATGTAAATGACATCTTTTTCCTGACCACAACGTCATATTGAGACGATGATGACGTCCTTCAATGAGGCAGCTAATAGCCGTGCTTTGAAGGGATACCAGTGCTGTTTGATTTAAATGCTCCCTCTGAAAGTTACTTTAAAGCCTAGAGTAATATACTATCGACTTATGCAGTCATTTCTAAAAGTAACTGCACTGTTACTTTTACAGGAGAGTTAATGACAACAGCCAGCTGGATAAGATCAAAAGTTCGAAGTCACCCAAACTACAAATTCGATTCAGTGGTGTCAGATGAAATCGTTTACGACCTTGTCCAAGAAGCATCAAAAATTGCAGTAGGCCAGGCAGGCAGCGCAGAGCTTCTCGGGGCTCCAATCAGCAAAACAAGCTGCTATCTTCCTGATAAATGCAAAAAGATGCAAGAACATATCGATGAATTTTCAAAAATCATGAAAATTACAAAACACAGTGGAAGAATCACTGGTGCTCAGTGTTAAAGGAAAATTTTTAAAATGACAATCAAAATTTTTGATCGGTTTTGTTATGTTTGGAGAAATTGATTTGAACAATAAGAAATGTATTTAAAAATTTTTTTAGATTGTCTTAATCATTTTTTATCGACAAAGATGTTCTTAAATGATATGATGGCATTGAAAAAGAGGTTTTTCGGAGCTCCACTTTCAGGAGAGCAGACTGAATGCTGACAATCTTGAGCTGATTGATTCAAGTACTTGACCTCGTTTTGAGATATTTGGTAATTGTTTCTATAATTTTATTGCAAACTCCTTACAAAGTTGTTTATGTCACGTATTCTCAATCTTACTTGTTAAGCTTTTTGTAGAATTTCCTTATCATGGAATTTTTAATTGTTTTTCTTTAAATTCGAAGTATTACGAAGTCATTAAGCTCGCAATGTGTTATTTACTTACTGTTTGAATAAACAAAAATTGTTATATATCAGATAGAAACTATCAGTTGTTGTACTTAAATCTTTTTTGGATTAGCATGTATAGTATGTAGCTGTGCACATATTAGTTTTGCTGTTAGCTTGACACTCAAGCGTAAGACTTGAAAATGCATAGTAATTGAAAAAATATTTAAATCGAATAATTTCTTGCAGCATCTTTGTGGTAAAATTCTCAACTAGCAGGGATCATCTTTATCAAATGCTAATCTATATGTAAACAAATCCCTTCTGTGAAGGCCGGGGCCTAAGATAAGCGTGGATCTGACTCACTTTGTGTAGTTGTAAGTTATGGAACTGTAATTGTGGATGGAAAGTGTGGATTTGTAAATAATTCATGTTCTGAGCAGTGCAGCATAAAATACCAATCAAAACGCCTGAGATAGAATAAGGAACATTTTTTTCAATTCGAAGGGAATGCCAAATGCCAGCCTTATGTATTGCACTCATTTTTTATAAGAAAATTGCGATATGAAATAAGCAATGGACAATAAAGAAGAATTAAGAAACTTCAGAACTCGAAGCTTCAGTACATGCGGAGAAAAATCAATTGCGCTTTACGATATTGTTGTGTGCTATTTTGAAGTAAGATGGATTCTTGTAGACAGCTTTAACTTCAAGACATCATCTCAATTTAGTTTGCTTTAATGACTTGCTTCAAAAAACACACTGAGCCTTCAGACCAAGACCGAGATTATGATTTCCTGCCCGTAATGCATTTTGGAGTTTATGTGATATCTTTCAGTAGATATCAGAGAAAGTTACAAAGTAATTCAACTAGGATGTTTTAAATTGGAGAAGCATTTGAAAGATTTCTCTCAAGGTTACAGCAGCTGAACAATAATAAGCCTCTCCATGGTAGCTGGGAGGCAGGGCCGTCGCCAAACACTTTCACTTAGGTGCGTGCCAGTCACCAATTTGCCGTTAAAGAAGGGCGTGGCCTAAAATATATCAATTTTTCAGTGTAGCACTTTGACGCAGTATATTTAATATGTTCTCGTCAGTCAATCATTGCTTCAATTTCCGCGTACCTGAGAGTACCATTTGATTTTACTCTAGAAGTCAAATTTTTAGCAAGGAGATACCCTCGTTTATTCAAATAATTCAGCACGGTTAAATAGAAACTTGGTTTGTATGAGTAAATCTCAGAGGCAGGGCCGCCAAGAGGATTCAAAGGGGCCGCCAAGAGGATTCAAAGGCCGTTGGGGGGGCCGAAAGGCGAGTTCCCCTACGACCCGAGAGAGCAGAATTTTTTTGCGACCATGCCCTTAAGATTATCTTACAATGCATTTCAGAATATTTCTTGCAGTTATTTCTGGCAATCGTTCAGAACGTTCTACCATTTTTAGGCATACTTTTTGCTACTTTTCATTAATTCTATTCTTAAAATGGAATTCATTATTTTACGAGGCCCCCTCAAGGACCTGGGGCAATTTGCCCCCTTGCTCCTTCTCTCGACGGTCCTGCTCACAGGGGCTTCCAGTACCTCCAGGATCAGCGTTCAGAGTTTGTCAACAAACTTTGCCTTTTCCTCAAATTTGGGTGGCTTTGGATATGCCGACAGTTGTCTGCTAGGTTCCAGACCCCGGCTGCCGACAGGGAGTCATTTGAAATTTCTGGGGGACACTTGACTCTCTGACTCATCTGTGCCTATTTTCAATTGTTGAGGGCTTTTGGGTGATACTTTCTCGGTCTTATCCTCAACTCATCCCCACTGCTTGCTAAAGCTATTGCTTTGGGAACTTTGAAAGCCAAAACCGACAAAACTCTACTTTTCGAAAATTTGCCGACAAGAATTTTCTATCACCCCCGCTAGCGATGGCTCTGCTGGGAGGAACATTTTATTGAGAATGTTACAGCTACATAATAGTCCTCCCCAACTATTTTGCAATAATAAGTTGGAAAATGTTTTGAAAGTTTACGCTAACAAACCCATTAGTAGCAGTTCTGCTGGAAACACGTTTTTGTTCTTTTTCATGGTGCTGCTTTATCTTGTGAGGTCAAAGATAGATTTGCATTTTATCTAGCTCGGTTTTGTAATTTCATATAAGTTGAAATTTTCTCTGGATCGTTATGTTTATGAATAAGGACTGAAAGAAACAAGTTGTCATTTAGCATAAAATCTAGCATAATTTGGATATTTTTAAAAAAACCATTGTTCAATTGATCCTTTGTCTATCGTTACCAAATGGCAGTAAATTTATCTTATATATATCTATGATAATATTTTTTTCCTAAGCAACAATCCTACTTTGCACACGACCAAAAGATTGTTTACAACCATGAAAAACATAGGCACAACTTATAGCCACAGTACGGTCATTTTGGTGAAAGAACAGTGCGTTGTGGTCATGTTCTTTTTGTGTACACCTGTGGTAAGAGGAATGGATCTTTTATGTGCCCTCTTTTGGAAAGGACAATTGCATGCGTCTTGCTTGATTTCTTTGGTATAAAGAAACAAGAAAGGTCTGAATACCTGGGCTTTCTTTAATGTGCTGTCCACATTATATCAATTTAAAAAAATTTTCTAGCTGCAGCTACGACAAACCCTATCACATCTATATTTCCAAGCAAGATATTTCTTTACAAGAGTGTGCCTCACCTATAAATCCTTCATTGTGAAAGCAATTCTGACGTCAAGTCTGAGCAGACTTTGAAGGCACCTTTACTTCGACAAGAAGAGTGAACTCATCGGCAATTCAACACAGCTACAAAAGCCATGGGTCTTCTCACATTCAATGGAGAAAATCTTTCATTTTCTGAGATCAAGAAATATACTGACTACGTTAAAAAACACGGCATCATTCAGTTTATCAACACGTTCCACCGAGTCAAGAACAGGACATACGATACACTAAAGTGGGGAGACGAGGTAACTTCCTATCTTATGCAATATTGTACCAATTTTGTTTCGTTTTCCAACTGACAGAGAGAGGGGTTTAAGCCAATGTTCAACAGCAAGTAAGGTCAAATCAATGTGAGAAGGTTATATTTTTTGGAAGGGGATTGTCAAATTGTCTTTCGAAATGAATGGCAAATTGTGATCATAAACTATGATTTTACCGTATAGATCTGTAAGTGATTCTCGTTTGCCTTAATAACTGACAGCCAACTGCAATAATATCGCAGTACAAATTTTGCAGCACCATGCCAATGACAAATTTTACAATATTTGCGTTTCTGTGTTGTTGTGGTCGTTTTCACCATTTAGCAACACTTTAAAAAGCATGATTCTTTTAGGGGTGACACCTGCAAGCGCATAAAGATTTTGCCATCACAGCGTTCTTGACATCACATCTTCACATCACATCTTCACATCACATTCGAAAAAGTGTGCTCTTGGAAATAGCATCTTTGATAATTAGGTCACTTGAGTGAGTTAGACAGTAAAATAAACTGATTGATCATTTTTATACCATTGATCAGGCGTCCCAGTTTGACCCACGCTGAAGCTCCATCAAATGAATAGCCTAAAAGCATTTTCAATGTAAACAAGCATCTAATCCTTTATACCCTTACAAAGTGGCTCTGTAGCAATACCTTTCTCCCCTCGCGTCTTCCCATCAAGTACTCTTTGATAACATAGTCTTTGATACAATAGATACTTTTTTACTTATATCTGTGGTTTTGTCAACAACCAGTGCAAAGTATTCGTTTTTTCTTGTCTCCTCGAAAACTTTAACCCTCGCGTGCAAGACAATTTGCTCTTGCCTCGATAGGATAGCGTGATCAAGTATGATTTCGATCTCAGAAAGAAAATTCAAAATTTTCACAGCTACAAACCAAATCAACAACCCAAAAAAGACCATGCTGGGTACTGTAACCTTCTTTAAAAGCATAAAGAATCGATGAAAAGTCGCTTTTCACTTTCGGCAGGATTTTATTTGCTAGTAGTCGCGCGACGAAACGACACTTGTTGGACGAAAATTCTTTATCACTGTGGTATAAACATCTTGAAACGCTGGTGAAACAACTACGAGCTCAAGTTAATAAAATTGAATTATAAATTAACTGATATTATGTTTATTTTCATGATTTTAGAATATTCTTTCTCAGGTTGTTTCTGACGTAATCCGATATCTAATTGGCAGTGCCTAATTCAATGTGGTCTTGTACACTAATAGTGGTTTCGAAAATCCAAATTGTGGTCTTGAAATCTGGAATTAGTGGGAGGATTTCCTTGAAATTGAAACAAGGTTTTTCGAATCTTTTCGAACCTTGCTTCGGCACTTAAACAGCTAAAGGATTCCCGGAATATTGTTTTCAGATTGACATAATGTCTGGAGTTGAATTAGCCAATATTTGAAATGACTCAAATATAGCACTCCATCATTTACTGATGAGCAAGTCAGCAGTTTTATAAAAACACTGGAATAACATTAAGGCAGCGTTATTTAATATTATTCTGTGAAAGGCCACGGGCTATTTAATATTTACAAACTATTCTTTATCTGCCATGAGTCTGCCTCATTCCAATATTAAGCCTTGTAGCCTCCTTTGAGTTAATCTCAATATGGCCTTTTGAATCTATCTTTAGAATGCTGAATGGCTGCAGTAGTTCATTTGTTATGAAACTTATTTAAGTTCTATTTGACTATTTCCTTACATATTTAAAATGCTAAACTGTTGTTAAAGAAAACTGACGAAAGTGAAGAAAAGAAAAGGCTTGGTTCTAGTATAAACGAGGAAGTGCCTCAGAAGAAAACTGGTGAAAGTACAGCAAAGGAAAGTTATGGTGCAAATATGAATGAGGAAGTAGCTCAAAATGTGGAAACTGAAAAGTCAGAAGCAGAGGAATAGAGAGTAGATGAGCAAGAAGAGCAGTGCAATGAAAATGATCAGAGCACCAGCAATGTTGGAGATTCTTATCAAACCCTCAAACGAAAACGTGAACAAATACTTATCAATTCTTGCTTTGAGAAGATTGGTAGATAAGGGAGAAAGAAAGTAAGATGCAAAATTGTATAGACAATCCCGATGTTGTGCAATCTCATCAAAAAAGCAAGCAGGTACCCTCTTTTTGTACCCCAGAGGGGGGCAAAATAAGGAAAGCTTATATGGATACCCATAAAGAGTCAGAATTGCATTTGGCAGCATGTAGAGCAGACCGGTTAAAAGAACTTGATAGGCCTGCCATTGTCGAAGACCCGACAACCATTGATAGTCCGATCAGTAATGCATATAAGCGGTTGTACAGGAAAATTGGGGCCTACATGACAACTGTTTTCAACAATGCAAAACGTGGTACTCTAAGTGCGTAGTCATGGCCATCTCATCAGGTTGCCGCTATGAGAGCTGTTTACTTCAAGGACAATGGGACAATGAATGACTTTTCCATGTCCTCTGACGATTTCAGGTATCTGTTTCCTGGAAGTCATGCAGAACTTCTAGACTTTATCGTTAAGGCAGATATTCAAAATATGAAAGGAATATTGCAACAGAGTCTTGTAGTATTAATGAGAACCGATGGTGCTGTTGATCGTATGCAAATACACAATAATCACCTAGAAGCCAAAGTTGTGCATCAAGATGGCAGTGATTCCCTTTACTTTCTTGGCTTTGGAGAATCAGAGGAAAGAGGAGCTAAGGTTATTCGGAAAGACATCATCCTTTGTGACTGATGTGGAGAACATGAACACGGGTGCAAAAAATGGCCTCTGGGCACTTTGTGATGATTACCGAAAAAAGTTCAATTCAAATCTTCCACTGATAAAGATCTGGTGTGCTGCCCACAGGATCAGTCTCGCGTGGAATTCTGTCACAAAGGAAGTGGTAGAGCTGGATAGGCTGATTAAAGATGCGTCTTTATTGAGTACCTACTTTCACGTATCAGCGGTGAGAACCAAGGGCCTCCAGAAAGTAGCAAAGGAATGTAACTATCAATATTTGCACTATCCCAGATATTTTGAAGTGCGCTGGACTCAATTCTGTCACGAACTGTTCGAAGTGTCTTGAAAAATTGGAAAGCATCTATCAAATCCTTTGAGAATAAGTCTGATAAAGAAGCTAAAGGTCACGTAAATACTTGGCTAGACAAGGATATTATTCATCTGATGAGCTTAGTTGCAGATATCTTTATATGTGTACAAAAGATTTCATCAGGCATTTCAAGACGACGACATCTTGATTTCTGACATCTCAAAGAAAAAGCAGTCTGTCCTTAAAAGGTTAGAAGAGAAGAACCACAATCCCCTAACTGGTGGGAGGGAAGAAACCTTTTTTGTCGGAATTAGAGGAGGGAAATGAATTCAAGGGTGTTGTTTTGACAGAGAAATAAGAAGAGGAACATATAATAGATATGTATCTGACCGTCGTAGCTTTGATGCGATAAGAAATGAAGTCATATATTTTATATATAAATTTTATCCGCATGAAAATTAGTTCAGATAGGACTCCCGTTTACACTAGACCCACGCTATCCGCACGAATTTGAGAGCGGCTATCCGGACAAAATTAGTTCACCTAGGAAAGTGGATTAAATTAGTTCAGATAGCTATGTGGTACAGTGTAAACGGTTTTATCCGGATAAATTTTATCCACATCCACTGTGAGGTTGATTTTGATTTACTGCGAGGCTCTTTCAATAAAGAGAAAGAAGGTGGCGCGAGGTGGCGCCAAATCTCATTTCTCGTAAACAGAATCGTGTTTTTACCAATCTGCACGTGGTCGTCGTTTTGACATTATTTTGCGGGGACATGTACGAGCTCAGGGCAAAGGTAATAAAAACGCTGATTATTCTTTTATCTAGACTGGCTGCAGCGGCAAATTTCAATGCACGTGAAATTCCACGTGAAATTGGCGTCCTTTTCAGCTTTCCCTACTTTGTTTGCCATTTCTGTGACGTTTTATTTCAAACAAACAATTATTTAAACTATATTGGCCTAATGTGCTTTGACAATTTCCTCGGACTTCGTCTTAACACGAAGCAGTTGATTCTATAGAAAGACGGAAAAGTCTCTGAACCTTTGGCGTTTTGGCGGGAATTATGATGTTATTGAAAATCGGTTGCCTAGAGATGACCTCGTTTTGAGCGTTCTGTGGATGATTCAGGTCACGTGACTGTAGTTATCCGGCACAGTTTGAACGGGAGGGCAAAGTGGACAAAATTTATGCGGCACATGGCGGCACAGTGTAAACGCAAATCAATCCGAACAAATTTCGTGCGGATAAAATTTATCCGGCACAGTGTAAACGGGGTCTCAGTCATTAATCAATTTCCTGGATAATCATCTTGATGATGATAGTTTGGCATCAGCAACCGCACTCAGTCCTCTCAAGCAGTTAAGTTCCAGCACAACAAATGAGCAATTGCGAGCATGCCACAAGGTTATTTGCCCCGATTAAGTGAATACAAAGAAGCTTCAGAAATGGAACATCTGCAGTCGCTTTGTACCAAGCCCTTACTGAGTTGTCTGGCATCAGAAAAGTAATATCCAGTGCTGACAATTGCGATTGCTCGTCTTGTAGCTGCCAAACCACAGTCTGCTGATGTAGAGAGGCTCATTAGTAGATACAATAAACTTAAGACTTTAAATAGATCATCCTTATCATCCACCACTTTGCGAAACTATCTTCATGTGGTCCAAAATATGATCTTGATTGGATCACAGACAAGGAACGAAGAGCAAGATGCCCAGAGAAAGCAAAACAGCAAAGCTGGTTCGTTTGCGTATTCAAAGAGGCAGAGGATTTCCTTCAGCGGCAAAAGACTGAAAAAAGCCAAAAACCAAAGCAAGTCCAGTTTTGAATCTACATGGAAACTGTTACCCTTGGACATTTAGGTTTATTGTTGGTAACTAATGTTATTTGCTTTGATTTCAGCTTTATGATCCGATTTGTTTCCTTAAGCCCTGTTTACACTACACAAACTAACCTGGGTTCGCCCCAAGTTAAAACTAACCCAGATTAGATTTTTGTAGTGTAAACGCAATCTAACCCAGGTTCGTCCCAGGTTAGTCAGCCCATCTCAAAAGGTGAGTTCGCCCTAGGTCGAACCTGGGTTAGTTTAGTTAAAGTGTAGTGTAAACGCAAACCAGGGGCGAACCTGGGTCAGTTTCTACAGACATGGTTCCTATTGCGAAAGAACGCAAAGGGCGAACGCAAAGTTCTCTTATTGCCAAAGCCCGCACTGGGAATAATTGTTTGTAAAGTGGATTTATTGTATTTTGTAAAGTTCATAAACACAATACACGCCATTTTGTTTATCCTCACCTTCAATCTGCCTTTGTTCCGCATGCGTCGATATCAAACTAACCCAGGTTCGCCCTTGATTCCGTTTGCACTACAAAGTTGACAGTTTCCAGTGTAAACGCATCAGGGTTCAACCGGGGTTACTTTTAACCTAGGACAAACCCAGGTTAGTTTGTGTAGTGTAAACAGGGCTTTAGTTGTGACTCTCTATGCGTTATGTTTATTAAAAAATCTTAAAAGTAAATGTAAATTTCATTTCTTTTCTCACATCATATTCTAATCATTTTATGTCTCGGAAATGCAATTTAAGCCAATCTAGGGTTTTGAGTTTTAAAAAATTTCTGGGTATTGTGAAAGTCCCTTAAATTAGGCACTGCTTATAGGAAAATTATTGCACGGTAAGTTGGTTTACATAGAGTTACTATACTTTTTTAACCGATTACTTTAAATCCGATTTAATTTCATTTTATAGATGGAGTATCAAATGCTTGCTTTTGATCACGAGAATAAAACAGTTAAACTGGTTCTCAAATCCTCAGAAATTTTGCCAAAATTGCAGAAAGAAGAAAATGAAAACCCAGGGTAAGAGAATAATCTACTTAATCTAACATAGAATTAACATACGATAGGTTTGATTTAATGAATTCATATCCAGAGTAACAGTATTGGAATTTTCAAACAATTGTGCCAAGTTCTTTAGGGCAGTGCTTGAACAAATCTCGTTTGAAACTTAAAATGCTAGCTTATTGCTCTTAGACAAATGCACCTAGCCCTTCCCATTCAATTCCTCTTTCAATCGAATCTCTACCACCTCTTACCTCCCGCATCCCTCTTTACCCACCCCTCTTTACCCATCCCTATTCCATGTCCATTGATGCTCTTGCTAAGCTTCTTGCTCCTCCCTGTATTTCTCTGAAGTCCATCATGAGCAAGATTGCTGTAGGGAATGTTATCATTGTCTATAAAGTCAAATCCATTCAGCTTCGTCAGACACATGTTTGTTGGCAGTGATCGCCATTTTATTCAGCTCATCCTTTCTGCGGAAAATGGACGAATAAGCGATTTTTGGCATCTTGATTGTTTTCTTGTGTTTTTTCAATGATGTGAGTATAGCTGTTGACAGCTCTTATGGGCTGGATGTTTTGAGATTGTTTGCCCCCTACATGAACAATAATCACATTGCTTTCCGTTTTCCCCGTGCTCTTTACGATTTGGTTGAGACTCGTACCTGATTTACCCTGAATTTTGATTTCACGATGAAGGTTGCATAGTTTCTTTTCGTCTAGTCTTAATAGTTGGGAATCTCCAACGATAGTCGCTTTTATAGGTTTATAGGTTAATCAAACAATGGAAAATTTTATTATCAGATATTGTCCGTTTATACGTGGTTTAAAAGTAGTACTAGTACTTCATGATTTATACTTCCGTCCATTTTAGGAAAACAGAGACGGCGTATCGTTTGGAAATGGGTGAATTCATGATTGAATGTAAGTAATTAACAAGTTTTCGGTGTATTCATGTACAGGAAAATAAACTCATCAGATGAAACCATGACTAAGAGTTGTTACCTTAAATGATAAATGCCTGAGTATTCAGTTACATTTAGGCCTACCCTCTCCTGCTTGGCTATCTCAATGTACAACAACCTTCCTCACCCAGCTGTTTCTTACATTTCACCTAGAGATGGTGAATTTGTAAGTGAGAAGTTCTAATTTCCTGTAGACCTGCTAAGACTGAGCAATTGCGACAATATTAAGGTTAGGATAACTATTAGTTCTGAATGCTAGATCTGGATTTTTCTGCTTTCTTGTATCACAGCAAGCCCTGGTCAACCTTACGGTGGTTGCATGAGACATTTCAACAGAATCGAGGCAAATATGAAACTGAGGTTAGTAAGAAAGGAAATAGTTCAAAATATTTACAAAAAGAGTTTCAGGAGAAAGAATATATAGCATTAATAACCCTGTTGTCATTTCCTGCTTGAATTGGGTACCACGTTCTTTAAAAATACCTTCAAACAATACAAGCTGCAGTTTGAAATGTCATTTTCTCAATTTCTACTTTTGATTTAGTATTGAGCAAAGCAGTCTAAACTAAAATTAGAGTTAATAATTTTGAATAATGTTCAATATATTCTTCACTGATACAATTAACTCTCAACTTTTATTGAGAATGAATCATTTTTTATTTCTCACAGGCGCAAAGAAATCCAGGCTTTGCTAGGCCACAATGAAATCGTTTTGCCTTTGTGTGTTTTTCCAAGGTATGAATAATTTTGGTATTTCTTGTCAGCATAAACCTCTAACAAAGATCAATAAAACCCCGTTATTCGTGCTCAGAGGGTATAATAAGAAATATCAAATTATAACTCGTATACCATATTTGTTAAAACTCGCAGAAGTGGCTTAAACCTGCTTCTGCTATAGCCCCTTCAAACAATTTGTCCAAGTCATCTATAAACCCTCTCTTCGAATACCTGACCTCTCCTTTCCAAATAATCGTATTCATCAATTAAAAAGCTGAAAAATTGCTCGATACAAACATTTTGCCCCACTTATAGGCTTGGCTGCCCAGATTTCACATCACCGCATTTGGAGGTGAACCCGGAAACGAACCCAGTCATGAAGTCAATTTACATTCCAGATGCATGCATAACCCAGATGCATCCGCGATTCATGTAAGTTTTTTGGCCATTTTAGGCTATTTGTTCATGTGGTGCAAGTAGTGCCTGAAAACCCAGAGAACCTGCTGATTTCTTTGGAAAGTCTGGCAACTTCCCCTTCAACTCAAGCTATTGGATCAAAGAGTCTGACGTGATTTTAATATGATCAAAGAGAGACAACTAATTCAAATGATATTACTGTAATGTCCAACCAAAGCCTATGAAATCAAAAACCGAGATACAATTTTTTATTTGGGGGTCCAGCCCTGATAGATAAGTGTAACAACAGCCATATTTTACAAGATAAAAGTATTCTACTTTTGCTGCTCCAGTTTTTTTGGGGGCCTAGCCCCCGCCCCCTCCCCGGTTCCCCCGGTATCTCGGTCCTTGTATGAATAGAGCAACTGATAATATAGGTATAGTGACGTCTAGCGTCTACAGGCAACAAGCAGCACAACTCATCATTTTCTGACGTTTCCGTACTAAGTGTCAAGGTGAAACCTTGACCGATACGTTAAGTCACGTGCCGATATGAAGGAACTCTGCATACACATTTTTTCAGACCGCCTTTGCAATCACAATTCCGCCCCAGCCACTTTCTTTGATATGATGATGATGATGATTTGATATGATATATATCCGATTATTAAGAATTTTCTTGCAAGCATTCAAATTTGCATTTTGTAGTACAGAGAGTTTTCTTAATATGCTCTTTTTTTCATCTAAAGGAACTCAGCAAGCAAACTGATGCAGCGAAAAGGAGAAAGAATTACCCAGAACATTCCAAGTAAGTTGGGAAACTCTTATATTTCACACATAGGAAGCGCATTTGAAGAACTTCAGCATTGTCACCTCTTCGCCGTTTGGCTACACGTTTGGAACAATTGAAAGTGGGAATTTTTTAAGAAACAACGAGTAGCCAATTCAATTGAAAACATTAAAAGTGTATGCTAAGCTCCCCATGCACTTTGTAGACCTCCTTAAATATTATCATAAATTGCGTTGATAAAGGTGATGAGAAGCCACAAAACATTGATCAAAGAAGCGGCAGCAGAAGTATTTGATCAAAGACGAGTGTTTTATCTTACGAATCGGCGAATCGGGCATATGCACTTGCCCTCAGATCACCCTATCAGTTCCAAAAAGCAAAGGATATCAAGCCCTTTGAAAATTGTAAAAATTTTCGTTTGATCAAGAACAAAAGAAAAAATGGTAAATTCCTTGATGCTTCTATATTGTGAAAAAGACATTTTATATAAAACTGATCTGCAGCAAATAGCTTTAAGATGGGCAAAGCAGAAAAAGAACAGAATTGCTGTTCATTGACTTGAAAGAATATTACTTTTTATCATTAAACATATCCAAGATCTAGACTGGTATGGCTTTGATGTTGCTTTAAATCTTACGGAAAGATTCAATGTTCGTGTTGCGTTAACCAAAATTTAGAGATTTCCTTTATCTTCTTTAGTGCTTTTATGCTTAAGACTAATTACTATAAGTAAAATGTGGGTAATTATACAGAACCTAAAAATCTGGAATAAGCCATAAGGCTATTTCCAAATCAATTTAGTAGGTACAGAAGATTAACAGGTCGAAAGATAAAATTCATCAGGTAAATTTGGAATTTTCAACCTTCCACGACCCCCAAAATTAGCCACTTGTTTACGTCCCTGCTGACAAGCAAACTGATATTATTATGATGTTATCTAAGGTTGCGTAAATGATTAAATGTTATTCGATGTAGGTACCTAATACGTTCATTTACGAGTAGTTATCTCCGTTCCTTTCAGTTTACCGTGATTTGAACACTCCAGACCCTTTCTTGGAGACGTTTCGACACGACGACGGTCAAGCTGCCAGAGATTCCCGGCCCAATCACGTTTATTTAGACAATGTCCTTTTTGGCTCTGGCATGTGCTGCACGCAAGTATGTTATTTACAAAAATAATGCGCCAAAATTAATGCTAGATGATAAACTTTAAGGTTTTCACTGCTCTGTTTTCAGGAATATCAATGATTCTATGATAAATACATAGCGAATATCAACCATGTCTCTGTATGTCATAGGTGACGCTTCAAGGGTGCAATATCGATGAAGCCAGGGCTCTGTATGATCAGCTGGCTGTATTGGCCCCAATTATGGTAAGCAATTCTGACAAGCACAATTAGTTCTCCAGACATATTTCACAGAAAATGTTGAATGACGTTGAGATAGCTACAGGCCGAAATGATTGTCCAAGACGAATTAAAAAAGCCAAAATTTACTTGAAATCATTTAAAACACAAAGAAATTGTAATGACTAATTAGTTTAAGAGCTTTTGATTGTGAAATGTCCTGAAAATAAATCTCCGATTTAAAAAAATAGATTTTCGTTTTTCTTAAATTTCAAGATTTGAGAAATTTCAATACAATGTTTACTGGTGAAGCGATGTAACATACAGTTAGCCTCTACTTAACCACAGAACGGAGAATTGGGACGTATTTTCTCTACTCTGTAACTTGACGTTGGCATGACAATTCAAGTAAAGTAGTGCAGCTATGGACACAAGCTTTTTCCCTATCTTTTCCGCCATAAAGAGTTCTTGCTGCTCGCCAAAAGCCACTGACACTTACCAGTGGCGAAGCTAGCCAAAAATTGTTGGTCCTGCTATATGGACAGGGCCACGCCCTTATTCAATTGGAAAAGCCTATGGACAAAAATTCTATTTTGCAGATGATTTTTTTCTTAAATTCAGTAATAAGCAAATTTTAAATCGATGTCTATCTTTTGAAAAATAAACCCATACTTAAAGACGTGCTTTAGGGTGCTTACTTTTCAAACAAATCTATGTTAAATTGTTGTAAGCCTCTACAGCTGAAGTAAAAGTTCAAATTGGTGATAACTAAATTTGACGATAAAAGGGGGTAGGGGTGGCATTTGAAGTTGCATATCATATATTTGTGGTATTCCAGATTTTGGTCTTATAAACCTGACCAATCTAGATACTCTATTAAAATAATTTTAATAAACAACAGAGTTTAAAGTCTGTAGGGGCAAGTTCACATATTCTGCAGAACAATTATTCTGCAGCTGATAAAGAGAGGTACAATCGAATAATGTGTCGCATTATCAATGAAAACAACTTTATTAGATAAACCATTAGACGAGAAAACAATTCAGGTAAAAAAATGCAAATTCCGCTGAAATTGGTTTATTCTCCAACTCAAAACTTTCAATCACACAACAGTAAATTCAATTATGCTTTCATCGTCCTTGTCCAAGTCTAAGAAAATTTTATTTAGGCCACCATGATATACCGTGCCTCAAACGATCGTACAAAGGCCGAAATCAGAGTGCCTCATACAGCCAATTTTTGTTGTTTACATTTCTTTCTTGCGAACTTTGGACTCTGCAGAGCTCTGTTTTGTTACAAATAAAATTTATGCAGCTCAACTGAGGCAAGTTTTGCTGTCAATAATAATATCATTGGTATTGCCAAAGCAGAAAATCCGCATTCACATCGCCTCGCCATAATACTTGAACTGGCCTCCTTGCTAGTATCTCATAGCAGAACGAGAATGCACAGGGCAATTCTTGCAGTCCTGCTCTCAGAAATAGCAGGACCAAAGGTTTTCAAAACAATGCTCTTTGACCTACGTAGGTGAACCCTCGACCAATCAAATCACAACTGCCTACGAAATGTTATGATGGTCATTTCGACGAGGTCCTGCTCCCGAGATTGAGCAGGACTGCTCTTTGTTCTAGACTATTGTGAAGCAGGACTAAATTCACAAAAGCCCATTGTGAAGCAGGACCAAACATAGGGTATCATAGTTATGAGCAGGACCAAAATACAGGGCTGCCGTAGAAGAGAACAGGACCTTGAGATTAGCACGGGATGCCTGTATCAGCTGGCGGAACTGGGGACTGTTTATCAAAAAGAATTTGAAACTTCCTTTTTGCAAAGAAGAAATTGTTTATTGTTTACAGTAAATCTTATCTTTGGAAATTCTTGGTCCTGCTCAGCAGGACCAGCAGGACCTTTGGCTTCGCCACTGACACTTACACTTTGATATTTGTTAACCGTAGCTAGCCTTGTCTGCCGCTACCCCAGCGACAAAAGGGTATCTTCTGAACACTGACTGCAGATGGGGAATCATTTCTGGCGCCGCAGACGACAGAACCGAAGAGGAACGAGGGCTCAAGGTAAATAGCAATATTATCTGAAGATAACTGATAAATTCTACATATCCCATTGGTGCTTGCATTATAATTTCCTTTGAGCTTGCGTATTAGGAAACATTACATTATCAACAAAATAAACTTTGTCTTCGTTCTTCTTTAGTCCTTCTTTAGTGATTTGTTTTGACCTGACTCTTGTCTTCTCCTACATTACTTCTCTGCATACAAATAATCAGTGATGTGCCTAGACAATTTTGTTTGGGGGGGGGGGCGTTTAGAAAAAAGTGACCAACTTTACTTTTTGACCGATTATTTCTCCATAGAATATTCATTAACAATAAAATAGATGATCATATACACACTTAATGATAATTAATGATAACAAGTAAGAGCGAATGATGGCATGAAACTATAAGAAAATTAAGTTTGCGGAAACTAATATTCCTAGAGTTCGCATTTTTGGGTGAATCCATAAGCATCTTTTTGCAAAAAAGCCAATTTAAAGAAAATCTGCAAAAATGAACTACGGCTTCTAATGAGCTCCTCATGACAATAATTTCAGCATATAAAATGTCCTCTAATCCAGGGGCGGACTGGCCGGTCGGGCTTCCGGGCGATCGCCCGGTGGACTCTCCTTAAATTATTATAATTCTTTCTTAATTTTGTTATTAAATGAAAACTCGTATTGTTTGGTAGGGGCCCTCTTCTGTTGCCATAACACCGAGATTATCTCAAGATTAGTAGATACAGAATGAATAAAAAGATCACTTTGCGGTATTTAAGTACTGAAAAAGCATTTTCCAAAATTTGGGGCCCCATGTAAGCAAGGAGAATCCTGGGCCCAGAGCTCACTGTCTCTTATGCAATAATACGTTATTTAACTGGAAGTTCCAAAATCTGATAAATTTTCTCTTCGGGCCCTCAGTTTGAATGTTATATAGAAAAAGCTATATTTCTATCCATGTCCCCCAATCCAGTTTAGTAGTCTACGGGCCGGCAAAAATGAATAAGTTTTAAATGTCTCCCATTATAAACTAAACAATAGAAAGAAACGAGATACAGCTGGAAGACTGAGATGCAATTCAAGCTTTTTGCTCATAGAAATGTAGACATGAATTGACATCTAACCATAGAAAGGAAGACTCGTTACTCTTGAAAGTTTCTTACTGAGAACATTTATTTACTGTCTTCAATAGACAAGACAGGATTTTTTATAATTGCATTTCAAATTTGTTCAAAGTTATGTGTGTCGGAAATGCTGGGATTGTTGCTAAAAGTTGAGGATAAGATCTTGGCTTTTTGGTAATTGGAAACTATTAGGGGATGGGGAATTATTGTAAATGAAAGCTTGTATGTGTTGCCTAGGATCGTTCTTTCGTCAAACTTGATGTGGCAAATATTCTAGATGCATTTTCTGGCCATATCTTTAATGTTATATTTCAAAAAAAATTTCCTGAATTCGGCCAGAATTCCTAACCATGGTGGTGGCCTTTATTTAAGCCCTGAACAATCTAAACATTACACCCCCTCCCCTACTTCATTAACGTTTCGCCTGCCCTGCCTTTTTTCCGGATGGTACCATCTGCAGACATCGGGGGGTGTGACGACCCCCACGCCCCCCTAATCGGCACATCCCTGATTATGACTGCACAATACTCATCTTCCTGGAAAATATCACAGATTTTCCCTTTTTAGAGATCTAACACAACTTCGATCAAATTTTTCACCGCTTTTTAATTTTTGTTGAGAAATTACCTCGGATCATTTTGGGTATCTTTCCTTTTCTCTTTGCAGCCTCTGAAAGAAAACAAATTTCAGATAAGAAAATCACGTTTTGATTCTATTGACATGTACATATCACCAGAAGGCGCCATGTACAACGACATTCCAATTGATTATGAACAAGAACACATGGACACGCTGCTAAAGGCTGGTAAGTATCAACTGGTTTTTATTTGGATTATGTCGTCGGGGAAGTGTTTTCCATCTTTTCATTAAACTTTTAAAATGCGATTGCTGCTGCCTTGAAAGTGTCAGAGGAGAAATGCTATACAGGTTTGATGAAGATAAAAGTAAAGTAAAAACAAACACTTCTTAATTTCACATTTAATTGAACAAGCTTAAATTGCCTTGAAATGAACCACATTCTTTCTCGTCTCTTTCACTTGATTGAATCTAATTCAATCCATTCCTTGCTAATGTTTGAACAATTAAGATATTGCAAAACCAGTATTGTGGTGAAGATACTTTGGCAAATAACAGTAAATTTCTTTTTTCGCTTTCCTTTGTATCATTAAAGTGTATATAAAGAGATTCATTGTTGAAATGAATCTAGAGAGGGAATTCAGGATACCTAGACACAAACCGGAAGTATTTTTATATTTCCTTTTATATAAACAATTTTAATCCTGTTCTAGGAATCGATCAGCAACTTGCTACACATATCGCCCACTTCTTCATCAGAGATCCAATCTCATTGTTTTCTGGCAATATCTACGTGGATGATGAAAACGAGCTCGAACATTTTGATGTAAGCAGTCTCCACTCAGATCTTTGTTTCAGCCATTACTCCAGGATGAAAATTTATTGTCTTTCGATATTTGTCCTTACCAGTTTTAGCGCTCTCTTTTCTCTTGAGAATCTTGTAACAGTCCACCTAGAGTTTTAATTTTTTTGAAGTAGTTTCTTGGTGAAAACAAAGTACTTTATGATACCCAATGCTTTACTCTTTATTGGCAACCAACACATTGCAAATTATTAGCTGGAGTTTCCTCTTGGATTGACTCCTTTAAAACGTCTTTTTAAACTTTAGTATACTTCACAAACTAAATTTTTGCAGTTCTTTATGCATCAAACAAATCGATATCAATCTTATCACTTTGATTTCAGAACATTCAATCGACATGTTGGCAAACGATTCGATTCAAGCCACCACCTCCTGGAACCGACATGGGATGGAGAGTCGAATTTAGGCCAATGGAAGTTAGCAATGCTTTGCATTTTAATACATTCTAACAGACTAGATTTTATGGCCTACTAAATGAGCTTGGTCTTAAAAATTGCAAGTTATTAAGTCATGTCTGCTGTGAGCGAACCTTGTATTTTAAGTACGAGATATAGCCGATATGCAAGATAAAGAAACGATTATATTGAAACGATCAAATGAAAAATCACTTGCATGGATTTCAAAATGTACAACGACTGTTGGACTTGAACAAGCAAAAGTTTACGACGAAATCTAACAAAATTTCTTTGCCTTTTTCTAGAGGTTAAAACGTTCAAATTTTTCAAAACTTTTGCAGCCTTTTCAAAAATACTGTTAAGGGTTCTGGAATTTCTCAAATGCTGATGAAATATTTTCACATTGCTTGAAAAACTTTAGGCGCAGTTGACTGACTTTGAGAATGCTGCGTACACGGTTTTTGTTGTCCTCATGACCAGAGTTATCCTTTCCTTCAACTTGAACATGCTGGTACCAATCTCAAAGGTAAGGTAATCTTTTGATCATTGTAAAATTTATATGTTTTTTGCATGAAAGTTAATTGCACCATATAAAAAGCATTACAGTCAAAAGGAATCCCCTGTAATGTCGGTTGTCAAAACATTCATTTTTGTACCATTTGAATACCTTGTAAGAAAGCCATATAATCAATACACTAATGCAGGCAACCTTAAAAAAATATCAAACATAACAATCATTTCGTTCATTATCAATGCAGCAAAGAGTATGCAATGTACGCAAAAGCAACGAAATCGAGCAAAAATATTTTTATGATTTTTATAAGGTTTTCTCGAATTTGTAGATGGAAGAAAACATGAAAATTGCATTGAAAAGAGATGCAGCTCACAAAGGAAAATTTTACTTCAGAAAAAATATTGAAAAATGTAAGTGAAAAAGTAGCATTACTTTGTTTTTTGACACTTCTGATTTTCAATGAATGCAAAATTGTATTGGCCTAGAAAGTATCAAATTCTAAATTCTAATAAATGCACTAAATATTGATTTTGTTTTACTAATGAGAAAATTTTGGCTTTCAAGTTTTTAAAAATATCACAGCTCCGCTTCAGTTTTTAACTGATATTTTGAGAAATCACTTTGTATTTTCATCGATAACTGGCTTATCTGTTTGAATACCAGAGATGTTTCCCTGAACTGATTTTGAAATGACTTTGTATCAAAGTAGTTTATCCTATAAATGACAATACTATCTGCTTAGAGTCTCTAAAAGATTCATAAAGCTGTTCTGGATCTCAAAGCAATATTAAAGTTTAATAGATTTGAATTGTGTGATATCATAAACTTGTTTGCTTGACATTTTTAACTGCAACAATATTTGACAGGTTTTGATGAGAATTTCAATGACTGCGGCAACAGTGACTACGAGTTAATGAGCAATGACACCATTATCAACGGCAAGGTATGAATGCAAACCTTTGTTCGGTGTAGCTGTGGGCTCAGTTCTTTGAGTTTAATAATGTTGATACTGTGGCCATTGATTCTTTTGGACGATGTTGAATGCCTTGGACATATGCTTTGCTCGTTTCTGCTAAAGGGCTTTATTATTTGATCAATTCTTAAAACTATTTAAAAAAAATACTTTATTAAGGTATGACAGCTTTTATGAAATGTAATGATGCTATGATCAGCTTGATAAGTTGTCAGCCGGTGATGAAATTTTACAACTGTCATTTCTCAAAATGGTAAATAATACAGTGTAAATAGTTATTACTTTTGAGTGCACTACTTGACGCATGCACGTTTGCATTTACTAAACTGTCTTATGAATCGTTACAGGAAAACGAATTCCCTGGGCTCATACCTTTGATAAATTCCTATTTGGACCACATTGATGTTGACATTGACACAAGATGCACCATCAGCCAATACTTGCGGCTCATTTCTAAGCGAGCGTCAGGTTTGCATTCTTTGAATCCTTAAGAACAGTTTACATCGACTACTTCTTAATCCATGGATGAGAGATACAAAGTTTTGCATAATTGTAAAATTAGAGCTATTGTCGAAAGTAATAAGTAAAGAATCTCAACAGAATCTCCTACATGAAAAGTTGTCTCGTCTTTCTTCAATGAGAAATCGAATGAGAATCTTTTCTTTTGAAAACTTTGAGTGCAAACCATCCAGTAATTTCATTTAATAGAACAGGGAGATCTTATGTAGGTCCCAGTGAGACGAAGATGACGTCATTGAATGAGAGAGAGCTTAGAACCGTACTTTGAAGGGATACCAGAGCTATTGGGTGTAAATGCTCCCTTTGAAAGTTACTTTAAAGCCTAGAATAATATACTATCGACATATGCAGTAATGATGATAGATATATCATTTCTTGTAAAAACTACATTGTTATTGTTACAGGAAAGTTAATGACAACAGCCAGTTGGATAAGATCAAAAGTCCGGGGTCACCCAAACTACAAATTCGATTCAGTGGTGTCAGATGAAATCGTTTACGACCTTCTTCAAGAAGCATCAAAAATTGCAGTAGGTCAGGCAGGCAGCGCAGAGCTTCTCGGGGCTCCAATCAGCAAAACAAGCTGCTATCTTCCTGATAAATGCAAAAAGATGCAAGAACATATCGATGAATTTTCAAAAATCATGAAAATTACAAAACACAGTGGAAGAATCACTGGTGCTCAGTGTTAAAGGAAAATTTTTAAAATGACAATCACAATTTTTGATCGGTTTTATTATGTTTGGGGAAATTAATTTGAACAATAAGAAATGTATTTAAGAGAATTTTTTAGATTGTCTTAATCATTCTTTATCGACAAAGATATACAGCCGAATCTTTTGCCACATTACAAATGTTAACAGGTCTGCTAAGTAAAGGCCTTTGAATGCCCGCACGCAATTTGATCATCCCGGTGCGACAACAAAGTTCAATGCTGTTGTTGTTGTTTTAAAATTTTTCTCATGCTCATGGCAAAAAATGCTTAAATTCTGTAGGTAAAACCAAAGAAAATCTATTGAAAACATTAGGAAAATACAACAATGTGTTTCATTTTCCAGAAGGGTCTGTTTCAAAGCCTATGTCCTTCTTTCTCAGTAAAGCATGATAGAAAACAGTTTTCTTCCCAGCACTCTCTTTTTAGACTTATTGAAGACTGGAAAACAGAACTGGAAAGGAACAAACATATTGGTGCTGTCGAAATGGATTTATCAAAAGCCTTTGACTGTCTACCAAAAAACCTGCTTTTAGCAAAACTACATGCCTATGATGTAGATAGAAATTCTCTTTTACTTATACAAAACTATCTGTCCAATAGAAAACAAAGAGTCAGAGTTAAAGGTCATTATAGCTCCTGGGGTAAAATTGGACAAGGAGTGCCACAGGGATCAATACTTGGACCTCTACTTTTGAATATTTTTCTAAACGATATTTTTACAGCCTTACTGAAGAGCCTTAATGCAATTTTCCTGATGACAACACGATATCTGTCACTGAAACAAATACTGATGAACTATTGAACTTGTAAAAATTAACACTTAAAAATGTCTTGATTGGTTTAAATCTAATGAAATGATTGCAAATCCCTCTAAATGTCAAGTTATCACAATCGGCAGCAAAGATAAAAGCATAAAGAGTTTGAAATTGACGAAGAATTTGCAATTAAAATAGAAAAAAACGTTACTTTTCTTGGTGTTCAGATCGATAAAAATTTAAAGTTTGATGCAGTTACAATCATCTAACTCTATTGTTATCGAGTGAGGCAAAATCACTCATGCGGTAAAAGGGCAAAAAGACGATTCCGCATAAGGGCTCAGTATTGGAAATTCCGAAGCTGGCAAACGAAACCAAAATTTTTGAGAATCTATTTAATTTAGGAATGTAACTTATAATTTGTCAGCTTACCGTATGCATTTAGAAGGTTTTAAGCCATAATTCTTGTTTGTACACGGGTTTTGAGAATTTTAAAATTTTTTTTTACCGTGGCGTTGATAAGGGCACTCTGGTTTGGAGAATATCTATATTTCTAGGAAGATTATTTTTGGGCTTATTTACAAAAATGTCGCGCTTATACAAAAATCTTGTGTTAATTTTTTATCGTAACTTCAAGGAACCGTGGTAAAAGAGGTCATTTTCAATCCTGATTCAGCCAGGCCCCCTTCCTACAACATCCTCATGTCCGTAAATAAAAGTCTGATTTGCTGGTGAATGTTAGAGAGAAGGTCTCGTCATAGGAAAAACTTGAAATGGATAGTTATCATAAAATTTTTCACGCCTTACATCTGAAATTTTCACCCGAAGTCATATGCAGGGGGTTGCTGAAGTAGGGGAGTGTTCATTTAAAAAGTTGTCATAATGATATAAGAGTACTTGCTCACATCTACCCTTTTATTTAAACCCAATTTTGAAATTATATTTGGTTCTTGCAAATAAACCCGAAAACAGTCTACCTGAAAAGGTAAACATTGCCTAGGCCAGAGTGGAACGTGCGAGCGCCGCAGCAATAAATATTTCAAAAATCTTGAAACCCTATTTAACAACACAATTTATGGCTTAGAACTTTTGAAATTAATACGGCAAGCTAGCAAAGTATAACTAACCTTTCAAAATTATGCTAATTCTCGATAATCTTGGTTTTTCTTCGTCTAACTTGCAATTTCCCGTACTGACCCCTTATGCGGAATTGTCTTTTTGCCCTTTTACCGCTTGAGTGATATCCTAATGAGGGGTAATCCTACACAAAAGAATGGAATGCAGTGTAATGCTGCGTGGTGCTGTGTCGCGACCATGGTCGCGACGACAGAACATTCGAGACACAAGGGGGATTTCCTGACAGTTACGTAATATACAAAATAGCTACGTATGCAAAACATAACAATCCTAATGCTGGGGCTGGCACTATTTTAGCTACACTATGATAAAATTTCTAGATATTCTAAAAGATGGGGTTTTTTCACATTGAAAATTCTCAAAAATCAAAGAAAATTGTTCTTTGCGTACTTTTTGGTTATGTTTGGTCATGCAAAACCATGCGGAACAATGGAAAGAGCCCTGAAAATATGATGATTATTAAGTTTTAGTCATACACTTTTGAAATGGCAACCATGACCTTGATCGCATCGTTTCCTGTTCGAGTTCAAAAAGTGAGATTGAAAAGAGGAAGTTATGCTAGTTCATGAGGAAAGTGTTTTCGTGAAATATTACCCTACAAGAAATATAGCAGCAGAGAAATGAGGTAAAGTAACAGTTACGTGGTTTTAAAGAATTGATACACCAAAATAAAAGTTGGTAGTGGTACAGATTCTTCCTGTTGTGTACTATGTTTGCTAACACATATATTTAAGCCTATGTCAACGAGGATATGACATGCACGAACTAGGACTACGGCGCCTGATGATAAGGCAGGCAACGCTTATATTGCAGGAAAAACAATAAAACAAACTGCCTGGTTCTAATATCATTTTGTTGCTGTGCTGATAATTGGCAAGCCCAAAGTATTCCATGCTTTGATAATGGCTAGTGGACTTACAGGCTATATTCAGAATGAATGTCTCTAGAACTTCTTGTTAGTTGAAGAAACACAAATGCTTCATTGTTGTTTCTCGTTAGTGACATGCAATGCAAGTTTGAGATACAATGAGGCATGAAATTAGTGTTGTCTTAACCTTTTCAGTCTTTATCTTATAATGGCCTTTGTTGTTATTGATGTAATGTTAGAGATGAGAGTATTGAGATTGTTTCAGAGGAGAACTCTCTATTTTCTGATTATAATCTGTTTTGCCAAATTAAGAATAATGAATTTAAAAGAAATGAGGTGTAGCATGAACATTGACTAGGGGGCATTAATTTTTTTATTTGTAAAATTACACTATTTGTACTTGTAAGTACAGTAGTTCTAAGTAAGGAATTAGGAAAGGGTCATCGAAAGTGTATTTATCTTGTTATGTATCAGAGCAAAACAATTTAGAAATTTTATATAATGTTGTGATAATCGAATCTAACTGTGTTATGTTATCTAAAAGAGCCTTCCTTCAGTATCTGACAGTTTAATCAAGTGAATCAAACTGCTCTTGAAATATTAAATATTAATAAATTGAATGTCAGAGTTTAAAAGCAAGTTAACATTAAAAATAAGTTAAAATTTCAATTTCAGAATTGCTAAAAACATTTTTAGCACCTAAAGCCAAGGCTTTTTCAAAACATGTCTCAAGAAAGTTCTGAAAATTATTCTTTTGCAAATTATTAAAAGTTTTATGCCCACCTAAGGCTTTTCTGGGTATTTTCACAATAGCTGAAGCATTTTTCTCAAGAGAACTGATCTAACCTTAACTTAAATTGGGTACCTTGCTGTGGTGCTGAAAACCTTGTTTATTTTTTTGCCCAAGTGCATGACCAACTCTCCAGAGCTGGCTTCGCCACTGGCTTGATATTATGCATTTTTGCCTGCTTGAGTCATTCTTGGTCAAAGACACGGTGCAAATTTGTCCAGAGACAAACTGGTGTAAAATTTTCCACAGATTTGTCAAAGAAGATTTGATACCAACCAAACACCATGGTAACCTTTTTAACTGTAAAAGAAGTTACCAAAAATTCTGTAGGCAGCAAAAAGTCATAATTGGAAGTTTAGAATTACGTAAGAGAATGTTGTTTCATAGTTCCGTTAAATGATATTCAATTTTTCAACCACTTTTTACTGCGCATGCGCAAACTTTTTGACCACACCGATTTTTTAGTCAATCGCTTTTGGGCCACGCCCTTTTGTGGCTGTCATATTTTTCTTTGGATCCGCCCCTGTCACTGTTGTAAAGACTAACATTAAATAATCTACAATACAAAACAATGATAAGCTTCAGGAGCTTTTGAAGCCTCGACTTTTCAAAAATACCGAAGCTGGCACGCATTCTAGATCTAGTGTCCCCTACTCTACCTCCCAATTCATAATATTCTTCTTAGTTTTTTCTATAATTTTTTTAAGAAGTGTGGCTGAAAAGAAAATCCAAAATAAATAGAGAAAGAGGCAAATTTAATTGCTCATTATCAAAGCTAGACAAGTTGAATGCACACTACCTGTTAAGAGAGACGTTTGTTCTTGTAATAGAGAGCGTAAAATGATAACATTGTTGGATTAGAAATTCCTCTTACCTTCTATGATAAGTTAATGCTTTAAGGTTTCAAGATGAAAAGTAGCATTTGGCCTCTGAGCAGCAGCAGAAAACAATGCAAAACGAGCGAGGGCAGTGAATTTTCTTTCCGAGAGGCATTTTGCAATGGCATCAATTTTGGGGGACAGTCCTCCCTAGCTCACCCTACACCTTTTCCTATTTCCTATGAATTTTACCAAATACACTATCTCCTCATAAAATTGTTTACATCGCAGCGCAGGTGTGATCATCCTTCTTGAGTTTCACGTGAACATGTTTGGTGGTCACGTGGTGACATCTGCGATGGAGCTTGGTCCCAGTCTTCCATTGGAATCAACAACACATGATAAAATCATCGATATATTTGGAGAGAACACAGAAGTTTGTTATGCTTTGGAAGGGGAGTGTGTTTTGAGGTACAGTTACAGAACAATTTTATGAAGAAACTGAAATGGGTTTGCTTAGCCAAGGCACGCCACTTAGCTGGGAAGAAACGAAAAAGTGGGCAGCTTATGTAAAGAAACATGGACTTCTTCAATTTATTCACCAATACCAGAAAATAAAAAATCGAACGAACGATGTTTTGAAATGGGGAGATGAGGTGAGTCTAACGTCCCGGTAACTTAATCAAGCACGCTGGCATGAATATGCGCCGATGGCCTTGGATTTCTTTCCTTCCAGTTTATCATTGATTGACCGTACAAGCTTCAGGCAGGAACAAGAATAAATTTTCTATAATCTCACTGAATTTTCAAACGTAGCTTCGTCTCTAGCCGTGTATTAGGTTAAGCAAACTTTCTCGCATCCATACTACTAATCATTATTGCTAGGATATTTTAAAGATATTATTTTAGAGCTAAAAATATATATATAAATATGATGTTGTAAAACCCGATGTCTGCTAGGCAGGTAGCTTGAAACGCCCCTGTCACTGGGTTTGTTTTTAAACCAGGTCCCAGCATATCTTTGAATAACATTTCCATGATATTGAAGGGAATCTCTCATTTTGCGTTTATGGCATGAGTATGCATTCTTGCTAAAACCGCAGATTTTGTTGACTCTGTTTAGCCGATCCAAGCTTTGTGTTTTAAGTAAGAAGAATTACTTTTTGTCAAAGAGTGCAGTATTTCAGGCTTCTATGTATTCCTTTGTAATGACTTCGGAACAATCGTTCTGACTGATTGTTCCTTCGCAACCTTTACGAGAAGGTCAACTGGAAGAAAGGGTTTTCGATAAGGTTTTCCACATAACCACTGGGTTACCGGGAGACATAAACCGCCCCTGACCTAACCTTAGCACCAGTCAATCTTCACTTTCTTGAAAAATTAAGCTGATAAAAAACAAGGACTCCAATAAATTGGCAGGAGCACAATGAGTAAAGAGTATCAAGTTGATGACATCACAAAAAAACTTATAATATTTTTCATTTTTTGGCAAGTAACCCAAAAATGCGTTATGAAATACCTCTTACTGTGGGAAATCAGTTAAATGTGCTACAAATTAGCAAAGATATTGTCAAATTAGAACAGGCTCTTATCCCCATCAAATCACTGTAAGTTTGTCTTGGTTTATTACTTAATGTATCAGGCCAGAATAACAGTGTCCATTAGCAAGCCTTTGATAGGAGGGAACAGTGCACAACTTTAGGGGGTTAAAATTTTGATGAAAGACAACTTGGAGAACAATTTTGGTTCATAATTACTTTCAAACAAGGACCCCCATATGTTTTCAGCCCAGGCCTGCAGTATTATAAACCTCTGATGATCAACTAGAGGGTGTAGAAAAATGCCTAGCTTGAAGACTGGAACACATGCTCTTTTTATCTTGGAAGGTAACCAAAACAACTGGACATGTACTCCTTTTGAAAGTATTTAACTGATTTCAATTTGTTTTTAGATTGAGTATTCCCTTGTCTTCATTGACAATGAGAACAAGTCTGCAAGATTGTTGCTCAGAGCTGGAGAATTGTTGGATCCTTTGCAAAAGGAAGAGAATGAAAATCCTGGGTATTTTGAAAATTTCCAGCAACATATATAAAATAGAGCAGTGTAATTTATTGTATTATGTAATCAGGCCTTTCCAGGAGACGCGAGCTATAGCCCGCAACCGTGAAAACCCCACGCAAAAAAGTTTTGCGAGGGCTTTTTTCCGCCCACACAGTTGTTTATAACAACGTCTCACTCTCTAATGTTTTAACTACCTACCACTCTATATCAGGGTATTCATAAGTAACGTTGTGTCAAAGAGATATATGGTTTTTATAAATATCATTATAAAAAGGAAATTTCAGTTTCTTTTGACATCCAATGTTAACAAACTATGTATTACCTGTTACAACTAGCAATGGAATAGGAAATGGTTGTGCAGGAATAGAACAACAGATAGCGTAAAATGGCAAGAATGAGAATTGCTACACAACATTATCAAGTACAAAATTTGTGTCATGAATACACTTATTTTTAAAAGAAACTCACTATAAGAAACTGGTCAATCGGAAAAAAATTAAAAAGTTTCAGAAAGAATTTGTTTTTGCTCTTCTACTCTTCAACAAGGTAAGAGGTAAGCATTTGTGATTTGTCAAAACATTGAACCAATCATTCACCCTTCCTGAACTCTCTCGTTACTTTCGATCCGCATTTCTGCTTCCCTGTATGCTTTGAGGTTTATGTGCATGTTACTTGCCGATCTTTATCGTGTTATTTTTTCGCTCTTCCGTGCTTTTTTCAGATTAAGAATCTTTTAAGAAAGAATGAGAATTGGAATTTCCTATACCGTTAAGAAACTGGAGTACTTCAAGTCGACCTTCATTTCTAATAGAAAAGAAGTGTATTTCAGTTATTCTTTCTTGAATTTTTAATGTGAATCAACTTAATCTTCCATTACCCTTTAAATAACATTGTCCTGCTCTTTTTCTTTTTGAATAAAGATGAGTTTCTTTGGATTATACTTAATAACCATATATATCTTTTGTCATTTTAAGGAGTAGTAATGTATGCAAAACAACTGTCTTCTTAAGATAAATTATGCTTACAAGTAGACAAGGTAATATATTTTTTGGCTTGTATTTGCTCAAATATAAATAGATAAACAACAAATTCTGCAACGGCTAAATAGCCGACGCAACCAAACCAGCAGTGGTCTTTTTTAGCCTGCATTCTTTTTGTTCCTGGAGAGGCCTGATGTAATCTGTTCATTATTTTTCAAACTTTAAGTTTAAGCAATTAGTTTTTATGGAGCGTAGAATTTTTTATCATAAGCAGCAATTTGTAAATAGCTAAACTGTCTGTACAAGAACTCTTGGCAAAAGAAAGCTATGATTTTAGATTTAATAACAAAAGTAATTTTTTGAAAGAGGAAATAATTTGCTGGGGGCGGTGTCAAGCTTCAGTCTCTAGCATTACCTTTACTGCATGATAAAGTGACATTGCCATTGATTTTGACTTCTATTTTTGAAGTTTATAAACCAATTTTTATATTTTCTTCAATGTTTAGGAACAACAGGACTGCTTACAGAATGGAATATGCTGAATACATGGTTGAAGGTATGACCTCAGCTCTGCCTAGTAATTTAGTTTTAAAAGCTATCCTATTTGTAACAAATCATAAACAAGCTTTAAGTATCAGGTAAACACAAAATATTTCAAAATTATATATTGCAACTTTGTAGTTTTGTGCAATTGCTGGATCACTCTGAGTATCAACATCATGGTCAAGTACAATACTTGACAATGATACCAACTTCTTCAAAAGCTGCTCTATTTTCTTTCATGGCTATTTTCTTTTGAAATATTGTTAAATGTGTTTCAGCAGAAGTGAGTGGTAGGTACAAAGGGCTTGCTATTGCCAATCAAAAGGCTTTATCTGGTTTTCTGATTAGAAGTCAGTGTCTATAACATTTCTTTATCATGCAATTTTTCATTTCATTTGTCTGTACTCATATACCTATGAATAACTGTATAGTGGTGAATACAAAGAAGAAGACGTGTTACAAAGAAGAAGACGTGTTACAAATGCTCTGTAGTTGCTGTCATATATACAGCATAGAATCGTGTTCTTTCTTGTAGACAAAGAAAGCTTTTCTGGCAAAGCCATTGATGGGATAAAATTTTATACTTTTTAAATTTTTGACCCTGAAGGAAATATATAGAGAAAGCTGGATAATGTAATCCAATAAAAGCCCTCTGTGATGCATCAGCAATAATTCTTAGAAAATCTTTATTCCAGGCACACCTGGTCAGCCTTTTGGTGGCTGTATGAGGCATTTCAATTCTGTTGAGGCAAATATGCAGTTGAGGTATTTAAATCAGGTTTCAGTTATAGTATTTTGAAAGCCATATTTGCATTGATCTAAAAAATAATACAGACTGCATTCATTCACCTATTGAACTGTTTGCCTTTTCTATTTTATTTCAAGGAACTAAACATTGAAGAAGTGTTTTTTTGTGCAAAAATTTGAAGAAGCTAGTTAAATATTGTTTGTATTGACCTAGTAGTAATAATATGCAGTGCAAAATTTGAAAAGGGATCTACCAAAAGAATGTTTTTGGTTCTGGCTGTCGTGAAGGTCTGAAATTCAGCTCTGTATCAATTTCCATTATATCAGACTGCTTGTATCATTAGCCTATTGAAATACATGCATGCTCAAAGATCTTCTTCTTTATGAATTTTGCAAATAAATCTATGTGAGCCGTTTGATTGTATCCAATAATCAGAAATATTCAATATTTGTTAAGTTGGAATCAGGCAGTTTTTCATTTAACACTATAACTTTGAGTTTTTATATGATAATATGAATGTATATAATTTGTAGGAGAGAAGAAATATTATCTTTGCTTACTAATCCTGGTGAAACCATGGTCTGCTTTGCTGTTTTCCCAAGGTGAGTTTGGCAGTTTGTATCATCTTATGTCAAGGTATTGGGAAATACTCCTAAAGCTAAATCCATCCTCTGAAAATGAAAGGTTGAGCTTTTCATAGAATATTATGTTAATTAATTGTTTTAGATACTATCAGAATTTCTAATGATATATTCTTAACTTAACTTGTCTCTTACCTTTTTGTATCCAACAGGATTGGGTGCCCTGCCTTTACTGAGCCCATTTACCCTGCAAGTCCAGAGCACAACAAAGTGACAAGGTCTTTGTATTACCCAGATGAAGCTATCCATCACTCGCATCCAAGATTCAAGTATGTACCAAATCTGTTGGTTTGCTTTTTTTTCTCTTTTCAAACAATGTGATTTTTAAGATTAGAAACTACATGACTTTGCATGCTTACAATTGAAACATGGAGTCAAAAAGTCCGCCTTTCTTTTTTAAAATTCCTTGCTACCCTTTCAGGCTACATATAGCTAACAAAATGCTTCGTTTTTACCTTAACATCCCCACCCTTCTGTTGCATTGTGAATAGGACAGTTAACTAGATGATATGATAACTTGAAAATTAATGAGAAAGGTTCATCAATGTGTATTCATCAAGAGCCAGTAACTGTTACATTTTGAATTTTAATGAGGCTTTGTACATTTGTGATTCAATAAAGATTAAAAGTTTCACAAAATTTCAGCTTCATATCTTGCAGAATTAGTACATTTCTTGATGGAAAATCAAATTTCCCCTTTTGTCTTTTCTTTATTCTTGTGCTATTGAAGATTCTTAGTTCATTATTCATTTGAGAAGCTGTTTCATGTAACTTACTTTGGCTTGTACTGTATTTTCAGTTTAATTATATTTAGTTTACCCCATTTTGCACAATGTCTTCTTACCTCTGCAATCTTGTTTTTTATTTGTTATTGCATTAGCACCAGTAAAAATGATAATTTCAGTTAGCTTAAAATCAGCATATTCTGGCAGTATCATAATGCAATGGTGACATATTTTCAGAAACCTTAGCCGCAACATCAGAATGCGACGTGGAAGGAAACAGATCATCAACATACCAGGTAATGGCTCCCTACAGAGTAGCTAAGTTATAATATCATTAAATATGTTTATAACTCTTTCTAATCAGGGTCATAAAATCGAAAGAAAAAGCATATAACGAGATAATCATATTTGTAAAAAGATTTGCGAGTCTCTCAAAAATTGGCTGAGATTTTAACAAAATGAACCCAGACTACTTCTATTAAATCACTGCACTTTGATGTTTGTTCTTTAAAGATTATTAACCAAACCAGAACAAATGTCATCCTTTGATAGGGTTCATGTCTTTCACTAACCTTACTCCAGCCAATTTTTAACCTGACCTCCAACATTTGGAGATATTTTATGGCATTCTTTTAAATTAAATGGGGCATATTCAAAAATTCAAAATGTAATCTCATCACTTAATCCTTCTGCTGTTGGCATAAAAGCTCTGAATTTCCACTCCTGGTCGTGACGTATAGCAGTGCGCGAGATATTACTCTTCTAATTTCTACTTTCATTCACAGTTTTTAGAGATACGAAGACTCCAGATCCCTATCTGACAGAATTACCAAATGATGACGGAGAAGGGGAGATTGCGTCACGACCAAACCATGTCTATCTTGACTGCATGGGGTTTGGCATGGGTTGCTCCTGCCTCCAGGCAAGTGTCTTAAAGACTAGGCGCATTAAGAAAGTGCTTTGAGGAGAAGCCTCAGTTCCTCTTGCTGACAGTTTACGCTTGTGTATCAGCAGTTTCATCACGGTTGTCATACACAACGTGAATGGAAAATATAGAGTACAGGTTTCTGAGAACCTGTCTTTTTACCAATCAAAGCTTGTAAAGCTAGATACGTGCATATTTGTTGTAGCGTTTCGTTTTATGAAAAGCGTTGTTGCGTAAATTTATGATTGCAGTATACAAAGGTACTGAAGAGAAACCGATTCCTAACTTTTATTATTCAATTGCTTTAGGTGACATTCCAAGCCTGTAATATTGAAGAGGCAAGGACCTTATACGACCAGCTGGCTGTACTTGCACCCATCATGGTATGCACTTGTATGCTGCTTGTGTTTGCCTTTTTTAAGCTAATTAGAATTTTTATTGTCATGTTGTTCGAGTGCCTGTATAAGTAACTGAGAGTGACAAACTCCCAACTGTGCAACGGTCACTAAGTAATCGAAACTCAAGTTAAATATATGTTACAATATTAGCTTTGGGTTAGTGCATTGATGTCAGTATAAAATGTTCTATGAATAAATTCTGTGCTTGGTGATGGTAACATTTGCTTCTTAAGCAAAGGGACACAAATCTTGAATTTTTTATCTTATATTATCCCTCATCTTTGCACTGCAAATTTGATGTACGCATCCTTTCAAATCGCATGCCAAAAGTTTTTAGCTCAAATGATGAACCATTGTGGCACTATTTTCTTTTTCAGCTATCATTGTCCGCTGCTTCGCCAGCGTTCAGGGGAACATTGGTCGATTTGGATTGCAGATGGAGCATTATTTCGGGCTCAGTTGATGACAGGACAAAAGAGGAGCTTGGTGAAGTGGTAAATATCAAAATAAATATTAGATTTAGGAGTCAGGAGATTAAACCATGCATTTCTTGAGATTAAGACATTGTGCTCAGGGCTCTTCTTGACTAGTCTTTTGTTGACTAACGTATTAATCTAAACTATCGGGTTTTTTCGGTTTAAGATCGCCGAATTTGTGTGTACAGACGGCGATCTGGGACCTGACTAACTTGGTTTGTAACCTGAATTGCCATTATCAAGTTACGGTATTGTTACATTTATCATAGTTATTGCTTATGTGGCTATGTTCTTTCATGTGCAAAGTTATGTAGATTCTAAGCAATCCAATGTATTAAGACTTTCTTGTATAATGATGAGTCGAAAAATCCTATTGCCGCTGCTACAGTAGCAAATATCTGCAAATTGGCAGTTGGTTCCCCCTGTGCTCTTTAGATCGGTAGCGTAGTAAATTAGTTTGAAACATTGTTTTTTAATGTCCGTGTTTAATATTTATCTTTATCAACTTGTATTTTAGCCTCTTAAAAACGATAAATTTGTGCTGCCAAAATCGAGGTATGACTGCATCGATTTGTACCTGTCTCCTGCTGGTGCAAAGTACAATGACCAGGAGGTCCTTTACGAGCAAGAGCATTTGGATCTTCTTTTGCAGGCTGGTGAGAATCTGCCTTATATATTATAATTATGTTTCTGTCTTCATTTTGTTGTTTTACACGGTGGCAATTTTCTGTTACTTGAACAAAATACCCTCGAAAAAGACTTTATTAGGGACCAGTTGCTTATTAAAGAATATTTGGAAAGAAAGCTGCGATCTCATCCTTTTTTATATGTATAATAAACAGAGACTGTTAAGTGTTGCTTATGGAAGCTGAGAAGGAGCTGGCGATTTCCGAAGGGTCATTTCTTAGTGTTCATTCGATGTTTTTTAGCTATTTTCAATCATTTCGAACATTAAGCAGACAGTTTCTTTCAAGTTATTTTTGTCTTTAGGCATTGATCGCCAACTAGCAGAACATGTTGCGCATCTTTTCGTTCGCGACCCGATTTCTGTGTTCAAGGAGAAGCTTGTCCAAGATGACGAGAATGACACCGATCATTTTGAGGTACTTCATGCAACTTGCTCAAAATTTATGAAACTTTAAAACTAAACAGTCAATTCAATATGTGAATGAGCACTATTAGCCTTTAATGATTTTGACACATCCTTATTGTCTACGTATTCAGTTATCCAAGAAAAAACTTTATTACTACAAAACCATATTTCCTCTCGAAGTCTTTAGTTTGCATTGTTAGAGGTTCTGATAGTAGCAATTTTTATGTTATCTTAATTGTTGAGTAAGTATTTTACGATATCACCAATACCGTTCTACAATATTGAACTTGCACTCTTCTATATTCACTTGATTAGTTTTTTTTGCTGTTTAATGAACTTTTGGCGAAATTCCTACATCTGCGGTTTTCCTAAAGACTTACTGTAACCTTTAAACTTTTATAGAATATTCAATCAACCAACTGGCAAAGCATTCGCTTCAAACCGCCACCACCTAATTCCACGATAGGCTGGAGAGTTGAATTCAGATCCATGGAAGTATGTGCGGTTTTTTCGGCATTTTGAAGCTTCGATCTGAGGGATTTATATTTTATTTCTTGACTGCACTAGCTGAAGCCAATTGGTCGTGGGTATTTGTGAGTTTTGACGGTTATCAAACGCGAAGATAGCTATATTTTGAATAATTTAAATGATTTTAAAGTGTTTACTCGAAATCTGCTTCATTTTTGAAAATATGGTGTTTCGTAGTTGTAAATCTGGTGTTTCGTAGTTGGAAATCTGGTGTTTCGTAGTTGGAAACCTTGTGCTTCGTATTTGAAAATCTGGTGTTTCATAGTTGAAAAACTGGTGTTTCATAGTTGAAAATCTGGTGTTTCGTAGTTGGAAATCTGGTGTTTCGTAGTTGAAAATCTGGTGTTTTCTAGTTGAAAATCTGGTGTTTCGGAGTTGTAAATCTGGTGTTTTGGAGTTGTAAATCTGGTGTTTCGGAGTTGTAAATCTGGTGTTTCATAGTTGGAAATCTGATGTTTCGTAGTTGGAAATCTGGTGTTTCGTAGTTGGAAATCTGGTGTTTCCTAGTTGGAAATCTGGTGTTTCGTAGTTGGAAATCTGGTGTTTCGTGGTTGAAAATCTGGTGTTTTCTAGTTGAAAATCTAGTGTTTCGTAGTTGGAAATCTGGTGTTTCGTAGTTGAAAATCTGGTGATAATTGTTTTTAGCTGTAATTTTCCATGTTTGCACTAAAGTCCCATCCAGAATTTGACACTAATAAAAATTTTGCGTTATTAAAGCAAATTTTTTTTTGAGCAATATCAAAGATTCAATAATCAACCTGTTTGAAGAATTTTTTTTAGTTGATTTAGTTAGATGGTTTAGTTTTCCAAATAATGAATTTCGATGTTTTTTCATTTACTCTTGCTGTCAAATATTATTTTAGGTTCAGCTTACTGATTTTGAAAATGCTGCCTACGTTGTGTTTATCGTCCTACTCACACGAGTGATTTTGTCATTTGATCTTGATCTGATCATACCAATTTCAAAGGTACGTCTTGTTCTATTATCTGATCGGCCTGAGTACGCCATTGCAGCTGTTCCGTTGCTTTTGTATGATCTTGCTAGTCAACACACTCCATATTCAATCGATTATTGCTTTATTATTCAAATTTCCTTTCAAGGTGGAGGAAAACATGAAACGAGCGATAAAAAGAGACTCACTTCACAGTGAGAAGTTCTACTTCAAAAAGAACTTGCAAAAATGTAAGGAAATTAAACTTGTTAAAACCATAAACCTCTTGCCTTGTGTTTTGAACGAACATATAAGGTTGAATTTTCTAGTAATCTAGTCTGAAGCCGATTTTCAGTAAATCATGAACAGATTAGCTTGTTTGAAATAGTAAAACATCAAAACTCAATTTATAAGAAGACTTGCCCTTATCAAACCTAGTAAACAAGCCTGGTATCTTAAAATTTCGGTGGCATACTGTAAAATTTCGGTCTAAAAGCAATTTATATGTTTGCGCAATCATTTCAGTCTTTCTCGTCTTTTTAAATTGTTAAATTGAATTGTCAATTTTCCTGTCATTGAATGAGTTCTAATTTGCCCTCATTTGTCATATCAAGATTATACCAAAATTTAGCCTTTCGTTTCTATATCGTCACTTTGCGTTAGAGAAAAGCATATGACAACACGAAAGTTCGCTAAGAGACTAGCTGCTAGAAACCGTACCAAAACACGGTAGAAACACGATAGCTGCAACTGGTTAGAATCGTGAAGACCTACTCCTTTTGATAATGGTCTTGTAATGATAATGGCCTTGTAATGAAAGTGGACAACAGAGCTTGTTGCAAAGAGAAAACATATTTCAAAAGAGAAGGGAAATGGAGGGGTTTCGAAAAGCTGATTTAGGAGTTTTATTTTATCGGTATGCAATTCCAAAGGACTGAAGTTTTTTGTTGATTTACTTAATTACCTTTAAGGTGAAGGCCAGAAATGTAAAAATATGGAAGATGAGTATGTTGAGATGAGCGTGGATACCATTATTAATGGCAAGGTAAATATACCAAATCAGTGTTTATTTTTTTGTGTTAGTGAAGAATAGATAACAACCTTATTACACCCATGCTAAAACAAACAAGACTAACCTTATCTTTATGCAATCACTGTGAAAAATTATTTATTTTATGATGTATATATGCAGTATATAATGTAACCTTATAGGTCTGTCAAAGTTTGCTGAAATATTTGTTACGCTGTTTCATTTTTTAAGGAATTTTATTTCCTGTAAATGGTGAAAAGGTTTTCTTTAAAAACATTTTGGTATGAGCAAGCTTATACATAATAACGATACATTTCTTTCAAAATATTCGTGTCTCTGGAAAAAAAGAGAAAAATATGCACATCGTACAAGCTTGTATTTTTGTTACGTCGGTAAATTTAAGAGAAGTTTTTGTTTTTCCACTGATATTCGAAACTAAATTAGTTTTTATAACAGACAATGACGAGTATTTTTTCTCCACCAGGATGGAGGATTCCCTGGCTTGATTCCCTTGATGGAGAATTATATTGATAGTGTGGATGTGGATATTGATACTCGTTGCACAATCAGCCAGTATTTGAAGTTCATTCAAGACAGAGCTTCGGGTAATTTTTTCTTGAGTTCAACATCCATCTCGTTGATTTCTTTCGAATCTCTTTTTTCTCCGCTACTTCCCAGTATTGTGAATTCATGGATTTTTATTGATAAATTGGTTGCTTCGCCACATTGCAACTGAGGACTTTTGTCTTGTGCCACATTTCAACATCTTCCTTTTTACTGAACCCATTACATTTTGGGCTCTAAATTCTTTAACACCAAGATCTTTGTACTAGTTAATACCATGTAAATTTTTTTCCCGTACCAAGTCAAACCTTTGTTTTAATTTCGATACCTTATGCAGCTGTCATCCTTTTATTCACTCACCAAGACCAAGTATCAGTCCCGAATTGATATGTTGTTTTCCTTGCCATTGCTAAACTGGGAATGCGCAGTGCAATGCTCCACACCACCCCCAAATCTCAGCACACCGTTTAAGGCACGTTTTTATTTACAATAATGTTTTTATTTTGTTATATCTAATGCTAAGTCTTTTGAAATTTAGGGAATCTAATGACGATGGCGACTTGGATGAGAAACTTCGTCAGGAAGCACCCTAAATACAAATTTGATTCCGAAATCAATGAGGAAATTGGCTATGACCTCACAGTGACGATGGACCAGATTTCCCGTGGAGAGATTGGCTGTCCTGAACTTTTTGCCAAGCCGGAAACAAAGACAAGTTCCATTGTGCCTGAAAAATGCCAACAGATGGAACAAGAGTACGAATTGCACGTGAAGAAAGTTATTGAAAAGCAAAAGATGAGCAAAGGAAGCCATCTTGCTCAAGACACCTTCCCTGTTGCCAATGGCAGTGGCACCAATCACAGCATTGCAAATGGCAATGGAATAGCTAACGGTAACGGATTTCATAATGGCAACGGCTTTCATAATGGCAACGGCATTGCTAATGGCAACGGCATTGCAAATGGCAACGGCATTGCAAATGGCAACGGCATTGCAAATGGCAACGGCATTGCAAATGGCAACGGCATTGCTAATGGGAATAGCTCTGCAAATGGGAATGGTATTGCAAATGGCAACGGCATGGCAAATGGCAACGGCATTGCTAATGGTAATAGCACTGCAAATGGGCATGGTATTGCAAATGGCAACGGCATTGCTAATGGGAATAGCTCTGCAAATGGGAATGGTATTGCAAATGGCAACGGCATGGCAAATAGCAACGGCATTGCTAATGGGAATAGCTTTGCAAATGGCAACGGCATTGGTAATGGCTACGGCATCGCAAATGGTAACAGAGTGGCATATGATAATGGCTATTCGTACTCGAATGGCCATACGAATGGTAACAGTTCACTCGTGGCAAATGGAGTAGAGACAGCTGACTAAAAAACTTGAGGTCTGTAAACGTATAATGAGACAATTTCGTTTTACCTTATTATATCCATGTAATCAAATTGTTTGCTCTTCCCTGTATATAGTCTAATTTTTGCATTTTCAAGAGGTTATTCCTAGGTTAATCCTTACTCATCTTTTCCAGACAATGTTTCCTCTCAAGATAGTCCCTTCTTTCTTTTCCTCGACCATTGCTCCGCTCGAAAAATGTCAATCTTGGAAAATTTTATCCAAAAACAAGATGAAAGCCCATATCCTCACCAAGTATCTTTTTTAATTAAATTTTATGAAGCAGTGCGTAGTTGGCCGTCATTTATCGAGAAAAAGGCCTAGCCTGGCCAGGAGGCACTGTCTATTTTCCCGTATGAGCTGCTGTCAGGCACAGTAGGTAAACGAAAACCTTATCCAGATAACCACAATTCATCGTCATATCTGCAGTAAAACTGCCTTTACTATAAACATGACACATTCTTCTTGAAAGTTAATTTTGAGATCTAGATCTGTTTTGTGCTCCTCTATCACCCCTACACCCTGCACTCAAGCACATTCTTATTGAATATCATTTTGCAGAATTACGATTAACGTATCTGAGTTTGAATATGAGTGAACAGGATATCTATATTGCAACTTTATTTATTGTCAGTATTTCGACAGTACCTGGACTAGAATTTTATTGTGTTGTTTCTTCAGCCACCTTTTTAATGTTATTGGATTAGATGAGGCTGTAACACTTACAAAACATTTGTACGTAATGCTGTTGTATAGCTTGCTGAGATTTTAGATTTCCTTAATTTGCTTGTTGATTTTTCAAGTAGTTTGTTTAGATTTTGTTATCTTAGCTGTAAATACAACCTCAGTTTAACCCCTTATCCTCAATTCCAATTGGCAATTCGTGCCATTAATCCGAAACAAGATTATCATGTTATTCGTATGCGTCGACATATTAATGCAACGTTAGATGTGATGGAGTTAAAGGCAATCGACAGATACAAAAGTGGATTAAGTCATCTGTCAATCTTCAATTGGCCAATCAATAAGCGTGTAAATGGAATCACACTCACTGATTGGTCAATTTTTTATTGAAAGATGGTTGAAGCCACTTCAGTATCTACCGTAGCCTTTAACGTCCAGTAAGTAAATCTTAGGTAAGCGAGGCTTCGATATCATTCGTAAACTACCCTTTTTTGAATCCACACTGGTCTACGATAACCCTCCCTCTTAATACTGCGTCTCTGTTTATTGTACTTATTCTTAGGCATTCATAACGCTAGGCCCAATGAGACATTGAAAATACCGGGAATGAAGATACCAAGTATTTCAGGTCATAGCAAAACCAAACCATGCGCATAGGGCTTCTAGTAATGACTGCATTCAGCCACTTTGTAGAAGCTAGCTTCCAAAGCAGCATAATCCCCATATATTTTTTCTATTAATCTTTAAGAACACCCTGCAAATTTAGATGTCTATGTCGTATCTTTAACACAAATTTTTAGATAACTATAGATGATTTTCCACAATTTATTTTTATTAACTATAAGAAAATTATGTTGTTTGCAAGTAAAAATTTAGTATCAAATACTTATGAAATAGATTCAGCTGAAAGGTTGATTCTTCTTGCCGTTTGTGTTTCTTTTTTTGTTCATTTAATTTTGAATATTTGTAGCATAAGCTGTCACTCCCCTCCCGAACCATGTTGCAACGAGAAAATGTCAGTTGATTGCTCAGTAAATTGCTTTTATTCTTTGACACGGGAGTCAAAAAATCATATAAGCAATCTGCTCTATAATCTAAGAAACAAATTCACTCGCCAATCTCAAGTCTCTAACAAATAGCTAGAAATCAATGTGATCTGCAAATTCCGAAATTTTGTTTAGAATATACCAAACAGTTTCTACTTTTCTGCGGTACAGAATTGGAATGAAATACGAGCTAGCGTAAGAAACACTGAATCTGTTATTCAAAATCTTCCTGAGGCATTTACCATGAAGTACCTCTAAAAATACGGTATATTTTGAATTTGTTGCGAATTGACCGAGATATAACAAGTTGAAAAAGGTAGCGAAGATTTAAAATACATTAGTGAAGTTGTGATGATCGATGACTGTTGTTCTGTCCTGGCTCACAGATTTAGAGCCATGCAAACGGATCTTCTTTTGGGTTAGTGTCACACAGTTCTTAATTGAGCCAGCAAATAAAAAAGGGTTTCACGTAACTCAACTGTTTCACAGAAAGCAATAGACTGTAATGCATTAGTCCGAACACGTGCCAGACAAATTCATTTCTGGGATTGAACTCTCTTTAGTTTATTATAAACATTGCAGTTGCCTGATAATCGCACTAAGCGTGAAACTCGGAGAAGCAACTACAAAGCCATTGGAATTGCGCAAAAAAATTCGCGGCGAAGGCGTTCGTTACAAAAATCTCTTAGCTCTGAACTTCTGTTTTAAAAACCTGTCGGCTTAGGCCCTCTGCTTCTGTAAACCGCCATTTTTAGCACCTTTTCCATACTTTTGTAATCCCAGTGTACACCAAAAGCCTGTACAGTTCTGCTTATACGGCATCGAACGCTTTATGACAGACCGGTAAACAGCGATTTTCATTAGAATAAACATTATATTACTTACCCTGTCTTTGAACATAACTGACACCATCAGAAAATATTGCTGCCATTTCGTCGGAAAGTTTTTGCTATGATCTGTAGATACATAGTTTAAGGAAAGTGACCTAGTTTCGGCTGCATGCTTGCTGGTGCTTGAAGAATTAAAATTCTTTGTATTAATAAGAAAACCAATAACAAGGGACTTGTATGCCAATGAGGATTCTAAAGAATCCTTCCCAAAGGAAGTTTTCTTCGATATGAAAAACCAATGACATTATTCACCCGCTTCCCTTGAGGTTTCATTGCACGATCCCTTCGCAAAATGACCAACCGTGAGGAAATGCCAAAGGTTATACGACAAATTAGAATTTAATTCGTGAAGCTTAACTAAACGCCTTTGTTGTAGAGAACAGGGTGGTTCTTAATCCAGTTTCGAAATTTACTCCGAGTTTCGAAGGTTAGTTTCCTAGTTGTCGACAGTCATTTGAATATCGTAAGCGCCAATCAAAATGTCAAAGCGCCAAGCAACATTTAACAACTATACAACGAGAGGATTCAATAAGAAATTCATATAGTGTATAGTTATCTAAACGAACATGCCCAGTTGTTTGAAGTTTAAATACATTTCTTTTCAATAATACTTGCTATTTTTTGCAATTAGGTACAAAACTGTTTCACATTACGGATATATAATTTGTTAATGAGTTTGTCGATCAGGCAAATTTAGTATGCACCATTAAAACTTCAATGCCAGCGGGAAGTAAGACATTTTATTATGGCTTTGCCTCAACCATTCTACGAACACCAGGTTAGCAATTTTAAAGACAGCGAGTAAGGGGATGATGTATAGAATAATACCATTTAGAAACTAGTCGCTACAAAACACAAGGTAGACAGCATTTTAACTGAGGTGATAAGAATTTTTAACAAAAGATTACTATTCAATTCTAAATACAATATTACATATATTTATTCTAGTGACGTGTTGATAAATGCGTATGGAGCACCCTGGAAGATCTTTAAAATAAATGCCATTATCTAAGAAAAGGTGGTTTTGCAGGGAGGTAATCACGAAGTGAAAGCTGATCCAATGATTGGCGAATCACAAAAGTTATTACTAATCAACATCAATTTCCTCTTTCAGCTCCAGCTCTGCTCTTGGCGATTCAGGTCTCTCTATTTTCTCCTCCACATTTTCAGTGTTAGAGTCAGACGTTGCCTTCGCAGCCTCGTTTTCATTTGTATTCCCATTCAGTCCTTCCAGCTCCTCTTCATTGTCATCTTCTTCTTCTTCCTCGTCATCTTCGACTTTTTCTCCAAGCACTTTTAGCTTCATCTTAAAAAAACATATAAATGAAACAAAATTGCAAATAAAAAGAAATTTAAAGCGTAGTTGTAAAAAGTGACCACTGTTATACATAGTGCTAGCAATGGAACACTGTCATAAAAATTTTAATATTCAAATAGACTCGTTAAAACACCTAAACCACCTGGGTAGCTCTTTCAAAACTGCAAGATTGTGAAAATCTTAATAAAACTAATGCGCTATAAAAATAAAGTTTAATGATCTAATTTTTTTCTGAACTTTGCAATGTTGTAAAGAGTGAACAAATAGCAAAAATCACCTTGTAATTTTCTATTTTTGCATCCTGATCTTCTAACAAAACTAATAAATCTTCATAATCTGCTTTTAACTGATCGTAATCTTCTTTTGATTTTGATTCGCCCTCTGATTCGTTATTGACGCCATTTTCTTCTAACTTCGATTCCTGAAAAAGATGACAAAGTTTCAATTGATAATATCAAAAGGTATTATTTGCATATAAGGAAGATAAAATATCTTTTTCAAAAAGAAATTATTTTCTTGATTCTTTAGTCACGCGAGAAAGTTAGATCTTTTCTTAAGGCTTCAGAAAGGACTGCTAATGAGAGGCCTACAAAACCAATATTGACCAGAGGGAAACGATTTTAACAAGTTCCAATCTATAAACACCCGTAACTTTCTCGTCTTTTCAAAACAAATGAATGCATGTACGCATGAATATATGTCTGACAAAAGACATTTTAGCTAACAACGCCAACCAGGGAGCCTTTGGGCTACAATAACAGTAAGTGAAAGGAACAGATGACAAGCTCTTAAACAGGAAGAGCTAAAAAGCACTCTAAAAACTTAGGGTGGGAAGGAAAAATTATAATTCTCTTGGTCAAGTTCCAGGGGTGAAAAACAAATAAACAAATTCAAAGATAAGCAGAGGGTAATGTGCAAATTTATCAAAAATTTGCAGCTCCTTCTTCTCGACCATGGCACAGTGCAACAAAACTCCAAAAATGCTTTGGTGATTATATTAAACTTATTTGGAAGAAGACAGGATCTGAGATGAGGTTGACTCATTGAGTTCTAGTTGAAAATTAATAAAATACTTTCTAGAAGATGCCAGTTTTCATGGGATAACTTCAAATTACTCTTACTTAGGCGTGTAGGAAGCCCGGCCCCGCGTATACACTGTTGGCTTTAGCAACATTACAGCCGTATTCTTGAAACACTTTGAGGATAAGGCCACTGACAAAAAAGAATGCTTTTAGAGATAAGAAAAGACAGAGATAACAATTTTCCATTCTCTAGCGGACTTTTATCCCATTCAGAACACAAGAACAGTCCGTCCAACGCACTTTCCTTTAATGTACATAGGTATTTGGTGCCGGAAATAATGGAGAGCAAACTGCAAAGTAATGTACTGCTATTCAGCAGATGACAGAATAACCGAAAAATGGTAACCTTTTGCTGGTTGAGCTGTTCATTCAACTTGCTATTTTCGTCCTGTAATGACTGCATTTGTCTTCTCATTTGATCCAACTCGATCATCGTTTGATTGTTCAATTGCTGGAATGTTTGCACGTTTGCATTTGCTTCTAGGGCCATGAATTCGTCAACAGTCGAATCGCCTCTTACCCTCAACATCTCACCTTTTACTGATTCGAGCTCACTTTCCTATGAGAAAAGTACATTGCTGTAACTTTTACACAAGATCAATTGTCTCAAAAATTATTGTCTTGCAAAGCAGTAATTTACTAAAATGCTATTAAAATCCTGGCCAGAACTTTCAACAGGTCCCTCGGAGCAGTTCTGCTTTGCTTCAGTCAAACGCAGCTAATACCGATCTTTTGAAAACCAGACAAAATAGTCCAACTTCTGTACAGTCCAACTTACAAGTACAAAACAAGGATTGAATTACAACAAAAACCATAATTTAATACACTGAAAAACGGCATGAAGCCCTGAGAGCTACAAGCTACCAGCTGAAGTAAAGACAGAATAGTTATAAAATCACGTGAACATCATTAATTTTTCGTAGAGCATCAAAAAATAATTAGGGATGTGTTCCTAAAGAGGGTCACTGAGATGAAAAACTGGAAAAACATCTTGATCTGTTGCCGAAGGCCAACTTATGTAATGCTATTTTCATAAGGAACTATTTCGAAAAAGATCCGTCAATATCTGACTTATAAGATCCGACTTATGCGATGAAAAGAGATGGCATTTATACCAAGTGGACGGTGAATACAGATACACGCTTTTTCTGTGATATGAACAACATGATTTGAATATGTTAACCTAATGCAAGTCCTAACGCAAGTTCGACCTCATCGAGTCTGATTTTATGAACATGCTTGCCAGAATTCCCGATAGATGTTGCAGAAGCAAGTTCACGCTGCTATGGAAAAATACGCAAAAAACAAGTCTTGATGTTCTTAAACTGGAGAAAATGCATAAAGAAAAAAGCAAAACTGTGAAACTTACAAGCTCTGCTATTTTAGTATCTTTGTTTTGTAATTCTTGTTTTAAAGGATTCAGCTGCGCTTGCAGTAAAGAGGCCTGGGTCTCACTCTCTCCAGTCTCCTCCGAAACACCTAAAATCGTCGGAAGATTATATAAAATTGTTTCAAGCTGTCTTGTGAACGAAGCTGGATATAAACAGCGAACAGATGAAATAATAGATTAGGCGAACTAATATAAAACAACACTAAAAGTAAAGAAGATAAAACCTTGTCTTCGCACCTTTACTAAGTTCAATTTGTGCTCGGAGCTGGGTGAGTTCAACGGCCTGCTGTTGTAGTTGCCTTTCAGCCTGAAACAACAGAATCAGAGAGAAATGAGCAACTAGATGCTACAAAACGCACATAAGGAGTTGAACGGTTAAATGCAAAAACAAGAAGAATCGATGAATGAATGCACAACAAATAGGAAAAAGAGAAAATTGAGCTTATTACCTCACACATACACTCAGTTATCATCTTTACACTGATCTTAGATTAAGTTAAACGGACTAACCACGTGTAGGCAGGAAACGGATTTACTAATTTACTAACTCCCTTACCTTATTGTACTCTTCCTGAATTTCTGTGGATTTCGTTTTCAGAGACCGTAATTCTTTATCCTAGACAGACGAATTAAAATCACGGTTTATTTTCACACGCGGCGTGCCATGACCTTAAAATGGCTAAACAGATTGTAATGACAACCATGCAGAAAGGTTTTCGCGATGAGAGTCATCAACCAATGTCAATATTCATTATTAAATGAAGACAGCAAGAAACAAAAGCGCCACTTTTGAGCAGAAAGGAGTCATACCTTTCGGGATCGATATCCCAACCAAATATTCCACTTAATTATGAAATAAATATATACTTAAAATTTGAGAAAAGTACTCGAGCAGAATCGTACCTGGTCTCTGATTAAAGCTTTGTACGACTCAATTATCGAGTCATGCTCCTCGGATAGTTTTGCTTTTCTTTGTTCTTCAATGGCAGCAGTGTCTTCATCCTGATCCGCTTGTAAAGCTTTGGTTATGCTGGCTAGAAGAGAAAATGAAGATGCTCTAATCTGCGAATAAATGTTGACACAAAATACCTACAAGAACTCAAAAATTATTAAGTTTTAGTTTAGTCAACTTGTTTTTTTAATTTGATAGTTAACAAAACTTTAGACTTATCTTCGAGACTACAATTATGATATTAATTTTTGAGTTTATGTTTTCCTCTTATAACAACAAAACAGTTTATCAAAAAATTCCACTCCCTTTCTATAGGTGTTAACTTATTGATCAAATCTGAAGAAAATGCTCCTAATCATTATCTGAATCTAAAGTGACCTCGTTCTCTGAATAAAAAAATCTCTGAATTACAATGTCACCTCTATTTTAGAGTATGAAACCGAAAAGACAAATAGCCCAAGCCTTTTTTGAGGTTCGGCATAGAAAAAAGGTTGAATTACTATCAGGGTTCAATCGTGCAAACTGCCTATGGAAAGCGAAATCTGTTTGAAATATCAAAAGTTAAAGATGTCGAAAGGGTTAAACAGGGAGGGATAATTATACGGGGAAAAAATTCCTTGTCCAATTAAGAAAATTGCATATCAGCAGGCAGTTCATTTATTGGTGTCCAACAAGCACTCGAAATATGTGGTTCTGGCGAATTCTTGTCAAAAATGAGCTGCCAAAGAAATTCGAGATTTAGCAGAGACACTATGAGAATACCTTCTAGCTTTTTAAAAAGTTTGGTAAATTCATTATCGAACAGCAGTTGAGGTGCTGCAACTTGGATCTGAAAAAAATGACGAAAAACAAATCGAAATCAAAGTTTCTGAACATAGTGGCATCAAGATTAAATAATTTGAATAAAGGCCTGCTTGAGGGCTGTGTAATAAGTAAACTCTTGTATCCAATGTAGAAAACATATTTTGTGTCTTCTGCAGTGTATACACATGGCTCATCAAACTTGTAAAAACTTAAGAAGAGAGTGTTTGTAAATATGATTTAAGACTTCTTACTTAGAAATAAACTTTTTGTTAAACATTAGTGAAATAGAAATGTTCGCTAAAACGAGAAAGTATGTCCTTGAAGCGTGTTTCGCTCCAGGCTTCATACTTCAAAAAGTCTTGCAAATACTGGCTGTTATTTCATCAGACTTCTAAGTCGCTAATCAAAACCCCGATGTACCTGGGTCGATTTTACAGCACTTGTGAATTCTTCAGTCTTTGAAACATTGCTTATCTTTGCCATGAAATGTTCCAAATCAATTCTCGTCGTCACTGTCCTTTTTATATTATCTCTGAAACACAAAAACAGGATTACTTAACTCGGGGCACCTGCTTGCTTTCACATATTTGCAAAACTATTTTGCTCTAAACTGCATGACACCATGGTCCTGTAGGTCTTCAACCAGTGGACGTTTTATAAAATCGAACTGACAAACTCAGGAGTTGCGCCTAACTTAAGGCCTCACAGAATCAAATTTAATAACAGCCAAAGAGCAACATTAAAAAATGTTTGCTTATCAAAAATGGCTCTATTTAACGAGTTGCATGCCTACCAGAGAGCAAGATAAATCTTAAAAACCTAATCTTATAAGGTTACTGTCACGTGCAAACCTCTGCTTTGTGAATTTATTTCCCTTGCATATCTTACCTTCAATTTGATATTACCTCATACTCAACATATGCATTTCGAGCATTAACACCAGAACTTTAAAACGATCACCATCTGCTTTCAAGCGAGAATTTCTTACTTCAGTATGGAAAGGTGCCAGCCTAATTTACCCCTTTGCCACAGTTTCATATAAAAATGTGCATGTGCGAATATTAAATCAACTTGGGTGAAAGAGCAATATGGAGATAGCAATTGTTAACTTAAAAAGCAAAAGGTAACAGCAAATAGAAAACTGAGAATTCTACTTACTTTGTGAATATTTCAACACTGTTATCGTTATAGACGATGAGCACGCCGATTAAAAGGGCAGAGAGCCCTTCCACAACGGAGAAGTCGTCATCGCTGTGACTCTCAACGCAAGAAATTAACTGATCAATTCAATCAAGGCAAACACACCAAAAAATAGTATCCTTATAATTGCATCACAACGACTGTAAATAACTACTTACTGGGAATCGAGAAAAGATAAATCACTGTATTTTCCCACGCTAGGCATCACATTGCAAGCAAAGGTTATCCAAATATAGAAGGGAAGATCTGACTCGTCAACAACGAATTAACTTATCATTAAATTAATGGCAAAGATCGTTAGTTTGGTAACTAGGGCGAGTAATGATTAAAATTGATGCAAACCTCTAATAGCCTTGCGGGGGTAAGCTTATTAAGGGGAGGACAATAGCCTGTTGTTTAAAACAATGGGAGGTCGTGGGGCTGGAGGGGCGATTGCCCCTTATTAGAATGTTAAAAAATCCCTTGAATTTCGACATACCTGGCAGCTTGAAAAACTTAAAAATATCAAAAAATGACCTGTAGAAAGGATACGAAAGGTATATTCGAAGGGCTCTGTAGGAAGTGAGACACGGCGAGGGGACAGTTATGCAGCCAGGTGCAAAGCAATGAAATTAAACCAGCTCTTGTCTGCACGCTGATGCCACTCTGGAGGAAGAATTATAAACGCTGACATTAAAGGCAACTGGATATAAGTCTATTACAATAGATAGTCTATTTCAATATAGTGTTAGCAAATAAAGTACTCATTTCTGGAGGATACTATCATAACAAGAGAACCTAAACAAAAAAGTGGATAACATAGAACAACAGTTCATGAGCCAAAGCGATCCTTGAACTAAATTATATCTGTCGGCTCAATATCTTTGCGAATTTTTTTTCATAAAAATTGTTAAAAGCAACAATATTGCAAACAGCTTGGTTAAGTGGTTGAGCATAACAGCTGAGAAGCTACAAAGTTCGAAGCTTTGAATGTTTGCCTTAATTTGCCTTTATTATTTGTCTTTATCTAAATTTGCATTCAAGATTTTTGTTGTTATGGACAAGATAAATATATTTTGGGCGATGAGAAAAAGGTATTTTGCATACCTGAGAAAGAATGTTTGTACATTGCTGTAGAAGAGAGACTGGTGCACTACCTAGAATAAACAAAAAAATGAAGCCTTCTGGCACATTTAACACACAGGAAATCCCCAATCCCAGTAAGAAACATCTGCAAACAACGGAGAAACTCTGACCCAAACATTTCTCTCTACGTTTAAAGAGTGAAGAAACAGACACCTTCTTAGACGGACATCTGCCTATATTACACAAGGCCGTGACCCTGGTGATCTAGTACTTCATGTTACAAAGATCTGATTCTAGGGCACAAAGGGCTGTATTGGGAAGTTGTGAGCAGATTTATGACGAAACAGAAAAACAGTTTAACGAAGAACAAAGCATTGTGAGAAGAAGCATAATGTTTGAAAGAATGACAAATCAGTATAAAAGCTATTTGAGACATGGCACAGGAGAAGACGACAGAAGGAGACGAACAGAGGAACAGAAGTTGAAAAAGAAAAGACGAATCAGGTACATAAAAGAAAGGTGGAGGTCTGAGATTGGTTTTACGGTAGTGAGGCTGTGTGGAATATTATAAAAAGAATGAACAAGGACGGGGAGTCAAGTGCAAAGCAGGCTGTGGAGATAAAAACACATTTTCAAAACTAGCTAGCAACTAATGTGTGAAAAAAATTACATCTCACACCAACTATGTTTCTTCGTAGCATAAAAAAGGAAAATACAAACCTATTCCTGTAGCGAGTTGGACTCTTAGTAACTGCTCTTTTAAATCTTTGCCTCCCTTCATTGCATGTGCTAATGCAGTTGCCGCCGACCAATTTGAGAAAGGGTCAGTGCTGGAAAATAACAAGGTAAAGATTTACGTCATTCTGCACCGTGAGCCGGTTTATCTTTACATAACACCGGCGAATGAACTGAAGAACACTGAAACTTTCATGTCTGTAACCGGCGAATCAGTTAATCGTCACAAGCAAGTTAGGGACAAGAAACTTTCCAGTCATGCAATTCACAAAATATTACAAAACGAAGCCAAATCAGCACAACGTTTTCTATAGAAAGGTTTTGAAACATGCGATATTGTAATAAACTAAGATGAAATTAAAAAACAATGTCATGTACCTGAACAATCCAGCACAGAGAAGCTGTCCCGCGGTGATTACATTTGCTGAAAAACAAAACATTATTTGTCAAAGAAATGTGTCATACTTCACAAGATTAGCAAAATTAAAGATACAGCTGGAAGTGAATAAAGATTTGGGCATGGATATCTGGAAGGAGAAATATGACTTGGTGTGCATACAGGTGAGTCTGAAAAACTAGACGCCTAGGAGCTAACCTATCGGAGACGATTTGGCCAACAAGGTAGGAACGATAACAATATAGAGCTCTCAGTGGGACTCTCACCTTCAGCTGAAGAGGGCAGCAAAGTTGCTACGATCTGCGATTGGCCAACTTGATTCTTATATAAATAACACTGTAAACAAAAATGATTTACTTTGGGATCAATTAAATAAAACACTAATTTTAAATAAGAAACGTATTTGAAGTAATTTCATACGCAGAACTAATTTACCTTAGACGAATTCAAACTAAGAATTACTAATACTGACATACATATATTTCAGATATTTATACTGGTCTAATACATTTTTTCTAAGCAAGTAATCATAGGATGAAAAGGGCTTTTATAATTATCAATAACAGAAAACCTGTGACTAATATATGAATAAAAGCTAATTGACAGAGGTTGCATGAATCAAGGGTAACAGGGATGTACAGGAGGGGTGGGTGAGGCAGGTGTGAAAATCTCTCTTGAAGAGGAAAAAAGCCACTCATTGAAAGAACTGGTTTCATGGTTATGTGTACGTACCTGGAAGCAATACAGCACAGCACAACGAAGTGAAAAAGGCTGCTTCTCGTTGACCATCGACATCAGCAAAACGACTATCGCCGATCTGGGTGATAAGAAAGGTGAATCAATGAAAATCTCAGTGATAATTTCACGTGGAAATGGGGATTCCAGCAATTCTTTCATATGAAAATGGGGATTCCGGCAATTATTTCATATGAAAATGGGGATTCCGGCAATTTTTTCACGTGGCAGTGGGGATTTCAGCAGCAATTGTCTCAAGGTGCTGTCAGGTTTTGCGAAAAAGCATTCAGTAACATAATCAATTTGCTACTGTGGAAGTGAGTAAATTTGAGTCAATGTAGGCTACTGCTAGATAACAAGAGACAAACATTCTGAAAAATATAGGACATGGTTGAAAAACAGATCCTTGGATACGCTCCGTCTTCTGATTGAGTCTGAGGCTGGTTTCGCAGCGAGGCAAAGAACCGAAATCTTTGCTCCAGAATACTGCACCGAAATATTGCTAGATACATCATAGATACTAAAAATAAAAATTCAGAGTCAACTATATAATACTTTAAAGATTGCAAGGTCCTTAACAGCTCTTGTGTCAGCAACTGTGTCCATTGATTTTTCATCATTTATTCAAAAGTGATACCTAAGCAACATGACAAAAATAATCGTTCTAGAAAATCACCTTGCTGCCGACCCGGGTGCTCCAACATCAGCAGTTACTTCTGCGAAAAATTCTTGATTTGCTTGATTACCCCGAATAACCTCGGCAACAGTGTTTACATTCTGAAAAAGAAAAGACCACTTAAAAACTAAATGCTGAAACAAAAGAGTTTTTGTCGATTTGTTCATTACGATAGTCAAAATGGTCTTTAGCAAACATTGATCCTTTTTCTGATCGAACCCTTAATAAGCAAAGTATTCATTCAGTTTCATTTGTTGTTCTTACAACTTCCTTTGTTTGAAGATGGCACAAAATAGCGGACACATAGCATACTGAGGCATATTTCGTCCGCACTCTTCAGAGTACATGCGTCGGATAATGACCGAAAGTAAGCAGAAAAGTTATATCCAGGTGTGGACCAAAACGAGATAAAGAAAGAGACGTTTGAAAAATGCTTCAGTGTGCTTTGTTTCCGCTATTTCATATCATCTATGAATTTTGCGCTAGGGGTCATCCATAAAGTACATACGCACTCAGGGGGAGGGGGGGAGTCGATCAAAAATCGTACGCTTGCATACAAGGGGGAGGGGGTGTAATGGGTATTTAGTACGTATGCTTAATAAATTCCTAAACGTGAAATTTGAGCCTTGCAAGCTTGCTCATTCATTGTTCATATGGCAGAGATTTTAATGGGAAGTTTGTTGCATATTTTCATCCTACCTAAAATCTGCTCTATTTGATGAACTTCCGATAAAAACTTTGTGAAATGTGAATGTGAAATGCTTTGCCTTTTAGAAAGCTAAATACAATAAGCTCAATGTTAAAGAATCTGCTTCGATGTGCTTCACATGATTACATAAATAAGACAACTGCATTAACATATATTATAACAAGGAATGGTCAATATGGACAAATCCCTGAATTCCCCTGGAAACTCTCAATAATTTGTATTATACCTTGAAACGGGAGGGGGGGGGCAAAAAAAGATACGCAGTGTAGGCAAAAGGAGGGGGATATGCAAAAAGCGTACATGTGCGTACAAGGGGGAGGGAGGGTCAAAAAGTGGCTCTCAAACTGCGTACGTACTATATGGATGACCCCCTACCCAAATTACATCTAGATCCCATAGTTAAAATATCTGGATCTACCACGATTGTGACTGCACCACCAAGAGCCCTTACCCTGTTACCAAAATCAAAAAGGTCTTGACATTGACGATGCAACATGCAAGAAGTTTAAAATAGAAATTACCTCTGTTAGTATTTCAGCAGGGATTCCACTTGATACCAACACTCCACATAGTATTTTTAACAGACCTGAAAATATATAAATTGGTTGCAAAATTGCACAAAGAAGCATACTGAAACTGCTTCGTAGGAAACTCATCTACGTAAGTTACGGCCAATAATGGCCCAAGGGTATATGGAGACATATACAAGGGTACATATACGAATTTAATATTTCATAAGATGTGAAATGTTTACAAAATGTTTACAGATCAAAAGAACAATTGCACAGAATCAACAACTTTGGGATTAAATCTTACTTTATACGCCAATCTGCCAGAAATATCTGCCAAACTAACTGAGAGGAAGGGGAAATAAAATTAGTTGGTAAATATTTCCCTGCTGAGCTTGCCTCTCGTTATCAATGCTGTTAATATAAAGAAAACCTCTACGTGTCTGCATAGATGACATTTCCGCATACAAGCAAATGTTTCGTTATGTTTGGCGGTCTTAAATTAAGAGGTTAGCAATGGTTTCGGATATACGGGAGACGTCTATGATGACAAAAGGCGCCGGTGACCACGTACCACAGCTCTGCATGACCTTCTGGCTGCTCGATGTTGCTTGAACAGGATTACTTGGTGATACCAGCAGTCTTATCAGCTGGAGATAAGAAGAAAAGAAAGCAATATAAACAGACATTATAAAGGTTTATGGCGATCTCCCTCTCTCCCCTCCAACAATATTACCAACTTCCCAATCGAAGAGTATCAATAGAATGATGCTCAACTTTTCTAATGTCTCTTGATTACTTTCGAGAGATTTCATGCTTGTGGTCTTTGCTTTTCCGGTAGTGAGGTTTTGCAGAAACTACTTTTTGCTTTGGTTTTAATAAAATTGCTATGATTCGGGCATTTATGATTATAGATCAGTTATCTCTGACCGGACATGCTAACCAGTACACAAAAGATTATATAACATCTTTTCAGCGCCGTTCATAAACTTTACATAGCCCTCTTGGTATTGTGAATATCTTTTGGAAGAGCCCAGCGGTTTTGATGTGCAATATTTACAAGAAAGCTGCAAGGTTTTCTAATTTTCTAATAACTGCTAGTGAAACAAACATAATAAATTTTGGAAAGCTTTACCTGAAGCATCAGCAAAACATTGTTAACTTTTGGCTCTGACCATACTCTGTCTTCTATAAGGGGAAAAATGATTTTAAAGGGCGTTCTTTTCATCATATCAACAAGATTTACTAAACAACATCCTCATCTTCCTTGTAGGCCTAACTGGCTTAAATCAGTAACTGACAATCCAGGACCAGCCAGGACCAGCATTCCAACCTGGATTCAAATTATTTGTAAAGAACACTTGTTGAATACCTTATGTAGATTGTTAAACAGTTCTTAGAATTCTGTATACACTTTGTGCAACAAAAAGTATCAGTAATTGAAGTTATTCGATTGAGCAAAAACAACCAAAGCAACAGTAAACAAGACAGAGCCATTTTTCGCCACGCCATGTTTACTTCCTTGGAGCTGCCAAATAAAAACTTATTTTGTAAACAACAACAAAAACCCGAATTCCAAATACCTGATGGCTCTCCGAAATCGAAAAAGTGTATCAGCTTTTGTATATAGCTGGAAAAGAAAGAAAAGTAGGATAACGGGACTGGTGAATTAATAGAAGTATGAAAATGGGTTAAAATATCCACAACTGTATTGACAAGGTATTACTGCGCAGGGTGCACGAAAGCCTAACGATAATCTTGACTATGTAACAATGAAAGCAAACATTAAAATTGTTTTGGTAAAAGGCAAATATAAACCAGAACCTATAAAAGCAAGAGTATTACCTTCCTTCTCTAAAGAAATTTTGGTTGGATACATTTGACTTGATAAGATTGTGCATTAAAATTAGGCAGTCTTCTGTAACCACACCTACAACGAGAAAGAGAAAAAGCTTCATTTTCTTTCTGATTAAACTTTGAAAACAATGTGATTATGATTTCGAGAGTATGGTCCTGATCATAATCATTTCTGTGAACAATTTAAAAACTTTCAAAAGTAGTAATTTTTCGAAAAACAACATTTAGGAATTTGGGAATTTAGTGTAAATTGCTAAGAAAAAGTCTGAATTTAGGTACATGTGAAACATTGAAACCAGCAAATGTTATTGAACATTAACTTCCGATTGCCTTGGCTTCTTTGCTTCCAAAAAGGTTACAGGCCATTTTCTAAGCATGGTGGCAGAAGTGTTAACGCATAGGAAACAGCCATAGCTTTGTTAAATTATCATAAAACCTTTTAAGGCCATGGACACATACTAAACTGGTTAAAGCCATTTGTCAATCACCTATTGGCCAAGAAAATAAACGCATGAGTGGTATTTCGCTTATCGATTGGCAAATTTTGATCAACCTATGACGCCATCCAGTTTAGTATCTGCTGATTGCCTATAACGTCAAATCGATCAGAATGACTGTGAGCTGCAAATCTAATTTTTGCATGAATTTCACTTAAACATTATAATTTGTAAATCCCACTGATCGCAATGTTTGCCAGAAGGAAAAGCTATTCCAATCAAAAATCGCAAAGAAACTATCACACACTGTCAACCATAAAAAAGAAATGGTATTGAAGGTTAGCAAATATTGGCAGAGATTAACTCCATCTGCATTCTAAAGCGTACCGTCCGAGAAGTTTAGCAGACATTTTTGGCAAGTTCCAAAAACTTTCTTCTTTTCACGTCTCGAAACTCTCTCGAAATAGGTGAATACACACAATATTCCTTACCTCCGTCACTAAATCCCTCGTCTGAAATTACTTCAAAAAGTCTGTCAAATGCGTTTTCGAAAGCAACAATTTTCTGTGAAGTAAGTGCAAAATTTAGTTGTGAAAACCAGAGCAAAGAATACAGCAAAGAGGGGATTCAAATAGAAAGAAGGTACTTTGCTATTCTAGTGAAATGATCACATTAAGCGTAAAACTTGGAGAAGCAACTGAGAACCGTCCTGTTCTTTACACCAAATAGTGTGTACAGCTCTGCTTATAGTCGAGCACTTTGTGACAGACTGCTAAACAGCAAATCTAATAAGCTATGATATTATAACAAAAAATAGACTGTAACTAAGGTGAGTCTAAAAATGCACTTGTTGTTTAGTGTATTAGAACAGTACCTGTTTTACTTACGTAATTGTTGCTTTTTGCGTACACGTAAGACATCAAAGGACAAAAATGCGTGCTAGTAGACCTAAAACCATTTAACCTTCTAAATAAATTAATTTTAATGACAAGGCTTCGCTCGATATTCAATGAGACATCGAAGCACCCAAGGTTTATAAAAACTATTTACAAACCTGGATCGCGGCATTCCCCTTTGTTAGCTGAATAAGAAGGAGCAGCCCCTGCAAAATAGAGTCAAGAGTCCCATAAGCAGTGTAAAACAGACCGACAAAAACTTCACCGATGCATGGCATCTACCGCGAGAGGAAAGCCCAGATGTGTTTTTTCTCTAGAACGAAAGATCCACTAGAAGGTCTTGTGGATCTTGTGTAAGGTTTTTTTACTCCTTTCTCTATATAATTGTTCCCTCTCGGACATTTCTAAAAATGTTCAAGAATTTTTTTGGTAAAGAAGGAAAATTAATCAAGGAAGTGTTTTCCTTAATTGAAACACTTTTTTATGAACTGAATTGTTTTAAGCATTTAGCACAAAGTTGACGACAGTTTTAGTGGACAGTCTATTTAAAAACCGACATGCGCAGTGGGAATACCAGAATTATCCTGGCTTCCTGTCCAGGGAACACATGGGAAAAATATTGCAAACACAGCAGTTTTTTGCGATGCTTTTCATGGCAAAAAATTGTAAGATTCAAAATACAAATTTGATTTCCAAGGTTTTAAAGTAATGTGTGAGAAGGAAGAACCGCAGGATAGGCTGTCCGCCGGATTCTGTGAATCTTGCAATGAGATTTTAAAATGAAAAGAATACAGGAACAAAGCAATACGACGACGAGAATCCAATGTCACGAAATAAATTTTCAAAATAAATTAAATTTAAAGAGTATACTAATATTTCGCCCCGGCATACAGGGCTTCATCAGAGTAAATGAAACGAACGAGTGAATGGATTTGAAATGTGAGATGGTGATGCCGGATTGGTGGATGTTGAATGGTGTGAATGCAGCGCAGTGGAGAAAAAATGGGATGATGGAAGTGGGGGAGGGAAAGGTGGTGGGTGATGTAAGGGGATGTGGGTGGTGCTATGGAGATTGATGCAATGGGATGCAATGGAGTTTTAAAGTAATACCTCTTTTAGCGATTCTGTAACTTCAGATACAGATATTAACACTGAGCTTGAAACTCATAGCGAGTTGACTGAAATACACAGACGTAGGAACCAGTGGATGCGGGGGGCGTGTGCCCCCTTTTAAGAAACAGAAGTGAAGTACCTATTTGCAGCTCACAGAGATGCTCCTTTCGACTATATGCCCTCACATTTGAAATGCTTTCTACGTAAAATACACCATTTTCTCTATAATATCTTAAAGTGACAGGCAGCTTGCTAAAATCTCTTCAGTGTTAGCCAAATAAACCGAAATTTCTTAATATGAAATTGAAGTATAAGCAAATTTGTTGTAACTCAGACTTACATCATTCCGGATGACTTCTCTATTGTCTGCTAAAAGATCCATTAGTCTAGAAACACCTGGAAAGAGAAAAAACAAGGAGCTACAAATTAGATGTTCAAACTAGAGTGATTCTGAATGGTCTTGGGACACATGAATGTCAGGTTTAAGATTGACAAGTTGTCAGCAAAGTTAACTTTATAAATTAAACCTCTCTGTGCAACTAGGTCTGCATACAGTCAAAGAAAGGAGAATAAATATGACAATATGATAAACCAGTATACTGAATGGGAAAGATACTAAGAAAATGCTTCGATCTTATCGGTAGAAATTTTATTAGTGGGCTGAGAGAGTTCTGGATATTATCTAAACTATAAACTAGCAGAAGATATGGTTGGCTTAAATGATCATCATCAAGGGAATTCTTTCATCTACTCTACAAATACAACCTGCAGTTCAAAGAGGACCAGGAATTGATGGTTTTTTTCTACAAAGCATACACTAAAATGTGTAAAAATACACTACAATGATGAAGTCTTAACCATGCTGAGCTTAAAAAAGTAAATTACATACCTAAAGGACTGACAAGAATAGCTTGCTGGATCTGATTTCCTTGATTTCTTAATAATACTGTCAATAATTTAACAGTAGGCCACCTAACTCTGAAGTCATACTCCTGCAAAAAACACAACAGAATTCGAAAAAGAAAGAACAAATATGTATCAGAAAATTATAGAAATATGTAAATAGAATTTACTAGTACTTAAAAATCATAAATTTCAATTTTGAATTGTCAATTTTTAATATGTCAAAAGGCCCAATCAGAACGGTAATGTTGTTGCTTCCAGCAATGCACAGAATGGTTTGATTTGCCATGGCTAGATTCTCACTTAGCATGCCAACTCTCCTTGATTAAATGGAAATCATTGTCATCTGAGATACCTTTCCATCACTTTTTCGCAAACATGCAATCTTTTCATCCTCTAACTCAGCAGCCTCCTCTGTCTATGTTATGTGCTTCTTGGGTACAGTACAATCTAGCCAGTACAGGGTATACAAAACATGCACAGTGCTTTAAAGATATATGCAAATAAAATAGAAAGTTAGAAAAGAGAGGAGGGAACAATAAGTTACCTCTAAAAGTTCTAACAGACTTGAAATGTTCTCCTGCTTTTTAAGAAATATTTCAGAAAACTGCTTTGAAAGTTCATTGTCTACTTTTTGTTTCTCTGGGTCGGTTACACTAGCATCTGGACTCATTATACTGACGAGAGTCTCAAGAGCCAGACCTGTTATCTCTTGATCCGCCCTGAAGAAAAAAGAGGTTGAAACAGTCAAGATATTCACAGTTTACACAAACAACACAAACAAAACACAAACAAAATAGATTCATTCGTAGTGATAAGATAAACTGAAGATCATTGACAAAATGAAGATTAATTTTTTTGATTGCAAGTTGCATTGGTAAATGACACCTATTCACATTAACAAAACCTAATTTTGTCAAGCTTTCACATTTAGCAACTGAATATTGGCCTGTACAACAGCAAAAATTTTAGAAGGGAATAACCTCTTAAGAAAAATAAACCATCCAAACAGGCTACACAGACAGAAGCAGGAAAAAAGTTTTTAATCAAACTTAATATGCTCCAGTCATAATCTTGAAGAAACTTCAATAACTCAAGGATTCTGAAAATATATTTGCTTGGGTGCTGTACAAGATAATGTGACAATGTAATATGAAGTTACAGCAATATTGTACTAGGAAACAAGGACTGAATACATTAACAGTGTTTCTTGAATAGCCTGATATCGAAGATTCTGAAGCCAATAAAGCTGTGCCCCTATACTTTAGTCATAAACACCTACCTGTCTTGATGCAAGACATTAACCAATATGTCCATTGATCTTGTCCCAACATCTAGTTTGAATTTCTTTGAAAAATCAAATCAAACAAAAAATGAGAAGGTTGAAACAATAGATGGCATATTCAATTTCCCCTTTTTCATTTTGATGTAGCAAACTGTGCATATCTTGGGACCACTATGGTCAGATAGCCTTGCAAAGACCATTCCACAACCTTATTGGAGCTTTATAGAGATGAAAGCATTGAGTAAGATGTTGAAAATCTAGCCTCTTGATTATATCCATCCATTAAAGCCTTGCCAGATATCAAGCAACTCCCCATTGGAATATGATATATTGATATATACTAAACCAATAAAAGCCTGATTAAAATGTAGATATTGACAAAGAATCACACTACTTTGTACCTTTGATAAGGACTTAAGGGCCCTCACTGCACCACGTCTGTCATCCAACAGTGTGGCTGAACCAACTCTATCACAGAGTCTGTCAATCTAGAGGATAGAAGCAAAATTTATTTCATTAAAAAACAAGCAAATCTTGATTCAGCCTGAAATCTCATAACATATAAGGTTCATCTCTACCACTTGCCCTTTGGGGCTTCAGCCCATTATATAGCAAGCTTTGTTTTTTATTTAAAAAAACTGCTATATTACCAAACCTAATACCATTTGTTTTCTACCCTAAACATGCTAAATTTATTCTCTCTCTTTCTTCAAGCTACTGTTGAGCCTTAACAAGTTATGATAAAAGTCATATTAAATATGTTTTAAAAAATTGCATAAAATAGAAAAATATTTTTTCAAAAATTATAACATTGTGATAAAAAAACAGGCAAGGTCTTGCAGGGCTTTAACAAATTGAATAACCCTTTGAAGTGGCATCGCAAGCACTGCAGCACTGCACCTTATATTGTACAGTGACACCAATCTACAATCCAAAAGCAAACCTTGTGGCAATGTTGTGAACAATGCAGCACTGTACTGTATTTCACTCACAACACACATGCAAACAAAATATTGGAAGGGATGATCTTTATGCTTTAGACAAAAGGGAGAGTCTGTGCTTTAGACAAAAACTCTTCCAACATTTTAATGGGCCAAGATCAAAAACACACAGGACAAGAAAACAGCTGCATAGTCTTTGCAAAAATCAGTATGCCCAAAAAAATTTGATCAAGTTACTCTGTCTTCACTCGAGAATCCAGAGTTCTGGAATTTATTGATATCAAATGTACAAAGGGTTTGTTCCCTCTCTTTGACTCTTCAACTAGATGAGAGGTTGGTGATCATCAATTGGTGAAGACAAGTAACAGATCAAACAGATTCTTCCCCTCATATTGTTGGATCTAGGTTTTCTGATTTAATTTAGGCATTATCTGACATTTTTGCTACAAACAGTGTCATATAAAAAGTACTTTGGTATATTAAGTTTCCACGTTTCATAGCTATCTTCAAATACTTTAAGCTTGCAAAAGTCTGGGTTTGCAAGATATTCACCCTGCTCCTTTTTCAACATTCTAACTGGAAAAACATAAACCCTTGGTGCAAAAGTGGTCTTGGCTGTAAAACAACTGCAGCCATTGGGGTAGTGCTTGACATGCCTATTAGCAAGTCAAAATATAAACTGAACTTTCATCTCATAAAAGAATCAATAATGAATGATAAGCCTGATTTTTATAGTTTAAACAAGAAAATTGCAGACAGAATCAATTTAACGTGGTGCAGAATTTCAATATTTAGTATAAAGATTTATAAACAAACTCTATACATCTTCGAAAGATAAAAATACCTTCTAAAAATTAAATACTTAAAATAGTTTTGATTTATATTCTGAGGCCTAAACTTATCAATGCTAAACTTACTGTTTCGATGCCTTGAGATTGACTATCCGTGTTTTCCTGGCTGCCCACGACAGATTTGAGACCGGCCCTTAAGAAATCCATCCTACCTTTGAAATTCTCCCAATAAAAAAATGGAAAAATCAAAATTACTTTCTAGATACCCTAGGCAATCCACTGCCCATATGATCGTAAAATGAAAACATTATGAATATACAGCGCATGCGCCTACGTGGCATGACTTGCACTGGCCTCATTACGCGTTTCCTTCAAACGAGGCGATTTCAGAGTGGTTGAAAAATCAATGGGTTGAAATGATGGAGCCTAATAATGTCGAGAGGATTTCTGAACACGAATTTTGATACGTATAAACATTGTGTACAGCATCAGAGACCTCCAAGAAGTGGACAGTCAGTATAAAATCTGACAAAACTGAATACAAACATGCGTAAACTGTTTAAAGTGGAATGGGATTCCAAGGACTCTGGTTTGCAACTAAAGTGGCAAAGTGGAAATCCTCTATGCTGTTGGTCAACGCGAAACCTTGTTGCATTTACAACAGGCCACGTTGAATCTGTGGAATCAATGTCATGGCGCTGTACAATATTTGTTCATATCATGTGTCCAGAGTACCCCTGGGAGGTTTATCATATCAAAGTGGATGTCAAAGATGTGGTCGAGCACTTGCTTTGGGACCGAAGTAGCACAAGACTTATTGTTATTGACAGCACTGGAAGTTGTAAACTGTTTGGAATGCGAAAAAGCTTTGTCAATTGCTGGGAGATCATACATGAAGTATGTCTTGATAGTAAGATTGTCTGTGCATCATGGCTTGATCCTGGCTCAAGGCACATTTTTGATGCCAAAGCAGGTCATGCTAACCTTCTTGAGAAATTTTCAAAACGCTTGGTGAAATCAACCCTTGCTGATATTGCTGGGCTGAGCAGAGATGGGTTCATAGCTGTAACGGAAACTGGTATTGCTAATGTTGCATTGCTTGAAAAAGGAACCAAGGTCCTCAAGGTTCAAAAAGCTAAGCTCTTTGCAAACAGGTGCAGAATCTTGCATGGGGATATTAAATTCAAAGAAGATGGAAAAGTTTATGTTGTTTTAGCAACTGACAAAAGGGTTGTTGAATTTTTCGTATTGTCTTTGAGGCTAGTCAACATGAAGGTTGAGATTCAAGTTGAAATATCCCCATGCATTATACCACATGTTATATCTGACGAAGAATACATGACATACCATGTTTCATGTGTCAAGTTCAGCAATGAAGTTAATGCTGACAAAGTTCTTGTCTGTACTGAGAGTGGCCTAGTTACCTGTTTGAAGCTCTTTGAACTCAAGATAGAAAAGGCATCATTACAGCCAGTCTTGCAAAGAATGGCACAGAATCCAAAAGTCATTAATGTCAAAGAATGGATGTGCTCCAAGTCAATAACTCTGCAAGGACACATATCTTGCATGTCACTCACAAGAATGGTCAGCATTATTCAGTCAACCAGTGATGTACCGTTATGTCCATCGATGCTATTTGCTACAAAAGAAGGAAAGTTGCATACAATTAGCTCCAACCTGTCAAATGCAAGTAACATAGAATTTTCATATCAAGAGGAAAGGATCATGTGCCTCACATACTCTCCTTGTGATACTTGTGTCTTGGCAGTAACAGATGGTGGTAATGTGTCAGTGTTCCAGGCTGTGTCATTTGATTCAGTAGCAGATAGAGTAACCATAAAGACATGTGTGAATCTCTTTGAATACTGCCTTGTCACTGGCATATCATCATGGGGTGTTGCCATAACTGCAGCTGGACTTGGGGACAAATACTTAGAGCAATGCTCCCAACTTTTGAGAAGCAACTTACTTGGTCAGCCATCAATGACCCAGGAAAGAATGTCAGCTTCATATGCTCAAATCCAGGCAGAAATTTACAAAAGCTTAGATGGGCTTTATTTTGGCACAGTTGAAAGCTACAATTTTCTCATGCTTAAGTCCATCTATTGTTTCTTTCACTCCACTGTCAACCTACAGTCTGCTGAAAGAGAGGCACAACTTCTTTTGAAATTAAAAACTCTTTGTAGCAGACAACTAGATATTGATTTACCAAAGATCATTCAGATCCTTGAGGTAAAAGATTTGCAGGTAAATGCAACATTGATTGCATCATTGCAGCATCAAATTCAATGGATTGCAAGTTATTCAATGCATGTCTGCAGACTGATTTTAACAACTATAAAGAGAGCAAACTTCAAGCAAGTTGTTTCTATGCTCAGCATCCAAGGTTTGAAAATTCTAAGGGAGCTTCTTGCATTGATATACATCTGGGGACAGTCATGTCCAGGATGGCAACCACATTTCATAGAGCAAGGCAATCCATCAGATATTATCAATCATCTATTCAAATTTGTATCAAAGTTGTGTTTGAAGCTGATGCAAAATGATATCAGCAAAGACAACATGAATGAAGATGATATACCAATGAGAGGCCACCCGTTTATGTACCAAGTCTCTCCATTCTATGATCCAAAATGTGGCACAATAAGTCAATGCAAATATCAGGACTGTGATTATTACACATTTTCACCAGAAGAAGAAATAATTTCCAGTGCCAAACAATTCACATTTCCACATCCAATGGAACAAGGTAGCGTCACTATCTCAGGCAGAGATTATATTTTTGATGCCATTAATCTTATACAGACCTCAGTCATGAAAGGAGAGACCCTGAAGCAATGCATTCAGTGCTCATGTTTGACACTTAGCATAGCAGATTCTAGTCGAACTCTACAGCCCTCTTGGAAAGAGCAATGGATAGACACATGCTTTTGTGGTGGATTTTGGAGAGCTCTTGATATAGACAAAGAAACTGATGTTGTTCAATCAAAGGGGGCCACATCTGCTGAAGTTAAGTCTTCATAAACTCAGTTTTGAGCATCATAACTTTTCATTGGTTGTTTCTTGTCTGCGTTATCTTATAACCAGTTTTGAGTCAATAAACATTATATCCAAGGCATTTTGTAACTATTGTTGAGATTATAAATGAGTTGTTTCAAAAGCACTCTCAATTGACTGAACCTTTCCTATGTGTAGATAAGAAGTATAGTATAGCGTCTTCATTCAAAGAAATGTTGTGTATGAAAATGAATATATGTTCCATTATATAGAAAGATTAGGTTTTTGTTAGATAGCATTTAGGAGGTGATATGGTGCCTTCAAAATTGTGATTGAACATTTCGAAAATCTCCATTACCATTAGGTTAAATAGAGAAATAAGAAAAACTTTTCATAGAATACAGCAAATGGCTCTTGTATTGATGGAAAGTTCAAGCTCAATGTGTACATTACATTTTCTAATATTTGGGAAGTGCTTTTTTCTATCATCGTCTGTGAGCCACCACTTCAAGCCCTGAATTTGATTCAATGCTGCTGAAAGACGGTAGAATTAAAGACGGGTAGAGTTTGAATTCCGGTAACCAGTAAGCAAAAGCACCTTTTGAAGCAAAAATTGTCTTATGTGGCAATACAGAAAGGAGAGGTTTAGGGAAGTGTTCACAACTGAGATCAACACTTATTCGGGGGAAGTCACCTCAGAGTTTAGACTATTTTGGGAAAGGGAAGAAGGTGGGTATTATCAAAAACTGACATTATTTCATGTGCTAAACATAAAACCTACATTTATTTGCAAATAGTGCCTTTTTAAGAAAATGAAACATATTTAATGCTAGATATGCAATGATAGATACAAAGGATGTACTTATAGTTCTACAATGTCTGCTTGGGCTTTGTTTCTTCTGATACTCTGTCTTTTCCCCAAAATCAATGGCTCCTTCTAGTCTTCTCCATCATCATCAGAGCTTTCAAAAACTTTGTGTTATAATCTTATTTCATGATTTCGTGTAGTTTTTCTAAATTACTCTAAGGCCCTTAATAGAAGGGGGGTCTTGATAGTTGGGGGGGGGGTCAGAAATTTCTCAAAAAATAAATAAGCGGGGGGTAAATGTGAAAAATCTGAAAAATCATGTGATGATTCTTTTTTGGGGTCAAAGGAGATTTTCTTCTGAATACAATCGATAGTAAAATGACAATTATCACCATGTAATAATGCATAGTTGTATTACCAAAATGAGCAGGCTAATTATCATTGTGTACATCAGTCAGGTCTATGTAAATCTTTTTAGGATGTCACTACTTTTCTATGTTAAAACTTTTGTACAATGCAACCTCTTCATTTAAGAGAAACTTTACAGAAATTTCACATCTGAAAGAACAAAGGACAAATGAAACAAGGGATATGAATGACTGCATATAAAAATTAATAAACGGAGGGGTCCAAATGAGCTCCGGGGGGTCAGAAAAAATCAAAAAATTAATAAGCGTCCCCCCTCTTCTATTAAGGACCTTAGAGTACTTGCTTTTATGAAATCTTTAGCATGGTAGCAGTAAAAAGAATCGTTTGGTCTTTTTGGAATTTGGGCCGACGGTCAAGAACGTCACACGATATCAAGGAGGAATATACTGAAATGCTTGTTGTAAGCCTCTCCCTAAAAAACTCCCTTCGTTATTCTTCCCTGGAAACAGTCTTTACATTTCACATGCACCCATATTCGCCAATTTATGTTTTACATATTTGATATCTCTGTAGCCAAAAATCTGAGCACGAAAGTATTTTATTTTTAACTGTTTGAGGGAACCATGTTATTTCTTGATAAAAATTGAAGAATACTTGAACCGAGTCTCGTCCAAAAAGCTTCGCACCAAGACATTTTGATGATTTTCTTTCTGTCTTTTTTTAAGACTACAAAGTAACGTCACCTTAGAAATCAGGAATTGCAAAACGAAATTCCCTGAAAACCTCGCTTTCATTGTTTTATACACACTGAAGAATTCTTATTGGTACAAATTAAGAGGTTCCACAGAGGCACAAAGTCTCCCTGGTCCAGTCTAAATGATGTCCAGCAAAATGAGCGAGACATTCACTATAGCTGAGTAATTTGTCCAGGGTCCGAAATCAGTGTTATCTAATGAATTTTGTAAACCTGATATATTGTCAAGACAAGAAATTAGACGATTTTCATTGTTAAATGCATCCATTCTCTCTTGTTAATTGAGGTGTTGCATTTGTGTGTAACCAATCAAAAGTACAATGTGTTGGCAAAATTCGTATCAACTTTTTCCAATGACAATTTTTATAACTGGCAGGAAGTGAATAAGAATTTTCATTGTTAACAGTGCAAAAAACCGGCTTCTTTTTGAAAATTTGTTCTGGTCCGATTAACAATAATTCTAGCCGTGTTGTTTGGACTTACAGATACCAACGATACTGAAAATGCAGACACAAAAGCAAAACAGACAATGAATTCAATAGAACGCCATTTTCAAACGAATAAACAGATTACAAGAACGTAATAAGAAATAACTGTAAAAAGTTACATAATAAACCTAGCTAATGTTCTATATAATAAGTCTTCTCCTTAATCTGATCCACGTCTAAACAATCTGCTAAGTCGACTTCGTTTTGGTTTCTCCGACCTCTTCTCCACAATTTGATGCAAAGCTGATATTATATTTTCAGCTTCCAGATTTCTCTTAACCTCATCCTCAAGACACTTCTCCAGTCTCTGCTTCTCGGCAAAATATTCTTCCAATTTTCTTTCGTACACCAAGCGAATCTTCATTTCACCATCGAGGTCCTTGACAGTTTCATTGTTCGTCTCCCTTAGAACAAAGAGATCTTCCGTAACCGTTCGCCAATCTTTATCGAATTGCTCTTGAAGTTTTGTCTTCTCGGTTTCAACTTCACTAAGTTTTCTTTCAACATCTTTACATTTCTCTGATTCTTGCTGGAGCCTTCTCTGAATCAGCTCTTTTCCTATCAATGCCATTTGGAATTTTCTTTCAATATCTTCATGAAGCTGTCTCTCCATATTCAACTCATCTAAAACAAAACAGCGCTCTAGTCTTAGGGCATCGATTTCTTTTCTATGATCTTTCAAAGCTGATCTGAAGATATTCAACTTCTTTGCCTGCTCTTTATATTCTTCCAAATCATGCTGCATACGAATATCGGCTTGCATCTCTTCTTTGTACGCCTTTTCAAATTCGTCTCTTTCTCTGATGATATGTTCATTGTCTGCCTGAAGAAGATCAGCCTTCAATTCCAATTCCAGATTCTTCCCTGCCAGTGCATCCATGCATCTTCTAATTCTAGCAGATTTCGCCTTATATGCTTTCAGATTAGCATTGATCATTTTATATTTCTGGCGAAATCTCTTTCTTCGTGCTAGTTCTGTTGCTCTAGCATTTCCTCTTTGCATGGATGATTCACCTTTTTCTTTTCCCTCGTTGCTTTTGATAATCTTATACAGCTTACCACAACAGTTGCTCCAAGCTTCCAACTGGCTTTGTGCATCAATTTCATTTTTGACTGCTTGTTGAAGTTTGTTCTGCAATTCTACATTCTTTTCTTCAGATTCTTTGAAATCTTCCAAAGTGAACTTGCGTTCAAATTCCAAAAACTCTACAAGGCTTCTTAACTCGTTTGTTTCTTCATCTAGATGCTTCTTTTCGTCGATGAGATCCACAATCTTGATTTCAATATGATCGAGAACTTTCTGCAATGCAATTCCATTATCAATTTTGAAATGGCTCCCAATTTTGGACAGAAAGCCTTTCAACAACTGAAGCTCTGCAACTTGATCAAAATATTGCTGAATATTTGTCATTCTTCCTGGCAATATCTTTCCAACTGCCATAGGTTCCTCTGACTGCTGTTGCATTGTGCCATTGTCGTCATGTTCTTTGAAAGTAAGCTTTCCATCACTCACATCAACACCATCTTCACTTTCATCATCAACAACGATAAATTCGCCATCAGAATCCTGCTTCATTCCTTCTTGATTGCTCTGCGTTTCCACTTCTTCACCATCAGAAACAATTACTTCTTCATTCATGCCATCCTTTTTGCCCTCTTCCAGATCTTGACTCTCACTTTCAAGGCTTTTGATACGCTCTTCTAGAATCATGACTTCTTTTGTTTTTGCCTCCATACTTTGAGCAAGAACCAAGCATTCATTTGCAAGTTCTTCATTTTCAACTGACAAGAGCTTTTTCTCTTCTTTCAACTTAACATACTCTTCTTCATTCATGCCATCCTTTTTGCTCTCTTCCTGATCTTGACTCTCACTTTCAAGGCTTTTGATACGCTCTTCTAGAACCATGACTTCTTTTGCTTTTGCCTCCATACTTTGAGCAAGAACCAAGCATTCATTTGCAAGTTCCTCATTCTCAACCGACAAGAGCTTTATCTCTTCTTTCAACTTGACATACTCTTCTTCATTCATGCCATCTTTTTTGCTCTCTTCCAGATCTTGTCTCCTACTTTCAAGGCTTTCGATACGCTCTTCTAGAATCATGACTTCTTTTGTTTTTGCCTCCATACCTTGAGCAAGAGCCAAGCATTCATTTGCAAGTTCCTCATTTTCAACTGACAAGAGCTTTGTTTCTTCTTTCATCCTTATGTTCTCGTCCTCAAGATCTTTGATAAACTGACAACTTTCCTAATAAGAGAAACATTTGTAGATTATTAGTATGAATTGGAATCATGGTTTGGATATATTGTTGTCTCAACATCTACAAAAGGGGGAAAGAATTTTTTCTTCGAGTGTTGTCTGTCATAAATAATTTCACCACGTTACTTCGGACACATTGCGTCATGTTAGTGTTATTCAATTTTTATTCCAATTGGCAAAGTTAGTGTGATTTAGTTTTGATCATTAAATCGATAAATAAAAATATAGATTAAGCTCAATCAGCTTCGATAACTGAATTCTAGAAGATATTGAAGGCTCAAAACCCTTAAATAAAAATGTCATGCTAAATTAACTAAAATTGCAGTATTAATGCAACAAAGTATTATTTTAATCTCAACGACTCACTTGCAACTCTTGAAAAGAAATTTCGAATCGATTCTTCTTTAATTGATCCATCCTCTCTTTAAGCATTGTCAATTCTTGTTCCATATCTTCTAAGCAACATTCAAGCATCGAGCACTCCTTCGCAAGCTGTTGCTTCTCACCAAATAACAGGTCCAGTCTTTCTCTCATCACACCATTTTCTTCGATGAGGTTCTTGGTCCAGTTCGTTTGTGATGGTTCATTTGTCTTCTGCAAGCTCTCAAGTTGACTTGCATCTACAAAGAAAACAAAAAAAGAAACCATAAAACGAATGCTCAATGAAACATCTTGGAAAAACCTCTAGACTTTTTCATTAAAATATTTTCCACTCATTTGACGGTTATTCTTGAGTGCAATCAATAAAGCAAAGTGAGTTTGCAATCAAGTGCATTCTTTTTGTCTTAAATTGCTATTAAAACTCTATTCATTAAATTTCTGATCAACTCAACAATGTATTTTCCCATCTATGAAACCAGTCTTCGTACTCAACTTACATTTCTCGACCACATCTTCAAGATGCTCCAATCTTTCTTTAAGCTCCTCGATTTCCTGCTCTTTGCACTGAAGCTTTCGCTGTTGCAGCTCTGTTTTGCGTACCAGTGCATCCGTATTTATCAAGGTAAGACCACTGTCTGCCCCTAATAAGCTCAGAAAACTACTGCTTTCCAGTTTTTCCTCCATTGTGACAACCTTCACTCGCAATAATCAGCTCCGACTAACTCTAAATCAGCCAAACTAGTTATGGTGATGAAGACTCATTGCCCAGCAAATTTATATGTTAATAATTGTTTGTGACGTCAGATTAATGTGACGTTCGGAGACTGGAAATTAGTAAATGAAGTTTCCGGGGTTGAACTATAATCTAAATCAATTTTCCGACTATCAATACCTCTTTGGAGATTCATTTCTACTAAAACAGAGACTGTTCTCTAGCTCTTATACTTCTAACTTAAATTAATAGATTTTCGAAAGGCATATAAACATTATTTGTATACGGTTCTAAAATCTGGCTTTACTTACTTTTCAAAACCTATCGGTATCATAACAAAATAATGGATGGATTAATGTCAGATCCGAATGTCATCGTTGTTCATATTCTTTCGTAAGCTATTTATTTTTACTAACAGCTTATACTTTTCATATTTCACTAATATGTTTGTTAAACTATAGTTCCATGGAATTTAGATTTTATTTGCATTTAGCTCTACATTAACTACAGAAAATTTTGCCGTGACAAAATTTCGGACAAATGTTTTGACGAAATTTTTTTCGACGAAATTCAGAATGAGACGAAATTTGGTCACAACGAAATTTTTCGCATTTAAGATTTTTGAGAATTCGCATAGAAAAACTCTTTTATGAAGTTAGAAATAAAATCAATGTATCCCGCTTATCTTTTCAATGTCAACTATGACCTTTTCTTCATTTACAACGTCTCTATAATTATCTTTACCGTCGGTATCATTATCATCATCATCATTGTCGGTTCTTGAAGATTGTCAAATAAAAGTAGTTCTTAGTTGCGTAGCGAGAGGGAGGCAAGAAAGGCGGGTCTTTTTTTCTCTATCTTTTTTTACTCAACTGTACTATTTCTTTAATTCGTTCAAGGTATTTGCACTTTTCAACCCTAATTTTGAACTCAACAGGAAGCAAACTTTCGAGACCAATATTTCCTGTTGGGGATGGTCTTTATTCACACTTTAAGGTTTAATCATATTCTGTCGTTAAACTGTCATGCCATTTAGATATAGAGAAGAGACTCTTTGATTTTGCTAAGTCGTAAGCAAAATGCTTTCGTTCGCCGCACACTTGAAGCAAAGTGACACGAATGACAAAAAATACTAAACATGTTGAATAATTGGCTGTCGGTCACGAATGCCTAAATTCTTACTGAAAAGTCATATACTTAAGGAAAGTGCCACGAATGACACTTTGCTTAGGCAAAATGCTTTCGTGTGCCCCTAGCTTTAGAGGAAGGACAAGTGGCTTTGGACTAACCCTTGCCCATCCTTCTTCTGATGTATAATCCGATGCTTCTCTGAATTGTTTTTGTTATACGCACTTGCAATTTTGTGGCTATTGTACCCATGGTATCTACGTTTGCACATCGATTTACAATATTGTGTCCCCGATTTCTTGAGGCCCTGGTACCCGGGTTATTATTCAGGTAACTGGTAGGAAACATAAATCAACATTCTCGTTTAGTTTTGATTCGTCAAATTTGTATCTGTAAGATTACAATGTTTGCTAGGGTCCGTACTATAGGGGGCCAAAGGGGCCAAGAGGCCCAAAGGTCCATGCCCCCTACGAGAGTCAAGTAATTCTTCATGGCCATAAGGATGATTTTTAGCAGATCTTCATTTGAAAGATTTATCAGACCATGAGGCAACAATATCGCATTTACACTGTTGAGGAGATCGCATCTATCTACGTTATAATTATGGCAGAGCAGGAAATAGTGCTCCGTGTCCTCAACACCGTCATTTATCGGGCACAAAGGGCTCAAAGTGTCATTAAAATTGTGCTTATGTTTATGGAAATTTAGCTTACTGAGTCCAACACGTAACTGCGAAAAGATGAAGAATTACCACCCGAATCAAATTCGAAAATTCTCGCTGCAATGCTAGAATATATTCAGGCCTCTAAACGTTTTGAATAAATTGGTGATACAAACAACATATTTCCTCTCTCCTCACCTCTTTCTAGAAATAGCTTCTATTTCTTCTTTTCGTTCATTTTGCATCCTTAAGTTGTAGTAAATTAAGTTTTATATGTTGAATGTAAATTACCACAGGGTTGCTATCTATTCCCATGCTCCCTGTGGTATCGTCTGGTAAACACGTCTGGTATCGTGTATGTTTTGAAGAAATTTTATATGAATACAAAAAAACGATTCAAGTAGACAAAAACATGTTGCCAATTACCTTTATTCATATCAATAAGTGGCAATATGTGAATCTTTTATTATAAAGCTATTTTCTCAATATGTCCCTCCGTTATAAAGCACCGGTCACGACAGCAACCACCGCAACGCTAGAGAGGTCATTTGTTTGCCATCAGAATCTAACCTTAAAAATCTGGGGGGGGGCTAGCCGGGGGCCAAACTTTCAGCTATAGGGACCAACGCTACCCATTACTTCCGAACTAATAGAATGTAAAGCAGGGGCGTTTTGACTCTAAATTAGCTACGAGGCATCGATTTTTAATGTTTGGTAATATAATCACAGTAGTCATGTCTTATACCCAACCTCCATGAGATCAAGGAAATCTTTCTGTTACACAGAATTTCAAGTCACACAATTTCGATAAGCAATAGTAGATTGCCAAGGTATACGGGTTAGTATTGGTATTTCCCTGCGCTGGTTCCAGAGCGTAAATGGTTTTCAATGGGATGCGGCGAATCTTGGTTTGGGCTTGCCCTGCGCACCCCATCCCAAGAAGGTGAATCTTCGTCATTAATGATTATCAAGAATTAATTTCTCTTGGTATCTACAGAAAGGAGCCAAAATTTTATTAATGTTTACATCAGTTACAAACGAAAACGCTTATCTGGGCTTATAGCTTGTCAAATAAATGCAATAAAGATAACATTGAGCAAAATAAAGAGAGCAACCCAAACAAAGTAAAAAACGATTGAACATCTTTTGAGAAAACATTGAATTTTTAATAAAAGCTTTCCAAAAAACTGGGGCGCTAAACAAGGGGCTGAGAAAATTTCTGGGTGCGTGGTCTCCTGTAGAAACACCATTAGGTTTGGCTTCGTAGTACAAACACCGAAGACCGGAGCTGCATCACGATCGGAAAAACGATTTAATTCAATGGCGGTATATTCATATCCATTCGGAAAAACTGAACAAAATAAATGACAGAATAACAAGCTATGGTTGTTGTTTCAGATATGCATGACTGAAGAGGCTGTTCTCTCAAGAGAAGAAATTTGTTCTGTACAATGGAACGAGCATGCTGCTTTATTCTGTCCCCATCTCTTTGGGTTGGGCGTCCTACCAAGCCACAACCACATTGAAACTCTTTTGAATAGAAGGATTGCAATACTTTTGAATGAATAGAAGGGCTCTCCTTGTACTTTATACAATGCAACAGCTATATAATATTTTGTAATGGCCTGTTAAACCTGATTTTCAAATCGCAAGAAAATGCTACCAATCCATAGTAGTTTCAGATAAACTTCTATGTCAAGCAACATAAATGGCATCACGTTTCCGTCCATTGGCAGAGTCAGGTTTTCGTTTTTTCCAATACCTTTACTTTTTATATACATAAAATTGAAAACCATTCATATGTAGACAGGAGGACTTCGTTTACACCCTTGGACTCCATTTGCTATATCTTCTGTAGCAAGCGGCAAGTATTGGGCACCTTCAGCGGTCATGTGCTCGCATTGCTGATGGGCCTATCGATCTATAACTGGGTACATTAGCTCCTTGCTTGCTTAGAATTGTCGACCTTTATCTTTACGGTCAAAACTGTAAAGCTTCACAAATGTTTGACAAAAAATTTATGTGTCTTAAAATTTTATGTGCACAATTTAAGACCAGGAACATCTAATTGTATGTTTGCATAAGGCTACAAAACATATAATGGATATTTTTAATTAATAAATTAACTTTTTCATTTGATGACCATGAAATCAGGACCTGCTGTGCAGAATAGATTATAGCATATGACATCGAGAACTGGCCTCGTTTAGATCCTATCTAGACGATCGACTAGTGAGATATTAACAGGGGTGTACCCCAGGGCACACGCCTTAGTCCTCTTCCATTTTCGGTTTACATCAGTGATCTCCAACCAGATACTGAAAACTAGATACAAAGAAAAAGTTTCAATGTACGCTGATGACACTAGTCTTTGCTATCAATCATCTGATATCACTCGATAAAAATGCAGGGGTGGATCCTTAACAAATTTGAAGTGGATGCAGTTGATAGTGGGGGCGCTGAAACTTTTCAGAAATTGATGACGAGAGTACGCTGTATAAAACATTTTTACCTTCCTAACTATTAACAGAAGGTCCTTATTCACGTTCTATGAAAATAATTATGACACAATTATATCAAAGCAGTGATATTAAGTCTGAGCATGACTGAGGTCTCTGACTTGAGTTTCCCTCTTATTTGGTAAATTTGCTGGCTGAACACTAATCCTCTTTCTTTCTTAGCATGGCTCTCTAAAACGTTGTCTTTTGTTACAAAAATGTTCATGTAAACAAACTTGTGTAAGTACGAGGCTTTCTATCTGCTTTGCTTTGCTCCAGAGGCGGACTGGAAAGCTCTCCCTTTAGGGGAAATTCGACTTCAAGGACCTTGCATGACCTCTGTCCCGAAAATCTTCGCCATAAGTTCACTGAAAGATCCATTATTTTCGAGTAGAGGTTCATAAACCGTGGAAATCTGCAAATTCCCAAAGTCAGCTTAGAATATGCAAAGCAAAGTTTCTACTTCTCTGGTGTCAAAAACTGGAATTATATCCCTGACAACATTCGAGAAAAGAATCAATCGCTCGATTTATAACAGGCTCTAGAGAGTATCTTTTGAATTTTACATAGGACCCAACTACAACCCCTTGGTAGAGCAGCAATTCATATAATTATTATTATTTTTCATCTTATTATTATTGAGCAAATATTGTTAGAAGGTTGTTTATTGGCTGAACGGTATCTCGTGAATAAATATTGATAAAATGAAAAATGAAAATGACCCAAAGTTCAGAAGGACGTCACTATTGAACAATGGTGGTAAAGGCCGCAACATCGGCTGGAGGCAAAAACATTGCAACTATGAAATCCAAATAACAGCTGGAAAATGGGCCTAGGCGCAGTGGACAAACATTTTATAATGATTATGCTCCATAGCTTCATCTCGTTTGATTTTGACAAGATAGAAAACCTTCAAGCGCAGAAAAATGAGCACGGTTTGAATAGAAAACATCAGCATTTAGAAATGTTAAAAAGCTTTGCAATGAGCAATGAGATTTTTCGCGAAGTGGTGCTAAAATTTCGCGAAGTGGTGCTAAAATTTGGAATAACCTAGATACCGAAACTAGCGGGCAACGTATCTGAGTAGATTCAACACTTTCTTCTGAAATTCTTGCATGAAAACAGTGTAAAGAGTCAGAAATTTTGTGGGTAGGGTAAGGTGAAGTTGAAAAGGGTTAGGTAGTGTATTATTTTTATATCTCTTGCAAATTTTTCTTTAGCTTATGTTATGTAAACTTATCTACTATTTTAAAAGCATGACCCCTTGTAAACCAGCATTGCTGTTTTTGCTGCCAAACTTGATTAATTAATAATGGAATGAATGAAAACGAAATGAAATGTGAAGTTGGGGCTTTTTTCTGTAAGATCAAATCGTGAAATTTTCCAATATTAAACCTTTGTAAAGTCAGCCTATACAATAGCCACGCCCTTGCCTACCCACTACCAATCCAGCCATCTAGCTTCCCAGTGTAACCGTCAATTTTTTCTATAGCGACCCAGGGCTTTGTCAATCCGTGTTCAATCAATCTTAGTGCATCCTTGTATTTTAAATTTCTGTAATGAGTACCTTGTGCCGCCGAAGTACCGTCTTAACCTTGACCGATTTAGAAGGTTTGACCCATCCTATTCTGCTTATCTACCCCAAAATAACCTTCTTATTGTTTTCCCCGGAAACCTTTATCTCTTCTATTGCCCTCTCACGCTGGGCCTCAGAAAAATCTTAACTTAATTCACACTCATAAAATGGGACACAAAATTTTCAAAAAGGATTTACTTCAACTCGGTGAAGGGGGGCAACTGCACCCTGGTCTATATCTATAAATAGTTCATTTTTCAGAAAACGAAGTATACAATGCAAGATGTCCCAACATTGAATCAAAGCTATACTTATTATTCTAGAGTGTTTAATTAAGCATCATTCCTGACTGATCATCTAACCTTTTTTGTCCATATTAACTTGACATTGGCTCCATTTCGTCCTTCTCGTCATCATCAAGTCTATCAAACACTTTTCGTCGTAATTTCATTGCATGATACACAATGTATGTAAATGAATTACTTTTACGAAATCATTAAGGTAAAAGTTGCAGATTTTTTCTTTGAAATTGACCTTCCACGCATATGGGTCGAATAGAAGCTCTTTTTCACCCCAAAAGAATGGCTAAGACGACACTCTGTCTATGATTAAAAGGACAACTCAAGTGAATTCATATTAAAATGCTTGAGGGAACTAGCTATTTCATTTTTGAATTGATTCCTATAACACTTCTCAAACCATAAATTCAATCAGCGACGGGATTTCAAAACGATGAAAATTATTTCGTTTTTTTTTCAAAAATCTATCGTTAGCGGTAAGTACACAATCTGTACGCTATACGCGTTCTTTAGACAACTTTAAAACCAAATGTACTGAAAATGCAGAAACAAAAGCAAAACAGACAATGAATTCAATAGAACGCCATTTTCAAACGAATAAACAGATTACAAGAACGTAATAAGAAATAACTGTAAAAAGTTACATAATAAACCTAGCTAATGTTCTATATAATAAGTCTTCTCCTTAATCTGATCCACGTCTAAACAATCTGCTAAGTCGACTTCGTTTTGGTTTCTCCGACCTCTTCTCCACGATTTGATGCAAAGCTGATATGATATTTTCAGCTTCCAGATTTCTCTTAACCTCATCCTCAAGACACTTCTCCAGTCTCTGCTTCTCGGCAAAATATTCTTCCAATTTTCTTTCGTACACCAAGCGAATCTTCATTTCACCATCGAGGTCCTTGACAGTTTCATTGTTCGTCTCCCTTAGAACAAAGAGATCTTCCGTAACCGTTCGCCAATCTTTATCGAATTGCTCTTGAAGTTTTGTCTTCTCGGTTTCAACTTCACTAAGTTTTCTTTCAACATCTTTACATTTCTCTGATTCTTGCTGGAGCCTTCTCTGAATCAGCTCTTTTCCTATCAATGCCATTTGGAACTTTCTTTCAATATCTTCATGAAGCTGTCTCTCCATATCCAACTCATCTAAAACAAAACAGCGCTCTAGTCTGAAAGCATCGATTTCTTTTCTGTGCTCTTTCAAAGCTGATCTGAAGGTATTCAACTTCTTTGCCTGCTCTTTATATTCTTCCAAATCATGCTGCATACGAATATTGGCTTGCATCTCTTCTTTGTATGCCGTTTCAAATTCGTCTCTTTCTCTGATGATATGTTCATTGTCTGCCTGAAGAAGATCAGCCTTCAATTCCAATTCCAGATTCTTCCCTGCCAGTGCATCCATGCATCTTCTAATTCCAGCAGATTTTGCCTTATATGCTTTCAGATTAGCATTGATCATTTTATATTTCTGGAGAAATCTCTTTCTTCGTGCCAGTTCTGCTGTCCTAGCATTTCCTCTTTGCATGGATGATTCACATTTTTCTTTTCCCTCGTTGCTTTTGATAATCTTATACAGCTTACCACAACAGTTGCTCCAAGCTTCCAACTGGCTTTGTGCATCAATTTCCTTTTTGACTGCTTGTTGAAGTTTGCTCTGCAATTCTATGTTCTTTTCTTCAGATTCTTTGAAATCTTCCAAAGTGAACTTGCCTTCAAATTCCAAAAACTCTACAAGGCTTCTTAACTCCTTTGTTTCTTCATCAAGATGCTTCTTTTCGTCGATGAGATCCACAATCTTGATTTCAATATGATCGAGAACTTTCTGCAATGCAATTCCATTATCAATTTTGAAATGGCTCCCAATTTTGGACAGAAAGCCTTTCAACAACTGAAGTTCTGCAACTTGATCAAAATATTGCTGAATATTTGTCATTCTTCCTGGCAATATCTTTCCAACTGCCATAGGTTCCTCTGACTGCTGTTGCATTGTGCCATTGTCGTCATGTTCTTTGAAAGTAAGCTTTCCATCACTCACATCAACACCATCTTCACTTTCATCATCAACAACGATAAATTCGCCATCAGAATCCTGCTTCATTCCTTCTTGATTGCTCTGCGTTTCCACTTCTTCACCATCAGAAACAATTACTTCTTCATTCATGCCATCCTTTTTGCCCTCTTCCAGATCTTGACTCTCACTTTCAAGGCTTTTGATACGCTCTTCTAGAATCATTACTTGCTTTTCTTTTGCCTCCATACCTTGAGCAAGAACCAAGCATTCATTTGCAAGTTCCTCATTTTCAACTGACAAGAGCTTTGTCTCTTCTTTCAACCTTATGTTCTCGTCCTCAAGATCTTTGATAAACGGACAATTTTCCTAATAAGAAAAACATTTGTAGATTATTAGTATCAATTGGAATCATGGATTGTTGTCTCAACAGTTACAAAAGAGGAAAATAATGTTTTCTTCGAGTGCTGTCTGTCATAAAGAAATTCACCACGTTACTTCGGAAACATTGTGTAATGTTAGTGTTATTTAATTTATATTCTAATTGGCAAAGTAAGTGTTATTTAGTTTTTATCATTAAATCGATAAATAAAAATATAGATTAAGCTTAATCATCTTTGATAACTGAATTCTAGAAGATATTGAAGGCTCAAAACCCTTAAATAAAAATGTCATGCTAAACTAACTAAAATTGCAGTTTCATGCAACAAAGTATTATTTTAATATCAACGACTCACTTGCAACTCTTGAAAAGAAATTTCGAATCGATTCTTCTTTAATTGATCTATCTTCTCTTTAAGCATTGCCAATTCTTGTTCCTTATCTTCTAAGCAACATTCAAGCATCGAGCACTCCTTTGCAAGCTGTTGCTTCTCATCAAATAACAGGTCCAGTCTCTCTCTCATCACACCATTTTCTTCGATGAGGTTCTTTGTCCAGTTTGTTTGTGGTGGCTCATTTTTCATCTTCAAGCTCTCAAGTTGACTTGAATCTGAAAATAAAACACAATTAGAAACCAAAAAACGAATGCTAAACCAAACAACTTGGAAAAACATCTAGACTTATTTCATCAAAACATTTTCCATTCATTCGACGTTTATTCTTGGGTACAATCAATAAAGCAAAGTAAGTTGCAATCAAGTGCATTCTTTTTGTCTTAAATTGCTATTAAAACTCTATTCATTAAATTTCTGATCAACTCAAAAGTATGTTTTCTCAGCTTTGTAGTCAGTCTTCGTATAAAACTAACCTTTCTCGACCACATCTTCAAGATGCTCCAATCTTTCTTTAAGCTCTTCGATTTCCTTGTCTTTGCACTGAAGCTTTTGCTGTTGCAACTCTGTTTTGCGTACCAGTGCATCCGTATTTATCAAGGTAAGACCACTGTCTGCCCCTAATAAGCTCAGAAAACTACTGCTTTCTAGTTTTTCCTCCATTGTCACAACCTTCACTCGCAATGATAAGCTCCGACTAACTCTAAATCAGCCAAACTAGTTATGGTGATGAAGACTCATTGCTCCGCAAATTTATATGTTATCAATTGTTTGTGACGTCAAATCAATGTGACGTTCGGAGACTTGAAATTAGTAAATGAAGTTTCCGAGGTTGAATTTTAATCTAAATCAATCTTCCGACTATCAATACCCTTTTGGAGATTCATTTCTACTAGAACAGGGTGTTTGAATGTACCCCCGGATCTGCAGTCACGAGTTATTTAGGGTATAAAAAAAGCGTGTTGCACATAATTCGAGGCTGGACACTGTGATCGAGATAGAGACTAGGAGTAGCTTTTCATGGCTAAATAATTGGCTGTTCGTTTTGTTATGTTTTTATAAATAATTAAAAAATGCAATCAGATGCCTTTTTGCTTCTCTGCCTACTTTACAACTCAGGGATTGTTCTCTAGCTCTTATACTTCTAACTTCAATTAATAGATTTTCGAAAAGCATATAAACCTTATTTTCTAAAATCGGGCCATTTTTTAGTTTTCAAAAACTATTGGAATCATAACAAAATAATGGATGGATTAATGTCAGGTATGAATGTTGTTCATATTCTTTCTTAAACTATTTATTTTTACAAACAGCTTATACTTTTCATATTTCACAAATATGTTTGTTAAACTATAGTTCCATGGAATTTAGATTTTATTTGCCTTAAGCTTTACATTAACTACAAAAAATTTCGTTTTGACAAAATCACGAATTTGGTCACGACAAAATTTTTTTAATTTAATTTTTTTTGAGAATCCGCATAGACAAACACTTACATGAGATTAGGAATAAAATTAATGCAGCCTGTTTATCTTTTTAACGTCAACTACGTCCTTTTCCTCGTTTACAAAGTCTCCAAAATTATCTTTACCGTCGGCATCATGATCATCGTCATCATTGTCGGTTCTTGAACATTGTTCAATAAAAATAGTCCTGAGTTGCGTAGCGAGAGGGAGGCAAGAGGGGTGGGTGCCCCCCACCCCCCAAAAAAGTTGCCAAAAATATATTGGGAAAGGGGCGTTTTGTGTCATTTTAAAGGGTGTGGACGCACTTCTGCCCAACCCCCCCCCCCAATCTTACTACCCTGGCTATCTGTTCAGACTGTCTATTACCGCCGGTTTCAAAAGATTCTACCTCTGTATTGTTTTCTCAACTCTATTATTTCTTTCATTCGTTCAAGGTATTTGCATTTTTCAGCACAAATTTTGAACTCAACAGGAAGCAAACTTTCCAGACTAACATTTCTTGTTGGGGATGATCTTATGCTTTCCGAATCTTATACTTATATTCACACTTATACTTTTAATTATATTCCCTCTATGAACTGTCATACTATTAAGATATAGTAGTCTAGGCTGTTAGAACATGAATCGTGCAAAATGTGATACCAGCATGAAAATGGGTACATTGAAGTAATTTCACACGCTGATGACGATGCCGAAGAGACACAAGCCGAAAAATGCCCCCAAGTGCTATTTTTAGACTGGGGTACTTGACCCCAGTCCTCGAATTGGGCCAATCTCCAATAGTCATTACTGATTTGTGAAAAAAGTGGGAAAAGAAAGATTTAAGTGCATTATCATATATTAAAATATATTAAGAGAAAAGGAAATGAAAAATTGCCCCTTTGAAAAATGCTATTTCTAGAATATTAAATTGGTACCCATGTCTCTATTTAGGCATTAATCTCTGAATAATAATTTTTTTTATATGAATATGAAATGTAGCTTTCTCCATTCTTTCAAAAAACTGAAAAGTAATACAAAAAGATGTAATTGACACTATTACCCCTCGATGCTGTTTTTAGAATGGGGTACTGAAACCCAGTTCTCGAATTTGGGTTTTAGTCTATAGTCTAGGCTCTAAGCACAGCAGTATTTGACATGAATTGTGCAAATTGTGGTACCAGCATAAAAATTGGTACACTTGGGCAATTTGACACGTTGATAAATGATGCTGAACAGACACAATCAAAATATTACCCTTGATGCTATATTTAGAATTGACTACTGGAGCCCAGGCCTCTATAAGCTTTCTTTAATAAATCATTACTATTTTTGGTATGAATACGAAATAAAGTGAGTATTAAATCTCTGGATTGCTGCTACACCGCTCAGAGGCCTTCAAGAAAAGCATAGAAGAACTACCTATTGAAGTTTGGAAAACACAGAGGCTAGAAGAATCAGTGCAATTCTATTATTGGTTTACTGTTAGAGTCAATGCTATTGTTGCTAGTTAAAGCAACAAGGGAGTGAAATTTCCACATTTTTCTAAGTGCCCTTCATTAGATTGCACCTTAGATGTTTAGCCTTTGTCATACAAACTACTCGCGCTGGCTGCCAATATAACATCAATCGTATTTGAAAGTAGCCTATAATTATAACGACTTTCGCCCTTCCGAATATGCTCGAGTTTGAAAGTTCAGTAAGGGTAGCATTTTATACAAATTGTATGAGACTTTCAGAAGTAGCGAAATGTGAAAGTCACATTGTCCTGTACATGTGATAAATTGCATTGACCTTCAGAGGCAGGAAACGCGTACATATTTAAACATATCGCTTTATGCATATATAAACTGCCTTTTTTCATAATATTTTTCGGTGATTGAAAAGTTGTATGAAGCTACACTTTAGTATTTTACATCAAAATTAGCGATATTTAACAGTAGATGAAAAAGTCGAATGAGCTTGGATCTAAGTATCCCATTCAGAAAAGAGAAACTAGGCGGAATTATATCTCTCCGTCATATTTTAGTGTATCACAAAGTGTAGAATGCTTGACTTTTTATGTTAAAAGCAGTAATGATTAATAACTTACAATAGAAACAAGTCTAAAAAAAGGGTCTATCATTTGTAGCATCTAGAGGTATTATTCTACGTTTTTCTAAAAATACTGTTTGGTTAACCAAAAAAGTAAACAGCCATACTATCATGTTTACGTTAAAAGCAAGTAATGGTTTATAGAAGAGTGTTTACATAGAGGCCTAGAGGCAACAGCCCTAATCTAAAAATAGAATCAAAGGATAATATTGTTTCTTTGTTAGACTTTTATCGTGTAGAATTGTGTTTAAACCTATACATTCACGCCCATCTTAAATTTTAGTTAACTACGTATGGATGAAATCAAAAATTGAGGACTGGGGTCAAGTACCCCAGTCTAAAAATAGCACTTGGGGGCACTTTTCAGCTTCTGTCTATTCATCTTATGAACCTTTCATAGGACCCAAACACGACCCCTTGGTAGAGCAGTAATTCATATTATTATTATTAGTTTTTATCTTATTATTATTGAGCAAATATTGTTAAAAGGTTGTTTATTGGCTGAACGGTATCTCGTGAATAAATATTGATAAAATGAAAAATGAAAATGACCCAAAGTTCAGAAGGACGTCACTATTGAACATTGATGGTAAAGGCCGCAACATCGGCTGGAGACGTAAACATTGCAACTATGAAATCCAAAGAACAGCTGGAAAATGGGCCTAGGCGCAGTGGACAAACATTTAATTATGATTATGCTTCATAGCTTCAACTCGTTTGATTTTGATAAGTTGGAAAATCTTCAAGAGCAAAAAATAAGCATGGTTTCAATAGAAAACATAAGAATTTAGAAATATTAAAAAGCTTTGCAATGAGCAAAAGTCATTTTCGCGAAGGGGTGCTAAAATTTGGAATAGCCTAGATACCGAAGCTAGCGGGCAACGTATCTGAGTAGATTCAGAACTTTCTTCTTAAGTTCTTGTATGAAAACAGTGTAAAGAGTCAGAAATTTTGTGGGTAGGGTAAGGTGAAGTTGAAAAGGGTTAGGTAGTGTATTATTTTTATATCTCTTGCAAATTTTTCTTTAGCTTATGTTGTGTAAATTTATCTACTATTTTAAAAGCATGACCCCTTGTAAACCAGCATTGCTGAATTTGCTGCCAAACTTGGTTAATTAATAATGCAATGAATTAAAACGAAATGAGATGTGAAGTTGGGGCCTTTTTCTGTTAGACCAAATCGTGAAATTTTCCATTATTAAATCTTTGTGAAGTCAGCTTATACAATAGCCACGCCCTTGCCTACCTACTACCAATCCAGCCATCTAGCTTCCCAGTGTAACCGTCAATTCTTTCTATAGCGACCCAGGGCTTTGTCAATCCGTGTTCAATCAATCTTCGTGCATCCTTGTATTTTAAATTTCTGTAATGAGTACCTTGTGCCGCCGAAGTACCGTCGTAACCTTGACCGATTTAGAACGGTTGACCCATCCTATTCTGCTTATCTACCCCAAAATAACCTTCTTATTGTTTTCCCCGGAAACCTTTATCTCTTCTATTGCCCTCTCACGCTGGGCCTCAGAAAAATCTTAACTTAATTCACACTCATAAAATGGGACACAAAATTTTCAAAAAGGATATACTTCAACTCGATGAAGGGGGGCAGCTGCACCCTAGTCTATATCTATAAATAGCTCATTTTTCAGAAAACGAAGCATACAATGCAAGATGTCCGAACATTGAATTTAATTACTCGAGGCTATACTTATTGTTCTACAGTGTTTAATTAAACTTCATTCCTGACTGATCATCTAACCTTTTTTGTCCATATTAACTTGACATTGGCTCCCTTTCATCCTTCTCGTCATCATCAAGACTTTCAAACACTTTTCGTCGTAGTTTCATTGCATGATACATAATGTATGTAAATGAATTACTTTTACGAAATCATTAAGGTAAAAGTTGCAGATTTTTTCTTTGAAATTAACCTTCCACGCATATGGGTCGAATACAAGCGTTTAACCTTATCATTTTTTCATTTCGGTACAGCAAAGTAACTGGGTGCTAAATCTTCATCTAAGATCTTTTTTACCTCAAGAGAATGGCTAAGACGACACTCTGTTTATGATTAAAAGGACAACTGAAGTCAATTTAGGTGTACCCATATTGAAATGCTTCAGGCGACTAGGTATTTCATTTTTCAATTCATTCCCATTCTCAAACCATAACTTTAATCAGCGACGGGATTTCAAAATGATGAAAATTCTTTCGTTTCTTTTTCGAAAATCTATCGTTAGCGGTAAGTACATATTTTATACGCTATACGCGTTCTTTAGACAATTTTAAAACCAAATGTACTGAAAATGCAGACACAAAAGCAAAACAGACAATGAATTCAATAGAACGCCATTTTCAAACGAATAAACAGATTACAAGAAAGTAATAAGAAATAACTGTAAAAAGTTGCACAAAACCTAGCTAATGTTCTATATAATAAATCTTCTCCTCTAATCTGATCCACGTCTAAACAATCTGCTAAGTCGACTTCGTTTTGGCTTCTCCGACCTCTTCTCCACGATTTGATGCAAAGCTGATATTATATTTTCAGCTTCCAGATTTCTCTTAACCTCATCCTCAAGGCACTTCTCCAGTCTCTGCTTCTCGCCAAAATATTCTTCCAATTTTCTTTCGTACACCAAGCGAATCTTCATTTCACCATCGAGGTCCTTGACAGTTTCATTGTTCTTCTCTCTTAGACCAACGAGATCTCCCACAACCGTTCGCAAATCTTTATCGAATTGCTCTTGAAGTTTTGTCTTCTCGGTTTCAACTTCACTAAGTTTTCTTTCAACATCTTTACATTTCTCTGATTCTTGCTGGAGCCTTCTCTGAATCAGTTCTTTTCCTATCAATGCCATTTGGAACTTTCTTTCAATATCTTCATGAAGCTGTCTCTCCATATTCAACGCATCTAAAACAAAACAGCGCTCTAGTCTGAAGGCATCGATTTCTTTTCTGTGCTCTTTCAAAGCTGATCTGAAGATATTCAACTTTTTTGTCTGCTCTTTATATTCTTCCAAATCATGCTGCATACGAATATTGGCTTGCATCTCTTCTTTGTATGCCTTTTCAAATATGTCTCTTTCTCTGATGATATGTTCATTGTCTGCCTGAAGAAGATCAGCCTTCAATTCCAATTCCAGATTCCTCCCTGCCAGTGCATCCATGCATCTTCTAATTCCAGCAGATTTTGCCTTGCATGCTTTCAGATTAGCATTTATAATTTTATATTTCTGGCGAAATCTCTTTCTTCGTGCCAGCTCTGTTGCTCTAGCATTTCCTCTTTGCATGGATGATTCACCTTTTTCTTTTCCCTCGTTGCTTTTGATAATCTTATACAGCTTACCACAACAGTTGCTCCAAGCTTCCAACTGGCTTTGTGCATCAATTTCCTTTTTGACTGCTTGTTGAAGTTTGTTCTGCAATTCTATGTTCTTTTCTTCAGATTCTTTGAAATCTTCCAAAGTGAACTTGCGTTCAAATTCCAAAAACTCGACAAGGCTTTTTAACTCCTTTGTTTCTTCATCAAGATGCTTCTTTTCGTCGATGAGATCCACAATCTTGATTTCAATATGATCGAGAACTTTCTGCAATCCATTTCCATCATCAATTTTGAAATGGCTCCCAATTTTGGACAGAAATCCTTTCAACAGCTGAAGCTCTGCAACTTGATCAAAATATTGCTGAATATTTGTCATTCTTCCTGGCAATATCTTTCCAACTGCCATATATTCCTCTGGCTGCTGTTGCATTCTTGTATTGTCGTCTTTTTTTTTCAAGGAAAGCTTTCCAGCACTCGTATCATCGTCTCCTTCACTTTCATCATCAACAACGATAAATTCGCCATCAGAATCCTTCTCCATTCCTTCTTGAATGCTCTGTGTTTCCGACCCTTCACTATCTGAAGCAAGTTCTTCTTTCATGTCATTTCTTTCACTCTCTTGAAGATGGTTAGTCTCACTTTCAAGGCTTTTGATACGCTCTTCTAGAATCATGACTTTCTTTGCTTTTGTCTCTATACCTTGAGCAAGAACCAAGCATTCATTTGCAAGCTCTTCATTTTCAACTGACAAGAGCTTTGTCTCGTCTTTCAACTTAACATACTCTTCTTCATTCATGCCATCCTTTTTGCTCTCTTCCTGATCTTGACTCTCACTTTCAAGGCTTTTGATACGCTCTTCTAGAATCATGACTTCTTTTGTTTTTGCCTCCATACCTTGAGCAAGAACCAAGCATTCATTTGCAAGTTCTTCATTTTCAACTGACAAGAGCTTTGTCTCGTCTTTCAACTTGATATTCTCCACCTCAAGGTCTTTGATAAATGGATAGTTCGCCTACAAGAAGGATACATCAATAGTTTCTTTGCATTTTTTCTGTTCATTGGGGAATTTTGTTGTTTGTATTAATGGCATATTGCAGAAAATTGTTGTTTCGACAAATACAAAAAAAGGCTGTTAAAAAAGGCTTCAAAGATTTTTGATGTCTTTTTCAAGTAATGAATTATACTTTTTAGTTTACATTGAGTTTACATTGATAGTAAATTTTCCAAATCTCGCTTGGTTGCTAATCCATTACTTGAAGAGGCGTCCTTTCAATGAGGATAATCAGGCTTTTGTTTCTTTTGGTAGGAAATATCCAACATTCTTTCCAAACTTCAATACCTTTGTAAATGAAAATAAATATTGTCCTAAATTTTCCTCCAACGTTTTGTCGCAGTTTTTATAGTTGGAAGCATTTTTTTGAGTTTTATAACACCTGACAGTACTACACTTTGAAAGGTGTTATGGATGATAAATTATTTCAAGTGACAAATTAAGGCACTTTGGGGGGCTATATATTAACAAGATGCAGTTTTTACATAAGATGAAAGGTGTCTCTGTCAAAATATGTATATTTTGAAATTTCTTAAAGTTTTCACATTTGCTTCAAAATTTGCTATCAACAGCCTCCGTAAACTCTTCAAATCAACAACCGAAGCAGCATTAATTCAATTACCAAACACTGCAATTTTATGCAGCAAAATATTCTTTTAATCTCAAAGACTCACTTGCAACTCTTGAAAAGAAATTTCGAATCGATTCTTCTTTAATTGATCCATCCTCTCTTTAAGCATTGTCAATTCTTGTTCCTTATCTTCTAAGCAACATTCAAGCATCGAGCACTCCTTTGCAAGCTGTTGCTTCTCACCAAATAACAGGTCCAGTCTCTCTCTCATCACACCATTTTCTTCGATGAGGTTCTTGGTCCAGTTCGTTTGTGATGGCTCATTTGTCTTCTTCAAGCTCTCAAGTTGACTTGCATCTACAAAGAAAAAAAAAGAAACCATAAAACGAATGCTCAATGAAACATCTTGGAAAAACCTCTAGACTTTTTTCATTAAAATATTTTCCACTCATTTGACGGTTATTCTTGAGTGCAATCAATAAAGCAAAGTGAGTTTTCAATTAAGTGCATTCTTTTCTTCTATTCATTAAATTTCTGATCAACTCAACAGTATACTATTCCATCTACGAAATAAGTCTTTGTATAAAACTTACATTTCTCGACCACATCTTCAAGATGCTCCAATCTTTCTTTAAGCTCTTCGATTTCCTTGTCTTTGCACTGAAGCTTTCGCTGTTGCAACTCTGTTTTGCGTACCAGTGCATCCGTATTTATCAAGGTAAGACCACTGTCTGCCCCTAATAAGCTCAGAAAACTACTGCTTTCTAGTTTTTCCTCCATTGTGACAACTTTCACTCGCAATAATCAGCTCCGACTAACTCTAAATCAGCCAAACTAGTTATGGTGATGAAGACTCATTGCTCCGCAAATTTATATGTTATCAATTGTTTGTGACGTCAGATTAATGTGACGCTGCGATGTCGGGACTGGACAAATCAATGCGACTTTGGAGACTGGGAATTAGTAGATGAACTTATTGATGCGAAATAAACACAATCTGAATTAATATTTCTATTTTTCCATTTCTCAATACATTTTTGGCTATTTTTTCCCTCTCAAATAAACATAGTTCTTCGGTTGTTTTCTCCAGGGTTGAAATATCGGAGCTGGCCTTTGTTGTTAATATATAGCTGTTTTTAAATTTAAGAGTGAGAACTCTTGTGTTTCCAGCTTTAATTAACATATTTTGGAATTGGTATTTAAATCGAGACATATTTTATGGTATTCAAATGCTATTTGGTATTCAATTTCAAAAACTATATTTTATTCAATGATTGTTGCCAATCTTTATACTTGGAGTGTCCATTTTTACTTAAAACGTCTACTTTTCGTATTCAACCAACATTTTTACTTTTAAACTTCACGTCTAAAGTTTTTTTGCTTTATTTTCTTTCAGTTTTCGGTTCGGAAATACATCATCTCTGTTTTGTAAGAAGTCGGAATTTTGAGTGTGGTGAATGGGCCACTAAGGCTTTGAAAGTCTGTGCTTCCCATGCGACCAACTTCAAATATCTCACTTCAGTTTCAACTCATTCATCCAGCCTGGACTGGTGGTGCAACCCAGTTCACTACGCAAGATCTTGAATACTCAAATTCTTTCAAACACTTGGCCAGAAGTATATAAGGCTTGATGCATATCACTGTCTTGGAATTGATTAAGAATAAATATCTATACAACTTTGACCGTATTGTCTCTTTTGGAGTAATGTAGTTCTTATATTTTGAGATTATTGAAACAGTTGGTAGGTTTTTGTTATCAATTGCATGATGAGCGTATTATTTTCTACACTGATAAGCATATTCTTTGTCTTTGCAAGAACAAAGCTGCAGTTATGTATCTACGTGGATGTAGCCTATTTGACGAAAAACGTTTTCAAAACTCGTCAACAACTTATTTTAGCATCCTTACTTCTTCTATTGATAAGTCCACTCATTTTCGTCTGTCTCTTAACTTAATGGATTTTTACACTTCAACAAAAAGGAAGAGATCGAAAAGTTCATTATGCCTTGCCAACGCCAAGTTTTTAAATTTTATTTGGATTTGAAAGAATTCCAGATTGACCTCCTTTTTTCGAAGCAAATAGCACGCGCTTAAAATCGTATTTCTTGTCCTTGCCTTCGTCCGAGTTGTCTTTAGATCCATCGCTCTTCGTAATAATTCCGACCAGTCCGGCGTAGTTCTGCTGGTGCCTATTGCTTGTACCTGCTAAGTTGCTTATCTACATACTATTGCTGTCTAGATTAAACTTGGAAAACAAATTGGTAAACTATTAGTTTTTGTCAAAAATATTTCAAGCCAAGGCAGCAAGGCGTCGCTTGCCTGCAGATGGTAGAAATATTAGCCTGTCTTCCCTTGTAGGGAGGTTCATTTCACGTCCGATTTACTTCTTAGAATTTTACCCATTGTCAGATGCGATCCTTTGTTTACAATCAACCAATCAGCAAACAACGCGCGGCTCTATCTTCGCATTTAATTTTTGGGGAGGCATTTAGGCACACACCAATACCACTGCCTCTTGATATTTCCTCAATTTAAAGGTAAGGAACTTCTTATTTCAGTATATAAATGCCTGAAATGTGAATTTTGAAAGATAGAGAAGACCAAATTGATTCCGAAGTACAAAAGCTCAAACTGAACTGTAACAATCTTGTCTTGTTTTTTCTTTGATTGTTTCTTAGGGCCTAATGTAATAGGCCAGCATGTACAAGATCTTGAAGGTGTATATGCGTTGGTTACAAGGTTTATGCTAAAAGTGTGGTTTCGATTTTCCAGATGGGAGCTTCTACACTTGCCGGTGTTTTGTTGTTTCTTCAACTAACTGGATTAATTCACTGCCAAGCGGGCGAAAAAATGACCTTTTCCATGCCAAAAATGTCAGACGAGGAACAACATTCGCAACATGTGCCAGTTAATTTGAAATGCGATGCTTGTACAGCAGTGGCCTACCAGGTAAGAGAGTTTCAAGTTTGAAGGGTGTCCTAGTTTCTGAATCGATCCTTTTTAAGGCTTAGGAGAAGTTGTAATTTGAAAAAACCACATGCTGAGAGGTGTTCAACTGCAATAGCACCTGAAAACATCTCATATGTTTTCAACCTAGTTTTTGAATTTGCATCAAGAAAACCTATATAGAATATCATCCAGGGTAAATATATGTATCAGTCCCTTTTGCAGTTCACAGACTACCGGTTGTGTACCTATATAAACATTGAGAAATACTGCAATGCAAAGTGATTAATGATTACTGCCAGTGAAAAACCCATATTATACTCAGGATTTGTGTAATGAATACATTACTTTACATTAAAGTGATCACATGTTTTTATAAATGAAAAGGACATCCATTTTTTTAAATGACAGCCATCTTAAAGGGTTCCTTTAGATTTGGACAATGGCCACACTTATATGGTTTTCATATGTTTTTATTACCCCCCTGTTTAATTAATTTGGATTTCGTTCTTGTGTGGTGTGGCAAGCTCAGTGAATCTTCAATCAGTTAAAGCAAAAGTGAAATACCCCATTTTAATGATAAATTTTAAAGTGATGCAAACATGGAGGCTGTTGCCCTCAAACCCCATAATTTTCACCACTGCCTAAAATTATATTTCTGATGCTAATTTTAACTTTTTCTTGTGGAGTTTAGGTTTTGCTATTTGCTCTTTAACTAGATGGCTAGAATTCTGGGTGATGCTGAGAGGAAGGTTGGTGGAAGGAAGTTAAAGGAGTCAGAGTATCTTGATGTATTTGAAAAAGCATGTGACTGGGAAGTGTATCAAGAGTAAGTATAATAAATAGTGTGATTTGTGTGGACTTCAAAAGGGAGCATCTGGCCATTCTTTAAAAGTATGGTATGTAAAGAAAAGTCTTGTGAGTCAGCAAAGGTTAGAAATGAAACAACTTTTGAAGCTATTTCACCCTGGTGCACATAGGCCCTCAAATGTTTGTATGCACTATGTGTAACCTTTATTTGCCTGCTCCAGAACTGTTATGTTACAAACAGCATTTTGTAAAGAGAAAGTTATTTTAAACCAGCTTAATTTATCAAGCTACTGTCCACGAGTCCTCCCTCTATATTTGTGATTGTCTGGTATTACTATAGTTGCTGACAAGTAGAGCCTTTGGGTAGATAATTTAAAACCACCACCCTGTTCTGCACGCAAGCCTACTTTGCAAATCATATGGATTCCCAATTTATCATAGCTATGGCATCAAAAATGTAAATGGTGTGAATAGAATTTCTGGAGATGGCCTTGAAGCAAAAGATGTTCCTGGCATGCTTGGTGGTGGAGGCAAATGGCCTGGACGGTAGGAATTTCATGCTTAACTTACCCCAAGTAGATTATGCTGCAAAATCCTTCATAAAGACTTCAAGCTAAACATTTCCAGCATATAATTACTGAACAAAACAAAATATGATTGTGATTTGAAATTGAGATATATGTATTTGAATTTTGCAGTTAAAAGTAATCTAATTAGGAAATCTTCTGGAAATATATGGCTATATGGCTTAGTTATATAACATCACTTTCTTGTCCGTTTTTATATAGCATAGACTTAGTTATATAGCATCACTTTATGTTTTTTTGTAATGTTATGCTAATCATTTTTTTTATTTGGATCCTATATAAACATATTCTTGTTTTTCAGTCTTGCAGAAAAATGTGGCTTGCTAGTTGGGGAAATAGGAGAAGATGAAATTTATGCTGAATTTAGAAAGAAGAAGAATTTAAAGAAACTACTATGTAAAGTTTCAACAAAGGATTGTGTGAACATAGGAAAAGATGAACTATAATGTTGAAAGTTTTGATGTAGATTAGCTATTCTTGTCACGTTTTTTTTAGATCCAAGTAGTGTATAAAATTGTGTTTTAAGTGATTATGTCAGATGTGAATATTCCTTGATATGTGTCTAAAGTTTCAAGCAATTTACAGTCGTGTTTGATTAATTTAGAGCCGATTGAAGTATAGTTTGCAAACAGTAAAAATGTCAGTATCCTGTTTTGCTGTTGGACTAAGATTAAATTTATGAGTGTTTTGTAAAACATGTGACCAGGAATTGTTTTTCATTGATTTTTAGAGGTTATTTATTTAGTTCAAAAAATAGCAAGAGTTGTTGAAGAGCCATTCACTGAAATTTTTCAAAACCCAGGTAAATTTTGTAGTTAGTGAGACATTTTCAATTTAATTTTAGAGGGAAAGTATTATTCTCCGTCTATAGATAATCATAGAGACTGAAACTTCTCTTTGAAAGACATAGATTAACAACAACAAATTTCTTCAGATAAATTTTCGGCGAAAAAACTTTCGGATAACTATTCAGAATTTTGTCATGACAAAATATCGTCGTGGATTTTCAACACAAACATAGCAACATATTACCAAAATCTTAAGAGGCAAAATCATGCAGATAGCTTTATATTCGATCCCATAGCTAGCGGCTTTGTGGAGACTTGGGAACTTGAGCACCCGTTAGGAATTCGGCTCAACCCCCCAGGCAGCTTTTTCGCACAGAACCGCATGTCAGGAGCATCAAATTAAAGTGGTATATTTCCTCAGTTTTTACGAAGGTGGGAAGGGCCTTTTTAGCATACTCACTAGGGGGCAATTGCCCCTGCAGTCCCAATGACTTTCTATTGTTTTAAACAATAGACTGTTGTCCTTCTCCTAAAATAGACAAAGGTTTGCCCCCGCAGCTTTTTTCCCTTGAAATAGGCTATGAAGGTAAAAAATGATGCTTTTAGCATTCAAAGAGTTTTATGAAGAATTTATTCAAAGAGTATAATTAAAAGTATAAGTGTGAATATAAGTATAAGATTCGGAAAGCATAAGACCATCTCCAACACGAGAAGTTGTTCTAGAAATTGTGCTTCCTGCACTGCAGAGTTCAAAATTTGGGCTGAAAAGTGCAAATACCTTGAAAGAATGAAAGAAATAGCACAGCTTAAGTATAAAAAGTCAGAGGTGGAATCCTTTGAAACCGGCGAGAAAGCACAGTTAGAACAGCAGCGTAGCCAGATTGGTAAGATTGGGGGAGGGAGGGGTTGTGTTGGACAAAGGCGATTTGAGCAAGGAACATTGGGATCCTCACCTTTTTGGACACAAAATAACGCACTTTTTCAACCAAACCAAAGAGATTCTTTGCCATTGGGGATGGTGTCCACCCCCTCGCTACGCCACTGAGTTAATTCAAGAACCGAAAATGATGATGATGATTATGCCTATGATAAAATAATTATGAAGATTATGTAAATGAGTAGAATGACGTGTTGACATTGAATGGATTAAAAGGATACATAAATTTGATTCTGGACCTAACGCATAGGTTTTCTATGCAAATTCTCAAAAATTTTAAATGCAAAAACTTTCGTTGTGACAAAATTTCGTCTCCTTTTGAATATAGTCGCAGAAAATTTCGTCAATATACTTGTCCGAAATTTTGTCACGGCGAAATTTTTTGTAGTTAATGTAGGGACTGGAATTCGCGTTGAAGAAGATAGAGACAAAAAAAATCGAAAATTCCTTTCAGTTCTTTATATCCTAAATTGGGTTTAACTTTAAGAAGCTTTTATCAATTTTGTATGTATGGTTGCATCACTGTGGATTCATTGGTATTTTGAAATAAATCTGAACAGTTGTTGAGTATAATGCGCCTGCCATAAGGATGGCGGAAGGATGTGTGCCTGTCGCTTAACCGGGGCAAAATCCACTTACAATGCAAATTACAAGATAAATATGTACAACATTTTGTAAAAGAAATAGGAACCTGCGTCTGGCGGCCCTGAAAGTCTCACCTGAGAATAGACTGAAATACAAATTTCAGCTATTTCAGTTTCAAGTACTTGACCTTTAAAGTTTCGGTTGACCCTTTTCATTAATTATTAACTTTTCGTCCTATTCACAAATGCAAGAACCATAGCTGGGGTCATCGGCCCCAAACACCCCCGCCGCACATTCACCGCCCTTGTTCCCCTGTGACTACCCTGGGTACCAGACTCACTATATATGAAATAAAATTTTATATAGTGAGTCTGGTACCCAGGGTACCCTGCGACAAGCTACAATTAAAAGTTTTAAAACACTAATTTTGAAAAACGTTTTATTACATACACGAGATAAAAAATTTCGAATGAAATAACGATTCAGGCAAGCGAACTAGCCAACAAAATCTGTTTCGGAAACATTTAAAAATTTGAACAATTTTTTTGCGGTACAGAATTTGAAAATGGCTTTGAAAAAAGCAAACATTTTACAACATACTTAAAGCTTTTTCGTCTGACACTCCTCAGAGCATAAAATGTCAGAATAGGTTCCGAAAAAACACGATGGAAAAATATATTCCCAGTTGTGGATCGAAATAGGCCAATCAGAAAAACGCAAGCACAAGACCGGTATAGTTGACCAATCAGTGCCGCGAGCCTAAAGAAAAATTACCAATGGAGTCCAAGAGAAAAAACGAACTCCTTTTGTCTACACAATGGCGGCTTTTTCGTTTTTATGTAGATTGACTCCAAAACTGCTAGATGGAAGGACGACCGGGCTCTGCCAATTATCCGAAACATGTCGTCATTATAGAGTTTTGCACAATTTAAAAATTTGCTATTACTCAATAATCAATAAAATCCTAGCACTAAAACTACTCCTTACTTAACATGCGCATGAGGCTTTCATCTGGGTTACCCTAAAGTTTATATTAAGTCTGATTTAGAAATAATTATTCAAATATTTTCCGTATTTATGGATCAATTTCACCCTAACGCTACTGAAACTCTTGTTGAAAGCCTCATGAAGTACTCGTTGAAAGCTCGAAGACCTTTCTGGCTCTCCCAGTGTCCTGGGCAACTTATTTAATATTTTGATTTTTGAATGATGTTGCTGAATTTCGTGAATTTGAATTTGTTCACGATTTATTGTTTTGCCACGTGCTCCTTCGACGTGGCCCCATTGAATTTGTAAAACAATACCAAACAACAACAAGTCGGACTTTGTTCTTTTTTACATGAAGTACCGGGGCACTTCTCTCCAATACCCGTGCTTGCAAAATGAACAGTGCAAGAGTTGACAACATAGGGTCAAGGAGGCAATACTCCTAATCTGTTGCTTTCAAGACAAGATGGGAAAGCCAGGATCTGTCTCTGGAGAAGACGAAAGCTTCGTCTTCAAGTATTGTCTTTCTGCAGTTGCTGCAGGGGTGGCTGAAACAGGTAGGCAGTGCTTAGAGAAAAGAGATCCATGTGATGTGATGTGATGTGATATGATATGATGGATCAAAGAAACCGATAATTCTCCAATTACATAATGGCAAGGAGATTTCCTGACAGTAGCATCCTATTTTTTAAGATGCATATGCAAATGCAATCCAATTATTTTTTTCAAAGAATTTCCAAATAATTTTAAAACTTAACTGCATCATATGACTGCATCTTCGATGACAATATAGGTCTGAATCCCAATTATGAAACAAATTTTGCGACAGCAGCTCAAAATGTCGAATATTGCTGTGGCAAATGTACAGTCTTGTTCAACAAAACTTGAAATCTTTCCATTTTTGTTCATAATGGGCTGTATCATTCGCTTATACCTGAGCTTTCAACAAATCGCTCACACGTTACATTTACAAGGGGGGCTTATAAGATAGGGGGCTTATAAGAGAAGGGGCTTATAAGAGAAGGGGCTTATAAGAGAGGGGGCTTATAAGAGAGGGGGGCTAAATTGAGAGATGGGGCCTAATAAATATTTTGTAATAAAAAACCATTTATAGTGGTAAACTAATTTTTTGTTATTTGCGAAATATAAAACAGCCTTCTATATAAAAAATATTATCATAGTCATCAATTATCAATTCTGAAATATCTTCTTGGGCCATGTCGCCTTCTGAAGTTGAGGTCGACTTCAGCCCTTGATGTACCAACAACCTGTAAATTTGGTAAAAGGCTCTCACATGGCCTGTGCTTAATGCACACTAAATCTTTGTCTTCGGATCTGTCGTTACTGGAAGAGACATGGTGTGAATTTTGATTTAATTCGTAGTATTGAACAACCAATGAATAAAATGAAAATCTCTATTTTTTGTCAAGTTTACTTATTTCGACATCAGTGATAATTTGAAGGGGGGGCTAATTAAATTTTTCCTTCTGGAAAGGGGGGCTTATAAGAGAGGGGGGCTTAATTGAGAGAAGAAGCTTAAAAGAGAATTTATGGTAATTGATGGTAGATTTACGAATGGCTCAACTAGTTGTACGACAGGACCCTGGTTGCCCTGCTTTCTCAACTAGTTGCCCTGGCAGGAGTCGACATCACCGATTAGCTCAGCACAATGTGAATTTCTTAAGTTCTGGGTTCTGTTTTTCAAAGATATTCAAAACATTTCATTGTGGTTTCTTTAACATTTGCTGAGAAAAATTGTGCATGTGCCCTTTCGAAATTAGTAGTCTTTTCACGAAGATCCCTTTGTGCGAGACAATCAAAATATTTGCCAATGCTTTGTACCAGCACAAACTCTCTAAAAACTCTCTATTCCCAGATGTGGTTTTCATATCAAGTGATGGAGACTGCAACATATTCAGTTGAATTTATTTTTTAAAATGAAATGTACCAACAAATGGATGGTATTGCTTAATGTGCAGCCTTGCGTGGCCAGCTTTGGTAAACATATTTGTTGGCTTTCATGAAGATCATTTGTTCAACTGTGACCAAAAGCCAGGTGTCTATTTTTGATCTTTAGATGACACATATATGATGTTTTTGAAACTATTTTCAAAAGTTTGATATTTTTCGGAAGCACCTAAATAGTTTGACCCTTCAGTTGCTTATCAAAATTTCTGATACCCTTAATTTGCTCTTGAAAAAGAAGAAATAAAGATCCTATTATAAAGACCCTAGGTACAATTCATTGAAAAAAGATCCTAGGTACAATTCATTGAAAAATTTGGCACTGGTTTTCTTATCAATGTATATGGCAAACCTACATTTTCTGGTTTATACTTTTGATGGAATACCTTTTTCCCCAAACAAAGAAAAAATCAATGTTATCAAAACATTACTGCAGGAAATTTCACTCCACTTGGATTAGGATTATGAAATGTGTCCCAAATGTTATAAAAAGTCAATTTTTTCTAGCTTCTTGTTAAAGTCAAAATTTTGTCATACTCCTGTATATTAATCAGACTAAAGTCCTGATTAATACTTGGAAATTTGTCTCAAGCATGACTAATTGCCTATGAATTGAAAACAGTGTATTCCCCAATTCTCATTCAACTTTCTTACATATACTGGTACAACTGTGATGTTAAACCCATGTTTTATCATAGCAAGAACCCCACAGTTGAGAAGCCCACCTGGCACTATCAGCAATTTTGTAACATTTCTTCTTTGCTGCCACATCCCATTGTCTTTTTCTGATTTTTGCCTCCTAAACCACTTAGTATTTGTTTAAGGTATTGACTCTAACAAATGTTCTTTAGTATCATTTTTGTAGTTTTTATGGTGTTATCAATTATAAGTAAATTATAGTTTTTATCTTTACTAAACAGTGACATTCCCCTTGGACATTACAAAAACAAGGCTACAAACTCAAGGGGAAATTGCAGCTCATTTGGCTGAAGCTTCAGGAAAAAAGCCCCCACCTTACAGGGGTATGATTAGAACTGCAATTGGCATAGGTATGTAATCATTAGCAATCTCAAGAAAACTATTGGTACATATATATACATCAAGATATAATATACCAAGTATACTAAAGGAAATGAAGAACAGCACAAAACAGGCCATGTTTGAGTACCTTGATTTTATTAAAACAAATCTTCACAAGTTGCTCTGAAGACTGCCATTTAAAATATATGGAAAATATCTTGGCAATGTCTGAGCTATGGCTTATCAAGGCCTGTTTTGATAATATTTAGTCTATTGAATTAACTGTGCTGTTTTTGTTGCAGTCAAGTCTTGGTTTTATGTCAAAATTCTCCTTCTTGTTCAGAATATAAGAAATACTATACAATACAAGAACTCAATTCTAAAGATCATTCAAATTTATTAGTTTGCACTGTTATTTGAATGTCAAGATTTGTAGATTGAAAGGGTTTCTAGTATCTTTCCCTAAAATTAAACAAGGCAAATGTCAGTAATACATTTTTTGAACTCTGATGTACTGTATTTTATAAAACAGCGTGTATAGATTCATAAACATCAGTTTTTTTCTGATAAAACTGAATGTTTCTTTTTTAAAGTACAAGAAGAGGGAATTTCTCGACTGTGGCTTGGCATTACTCCAGCAGTCCTCAGGCATGTTGGTAAGACTTTCATTTTTTGGTTTTTGACTTTTTACACACATTTTATAACCTGTTTATAAAAAAATTCCTTTTCTGATACAGTGTTTCAACAGTGGCCCAGCTTGAGATAAACCTTAGGCTTGCAGTTGGGTTGAATGGGGGCAGAACCAAGGAACTGTGCGTAGTTATCACATACATTTTCTCAGAAATGCTTCAAATTAGTCAAGCTTTTATCTCACCCTGCCCACTTTTTCAAAACATGTTAACTCCTACTTCAGAAAAAATTAAGGTTAACTCTTACTGGGCATCCATTGAGTTTGAGTTTTTGCCAAAATTTATTTGAATAGTTGATGAAGAGAATAATACCAAGACCAAGCAAATATGATGAAGACATAGAGAGACTATCTGATAAACAAAAATTAAGAAAATTGCAAATCAACAATATTGTTGTCAACACTGTTGTCAAAAATTAAAGCTGGACTAAAAAAAACTAGGAAGTCTTGATTGGTGTCTACCAAGTTATGAAAAGGAGGGAGCAACTCCCAATGGTAGCCCAAGCAATGGCAAAGAAATGATGGATGAGCGAGAAAGTCAATATTCAAACAAAACTAAATATTTACAGAAAAAAAGTAAAGAACTAGGTTGTATCCATCAAAAACAATTTCATCAAGTATGGGATGGTGAGAGAGAAGACACAACAAACAATTATAAGAGAAGAGCAGAGAAAAACCACTTGGTGCTGAAATGAAGGAAGCATCAGGCTATGTATGCAAGCTCATCATGTCAACAGGCTATGTATTGTCTGCCTAAAGCAAAGAAATACAGTGGAAGAAAAGAATAAATAAGCCTGCTTGTATCGCTTGTCAATGGTAACACAGAAGCAGCAAAATACCATCAAACATTGCAAATAAGACAGTTAACTATAAGGGAAGACCTTAATACCCTAAGACATCTTGTGAACAAACGGAATGCATGAAATGACTTTACTAATTTGATTCATAATGTGGTGCAGGGTGGACACAATGATATAGTTGTAAGAAGAATGTGCAGAGAACAAGAAAATGATGCAGAAGTTTTAGAGATATTTAGAAATAAAAATAATTTAACATCTAAACAAAATTGTTTAGATGAGCTGAAAAGTTTTTTATAATTATTAGTTAATAGCATAGATAGGGAAAAAAAGCTTAGCTAGAGAGGTTCAGTACTTGATATATTTTAATTTCAAGAGTCACAATTTGTGAGAGCTATTCACATTACCATTAAAAAATTTATGGTTTGGCAGGGGGTGAAACATGTCAAGAACCACAGTATAAAACACTATGAAACTATGAAATGGAAAGTTGGCTTATCATGAAGAAGTTGCAAAATAAATGACAAATGATACAATTCTTGTATAGTTATTTATTCACACAAGCTTTATAACTTACAAACATCTAAAAATAACAAACTTTTGAGGTATTATGTTATTTATTTGGGCATTGGCTCATAAGTTGCTAGCTGCAAAAAGACATTTAATCAGCAATACTGTTTGTTTACTTCTCTAGATTGATTGGATTTTGAGTGCTATACTGTTGTGCCATTGGATTTTATGCTTAATCTATATTACAAATTTTTGCTTTTCGCAAATGCACACTTTTATCCTTGCATTAAACCCTTTCAGAAATGCAAAATTTGAAATATCGAGAAGCTATATTATCTAGTTTGTTCCTTGATTTATTTCTCATAAAAAATGTCTGTAACACAGAGACCTTAAATCTGTTTAACTTTGCTTGCATGGATCAAGCTTAACCTGCGTATGTATGTCTTATGATTTCTCTGTATCCTCAGTCTTAAATCTTGATTACAGTGTACTCAGGGTGTAGAATGGGCTTCTATGAATATTTGCGAGACCATGTTTTGAAAAAGGATGAAGATGGATATTTCCCATTATGGTGAGCTTTTGCTATCTCACACAGTTGTGGTAATTTGCCTAACTTTATCAATTAGTTTGTTTTGTAGACAAAATTTAGCTTGAAGTGGTTTTTGTCTTGCATCTTCACCAGATGTCTATAGCTGTTGGCATCCTTAAATTTTTTCTTTTTTCGTGGTTTCTTTCAGGAAATGCCTTGGATGTCTATTTTTAACAAAAATTTTGATTGTCATTATGATAGGAAGTCTATAGTTGGAGGGCTGAGTGCAGGTGCAGCTGCCCAGTTTATTGCAAGTCCAACTGACCTTGTCAAAGTTCAAATGCAAACAGAAGGAAGGAGATTGCTCGAGGGGAAACCACGAAGGTATTGATAAATTATTGTAACTAAATGCTCAGATTTCTGGATAGCTATAAATTTTGATTGTGTCATCTCTCTTTGGAAATTTTCTTCTTTGAGCAAATTTTTACTAGCTTAATAATCTTCCATACAATCATTTATGTTAGAGGGCAGCACGGCAAATGCAGTATTCTGCCATAAAACAGTAAATGTCTCTACTCTGGCTTTTTTACTCTTGTGGATAACAAAGTTTGATTTTTTCTACAGAGTAAAAAATACTTTACATGCATTCCGGAAAATAAGTGCTAGATATGGAGTTCTAGGGCTATGGAAAGGATGGCTACCAAATGTGCAAAGAGCAGCTATTGTTAATTTAGGAGGTAGGAGCTGTTTGTTTGTATTTTGCACTTGTGAAAAAGCCATTGCCTCGATATAGTGCCAAAGTACCAAAAAATTTTATGTAGGGTAATGCTGGTGTACACCAGATTTCTTGGAATTGTAACTGGTCATATATATAATTGTTTTTGAGGAAAGCATTTAGATTTTGATTCAAGATGAACTCAAATGAACTCAAATTTTTAGCAAGATGTACCAAGATTAGTTAAAAACCCTACCACAGCTGCTTCCTACCTTTTGAGTAGTTGCACCCCATCAATCATTTCCTTTTGTTAACAACAGGCAAACAATTATGTTACCTCTCACAGTATGTTTTTCAATTTTTCAGATCTGACGACTTATGACAGTGCTAAGCATTTCATTTTAAGGAACACTTCATTGCATGATAATTATGTTACTCATGCATTAGCAAGGTTTGTTTTTCTTGTGTATCATCTGTTGTTTCATTTAGAAAGTTCTAAGCCCAGGCATAGTTGTCAGGGTGAGGAAATGCAAGTGACAGTCATGTTATTGGGACTTTAAATAATTCAGTATAATTTAGACATCATATGCTCTTTTCCAGGCATTAAAGAATTTTGTTAAAAATACCAAGTTGTTCACCTACCTAAAAATTTGGTTTCATTGCACCTCTGGTTTTGAGGGAACATGTTAGGGTAAACTGTAAATAATTAAGAGTTTTTTCACTTGAGGTTTCCATGATAGGAATTGATTTCAACCATAGCTATTCTCTCAGATGTGTTTTAGCTGTTTCTCCAATCTGATTTTATTGCTCTTTTGTGTATTTTTACTCAAGCGTTCAAGCTCCAATCTTTTGCAAAAGAATATGGGGTAAAACATATTTGTTGATTACAACGTAGCTTGAAGTTGATTAAAGCCTTGGTCAAACGATACAACATTTCGCCCAACATGGTGTTGGGCGTAATGTTGGATCGTTTGACTACCTTGTTGGGTCGTAAATTTCGATGTTGGATAAAATATGACTGAGGTTAAAAATGTCGGCTGCCGACGTCCAACAACTCTTTTGTTTTGAAGTGTTAAGTGAAATTTTGGATCGTTTGACCACCTCAGCCAACATTGTTGGCTCTGCGCACGCGTAGTCGGTAAAAGACCGCCAAAATTCAATCATAGCATTATTGTTGACTTCTTGGGTTGATTTCTTTCGCTTCGAATCTCCCTCCGACTCTCGCTTCAACTCTCGCTTCGATTCTCGCTTCGACTCTAGATTTTGCTTACAATTGATACCATTTATAGCTTTGGCGGCGATTGCCTTTCGTTTTCTCGGATCGAAATGTGGTGGCGCATCGTTATGTGCCGCCATCATCATGAGCGTCTCGTGTGCCTACTGTTGTTAAGCAACATCAATGTTACCTACTGCCCATTCCCTTTTCGATCTGCGCTAGAAAATGTTGGGCGAAATGTTGGGCAAAATGTTGGATCGTTTGACCACCAACGTTGGATCACCTTCCAACATCGAAAATAATGTTGGGCAAAATGTTGGGCAAAATGTTGGATCGTTTGACCTCCAACGTTGGATCACCTTCCAACATCGAAAATAATGTTGGGCGGAATGTTGAGCAAAATGTTGGATCGTTTGACCACCAACGTTGGATCACCTTCCAGCATCGAAAATAATGTTGGGCGAAATGTGTGATCGTTTGACCAGGGCTTTACTACGTTGTTGATTACTACATTACAACATAGCTGACTACTCCTTGAAAGAGCTGTTTTCTCTACCTGTGTCTGTATTAGCTAGTTTGATTACGTCTCACATTGTGAATATGTGTATACCATAAAACCTCTCCTATTTAGAATATTTTCTAAGTGAGCGCCTCCTTTCCTCGAATGAGCGCCTTCCCCTCAAATAGTCGCCTCCCCTCGAAGGCTAACTTTTGACTGAGCAGTCTGGGCCTTATTTTGCAGACATACGGTATTTCAATTTCATTGTGTATGAGTCAGTTATTAAGATTTATTCATAACGCTTTTGTTTTTGTTTCTCTTCGGTTGGTTATTCTTTTCTCCAAATTCCCTTATAAATAAAAGCAGATTTATTTGCGGTGCAAACTTAATATAATTAAACATCAAAAGATTTTCAGTTATTGGTTTCCAAAACATGTGTTACGATGCTCTCTAAGGCAAAGCATTCTTAGTCTAATCATAATTGTGATTTTCATGCCTTTTGGTAGCTTAATATCTTGAGTAAACTTTATAAAGTGCCTTATGTTAAATTATATTCTTAAGGAGTTCTCCAGAACATTGTATGAGGTTGCAAAATTTTCAAAATCTATAATTAGTTTTGTTCATATCATGAGCAGATTTGTGTCATATTTTGGCTTTCTTTTTAAATATTTAAAGAAGCATTAGACATTTCTTGACATTTCCACCTGCTGAAAACAAAGATTTGTGTTGAAATCTTTTTTTCGAAAGAAAATTATTTATATTCACGACTTAGAGGAAAATTTTATTAACTTTTTTCAATTGGTTGAGCTACTTCTTAGTCAAAAATGTCCTAAGGCAGTCTTGATTCAGTGTAAGATCCTACCAAAGCATGAAATATGCTTGTGTCAAAAGTCTGAAAAATGAAATGAATGAAACTTAAAATGGAAGTAATGTTTATTTTTTTTCTTTTCAAAAGCATTTGCTCTGGATTGGTGGCAGCCAGTTTGGGGACTCCAGCAGATGTTATCAAAACAAGAATTATGAACAATCCCTCTTTGTATAAAGGAACAATAGACTGTTTTAATAAGTCGGTAAGTTCCACCTTTTTTTCTTATTCTGATTATTATTCCAAACTTTAAACCAAAGCCAAGCTTTTACGATGATGAATGTCGATTTGACCAGATTTAAATGACGGTTGTGAATTCAACTTTCCAATGACTTGAAATCTTTTAAGATTTTTTATTTTTATCTTGAAAACGCTTCTTGAGGTGTATCAAGATCCTCAAGCAACTTGTTTGACGCTGTTATATCATCAAAGTTTTCTCTTTGCGGAGAATCGCCAAGATTGTGGCAGATTCTAGACAGTTTGCCATTGAGAGGTTTGCTAGTTTGTTTAAAGAGATGTCCACCCTGCACATATGCATTGCCTGATTTATATTGGGGAAAACAATGATGCAATCACTTTGATTTGCCCTTTGACAAGTAAGATGAATGCACAGGTGGTAGCAGACAGACTAACAAAACTTAATGATTGTTTGTCAGTAAGAAAAAACACCTGTAAAGCTTGTTAGTATGAGCTCTGAAAAATAATTGTTATGACTGAGTGCAAAATGCTAATGAATGATTTGTTTCCTAATTGAAGGTTAAACACGAAGGGTTCTTTTCATTGTATAAAGGCTTCATTCCAACGTGGTCACGAATGGTAAGTCGATAAACACACAACTAATCCTGATCTGTAGACATGCTCGACGATTTTCTAGGCTTTGTCAGATTTCGTTTATCGGTTTAACAGTCAGCCTTGCTGATTGTATTTTTAAGTTCCGCGTTTTGTTCAATTTGCGATTAAAGTTACTCTTGCTCTGTAACTCTGTAACTTTCCACTACTGCGAAATTCTAATACTAGGTGTAAGCATTTGAGGAGAATTACCCGCAACCCACGTCTAATTTTGCGAAGTGACTACATGGGTGAAGTGGTATTCACCCTAATATCAGGACTTTAAAGGAGCTTTGGGTTCTAGTAAATAGGTTTGATCCTTACCCAATTTATGAAAGATAGAATAAGCAAACAATCTTAAGTGATCGACGGTTTTCTCCTCAAGACGGTTCCGTCAAAATGAGTATCATCTAATGCTTGGTATTGGCGGCGGGGGGGGGGGGGGGACGTGCAGAAATTGAACATTGCTGCAGCGAAAACAGACGCTTTCTGTTTGATAGACGGTGGCAAGAAGAACGTTACTCGATCTTTTTGCAGGGTTTTCTTCGTTCTTTTGTTTTAGCAATTCAATTAGGTATTGCCTTTATAAATTTGCACAAGAAATATATGATGTGCAGGAAGAGTGTTTATTGAAAAGCATGTTTAGGGTCGCGTTAATCAATTTTATTTGTTTTCAGGCTCCCTGGTCGCTTACATTTTGGCTTGTTTATGAACAAATAAGACGGTTATGTGGCACCTCAAGCTTCTAACGAGCAAGTGTGTTGGTGATGAATTATTAATTCAAAGATGAGTTGTGCGTATTTGGTCGGAATGAAACTCGATGCCGTTGAATAGAAATTTGCAAGATGCACTTTCTTTTTAACAGGGACTGATAAGTGGAAGATTTTAAAATCAGTTCAAAATAAGTAAAGCTAGGAACCGTGCCATTCATGAGGCTTGGAACTGTCTGTTCCCCGGTTTACTTCTAGAAATTATCATGACTGTATTTGATACTCTGGGTGTAATGACTATTGTCAATTTTTGTCTCTTTCTGTAAAAATTGATAACTTCTCCCCCAAAAAAATTTATTATATATCAGTTTTATGTTTTAAATGGAATTTAATATATTTTACAACTACGAGGGAGTTGGCCAACTTTTAATAGAGACACCGTATATCAATCCACTTCTTTACTTTCGTACATCATATTCATATATCGATATATCGAATATAGATCCACTTTTTCAGGTTATCCCTTTAAATCATTTTGATTCTTCCCAATTGTGTTTGAAATTCAGTATCGAAATTATTGTATTTTCACTTTGGTATTGTTATAATTTTCTTCGGCAATAGAAATATTTTTGTGCAGTATAATATTACTGCACGATTTTGACGACTTCTGACTTACAAACCATTCTATTCTTCGGATTATAGACCTTTTTTGTTATTATTATTTTTAAGCGCCCATACGAACAGACAGTGTCCTTAGGTGGGCGTAGCTTTAATTTGTTAGAGCTTGGCTTTCGCCTGATAGAAAATGAGTCAGATCAGATCACATGTTCGCAGTAAATTACTGTTAATCAACGGAATATTTGGTAGACGACGAAGCTGCGTAAACGAGATTCGATCCTTTGTTTAAACATTGTTAAGCCACTGCAAATTTAATGTTTATATATATAATGAAAGTTTATATGAGATTAATTGCACAGATATGGATCGTGTGCGTTTGTCAATTTCATTCTCTCTGATGCTGCAGATCAAATTTCATAATTTTTTCGGTGATTTGAAATTAACTGCAGGACATGTTAGACGGAAATCTTAAAAATAATTAGAATGTAACTATGAGGCTGGATTTTTGCTGTTTATATTCAAAATCTACAACAATTCGGTCTTTTATAGTTACACACCTTTTTCTTCCGAAATTGGGAAAACTGACCAAATACCAACTAATTGTTCTGCAATTTCCTGTATTTCAAAATAAAACAATGTTTAAATTTTCTGAAAATGTGTCATTGATATTGAAGTTACATTTTCGTCATTTGCTTGCTCTTTTATAATTATATAGAGCCTTTGTTTGCCAGTGTTTAATTGAGTGGGAGACCCTTTACCAATGTAAATTAGCATAACATTAACCAGCCTCCTTTTCATAAACCTGCCCCACAGAGGTGTAATTCACAGAAGTTGGTCTTAGAAGTTGAAGGAGTGGGTTTTGAATAACTGGCCGTTTAAGTTTTCTTATCCAATGGCATGTTGAACATATGAATGTTTACACAATAAACTGAACTATTAAATAAACACGAGATAGCATTTCCATTTCATTTCTTCGTGATTCTCAACCATTTTACTGGTTTTAATTTTACGGTTAAATGAGCATATTCTACTACAAATGGCCCCAATTATAATTCTACATTTAATAAAAAACATAACCTTTCATGAACTAACCCCATAATAACTACAGCGAAGAATCATATAAATATGCATCTATCATTTACTTTGATATGTTATTGTACAGTACAATATATTTAAGTCTCATTTTCTATAGAATTTTCTATTTGAGTTTTTTGGAATAGCACATCTGACACACCCATTAATGTCAACGGACTCTATTCTTATATATTCTTCAAAGACTTCAATAGAACTGTGCCATCTCCGCCAAATATACTTGTATCACCAAACAACTTTCGTTGATTTGAGGATTTTTTAATTTTTTCCCAATTTTAACTAACACTGTTGACAGTTCAGCCAACATCGCACAAGTCACATGAAAACATTTAAACCAGTCAAAAGATAGAGTACAATTAAACCAATCAACTGGATGTGTGATTAGATGTCTTATCCAAAGTCTATTTTTATGTCAAAATAACATGGAAAAGATTTATGGAAATACTAGATCTGCAGCCACATTCCTTCTTTGCATCTCGGCTTTTCCTTCACAATACAGGTACTTCCTCGTGGGAATTTAGCATAAAAATAGGCTTTGGGAATGTCTATAAAATAGAGGGATACTCTGATAAAGGCACGAAATTCTGATGAAATTTTTAAATAACATTGAAGATGAAGATAAAGGATGCCATTGCGAACTTTCGAAAATATAGTGTAGTGTACAAAGACTTTTGGCAGGCATCTGGAAACCTTCATTTTGCCATCCAACGATGCTTTATGCATCTAAGCAAAGCTTTTGAGAGCTAACACGCTACTCTCTAATGCTCAAAACCTTCGCTCTGCTTCACCTTTTCCGTAGAAGCTTACAAGCTTTGTTACCACCGACAGGACGGGCAGTGAAATAGTTAGAGCGCCAAAAATCATGAAAAACGCGGCAATGATCTTGCCTGTATCACTCTTCGGGATTATATCGCCGTAACCGAGCACCACGACGGTCTGCAAAGCCCACCACATTGACTCGGGCACGCTCGTAAATAAGGTGCCTGCTGTACCGGTCTCAACAAAGTATAGCAAGCTGCCACCGATGATGACAACTATAAGCAAGCATAACATAAGCAAGCCAAAGTCATTTAAGCTGGACGCCATGATGTTTTTGAGCAGTTTCATACGCTGGGAGGAGCTGAAGACCTTGAGGAAACGTATCAATCTCAGCAACCGAAGTTGCCTCATCAGGCGCATCATGACGAGGCTGGCGTGGGAATGGTTAAAAGAAAAAGCGAAATATGGCAGCGAGGTGAAAAAGTCGATCATGTTCAATGGCTTTTTTATGAACTTCACAAATTCCGTTGTGGAGGCAAACCTTAAGCAATATTCTAGGGAGAAAAATGATGTAAATACGAGGTCGGCATAAAACCACCAACCTTTCGGTAACTCTTCACTAAACAATGTCTGCGCGCAGCAAAATGCGCACCACAAAGTGAGAATGCCGACAGAAACGATGCCGTAGACAAAAGATTTTGTTGAACTTTCGGGTTGATCAAGTATCAACCACAATTTCTGGCGAAAAGTACAGGGTTGAGCAACTGGCACTTCTTTGCCCTTCTCTAGTACCCCCTCGTTTCGTTTCATCGAGTTTATGTATTTTTCTGGAATCCCGTAATAAATGCATTCATTTTCAAATTCTTCTACAGTTAATTCAGGGGGTCTTATCAGTTTGCCGTAAGACTGGTAAAAAAACAAAATCGCTTCGAATGCAAACCTGTTACGGTCAAAGTAATACCTTTGTGTCTCCATGCACAGATGCTGCCATAATTTGTTTGGGTTGCCAAGCATTGTAGTTGGAAATCGTTCGACAGTCTCTGCCCATGTTTCAAAAGTTGTTCCACTTACATTGAAAGTAATTCTGCGACGAAACCCTCCTTGTTCTCTTTCTGAATGTTCCATTATTGCTTCAGTGATTCTTTCTCGCGCACTCCAACTCTATGTCATGAGAATTCCCTGCACGAGACTCTTTCATTTCTATTAAATTTATTGCACAGACCCGTAATCAACGATACAATGAACAGAGCTGCGAAAACACATGATTTTGTAACCCTGCAGTTGTATTTTCAAAATACGATTTTAGACACTAAGGTAAGCCACAAGAGATTCTAACTGCTGCAAGGTTGTGTCCTGCGATCCCAAAGGACGTGGTTTCCGCTCTTTGCTGAATCTGAGCACTGAAATGAAATAAAATAAACTCAATGACTCCACAGAATGTTTAATTTGCTACTTCTTAATTCTTGCCAGGTAATTAATATCGAAGTAAAGCCAGCACAAACTTCTTCTTTACATAGGTGATATAACACTTCACAAATCTCGTGAAGATCAGTTACCCGGCAACTGAATCGAGGTGAACGTAACTCCGCAGAGTTAAGAAAAAAGTTTAATACTCTTTGCTGAGGAAACGTGCACAAACAGCTTAGCATAAATCTAGTGGTAGAAAAATTTCCTTAAAATCAAATTCTTTTTTAAGCTATTAAACCCTAGGTGTAGTGCCCACTAGGTAGTTAAAATTGGACACTATTATGTTGTATGAAAAACGAAAGAGTGTAGTCGGTACAAATAAATTTATTTGTATCTTGTTACATTAAGGAAGAAAATGGAAGTTATTGTAATATAATCGTGATTGAAAAAGCATTTAAAATAGTCTTCCCGTCAACCACATCTTTCACTAACACTTCAAATATCAAATGAATGAAAAAAATTTCCAATAATATGGAAATAGAATTATTCTCATATCAAAGAAAATGTTGGATAATTACGAGATTGAAATCCAAAGATTAACCAAAGAAAATATAAGATTAATCAACAAAGGTGTAGTGTAGTTGTGAGATTGCATATTTGTGGAGAGCATTTTTCATTGCTAGGAGATGGCTAAACACTCACCTTAAGAAAAGATTTCCATACTGAACACTATTTCAGGAAAATATTAAAATCATTCCATCAGTTTTCGCATTTCTCTAGCATATTACAAATAGACGACAATGGTGCGTGATTCTGCCAATACATCGATCGTTTTCAACGACAGAAGAAAGTCCAAATGGGCAGCGCAAGTCATCGGCTAGAATTAACAAGAAAAATTGCCTGACAGGTGCCTCATGGAAATAATCTAACTTGTCTTCATTTGTTAGGTTTTCAGTGTTTACTTCTCTCATACGCTGTATTCAGTGGCCATAATTGAGATCGGGCAGTATTGTCGTGTTAAAAATGAGATATGACATGTGATCAAATATTGATAGGAGACTTGCGCTGTATTTCTAAATGGAAACACATCAGTTTCTATGGTGAGATTTATGTAGCAATTCTTTGTGAAATACGGATGTCACTGTACTAAATCAACGATCGCTAATAATCGTCATCACTGATCGCCTGTTATCACACATCAATTGATGAAGATCAATCTCGATCAAACTTGCGTTGCAGGGAAGTGCAATCTAAAGTTACTTTAAAATGATATCATTTCAAAATGGCTCTTGTGTCTTAGGCTCGCGCTCTTTCTATCATCCAAAATGTTTGTACAGCATAGTGTGCCACAGAAATCAGAAAGATTTCAAGTTTTATGTTCAATGTTGATGACAAATTAAGAATTTGACGCCTTGAAGATCACAAAATAGCTTCACCAACCTCAGGGCGACATCCTTCTGGAATCCTCTAGATAATTGGCCACAGAATCAAGGCGCCTGGCTTTTTATTGCACGTAAATTTGCTGCACAGAGGATACGCTCATTGACAGGTGAAATCAAAAGAAGGTACTCTACAAAGGCAACATCAATGATCGCCTTCCTGCATAAACAAATTTACTCTATTAAAGACCGCTAAACAAATCTACAGTCGTGATAAAACTCCTGATAAACTTAATAAAGTTTCTATATTCTGATGTCGGCAAGTCATTTTGGAGCCACATAGTAAGAAAATACTTCAATATTGAAGAAATGTTTATGTAATTCATAGGCGTTGTCTTCTGCTTTCTTGAGTGTCTTCAATTGGAGAGTAGCTAATGAATACTGTTCACTGATAGCGGTGATAAGCTGATTTTTTACAAAGCCGTGGAGTCGGTAAACAAGAACACTGTTACGCGCTGTTCCACAAGAATCCTTCCTTGGTTCAATTTTTAGCTTTGCAAATGAACGGCTTCCAATGTGAATTTGAAACAGGAAAAATTTGCTCGACACGATGTATCGTTGCAATTCACCTCAAAAATTTTAAATTATGTAGCTTCGGCTAAGATAGCATGCAGATTTTTTATTTCAAAGTATGGATTATGACTAGACGTGTAGGCAGGTGCGTTTTTGCTGTAGCTTATTTTCCAATACCGTAACTTAAGTTTTGATTAGAACGCACAGAGCCTTGAATAGCCTGAGAGCTTTGCAAGCACAGTTGGATAAGCCTTGGATGCAAAATCAGAAAATCGGCATAGCTGTCGGGATGGCATCGTACGCGATCAACTTGTGATAAAAATAATGTTATGTAAAAAAAGTGACTCGCAAAAGTAAATCGAATTGCAAAGTACTAGGTGTGCTTGTAAGCATTCTGGTGTTGATTCTGTAATTTCAATTCAGCTTTGAAAATTATGGCTTTTTTCATTCAGCCAAGTCGAAAAAAGCGACGTTGTGGGTAAATTTCCCCATGGAATGGATGCAAACAAAAGACAGCGCCAGCGAACACAAAGCCACATTGCAACTGAGTTTCAAGAAGAATCGGCGATAGTTTGAACTCAATACCACATATCTGCTGGTTAAGGCCCTGTCCACACGTATCCGGAAAGTTTTTTCCCGCAACTATTTTTATTCGGGTACGAAAATTTTTGCATCCAAACGGAGGGTATTCGAATCATTTTCAGGCGTCTACACGTAGCCGCTTACGATGTATCCGGAAATCGTGTGATTCGCTCTTGCGCCCAGTTCTTTTGCCGGAGATAATCCTGAAGTGAACATGCGCATAACCAATATTTTGGCGCCATTTCTTTTGCGTCCTTGCTTTACTTCTTTTGCGTCTTGTAAGGGTTTTACTCTTGTAAAAATTTTCCAAATAAATAAAAAATGCAAAGAAAATGTAAATTATGAAGTGAAATTACTACTGACAGTGACTAAAGATTACAAAGCGAAGCAAATGACAAAAAGTGTTGATCGTGAATCTTGTGTGAGCAAGTATGTTGAGATTCTTGAATCATACAGTGCAAATTATCCCTCACCTGAAGATGCTGCATCTATTGGAAAGGTTTCCCACACAAAAAAAGATGAATTAACGAAGTCTGTTTTGACTTTAAAGCTAAAAGCGATTAGCCTGCGCGCAGCTTCAAACACTTCTGTCCCGAAGAGTTTGAGGCTGCGCGCCGGCTAAAAGCTATTCGAAGCGAGTACAGAAACAGAAACTTTTGTAAATTTATCACAGTTGCATTTATCTGAAAGCATGATATTAAACTAGAAATCAAGGCAATTGACAAAGACAATACAATCTTCCCCTACTCCTTGTTTGTTTGTATTAGCAGTGAGAGACTGGAACCCAGAAAATGACGTTGCATATGCGAAAATCTTCGGATACAAGCGTCCACACGTATTCGCATTCGTATCGGATCAAAAAATTGCCACTCTGGAGACCGTTTTCAAAAATTTCCGTACACGGCCGTGAGATACGCTGAATACGTGTGGACGCAAGCCGTATTCGTAAAAAAAAATTTGCGTTTTCACAAATTTCCGGATACGTGTGGACAGGGCCTAAAGCTCACAAGGAATAGCAAAAATGTGCTTTCTACAAAAAGTAGGAAATTGGTGAACCTAAAATACAGTGTGCACCTTGACTCTATGACAAACGAAAGTGCTCCGAGTTTCTGTGCAAACATGAGGCATTAAATCGATATTCTGAAACCAGAAACACCGAAGAAAGATTCACTCAGTTCAATAGGTACTTGAACTGATTGACCTTAAACACCCTCATTCTCCTTATCCTTCATTTGCACAATAAAATTACAGAAAAACTGCTGGTTGACAAAACCAAGTAGTTGCGTTAACGGAACAGTGCCTCGTTAGTTTGGCCACTATGCCTTTCCGAAGTTAGATTATAAAAACTTTAGTGGTACTACGACTTTCTTAGCTTGCTCATTCTTCACAAGGTGCAAAAACGATGATGCAGCTCATAGGATGCTCATGGATGCTAGATTTGATACAGGTCCCATTTTTAACAGCAACATCACAAATTGCCTTAAACTTTGATATGCTCTGAACTCCCTCAATCTTTACTTACTTTTCCTCGTTGTTCTAAGTTGTTTTCTTCCGTTGAGTTTTTATTACACCTTTTTGGTTAATTTACCAATCATTAATTGCTGTAAAGTTGGAATAAGTTGGATAATGTGTAAGGGAGCCATATCCCTGAAGCTTTTTTAAAACTATTTCTGTCCTACAGTATTCTAATTTAGACATCAGCAAGTCTTGACTTGAACAGAAATTGTGTTCCTTTATATTACCTTTTTTCTGTTCATAATCTTAATATCATTGTTGCTCCATTCCTATTTACTTATTACTAAAATCCCAAAATTATCCACAACCTCTCTTGCTGAGAAACACAAAAAGAAAAAACATAAATTGACTGGCAGAACTTCACATTGACTTTACATATGATTAATTCATCTTTCTTACAAGATTATTGATAGCCTCCTCTCTGTTACCGAAATCTCCCCCCTCTACAAAGTGGTTTGTCTTCCTCTTGAATCCTCCAGTTGGGTTGTTCAATTTGAAGGGCCACAGGAAATTGTTTGCTTTCTTGAAGTTTGGTCCAACAGTGAAAATTTCATGGATCAAGTCTTCAACACAGATGAGGCCATGTTTGCCAATTGAATTTTCGATGACTGAATTGTCCGTGATGGGGATTCTCTGCTTGTTAACCTTGGCAAAGCCACGCTTGTAAATGAGTTCACGAACAGTTTTCAGATTTGGATATCTGTAGAAGAGAAACATTTATGTCAACTCTCAGATCACTAGAAACAGACAATTTTACAACAAGGGGTAAATAATATCATTTTATGACGATTCAAATGCAGATAATCCATCCAGATTAATTTCTTAAGCATGTAGTGTCTTGTTCAATATGAATAAAGTATAGCTGATTTATATTGCCTTGAGAGTTGAGTTAAGTTGTCGGCTGTTGACTTACAAAATGATAATGCATGGAAGTTGGAGTTTGTCTTGGATTGAAACTGTACAGAAACGGTCCTACCACATCTTGGCCGAAGGGAGAGGGGTAGCTTGTACTTTCTTAGAATGAGACAAGCCTTACAATGATAAGAACCGAACTAATTGGTAACATTGTTGGCTTTGCTGCCAGTCGAAAGTGTAATTTATACTGTCAAGTATAATAATTTAAGTCTCCTGGAGCAAAATGCCTTGCCTACCACAATGAATGTGGTGGAAATACATTTTCATGAAACTGGCTTTAATATAAGAGTCTGACCCTGCTTTATCAGTAGAAGAGGACAGTGACAGAATTTTTTCATATCCACCGGGTGATAAGAGAATCCAAAAAATTAATGCCAGAAATGGCTTGTCTCATAGAGGGTCAACAGGTTGTGAAACAAACTAGGGTGAAAAAATTTCAAGAAAGAAAATAAAATGACTAAAATTGCTTTAAAAGGAAACAACACATATTGTTCCCCGAATTGGCTCCAAACAAAGAAATACACAAAGATAGGGTAAGAATGTCTAAGTAACCTTATAAATTCAGTATAGGCAAGCTTGGTACAGAATGTTAAGTTAAGCAGTGCAGGTGTAAGATGTTGGAATTATGATTATGATATTTACATTGCTACGGTTTAGTTACCCCCGTCATAGGTACAATGGACACCTATTTACTTAATTGACTGACATGTTGTTGCAACTAGTAACACCTCTATTGTTTTATCTTATAGTACAATGCTCCATAGTAAAGTCTTCCTGTTGTTGTTGTATATAAATTTTCTGCAGTGAAAAGGTTTTGTTCATTTACTTCTGTTTCTTAAAAGAGCCAAAAGTCTGCAGAATTCTAACATAAAAAAGTTAACAGGCAAGCACAATATTATGGTTTTCCTGTAAACAATATTAGCAAAATTTTAATGAGGAAAGAAAGGGTGTAAACTGAATTAAAAGCTTTCTTGGGAATGTCGCCAGAAGGAAAGGGCTTTTAGCAAACAAAATGTTTTTGAAAACACAAATTAAAACACATTAACACCGATGTGCGATGAATCAAGTTGCTGACTAGCTTCCTAAGATTAAATCCCTACTTCTGGGAAACATACTGAAAATGATGATTACAAAAAGCATGCTCGATTATCTCCGGAGGCTGTTTTTTCCTATTTGTTTTGCTGACTCTCTATACACTTCATAAAAACTTGCTAAACACATGCATGGGCCCCAAGCTTTAAATATATACTTCACATAAAAACATTTCTGTAGTTAACAGTTAGGCCTATACATTGCCACTAAAATTTTACCTGTCTAGGAAACAATTCTGAACTTTTCTCTATCGTACAAAAGGGTATGATAAGATGGGCAATCAAAAAAATATAGATAGTGAATGAACTCAAAATCTTGATAGCTTACCCCCAAGCAATAAATGGCTCAACAAGACGTAGCATGTTAATGGTGGCTTTATTCAACCTGATAAATATGCCATTATTGATTTGCCTCAATCTCAAAAGCTGGAGAGCTTTCTTTACTTTAGGGCTAACTTGGTTGATACCCCTGATTCGGATAACAAACCCAAGTTTGGCTTCAGCTGGAACGTAGAATTTTCCAGCAGACTTGATTTGGCGCTTCCTCCTAATTTCGTCACTTTCTTGAGCTCTGTATTCTTTAACATAGGATTCAGCACGCTTAAAGATGACCTTTCTCTTGTCTTTTGAAATCTTCAAGACAAATATATTCATTTTTAATTAATGATATACATACAATAATTAATTCATTACTCAAGAGAATATTGTTTTGCAAACAGTATATTAAACAATTTCAGAGTAAAAGTAATTGATTCTAAACATATCTTGAAACAGAACAGAAGGAGAGAAAAGGCAACAGGCCTCTCAGCAAGTAACAATATTTGTTTGTAACTGGTCAAGCATCTTAAATATGGTCTAAATAGAAACTCTTTTGCAATACTCCAGCTTCATCAAGCCAATTTGCTAGATAAGTGTTGTAGCACTGTTTATGTTAGAAATTCTCTACTGACAGAAATCCGAAAACTAGAGCAAGTTACCAGGACTACTTCAAATTAATCTTGGGCTAATGTTATCATTAATAGTTGGATTTCCAATTGTACTTTCAAAATGGAAAGTCTTGATAGATTTTGGTAAGCCATGGCAAAAACAACAAAAACTATTTTCATACCCCTGCTATTCCTATGTTCTTATTTTTTAATTGCATAATTAAAATAATTTAGAACTTCATATTTTCTAACAAAGATATTGGGTTTTTCCTCTCAGAGTCTAGATTTGCTATATCAAGATATGATGCTACAGTGGAAGTGGTTCTTTGTGATGAAGCTCAATGTGGATTAATAAAAGCAAAATATTTCTAGGGTCAGAGAGAGAGGAGAGATGCAGTTCAAATTAATTGATAGCTCACATCAATAGATTGATGTTACATTTCTGTAAGTGAATCAAAAAACGAATTTTACCTTTTTTTGTTTAACCAATGCTTTGGCTCTTGCAGCCCTGATTTTCTCAAGGGTCTTCCTTTTCTTTAAGATGGTCTCAGGGACCCCTGGCAACTTTTGGCTATAATTAAATTAAAGATGGTTTAATTTGGCTACCAATATTGCTGAGTCTAGGCAAACCTTGAAATCACAATTACTTCTTTCATTTAGAAAAAGCTTGAGATTGCCCATAACCAACACCTTCCACTGGAATGATTCAGAAGCTTAAAGTTTCAAGGCATATTTTGAATAAAAAATGATAACAAACTTTATAATTTGCAAATAAGAAGGATTTTCCTTAAACCAACACCAGCTTTAAGGGCAAAATAGGCATAATTAAATCTTCATAGGATACCCTGAGTTCAGTAAAAGACAATCCAATACAAAGATTTCAGAAACTGCTGATGACAACAAGATTATGTAGTTTTCAGTAATGACTTAAGCAAAATAGGGTTTTTTTTAAGTTTGAACAGATTTATGAGAAGTAGTGGACTCTAAAACATAATGAATTGATATCTAGCTTAAAACTTCGCTTCAGTCCACATCTTTAAAAAAATTTCCAACAGTATCTTGAACAAATATGGCACATCATTATTATTAGCCCTTGAATAATTAAAAGCTATATACATGGCAATAATGTATGCAACTCTGCTGGAAACCAACAAAAATGTAAGTTTCCATATAGCAGCTAAAAGCGTTGCAACTAGTTTCGTCCATAAGCGAAGCCTCTTGCTTTAGAAAACAGCAAAAAGCTTTAGAAATGGACAGAAATAAATAGGCCTAACTGGACAGATTTTGAAGTGCATAACATCGATAAATACAAGGTAGGCTAAGTTTCATGAATTTTTTACAGGCTTTCTTGAGCCGGAATCTGACATACACAAGAATTACGCATTAAAACGATTGAAATCATTAGAAACTTTTAATCTTCGTTCTACGAAAAGTGGCAACTTCTCCAAGGTAAGAAGCCTTTAAAACGCTTCAAACTTTCTTGGCTTGCGGTATATTTGGCAGAAAGCGTTTACTAATAATTCGGAGGCATAACTCTCCGTATAACATGAAATCAATGGTTAAATAACAACGATTAACGTAGATTTAGATCAGGGAGACTAACCTCTTTTGCTCAGCCATATTGATAATGTGGGAAAGGGAGATCTTGAATTTGTGCCCAGATTCCTATCCTTCGCGGTCCTGCACAGGCAGCGTCTCCGAGGATGCTGAGAAGGAGCGTAGCAGTGAAATGGAATATGTCTCGAATGGGATTCAAATTTAGGGTGGAAGGCAATATTTGTTCAGACAAAGCAGGGTATTGTCTGAAAAATATGGAGCTTCAATCTACTTCTCCTCTGCCACTGCTCCCCTGCCACTGCTCCCCTGCCATTGCTCCCCTGCCACTGCTCCCCTGCCACTGCTCCCCTGCCACTGCACCCCTGCCACTGTCCCCCTGCCACGGTGTCACTTTATTTTTAATCTAAGCCAGATACAAAGTTATAAAAATCAGTGTTTTTCAGCCACTGTGCAGCGTTACAATAGTATGTCGTAAGATATTGTCCGGTGTACCGTGGAAAGTTCTCCAATTTCATCTCATTTGTCTAAAAACTGTCCCAGGTTTCGCGCTGAGTGAATAAAAATGTCTAATTTTATTATAAAATACTTTTTATTTGTGTTAATTTGATTCCTATTCAAGATACTTCGACGAGAACGACCTTCTATCATGAAGATAGGCCACTGAGTTCAACTTTATAGAACTTTCTGATGGTGGTGTTCCTCTTGAATTTTTATTAAAAAATGTGCCGTGGATCAATAGAGGTTGACAAACACTAAATGACAAACGTTTTGTGTGAGACACGCGTTTTGGTCTTTTCTCATGGTTACATGCATTAAAGCAGAATTTACACGCAATGTACATTAAGTTTTTGGTTCATTCAAGTTCTTCAGTTTCTTTAAAATTTTCCACAGGTTAAGTGATGCTATATTTACCAGAGATTTAATTCAGTGTGATTTTTCTTGCCTTAAACGCTGGCTAGCACTATCGCATCTATGACACCCAGTAACGTTTCCAGAAACACGCAGGACACGCAGGAACAAGATGGTGATGTGTCTATATAACCTGAATAAGTGTGTCTATGAAGGGTGTTTTTTCAAGAAGGGCATTTCCAAAGGACTAGAGAAATTGGCAAACCAAAAACCTTTTAAGGGCTACCTGGGCCTTCGACCCCGTTTTCATCCATGTGGCAGTCAGGATTAATTTTGGATCCGCCCCTTGCCTCGAGATTACATAGCAGTCCTAATTTTTTTCTCATTTTTTCACAAAACTCACTCAATTTCAAATCAAAATTTGAAATATCTGGGAGTGTTCGTAGCAAATTCAATTGAAAGAATAAAAGAAAACAATTGCAATGTTTCCTTCGACATTTTTGGATGGAAGAAAGGGCACATGTTTGATATATATGCTCATGAAATAAAGGCGGCAGGGAGGCACGTGTCATTGACCATTCGGAAATCTTTAAGAAGTTTTGTATCTGTTCGGCAGAAGAACATAAGACATTCATAGAAAACTATGAAAGTTCAAAGGAACTTAATGCTAATAAGCGTACTTTAAGCAAAATCTAAGATATTTGAATGTTTAATGTCCAAGCAAATCTGCCCAATGGTTCTAAATCAAATTTGCTGTATGGCTTTCATAATGGACATAGTATAAACGCGCACTATTCAGGCCCGAGCTTAATCTAAGGAAATTAGCTCCGCAAATCATCATTACATTTTAAGCGTTATTCACAAATACAAACAATCCAAACAAACAAACAATTTAAAATTTCAAAGGAAATTGCAGTGCAAGAGTTCAGGGGCGGACTGGCTAATTTTTTTGGCCCGGGCAAATTTTGATCAAACCGGCCCACAATAATAGCAAATAAAAAACTCCTCGGAAAATACAAGTAAATGTTAGTCTGCAAGGAAAACAAGTTTTTAAATTCAGTAATTTTGTGCATGGTTGAATGCTTGCATAACATAACAAGTGAATAAGCATAACAGAATATGCTTAACAGAACATGATAAATATGTCATTTGTTGACTAAACAGTAAATAAACAAAAAATTTAACTCCTTGGTTTGACTTTGTTTCTAAATATAGTAACTTATATGTTGATAATGTGATCGTTCAGGATGTCATCTAACAGGTGTTTTTCTAAGAACATTAACATGAAGGACTCCAGGTTTGGCTGCGAAAAATTACTACGTAATCTGTTCTTTATATATTTAAAGCGGAAAAGCTTCTATCACGCTCCACTTGTGACAAGTAATTTTCTAATCCTCCGGAAAACCACAATGATTTTCAGCAGCCCAAAAAAATAGATTTGTCAATTTCTGACCCCAAAAAATGGGCACCCCTGTTGAAATTTTATCGTGTAGCACCATACCCCTGTGGGCGGCGGTGCATTTGACTTTAGATAGTATAGGCCTAAAAATAAACTTACAAAAACTTGTATGAGTTTATTGAAAGGAGCAAGAGCAAGACCCTGCTGTTTTTTGTGACGTTTGTGGCTTTTGCCTGATAAAAAAGCTTTGTATCGTAGCTGAATCCTTTTTTAAGTCTCGCAGCTTTTCCTTCACAAAATTTCTGTGCATCACCTTTGGTTGAAGTCTTCTTGCTTTCCCTTGTTATACGCAGTGGCGTACCCAGGGCCGGAGAAGTGGGGTGGGGGGTCTGGGGCGCAGCCCCATAAATTTTTTTGGACCACGCCCTTCAAACACTCGCAAATGCAGAGAAACGCCCTTTTTGCAAAATTTTCCGCCATTATTTGATTCATGTTGCTACAGTAAATAGGAAAGTATTTTACAATTGGGTACACCACTGGTTCTACGTATGTCCTCTTCATTGCTTCAAATCACAGAGCAAATTGCTTAGTGAACTCTAATTTTTGGACTTATAAATTTATTACATTTAGCAATAGCTTGTGCTTAGGGAATAACATGACCAGCTTCAAGCAAAAGCTAAGTAAAAAGACATCAGGGCAGGTTAAAATCTTATGTATCGCATTGAAACAGGGGTGTAACAGTATAATATGTTGCCAAAAAGGACATACCGTCAAGAGAAAATATAAAAAATTTTCAATAACATTTTTTCTGAAGAAGTGTGTTTGGGCTGCGGTGACAAAAAGAAACTCGCGTGTATATTTATCCTTTCCCACAAAGTCTCTGAAAAATCAAGGCAAACAGATCAACGTGTGGGTATACTTTTTGCCTCGCATTCACTTTTTAAGCTAATTTATTTTTTGCACTTATCAACCGGCCCTTAAACAGACCGGCCCTTCGGGCGATCGCCCGAATAGCCCGACCAGCCAGTCCGCCCCTGCAAGAGTTTTGTTTAGTTACAATAATGTGCTGAACCGAGAATGCTTAAGGTGCAAAGAAGTGTTTGTAGAGAGATGGGTTCTCTTCGATGGTTAATGTTACGAAGTTGAGGCTTTTTGGAGAAAATTATCCTATTTATAGCATTCCATCTTCTCCATTACTTTCCAATTTTACGTTAAGAAAGTGGTAAGCAAGTTTTAGTGCTGAAATTAGGAAAAAGCTTAGAAAGTTTGAGGGGTGGCCTGAAAAGGCTCTCTTAGTAAAAAGCGTGTACCCTTTTAATTCCGACCTCAATCATCTTTCTATTCTCTTTAACTCTTCGGTGTTATCGTGATGTAAACATTTTACCTTCAAATAACTTGTGTAGTATATTGTGAAACTCCGAGATGATTCTTACACACTCAAAGTGAAATATTATTGTGAACTGGCCAAGATAAAGACTTTTTTGCAATAAATAGAGAAATTGGTGTATTTTGTCAAGGGTGTAATGCTAGTCCCAATTATGTAGACTTACGCTCCTCTTTTTCTGCAGCGAATCTGATCGAAACCTGGTTGAAATGTTACATAGGAACGATCGCCTTAACAAAATACCTACGTTTTTAAGGTTTCCCCCTTTTTTTAGTAAAAATCATATCAAAATATGGGATACAGCCTGGTGAAAAAATTTTGAAAATCGGGCTTAGTGACGACAATATGTTTCTGATTACTCAAATTTCCAAGAAAGTATCCACAAGTTAAATACAGCAAGCAAAAGAAAACTGCACTGAAGAATCAAGTGAGAGATAATAATTTTATTCGGGGGACAATGATTTATGAGAATTTATTACATAAACCAAGGTAAGAAAGTTATTTTGATTGTTGTTGTTGTTCTTCCTCTGCAGCATAAGCAGACAGCAAGTCAATCTTCTTTTGTGCCTGGCGTTCCTCACGACGCTGCCTGGCTGCCTTGACCTTGGCGCGACGGGCCTCGGCTTGATCACTGATGAAAGCAACAGAAAATCAGTTTAGAGTTTTGCAGCATGAAAAGAATGAACTTTGTATGTGATAATACAAACTGAGTTTACTTTGAAGCTAAGAAATGTATACAACTGATGAACAGCTGGTGCATTTCTTTGAATTAGAGATATAATGATTAAAAGCTGATTTCATTGAAATATATATAAACTAAACATAAAATCATAAACTTAGACAAAACTTGTTACTGGGTTGGAAAATCCAATGAAAATTCAGTATCAGTTCGGCCTAGTGAAAGTCGGTCATATTAGGGGTATGTACAACTTAATAAGATTCAAGATGGGATTCAAGTGTAGTGAAAAGAAAATACAAAAACTAATGAGTCAAATGAGCAGAACTGTGTTAATCTGAGGTACTGCTAATTTAAAAAATCATGTCACTTTTGAAAAAGCAACTACTGGCTTTCCCTTACTCTAATTAGAAACAATAAAACAATAATATTAGTATCCAGAAGCCAATTCTTACCCCTTTGAACTTATAAATTATTACTAGGTACTTGGAAGTATTAAAAAACATCCCTTATGATAACTAAGATTTAAGTATTTTATACATTTTATTTGACTTTATTTTCATTTATAAGAAACAACAAATGTCACAGAATACCAGGACTGTATGATCCATAGGTGGAACTACAGTCAGATAATTCTGACAGTGTAATTTCAGCACAAATTGCACGCCATACAATGATTAAACAGCAATGAATGGTCGGCTTATTTTGTGCCTTGCCTTATCCAAACAAAATTGCAAAAAGTGTGGGCTCAAGAAACACACAATTCTTGTTTTTAGGCCTAAAATATGCATTAAAGGTCAGCTGTACTATATATTCTTAAATGCATCACTAATAAAAACAAACGAGATTTATATAATGATCTTAATTTTTTTCACTTCAATTTGAATACAAATGTATTATCATTATACCACAGTGTTCAAATCAGTTAATGGTAAGCTTACCAATTGGTGTCTCAGATTATGGTCATTAATTTTAATGCACCACTTGGTGTACTTAGATATTGTGGTTATGAACTATCACATAACTGTTAAATAAAACTATGCAACATTATAAAGATGGAGCCATACCTAAGAAGCTTAGCTCTGGCCTTTTCTGCCTTCTTCTTGTGGATATATTCCATTAAAACTCTCTTGTTCTTGAAAACATTACCCTTGACTTTCATGTAGAGCTCGTGGTACCTGAGAATAGCAAACAGAGCTGTCTACAAAAATTGTTTGCAACTTGTGCTCTGACTTGCACAGGTTAAAAATTGTGAAAGGTTCAACTTTAAAAGCATGTTGAGCATTTGTATAGCATTGTTCATGAATCATGCAAACATTTTTAAGGATCGCTGCCAACTTTTCATCACTTTCAATTGAAAGTGAAAACAAAAAATTACAGGCTAGACCAATGTCAAAATGTTGCAAGCGTGCTATGGCTCACCAAGTTGAATCATTCCATGCAGAATAATCAAGATCATAATATCTGCAGATCTAGATTTGCATCATTTTTATGTAACAGGTATTGGTAACACATATTAACCTGTGTTGAAAATTTTAGCTTAATTTATTTCAATATCTTGCCCTCTGAATTTTTCAATCGTATCTATATCAAATAATATAGCCCCATTCAAAGTGTTTTTAGAAGAAAAAATATCATATAGTTTTAGAGAAAACTAAGGTGAAATTTCAACAAAGATACAAAACACAAAAGTTGGCAAAGGAAAAGTGGCTATACTAAAACATGATAGAAATGTAAGAGCAACGGCTCATTCCCCTCATCAAGGCTTGCTCTTGTCAAAAATGGTATTTTCGGACAACAGAGACTGTTCAACCAAGAATCGGGGTGTGACAAAGGAGGTAAATCTAGGGGTTTTAGTTGGACTATCTTAGTTCTTCATTTTGGTATTTGTTGATATTACTACATACACAACCCTCCATGCTCATTATAAATCATAGCAAAAATGCAAACCAACAACAACTTACAAATGCTTGTCAATCTTCTTTGACTCCCTGTACTTCCTGAGAAGCCTTCTTAGTACTCTCATTCTGTGCATCCAGATAACCTTTTCTGGATAACGTGCATTTTTTGTACCATGCCTTTTACCATATCCACTGTGTCTACCTTTCCTTTTTGCTTCTAGGAGCTTTCTTGTTCTTGCTCTACTGTGAACAACTTGTGGCTTTTTGATAATAAGACCATCTTTTACAAGCTTACGAATGTTTTGTCCTGAAAAAATATGTATATATATATTCTGAACATTTAAGATTCTGAACATTTAATGATCAAACCATTCAAAGCCTAGCATTATGAATGTAATATGGTAATAAAAAGACAAATACAATTGCCAACAACATTTAACATTGTTTCTAGAATTATTTCAGAATCATATCAAATATAATTCACAATTTGCACTTTGGTTAAATTGAAGTTCATTTATATTTTGAATGTCAGAAGCCTATCAATTTCTCAAATATATATTACTTTTCAGGGAGTTTATTTACACAAGTCATTTACTGAGAGAACCAACTAGCTTTAGCTTTTTCTAAATGTCTTCATATCTTTGTTGCTTTATTAAAGAAACTGTATCATATGTTGTTCTGTTTATTATGTCCAATGCTGTTGAATTTTAAGACAGTTATAGTTAATTTGATGATGCAGATGCGAACTTACAAAAGCCTAAAGATTATTTGTAGAAACATTACATATGCTTTTGGTTGGGATTTGCTTTGTTTGCTGTCCAGCTGATACTGTATTTTTATCATTATGCATTATGTGATTGTGCAAAGAAGTTGCTAGAAAATACAACAGTTATCTTGTGTATGATGTAATCACTATATATATATATGTATTTTTGTATTAATAATGACTCGTTTAAATTGAGGTTGTGTGCCTGTAGGAAATAGCTTTTTGGAGATGGTTTGAGAGAAGAGTTGAATGGTTTGAGTGACAATTTTAGCTTGGTTGATGTTAATTTTCTTCATGGAGCTTTTGTTGGCTGCTCCAATAACTATTTGTGTTAGAAGCTGATTTAATTTCCCAACAAGTGAAGCATGTTTGATGGTCTTTGATTTGATAGCTCATTATTCTTTTAATTCTTTAGCGAAAGTAACATTGAACAAAATAAGGCACAGACTAACCAAGAGGCTAAAAATTTCAAAACAGTTCTTAATCATTGGTTGTACCTACAGATATAATGTAAACTGCAATATCTAAGTAAATGTAAGCGCCTTGAAGGTAAATTAACAGTGCCTAATGAAATTAAATTTACAGCTCTGCTTACTTGAGTTAGCATTTCCAATTTCATTTGTTTCATTTGGATCAAGCCAGATCTTCTTCTTGCCACATTTCAAGACACTGGAAGCAAGCCGCTTTTGCAGGCGTAGGGTACTAGGAGATTTTGATAATATCCATGAGAGACATTTAGACATACAAGTAAAAAAACTGAATCAACCACCAGAGAACAAATTAAAAACAAAGATTCACAAAAAATTAGTACATCACGGAGCTTGAGATTAGTACAATACAGTCAGAGAAATTAGTACAGACTGTTCTTTCATTAAAACAAGTATACTTTAATTGTCTATATATGTTCAATGCAATGAATATTCAGAGGAGATACAGCTTTTGGTTAAGTGGCTATCAAAATAAAAAACAAATGCATGCACACGCTATTTAAGATATCAAAATTTATAAAAAATTAATATGCAATAATATGCATTTAAAAATGATTAACTGTGTCAATTTTCCCTATTATTCTACAGACAATTGGTGGACCAGAAACCCTTAAAATGGAACTAAACCAAAGTATTTATTTCCCTACATATTTCGGGCACAATTCACTTTGGCAACCAAAAAAAGCTGCTCTCATTTATAAAGAAGAGAGGTATTGATACACAAAAAATCTATATTACCAAAACAATCTCTCTGCAACTCTCTGACATAGGCCTGGAGGATCATAGAGAGGAAGACTGTCTAGGCCCGTCTAATTGAAAACACTCATTTGCAAATTTAGCTACAAATTGAGATCAAACTGGCAAATTTACCCTTGGAATTAGACAAAAATTCTTCAGAGATTCGATAACACACAATGGGAGAGCTACTGATAAATTTTGGGAACGAAATAGCAGGTTTTATATAACGATGAACGTGAATTTCTCACCTCATGGCTGCGCGATTGAGAAAAGGCCTTACACGAGACCAGGCTCTACGAAGTCGGAGATGTAAACCAATCAGATTGCGCTATTCGCATTACACATTGATGGTGAAAGTGCTCGTTCCAGGCTTCTTCGAGGGACATTACAACCATGATACGCAGAAACCCTCGAATGACACGCAGCGAGCCCAATAATCCGCGGGTTTGAATCAATCCAACTCAATTTTGTAGCAGGTGTAAAAATATTCACCGCTTGAAAAATAATGCTGAAGTAGTTGTTTACGAGCTCGAACTTGTGTGGCTAGCTTTGTTTTGCTATTTGAACGAGTTGATGTCTCATAATGCCTAATAGATATACCTCCATTCCAGAGCCTGGCCAAGTGAATATTTATATGGATGATAATGAAAGGAAGGGTATGTACATGATTGGGCTTTTTTGCCAGTCCAGTCTTAATTTTAGTGTACATTTTTTTGTTACAATGTTTATACCACAAAGGTATACGCAATTATACTGCATAGTTAAAAATTGATAACCTATTATTTCTATTTTTTTCCTTCTCCATCAAAACAGATAATTTGTCCATTTAAACCTTTTGAGAATATTTGCTGTTGTTGCCAATAAAAAAGTCCGGATGAATCTGGTAATAAATAAATCAAATAATGAATGTAGACATCATTTTGATTGACTTGAAAAATACAGGCCAGTGTCATAAAACCAAGTGATTTTATGATCAATTAAGCAAACAGAGTGTCTAGCTAGGTTTATAGTTTCTCAACCTGCAAGCAGAGCAGGGCCTTTTTTAACATACGAACTAGAGTGGCATTAACCTTACTCGTCGCAGTGCTGGCTAATGGTATTTTATAAGAAGCCTTATCCAACATTGATGAGATGAAATAGGCACTATGCAAGGGTGTAGAGCTAAGGGGCTCAGGAGGTCTGAGCCCCCCTTGTTAACGCCAAAAATCGCAAGTTTTTACTTTTGCTATTGTTTTTTGCAACATTTTGTGCAAGACTTATTTTTATAGCACTACACCATTGGCACTAAGTCATGTCAACTGCTACATGTACCTTTTCCTCTGTTTGTTTTGTCACAGACTACATTGGAAAGCCAAGTTACAATGTCTTGGAATGGTTTATTCTGTCTATTGTGCATTTAATTTGGGCAATCAGTTTACCAGTGACTTGGTGGTGTAGTTTCAAGGTATGGGTTTTAATAATGTCTTAATATAGTTTTCAGTGACTTCATGATATGGTTATCATGCAAATTTCTTGCAAAATCCAAAGGATTGTAAAACAGGCCAGCTGATTACAAAACCAAGAATAATCTATGAACACAAAAAACAAGCTAATACATGTAAATCACAACAATGATTCACAGACAGACAGGAAGCAATATTGCAAAGAGGAAATCATGCTTTACTGGTGACTGAATTTTGAAAGTTTGAATCAGGACTGGAGCTTTGCTTGTTTTGATATTCCCCCAGAATGAAATAGGTACCTACCAAGCACGAACACTTGTCTTAAGACAGTAAGGGAAGGAATTGGTAACGCACACTTCCTAAACATACAAGTTGTATACTGGATTTTCATTTAATATGTAGCCTATTTTAGTTATTATATATAACAAAAAGCCTTGCTAGGCAAGTTGGCTAATGCTATAAAATTTCATGCAATTTTATGGTGACTCAAAAATTAATCACATTATCTAAATATGGAAATGTGTGAACAGCTTGTAATTATACATTTTTAGCAGAACAAGATGTGGAACTTTAAACTCAAAGATTTTGCGGCTAAATCAGGGCTGTTGGAAATGGGGAACCTGGGGGCTGGAGCTATATTGACAGAGTAACTGTCAAACTGTACTATAATTTCTTATAAGGAGAAGATCGCAAGTTCCTGGGCTGTCCAAAAGTTTGGTCTGCAAAAGTGCCCAGTTTATCTTAAACTACCATCATGGATTGGTAACAATTCTATGCAATTTGAGAGTCAGATTAAACAAGTCATCACAAATTGTTTTTTTGCTGTCAATCTTTGTATTGTTTACAGCACTATGAGATCCCTTCTATCAATTCATAAGGATTGCATTCCTACCACCCAAAAGAGTTCCATTGTTTATGAATTTATGTGCCAGTGTGATTCTGGCTACATAGGATGCGCAACCCAAAGAATTAAACATTGGGGGATAGGGTTAAACAACATGTTCTTTCTAACATAAGAAACAAAATTGCCCCTAAAAGAGAACAGCCTCCTCGATCTTGTAGGTCTAGAAACACTGTCAAGACAAGTGATTCTGCCATCAGTCAACATCTTTTAGATAACCCAGATTTTTACGTTACTTGTAGATGATACCTCAGTATGAAAGGGCACTTATCTATAGACTTGGGAGACTGCAAAGAGCAAAAGGCCCAGGTGAGCAAAATGAACAATTTTCTTAGAATTAATGGCTTTTAAGCACCTAATGTTGTTGCTGCTAAACTAAGAGACCATATGAAAACTGAAAGTTGGACAATACTGCTTTTCACATTACTGTCACACAATTCCTTTTAAGACTTGCAAATGAGACTTGTAAATGATTATAATTGTGTCAATCTTCCAGAAAATCTGTCTTCAAAGTCATTATGGTGCGCTGTTCATTGGCAGAGTGTTATTTGTTGAATTTTGAGGGTCCTTGAAATTAGAGAAGCATGACAAATTAGTATAGCTGATCAATAGCAAGTTGAGGCCTCCTTTGTTAAGAATTGAAAACTCACTGAAAATAGACATTTTGTTTTGGAAAACCAATGGAAGGCGTTACACACTTCCTTTAAAAGAGGAAGGACTTGGCTTGTTATATTAGACAAGACAAAGCCTAAAAATACTGTAAACAAAGATTTTTGGTTTTTTCAAACTAGGGAACTTAAGGTACTGTTGCACTAAGAAAACATGAAGTAAATTGAAAATAATCAAATAAGGGTATTATCATCCACCCAAACTTTTGACTTATAAGGAAACGTTTCCTCTTTGTTCTTTTATGTGGAAATTATATGGAAATTACAAGGTTTATATATTTTTCAGACAAGATATCCTTTTTAATCTGTTTATCAGCTTTTAAAATATTGAATTTGAACTTGGTTTAAAATCAATAAAACCTTAATGAAAAGCATTTATTTGCAACATTAGCCTGAGATTTATCATCAATTTTATTCTAGGTTTGATCTATGTCATTCCTTGCATTGATAGATGGAAGAAAGTTGACATGCGAATGAGAGCTTTCAATGTTCCTCCCCAAGAGGTTGATACATATATTTTTCTTTTTATACCTCTGATCGAAATCAAGCTATTGCTAGCTTTTTGTTTTTAATAGCTTTTCACATTAGATTGATAGACAGATTTACCAGAAGATAAAACCAGTTATGATGTATTTAAAATACTATATGATAATAGCAATAATGCTCTAAAAAATATCCATTTTGAATCTATTTGTTACACATGCATCAAAGCAGAGTTTTCATGCATTCTTAAAGAATGTATTGGTTTCTTTAAAATTGGTTTTTTTCCAAATCCTGTCAAAAATCCTTTTTCTAACTTTGCCAAACCCTACTTGGAAAATAGAAAAACTCTGCAACATTTGTAAAATTTACTGTGTACCACCCCCACACCCCCTAGTAGGTACGCCCCTGACTGTAGGTGTGGGCTAGGGTGGGCAAACTCAAGTAAAAACCATACCTGAGGAGGAAATGCTTTAAAACAAGAAAACAGATATATGATTAACAGATATATTTGGACTAAATCAAGCTCACGGAATTATAATTATGCCAACATTTCAAAATATCATTTGAAAAATTGCAGCCTGAGGGGGAAAGTTGTTGTCTGAAACTTGACAGTTCTGAGGACATCATGTGCAGTATATTTCCGCAGGCAAATTTCATTTTATTATTTTATAAACTCAAAACCATTTCTCAATTTTCATTAGACTCTTAGTTGCTTTTAAATCTGCAATCATTTCTTTTGCATTGTTTTTGGAATTTTTTCCATTTCTGGGAGCAGCCTTTTAAACTTTTGCATTGCCATGATGTCATTTTTAATTTTTTTCAGGTTTTTACCATAGATGGTGGGCTGCTTAAAATCGGATCAGATGTTCAGTATAGAATAATGGACCCAATGGCATCATTTAATGAGCTGCAGGACCTAAACCACACTTTGAGAGTAACTGCAGTGGCAGCATTGAACAATGGCCTTGCAGGAAAAAAACTTGCAGAGATTGAGAATGAAAAGAATTATTTAAATGCTATCCTACAGGTGCATAAATTTATATATATGTTAAGTTGAAAATAATGCTTCCACAGAAACTATAAGAATATTTCTGGTTGAGAATATCCTTAGAATAAGTCTATAAAGATGCACAGACCTGGTGAAGTTTCATTATTTTGGTCCTTTTCCTCTTGCTTTTTACTTTTTATGGCTCTTCAAAATCAGTATTAAAAAAACATTACATATTTGTATTCTTCTATAATTTTTTAAAAATTTTCTGATACTTATGTAGACATTTTCAAAATACACTTCATGATGAATTGATATTGGATAATAATATTTTAATGAAAACGTAACTGGATTCTTTAAAAAAATTTTGAGAGAAAATGTGAGTCATTGACACAACCAGTACTTAAGTTCCCAACCAGCCACAATGTCTAATTGCCACACCAATTGAGCTACGTAGTCATATATCTTCAACAGTTGTGTCACTCATTCACATACTGCCTCTGCTTTACCAAATTATTTTTCATGATAAAGTTAAACATATACAATAAATATCACAACTCATTTTCAGAATAATCTAAACAGAACAGTATTCCCATGGGGTCTTGAAATTGCGAGGTTTGAGTTGTAAGTATTACTGACTTATTCAATGAATTTTGATTTTCATGCATGTATTGTTGTTGTAGCAAAGTTGCAGTTTTCAGAAATAGCTGCACATTTTAGTTGTTGCTATGAAATTCTAAACTCTTTGGACCTTCTTTTTATTATGTGTTTAGTATCATGCTTGCATATTAAAGTATCAGCTACAAAAGTTGAATGTAAAAAATTGATAACCAAAGAATACTGTGACTTGTCATGATTTGAAATGTTGGATAGGTTGAGAAAACTCAGCAAAATGTGGCAACAGCAGTGAAATTCAAGAACTAAGCAAAATCAAGTTGGATTTTTGATTTGCATATACACAGCATTCGTTTTTGTGCTGCCTTTAAAAGTATAAAGGCATGAGCTTATGATTGCATAAGGTGTGTTTGTTCATAAGTTTTGAAAATCAAGTTTCCAATAGCACTTACAATTCAATAGAAGTTTGTCGCTGTATTAGGTAGATTGTCACTTGAGCAAGATCACCTAAGGAATGCAAAGATGCAAAGAATACCTTAAGATGCATGAAATGTATGCAAAATGTATTGGTAGATCATTTAAAGTATATGATGATAATATAATGGATGCTTTGCTCTGCAGCAATCCTTTGTTGCTGTTGATTGATGGTCTTTCTGTTGTTTATGAATAAAATAATAATTCCAATTTTTTAATTCAGGACCAAGTCAACTATTCTCAAATCATCTAAAGGAGGTGGTGATGACTTTCCGGCAGATCAAGATCCATTGCAATCAGTTCTCTCAGCATTAAAAGGTAAAACATCTTTTTTTTAATTTAAGATTATTTGTCGGTACCTTTAAATAGTAAGTTTTATCAAAGCAAAAGGCCTTTTCCATATCTAAAATAGAATTTGGAATATTGAAATGTCTTAGAATACAAGTATTTTCTACCTTTTTTCCTGTTCAGAGAGGAGTGAAACAAAATGTGTGGTCTTTGTTCCTACATATAGAAGTATTGATTCTCCTCCCCTTCCAATTTCCAGTTGGAACTGGACAAAAACCCTGTAAAATTTGTGATATGTCTCAGATGGCATTTTCCAGTCAACACTTCACCTCAGCGCCATCAGAAGCAGGAGGCTGCAACCCCTGAATAATTGCCAGATCTTAACTAAGTATGCAAGCAGTATGCCAATTTAAATACATAGCCCTCTTCCTGGTATTCTTTTGAAGACTTCAACCCCATTTCAGAATAAAAGTAATCCTCACAAATTTTCACATTTATCTTTATTATACTAAAGATAAGAAAGTTCAGAATACTGCAAGGGATTTGGCAATGAGAGGTTACATAAAATGCACCCTAACTGATTTTTTCTATCAAATCCTGCAAACCTTTTACGGCTGAAAAACTCACATCACAAACACTCCTACTATACAATAACATTAAACTCAAATGCTCTTGTTAACAAATGTTCTCAAAACAAGTCACAAAAATTGGTCTCAAAGATCAGAGAGATAATGCATTCCAAAATCAGAAAATCATATAAGCTCAGGCAGTGTTTGTATGCATTCTACCTTCAGTTTCAATAATACATTGCTCCCCTGTTCGGGTTTATCCTTGAAAACTACTTTGAAATTTTTCAAACAATAAAAATAAAACCTGTACATAGCCACCTTGTATTCAAGAGTATTGCTGTGTAAATTTCTATTCCAAGTAGGTCTTCCCCTTTAAAAAGGTGAAATATTCTTCCAAACCTTGCTGTAGATTCGATAAAACTTTTGACCCTAAGAAATATTCCATATTGCACTTAAAGAAACTGAGACTAAAACCAAACACAGAGCTATTGCTGGATTTGCACTAGATTTCCCCTCTCTTTGAACCTCCTTCTTTCATCCTCAAACATAAAATTTTATTACTCTTTTTTCATTGTGTCATATTTATGCTATTTGTATAAGTTAACCTTTCAGTTGTACATTGTCTTTTTTCTCTCCTCTTTTAATCAGTAGTTGCATTCTGCCATGATAAAGTCAATCTAAGAGCATGCCTTTTCTATCTGTCTTTTGCAAGATGTGATTGCATTATTCAATCCTTTTTTGGTTCCTAAATTTTGCAATTTTTAACAGCAGGATTCACATCAGGAGCGAACCCGTTTGCGTCTGCTCTAGGAGCAGCACCAACAGTCAGTCATGCACCCGATCCAGATCTTTTGACACCATCTGAGCTCTTTGCAATGACTAAAGGGTTTCTAAGTGAAGAAATTGTGAAGAAAATTGATGCTGTCTTTGAGTTTGATATATCTGGTAACAATGGTGGCATGTGGTGCTTAGACTTAAGGAATGGACAAGGGTATGTTGGAAAAGGAAAAGCACCATGTGACCCAGATGTTCGCATCAGAATTAAAGATACTGACTTTCAAAGCATGTATTATGGCAGACTGCCCCCAACCAATGCCTACATGAATGGGAAAATGGTAATTGAAGGAGATATTAAAGCAGCAATGAGATTGGAAGATCTTATTAAATGTATAAAAGAGCAGCAAGTGAAATCATAGTTGCTGGGAGATACATGCATCATAATTGAAGAATTGTCATGGACCAATTACATATTATGCAGAATGTAGCAAATCTACAATTCTTGAGAGACATTGATGAGACTTTGTATCTATCCCCACAGTTTAATTTTTTATACACCTGTGCTATGTTTGTGCCCAACTTTGGATGTTAAGGGGGCATTGTACTATACATCACTGCTACATGTGTTGAGGGCAATGTCTCAACAGCGATGTCTAGAATTGTTTGTATTTGTTAGAGACAAGATCTGCTCTGGTTTTATTGTAAGTATTAACAGCACTTCTTAATTGTCCAAAATGTACCCTCATTTGACAAGAACCTTAGATATGCACCCATTCTCTAGCCATGGCCCATTCCCACCCACTGAAGCAAATTATGGCATTGCATATGGAAGACTGAGCAATTCCACAATTTTTCAGCAAGAGCATTTGATCCTGGGGTTCAAAGAATGCAGCATTGAGTCAATATTTATTTTTGGTAAATAACTTTCTTATGCCACTTGTATTCTTAAAAGTAGAATTGCATGTAAGCACGCGAACAAATTATTTGGTTTAAAATGTTTGTAATTTAATTAAATTGTTCCATATTGATATTATGCACCACATGACAGTTTAAATGTTGTTTTATTCTAAGAGTACGATTAAAGCACCCATGTTATAGACTTTGAGTCAGGCGATATGACTGTGCACCTAAAAGCTTACAATAAGATTTTGCTGCATTATAGTGCCAAAAGCTTCAAAACAAAGTAACACAGCTTTTTAACAGAGAATATATAATGTATTGTTGCTAAACCTTTTACTTTACCAGAGCTGAGAGGAAATCAAAACAGTAAATATTTTATGAAATAACAAATGGAAAAGAGCTCAATCATTTGCAGCCTCACATCTGTTAAGATTTGAAGACCGGTATGTTAGTATCATATGTATTGCAGTTCTTGGATTTTTTTGGTATCAAATTTGGAAGGGGAAAACATTTCCAAAAGTTACCGTTTTTCATCTAACGAACGCCACCCTCTGATAAACGCCACCCTCTGATAAACGCCACCCTCTATTGAACGCCGCCCTCTATTGAACACCGCACCTTCAGCCAACCACTTGGAAAGAAACCCGCCCTCTTTTGAATGCCACATCTTGAAAAGCGGCGTTCATTAGAAAACACACCACTACTCGAAACCTATGAAAGTTTTTATGTCATTGAGAAGAGGACTCTGACGGAGGCAGGGATATTGACATTCCTTGACATTTCCATAACGTGAAGGCATCTTTTGTGAACTGTCAAAAATTGTTCACACGATCTTTATTACATGTTTTCTGGAAAAGAAAACATTGTTTTAAGTATGTTTTCACCTTTTTTCATCGCATTTTTGATTTGAAAAACTTTTCATTTTGTATTAAACGCCGCCCTCTGATAAACGCCACCCTCTATTGAACGCCCCATCCAAAATTTGAAGTTTGTAATAAACGCCACGGCTTTCTTTAGACGAAATACGGTATCTACATTTAACACAGATTATGACATCTTGAATTTACCATCAGAGCCCATGGAAGTACATTTTTTAAATATCCTCCTATGCTACAAACCACAATACAAAAAACGCAGGTAGGCATATTGCCCTGCAAGTCGGTTTATTTTTTGTCCACATGGTCACAAACGTTAGGTACCCATGCAGGGCTACACATTGCTATGCTGTGATGGGAAGGGGGGGAGCTTTGGGATTTGACACCAGCCAAACAAGCCATGGGGGGGGGGAGCTTTGGGATTTGACACCAGCCAAACAAGCCAATGTTGCAATTTTAAGTTGACTTTGTAGAATGCTGTGTGTCTCTGGATTATTTCATCTTGTATTATTGTACTTTTGAATCTCCTGTTTTTGAAAAATTATAGTAGGGTAAATTATCCTGATCAAGTTTTTGGCAGGTTAAAAATCTCTTTTGCTTCCAAAGAAAACATAGAAATTGCTATGGGTACAAAACGGTTTTATTTTTTCCTTGCCAAAATGAGAAATGTGATCTAGTTTCAGTAACTCAATGATCATTGCAGAACGCACTGCAGGATATTACACAAAGCTACAATATTTCGCCCATCATTTCGTGTATTAGAATAGATAGACTAACTCAGTAACTGAAATGTCTTGCAACCATTTCAAAACTATGAAGCATGAAAAAATCTGAATACAGAAGAATCCCTTGTTAGGGTTTTGCTGGAGGCTTTTCCTTAACATTAACATCTCTTCGAAGGGTATTCCATGAAATTTCAGCATAGCTTCACCATGGCAACTCAAAATAATCTGATGGAATGGTTGTCTGTGAAAGTTTCACAATTAAAGTTTCACTTTTTCGATTTTGCATCACACTAGTTCAATTCTAAGTGCTAGCCATTCTCTCAAAGTAAACAAATAAACATCGTTTTTGTGAAGATCCGTGCTGCAGTTTGCTTTTATTCGTGATTCCTACCTGTTTTCTGTGTAATTGTAAAAGCACGCCTGCTTTGAGAATGTGACGTAATCAAGAATGCCTTGATAACGTGATAATCTAATCTTCAACATAAAATTATTGTGGAACATTGAAACATATCCAAAGAGCAACGATATCTTGGAAGTAAAGTCTCCTTCATCAAAAATGCTCTTCATTGTTTGTTTTCCTTCTAAAATAAATTAAAGAGGTTCTATTTTGACCACTTTCTGATGAATTACGGTTGATTAAAGTTGTTTTATAAATCGTTTTCAAGTTTGTGTCATAAGCAAAGTTTCAGGTTACTGATGGAACGATGAAGTTTTATTTAGCTACACTATAGCAGAACAAAATAGGATGACTGCGTGTCAATTCTATGCTGCCCTGAATTGCCGACACCTGCTTAAGAAAAGTACTTCATGCGACCTGCGGGTGTAAATATTAATCAAATAGGATCGACTGCCAATCTACGAACGGCGTCACTTGTCGATCTGATAGCATCTATTCACGATATTGTTAAAGGTTTATTTCTGGTACAATTAACATATGGCCAGATTCCTAAGAAAAGAGCCCGCTCATTTCGCTGCGGAGCTTTTTGTCAATGAAAGATGCCACTAGGAAGCACATAGAGCCGAGCTACTACACGATGCTTGGGAACAGGTCTTGCAAGGTATTTGCTGGCGCTGTAAACACGCATTGATGGTGGAAAACAGTGCTGTCTACGGACGTGAGAGGTAAGTTGGTCTGGATTACTTTTTAGCCAGTTGCAAGAAAAATGTTATAAGAATTCGATACTACCTTTGGCTATCAACTACATCCGTCTAAACAAAGTGCCGCCCAGTTGCGACTGAGATGCACAGAGGTGTCCTATGACCTATGCAATGAGAAAGTTGAGAATTCATGCCGTAAGTATAAGGAAATCCAGAAGGACCGTCTTTTTCGAATCACATCAATTTAAGTATCATACGGATGAGGATTTAGACAGATAATGCCACTAAACAGATGCCCTGAGATGTTCTGCAACTTGCATTTTTCAACAAAGCAGAATCACACTCGAAATTCACTATCATTGTTTTTAGGCTTATATAGAATATTTGAGCATGCTAACTTGCTAACTTGAGTCCTGGATTTCGTATCTTACAAGAGCATAGCTGAACAGCGGTACTTCATTTTTACAAATACAGTTCGTGGCTCTAAGATAAAAGGATTTCCCTACTCAATAAAAATTGACCCCAGAGTAAGAAATGAACAGGTTTAGGCATTAGACGAATAGTTTAAGATGTATGATTAGAATGGGACTCAACGTGTACTAGACGTCGCTTGATTCAAGTTGGAATTGCGAGTGAAGAGCTCTTGAGTATCAAAACAGTATTTGCTTTCATTTGGTTGCCTCCTGCACCTTTGCCAAAGAGGTTCGAGGCAATTGGAACAAGTACCTTTTTATCAATAGCAGACAACCTGTTGATATAAATATGATAAGACAAGCTAAAAACAAGGCACCTGCTAATAATAATTATGTGACTCATGGCCGTTCATTCATTAGCCCACTAAAACATCCCACGATAAACGGGTAAAGAAACCCCAGATGGAAGCTCCTCATTAGCCCTTCTAAGTGGAATTGGCTCTGTGGTTAACCAGTCTTAAATGGAAGCCTAGTACTGATTTGAATTCACAGGCGCAGTGAGAAAATATTGAGTAGATACCAGGGGTCTGAAGTGCTTTGGTCAGCCATCGAGATTGTCACGGAAAGGTTTTTAGGTGCACCAAATTGTGTAAAAATATCAAATTGAAAGTAAGCACTACTGATTAACACTTTCGCCTTTGGTACCAGCCGATAGGTTATGCTGAAAATCAATTTCGCAAAAATACTTGTTCTAATACTGTCTTTTAAAAGTAGCATCTTGGTATAGTTCTATTTTTCAATTTTAATTGACATTAAATTTTTCTTACATTATTCTGTAATTCTTATAATCTTTTGGCTTTAACTAATTTTGTTTCTTTGTGTGTTTTCAGCTTGACTGAATGAAAGAAAGTGCACGTGTGTTGTGAAAACACTGCGAATCCCTTCACCAAACAGGGATACAAAAGATGCAACGATGCTGAGAGGCGGATCTTCTACCGACACTAGGGAGGCTGTTGTCCTTTTGTCTGAGAAAGATAAAAAGATCGCCGAACTCAAGCGTCAGCTGGACAGCCTCAGGGCTCGAAATCTCGGCTTGGAAAATTGCGTAAAGAATCAGGATTCGGCAGTCCGCAAAATAGGATCGCTCATCGTATCTCCACGCTCTACAGAAAGCAGTGATGTCGTAACATCAGACGAAATCGAAGACGTTATCGATGATGTTTACCGAAAGATTCGTCGCATGGAAGACATAGACACGGAACTAAATGGATTTGCAAGGGGAGCGCGAAAGAACGGAACTTTGCATTTGAGAGGGGAGCTGGAGTTCGATGGAAGAAGAGGGTACAGAGGAAGCAGTATTTTAAGTTCGGATAAAGGAATCACAGGGAAGGAAAATCAAGGTTTAAACGAAAAAGGAAATCGCAACCGAGAATTTAATGATAAAGTTAAGAGAGCCGAGGATGACATTTTTGCGTCAGAAAGAGCTTTCAGGCAAGTAGCTAAAGACAAGCATTTTGATGAGAAGATGCTGAACTTTCGTCTAGAGCAACTGAGAACTGAGCGCGATACACTATACGATATTATAAAACAGTATGAGCCAATACTGTTCCAAGTTGGAGAAGACGCAGCCAAAAAGGTGGAACAGAGAAATGGAGATAAAAATTATAACCCCCGTCGGCTGGAAATAGAAGCAACTGTAACCTTGCAAAATAAAGGAGCACAAGAAAAGGAAAAGGGGGAATTGCTTTATCATATAGAGGAACTTAGGAAATGCTTACACGACATAAAGGACTACAAATCAAGAAAAAGAGGGAAAAGAGTTGAAGGACCGGATGCTGGTTCAAATGAGATAAATGACAAACGTGATGCGAAAACATGCAGAACAGGGAGGCAAGTTTCAGAAAACGAGTCAGATGAAAACAAAGCAATCGAGCCATACACTAAATATGACATCTATGAACAGTATAAAGATGGGAAGGACAGAAGCCGGAAACATGAAAAGCCTGAAGGATTGCTCCGAGATCCAGTGAGAAACCAGCCCGGGCATAGCAGTGGAAAGTCCAGTGTACCCGGAAACTTGGAGCAAATTAGAAGAATTTCATTAACCGCAGAAAAACCGGGTGTTTTGATTGAAAGTGATGTCAACGAAGGAAATCATGTGACCCGTTTATTTTCCAACAGAATAAAGGAGCTAGAAGACCAAGAAGCTGAAAACAAAAAAATGATTGACATTTTGCGAGAAGAGTTGAAGTCAACCAGCGAAGCAAAGGCAGGAGTAATGAAGGAGCGAGATGGGTTATTAAACAAAGTTAAAGAATGGGTTACATCAATGCCTGAGGAGAAAACCAAGCATGATGGATTGGAAGATATTGTACTCGTGCTGGATGAGCACTTGCAGGCTATTAAGGAAGACCTTCTTAAGGCAAAGATTGATCGCGATGAGGTAGAAAATCAACTTTGGAAAGCAAAAAATCATTTGCGAGAGGAAATTGAGCAAAAGGATGACATTGAGAAGGAGCTGATTGCCATGAAAAGAAAAGATGCTGGCAACCAAGAAGAAATAAAGCGGCTGGATGATAGGGCTGATGAATCAATGAAAAAAATAAAGGAGCTAGAAAACAGTCTTGAGGAAGAGCAGGAAAAAGCCAGAGATATGGAAACAAAGGCCAATGATTTTCGTGAAACATCGAAAAAAGAAACACAGCGAGCAGACGTAGCGGAATCGAAGCTGCTGGTTTTAGAAAAAGATTTGGAAGAAGAAAAAGAGAACTCGTCTGTATTTCGAACAATGTTACAGGAAATGGAAAAAGCTAAAAAGATCGCAGAAAAGGATATTGAGTTAATTAAGATGGAATATGAGAAGAGCATTAAGAATAATAACGAGTTAAAAGCTGTTCTTAAGAATGAAAAAGAAATTGTTGAAGAATTTCAAAAGAAGCAAGCAATACAGGATGAGGAACTGGAGAGTACGAAAGGTGAACTCAACATGGCACTGAAGGAAATGGATGACCTCAAGCATCGGCTAAAGAGAACGCAGGAGGATTTGACGGCAGCAGAGCTATTGAGACCAAGGCTTGAAGATGCGGAATATCAGAATTCACAGCTACAGAGAAACAAAAACATATTAGAAAATGAATTATCAGCAACTAAGTTAAAATGTCGGAGCATGACAGAAAGGAATGACCAGCTTGAAGGGCTTTTGGAAAAACTTAAGGAGGATTTAAGCAAAGCGAACAGTGCTATAAATGAATTGAGCGAATTGAACAAAGTGCTGAAGAAGTCTGAAGAGACTCTAAGGAGGGACGTAGCTGAAACTAAATCAGAGGTTGAAGATTCATTACGCAATAATGAAGAACTGCAAAGGAAGCTGAATCTCAGAAATGAAGAGCTGATAAAAGAACAGAGAGAAAAGGCGGAAGGAAGAGAAGAAATACGCAAGGCTAAGGAAGAATTGATACAAAAGAACAGGGAGGTGGAAGCCATGCGAGGACAAATAAATGAAGATGATAAAGAAAAAGATCGATTGAATGCAGCATTAACAGAAGCCAAGGATGAACGAAAACGGTTGAAAGAAAAGGCAGAGGAGGATAATGAAGCACTTAATGCTTTTGAGATGGAGCTTAAATCTTTGAAGCTGTTAAACGAAACATTAGATTCAGAGAAAAGAAAATTGTTTGATAAAATTAAAACGGAGGAAGGAAAGGTTTCAAGACTGAAGGAGTCACAGACGACTTTAAAAAAGGAGAGAAATGAATTAAAAGAAGAGCTTGAAATGACAAAGCAAGAAGTAATCGAAAATGAAAGCATGATATTAGAAGCAAACAAACTTCTTGAAAGTAAAGACGAACGGCTGAAAAAAGAAGAAGAAAAAGTTAAAAATCTGGAAGGTGAAATACAAGATTTCGAGGAGGATTGTAAACAACTCATTAATGTCAATGAAAAGATGAAATTAGATGAAGAGATTTTGAAAAAACAGCTCAACGTGAGTCAAAACGAATTTAAAGGCCTTCAAAAGTCTTTGGAGAATTCTTGGAAAGAAAAGGACGATTTAAGGAAAGCAATAGCAAAATTGCAAAAAGAAAATAAAGAAATTACTGATAAGATCAAAGTATTACAGGAAGATGTAGGCAAAAAAGAAGATGGTATCAAAATTTTAAAAAGCAGGGGGATCGAAAAAGAAAACGAAATTTCGGAGCTAAACGAAAAGGTAGACAAATTGAAACAGGAACTTTCAAAGATGAAAGATGACTTGGAGAAAAAGAAAGACGAGAAATCACATCTAGAGAGAAGGTTGTCTGAGAAAGAAGAACAACTTAAAACACATCGTTCTAAAAACAGCGACCTGCTAGAAAACATATCTCTTAAGAACGAGGAAATAGAAAAGCTACGCGAAAAAATAAAGAATGTTACGAGAAGCAATGAAGAACAAAGCAATATGATCAAGAGTCTTAGATCTTCAATGGAACGTTTGAAATCGAGGCACGACTCTGAGCTGACAGAAGTTAAAGGGAAGCAAGAATTATGTCAGGAATACATTCAATCACTGCGTAACCAGGTGGAAGGCTATAAAGAGCGTGAAATGAAATTCCAGAAGAATGGGAATCAAATGAAGGAGGAATTTGGAAAGTTAACAAACGAACTAACACAAGCCAAGACCATATTACGTGATTTCCAAGCAGCACTGTTGGATAAAGACAATGATCTAAAAAAGATAAACGATGCTGTTTTGCTGCTTGAAAATGCACACGCGACGAGGCAAGCAGGACTACAAAGCAGACTGTTGGCACAGCAAAATGAGCTCGAAGCTCTCAACAAAGAATGCTCTAATTTGAAGAAAGAGATACTGGACAAGGAGCATGATGCAGCAACTCTGAAAAACGACAAGGAAGATATTGTAGAAAGAATAAGAAATGACGAGAAGATAATGAAACATATGCAGGATGAAAATGGCTATCTTTTGGATAGTTTAAGAAAAATGAAGAAAGAACTGATGAGAGGAAACGAAACATTGGGAATGAAGGAGCGGCAGGTGGAAGAATTGCATGATAAAATTGCTCAAGATGGACACGCTGTTGAGGAACTGGTCGAGTATTTGGAGGGAACATTGAGAAATGTTCGTCAACAGCTGGCAGTTGTTGAAGATGAGAAAATCAATCTAAAAGCGTTAATGGACAACGATAAGTTGAAATTAAAAGAGCTGGAAGATTCCTTGAAAGAAGTAAAGCAGGAGCTGATGCAGAAAGATGATGATTTAATGCTAGAGAAGGCAAAGGCAAGTGATCTGGAAAAGAGGCTACGGAAAAAGGAGAATGAAATCGAGGATAAAAAGAAAATCGAGGAACTAAAGTCTGACCTTTTTAAGATTGGGAGAGAGAAACAAGCTGCAGTTATGCGGCTGACAAAGGAGAGAGATGAAGCAATTTTGCAGAAAACTGCAGAGAAGATGGCGAAAGATAATATCAAATTACAGATGAAGAATATGAAAGACGAGGTAGACAAGTTGAAAAAGACCAAACAAGAAAAAGATAAAGAATTTGATAAGTATGTTGAAGAACTGAAAAGAAGATTGGTGGAAAGCAGAGAGAAAGAAAAAGAAGCGGTGGTCAAAGAGGCAGATTACAGGTTGAAATTGAAAGAAATGTCAGAAACTGTAAGAGTATTAGAGAACAGAATCGAAGATGCTGTGTATATGGCAGAAGAAGAGAAGAAACGAAGGGAAGAGATTTTGACACAGTTGCTTATGCCCTTGGAAGAAACAGATATAAGAAAACGGGACGAAATGATTGATGCAGAAAATTGGAAGAAAAGAGTCGGTCATCTGCACAGGAATATCGAAGATTTTAAGCACCAATTCTCTAAATTTAAGAGTAAAGCAGTAGCCGACGGTGAGGCATATAGGGGTATGTTTGAAAGTAAAAGATCTGATGAAATTCACGATTTGAAGAGAGAATTAGAGTCAACTAAGAAAGATAAAGGTAAGATGCACGAGAGGTTGAAACAGCTGAATTCTGAGGTGGATTTGCTTTCCGAGAAAAAAGAGAAAGTGGCAAAAGACAATGGCAGGCTTACTGAAGAACTTCGACTTGCTAAACAGGAAGCGCTGATTCAAAAACATGAACTTGATTGGTTGAGGGACACAATAGGGAAATATGGCACACAGAAGAAGCCCGTTGATTTGATTTAGAATATCTAGGTTATGATTCTTGTATGCTTATTACTGATCCAGATATTCAGGGATAAAAAGATTCAAATTTTTTGCTACAAAAATTCCAGTTTTTTACTCATGGAGCAAATAGCGAAGAGAGCATTTCTAAGGATAACTGAAAACTTTTATTTATATGGTAACCCTTTCAGTTGCATTATCAGTATAGTCAGAGATTAAAAGGTTCACGAAAAAGGAACCAACTTATCAAAATATGTTAATAGAAAAAGAAATTCGTTTGGGACTAACCGACCCTCTGACGATGAAGTATCGGATAAAAAATTTTAAACAATTTGAAATCATTTATGATCGGAGAAAAGAGCATTACAAAGGTAATTAGGCATGGACCAAGGTAGTATTTAAAAATAATAATACTTAATGTATTTTTTACAAATCAAAACTATCAATTTGATTTACTCAATTGTAGTATCTACCTCTGCATCTATGTCTCCGTTTTCAAGTTCTTCAAAAACCCCACTTGATGACCAAACGTGAGTAAGCTTGACGCGAAATTCTGACAGTGGATGGTTGAACAATTTCTGTAAAAAATCACAATACTTAGATAGCACAAATGAAACTTATCTGATCAAAAAGGAATATATAAATAGTGGATAGATTAGCTGAATGAACCAGATAAGAACAGCACCAAGAAATAGTTGAAACAATTGGTGTGGGTGAATTGAAATTGAAACAGCAGTCATGAAGCTCTTTGCTGCATTGAGAGGCAACACATTTTCAAGCGTAGTCCTCAAATACCTAACATTCGATTTGAAAAATAACGTGCGTGCATGTTTAAGCGGCAATAAAAATCACTAACTTTTATCATATATCTGTCTAACCTTAAGCTTGAGGTTCAGGCGCATACGTGAATAGTAGAGAAACAGGCATAGGATCATAGTACGAAGGACTATACTGAATACCACCCTGCCTGAGTACGTCACAATTTTAATAAATATGTATAGACTGAAAACAACAACACGGTGTTTTGTTGTGACTCACCAGAATTCTGCATTGCTCAGGTGTCAACGTATCTCCTTCCTTACAGACTTTGTATTCTTCAGTGAGGTGAATGATACCTAAGGATCAAAAGCAAATATCGAAAACATACAAAGAAAGACATACAGCACACGATTGACAGGGGCAGAATATCCTCAAAATGCATCTTACGAAGGGTAGTTGCACACCCATTTTATTAAAAGGTACGTGTTGATAAAAAGGCGCATTTGTTAGATATCAACAGGACAAAAACAATATTCCAGATAGATTTTTACAGACGCCAAATTATAATTAGTTACAAGTATTTTTCAAGTCCCTATCATTTATACATTAACGTGTATCAAGAATGATCGCAATTTGTTCTCCAAACACAAATTATTTTTATGGCAAGAAGCCTTTGCAAATTCTTGATGCAGAAATTGTTGATTCATACCTTTTCGTAATTCAGTTGGCAATCCTAGCTGACGTAGTTGTGGTTCCATTGAAAAGCTGAAATCCTCTGGGTCTAATGGACCTGTAAAATGACCAAAATGTCTAACTTTGATATAACCAAAGTATGATACTTGAAGGCCTTGTTTTCATAATGTTTGTATAATAAATCGAACTTTTGATTAGGGTTTTATATAGTTTTACATCTACCAAAACTTAAAAAGCCAGAGCTAAAAATCTAGCTTTCAAGATACAAAGGAGTACGCTAGACTCGACAGTCTCTTTAAGCAATATCACCAAGAACCGCATTGCAAAGCAGTGCTGAGGTTTTGGCAGACTGTATGCCATCCCACATTTCAAGATACAACTTGGTTCTACCTACCTTCAGGAAGAGCAATGTCTTTTGTTGCAATATTACCAGTTCTTGAGTAGTCTAAATCTCTGTATTTCTCAAACCACCTAAAATTCAAAGGCAGTTGCTAATAAATCTGAACATATATGGACAATAATTCACAGCCGGTCGCATGGCATTGATATATAATACAGTACTTGTTCAAAACATACCTCAAGACTTCCTCTCTTGATTTATTAGTAAACAGCAGACCAACATTTCCCTTTAGTCTCTAGAAAATGCAAAAAATTTCTGATCATGATAAACAATGCTGGCATTACTTTGTAATCAGTACTGTCTACGAATTAATCCGCAAAACATATCATTTACGGTGTTAGTAAATGTCACATGACAACACACAGTGACTTTGGTCCACCATACAATCAAGATAATTTGTTTCTCATTAGAAAGCCAAATTCACTTTACCTTACTGACTTCATGTAAATTTTCTTTATATTCATCTTCATGCGACCTTCCAAGTGCAACCGCCATGACTTTGTTTTTACCAAAGAAAAACCTATGTTTCAAAGAGAGATATCATTTTTACAGGGTTTAAGTCTTTCCTTAACCACAATTTGAGGTCTTGTTTCAATTAGGCATATGTTAAGTGAAAGAAACCAAACTTTACTTGTGCCTAGCACAAAGACCTGTTTAAGCTATATGTATTTCAGGTATGTGTTACATTTCTCATCCATCCCCACCTTGCCAGCCATGAGTATCATTTGGAGAATCAGTTATACAATTACTACTTATTACAACTACATTACAACTAATTACATGCAATGTCACTTAAATACATAACATAAGTTATAGTACCATCAAGAGAGCCCCCAAAAAGTTCTTCCCCTGCCCCACTACTCTTGGACAAAGGAATATGCCCTTTATAATGCCAGGGCCATGGCCAGAGCAGGCTCTTAACAGGCCTGCATACTTATAATAACAGGCAACAAATCACAATTACGTAAGATGTTGTGGGGGATGCATTGAATAGGAGTTCTCTTATTAGATTTACTAATCAAGAGGGCATGCCCATTTCTAAAATGATTTAAATGCAATCGATCATTTACATAAGTGACAGAACAATATTTTTGGTTTAGAATCAAATGTTATAGAATGCTTGGTTGGAGCATTCAAACTAATATTTTGTTGTATCTAATGTTGCATGCAAAATGCAAGAAAAAACTTTGGTTGATTGCCTCACCTGCTGCTCCGCCACTCATTGCGTATATCTTTTATCTTGCTATTTCTCATGTTTTCTACTGAGAAAATGTATATGTATGCAAACTCATCCACTGAAGTTTTGACCTAAAAAACAACCACGAAGTAGGTATATTAATGTAAGAAAATTATCTAAGTTGGAATAAATAGCACTAGAAAATAAAATTCAATGGTAAATTCTGCATTTTGGAAAATTTACTATCAAAATATTTCTATCAATAATACTGTAGCCCAGTTACCAATTGGTTTTGGCAAAAACTAGGGTGTTTATGAAATGATAGGTAGGAGCACCACAAGAAGGTGGAAAAAATTTCTATATAATGTAAATAGAGAAGTTCCAATTGAACAATAAAAAACATTTTACTAAATCTTTCATTGCAAGATTAAAGAATCAGAGTGGACTTAACTGGCATATTTATCAAAGCCTATGTTGCAGGGATGCTTAGCTTGCAGGTTTTGACGATTAAAATTAGCATAAAAAAATTCATTTCTGATGAAAAAAGTGTTTGCAACTATTATTAGTCAATTTAGGCACCATCATAAAGAGTCAGCATTAATACTGGAGAGCTATGATATTTCTATCAAGTGTGGAATACATACAATGTACAAGCGATTATGTTCTATAAAGCTGCGGAAATACCCAACTGAGAATGGAAAGATAAGATTAAAATTTTGCCAATCTAGAAATTTTATTATGATTGCATTCCCAAGTAAAAACTGGTATTACCATAAGATTACTTGTCACATTTACATAGCCAAGTAAGAAAAGAAAAAAACCAATACAAATTCACTAATCACTGATGTTTGAACAAGCATAGAGAGATTTCTTTCTGATGGTGGTGCTAATAAAGATTAAGGGCTTAATGTCTTGCTTTGGCAGTCACTTGGAAAATATTCACATTACCTTTTCAACAAGGTTCTTTGTCAGCCCCTTGAGCCCTTACAGCTTTGATTTTTTACAGCATGAGCTCCTACTCTGACTGTCATTTACAGAAAGATGGCAAAAAATATTCCACATTACCTTATCAACAAGCTCCTTTTTCAGCTCCATTCCTTTACTAGTTGTCTTTGACAAGGTAACTAAAGAAGAAAACAGAATGCTGGATCAAAATAAATATGTGATTATACCATGTTTGTCACTTAAAAATCTATTGTTACTCTCAATGGAAATTACCCCATTCCAACACTAGCCCAGCTGATATCCAAGATTAATTATTGCTTTGTTGTTTAGGATTTAGGTTTTGTCTAAGATATATAAAGACAACAACCTGCAATACCAAGTAACAGTCTTCGTTGTTTGATGCATGTGATGGCATGCGCACGCATCGGCCCACTCATGGCACCAATAATGCAAGCGATTCTTCGCATGCATTAATTGTATATTTGACCGTTGTTTTGACCTTAATAAATTTGTTTTCTTCAACAAAATATTGGAAGTTTTGTTTTTCATAAGCTGAGCAACATCTGCTAACTCTTTTCAGTGCCTATTCTGTCTTCCTAGAGCGAGGCTAATTGCTTTGCTTTGTTCAAATTCCCTGGGAAACTTTGCAGTTGTCAGGTAGTGTGGTGTTCTGAACTTTTTCCTTCCTGCTTTTGCCATGATTGGGGTAAATATCAATAAAGTTGCTCAAAGGAAGATGGGCTTTTTTCAATGATGCGGCAGGCAGGGGACGAATAGACCCACATCTTCCGACGATCAAAGTTATTATCAATCCAGTGGCATAGAAAGAAAAATTCATAGAAGGGGCGAGAAATTTACATTTTCAGACAAGAATTTTACAAGAGCTTTAATTATTATTTTTATTTCAGATGCCGGGGAAATAACAAATCTTCTGACAAAGATGTTTCTGAAATAAAAGCACAGTTGCACTGTAATTTCAGCTGCTTTTAAGGTTTCATACCCTCTCTATTAGCAACTTGAGCAGGGGCATTGTTACCGTGGGGAGGGGGCTGTGGCTCCCTGGTTATCAAAATTTGACGGATTTTCGGAAAAATTATTGTTATGTGGGAAAATTTTCAAACTTGAGCTGTGGGTAAAAAGGAGAAGTGTAATGAACCCTTTAGCGACATAAATTACTTAGAATAAAGTACTTTCCGTATTGTCAAGGGGCAATTCAGATTTGTGAATAAAGTACTAGATTTCAACAAAAAAATTATTTTTTGAGATTTACCGATTTCTACTATAGAGTGATTTGCTGCTCTGATTGTGTCAGTTAAAATCCCATTTAATTATTGTAAGAACTTTTTAAACTATATTGTTGTAACATTTATATCGTAGGTACATTAGTTTCACAGGTCCTTGATTGATAGCAGCAAACTCATTTTTGCTGAACAAGTTTACCTGTATAAATATGGTCTTATTATTATTATTATTATTGTTAGTCAATATTGGTTATGGAAATCGGTTGAAATTGGTTATAAATTATATCTTTACTGGATGTTAAAGACCGGGAAAGTGCCAATTTTGTGCTTTTTTCAAGATTTGAAAATTTTGTTCCAGATGTCCCAAATGCAGTTATGTTGCATACAGTTAAACATCTGAAAACGAGAACAAGGAAGTCAATACAATCGCTTTCTGCCAGTGGATATACATTTCAAGAATGAGAAACCTTTTAGTAAAATTTGCTCCAAAGAATGCATTTTCAGATGAACTTGAAGCATTAAGATTATAAATGTTCTATTCTACCAATCTATAGGGTTCAATCAAGCAGAGACAAGATAAAAGTGCATTTGAAATATTTTTCCAGTAAAGGCACAAGTTATAAATTTTTCTGCTCCCCTTCCTCATTATACTTAATGCTTCTATTTGATTAAAATAAATTGAAGAAATTTTGTCAGTAATTTTTTCTTCTTGGCTCCCTAGAATTCATTGGCCACGACGCTCCTGAACTTGATACCCTGTTTACACCGATCTGTGCAAGTTTGGAACCGAGACAAAACGGTTGAGGTTCACCCTTTCTTTTACGCTAGCACTCTGAAAACGAGACAATTTTGCTCTGCAATCCGAAATAGTTTTTGACCCTGCTACAAAAGCGAACAAATTTTGTACCGTCACGGTTCCGCTTTGGTTCCATCATGGTTTGAACCGTCATGGTTTGAACCGCCATGGTTCCTTTTTTGAACGAGACAGTGTAAGTATGGTCTGAACTAGCCAGATACGTTAAGAGTATGAACCGCACACATGAAATAATAAACGCCTGAAAGCATTTCAATGTAGTGGCTACACACTCCTAGGGCATTTCTACCTAAGCAGAAAGGGCAGCTGCACAATTTCTAAATGACAATTTTTCAGCATAATTTAAAATTATAATTTCTGAGATCTAAGTTGTAGTTTATAACACTGAGGTGGATCAACACTGCATTTCAACAAACTTTTATATCAAGAAGAAACTTGAATATGGACTGGGTGATTCAGGACAAAAGTGTTCAACATTCTGCAATTATAGCACATCAATGCCTCTGTTGTCTTAATGAGGCAAGTATTTCAAAATATGGGGGATTTCAAACTGTGTCTTGTGAGGGAGAGTGATACAAAATATCATATTTGCATGCATCTGTGCCACCCATACAATTGGGTTTTTTGCAATCAAAGGCTCTACGCATATGCATAGTGTTGAAAAAATTATACATGAAATTGGATATTAAATGGCCTTATCATTATTCGAAATGTTTGGTTTTACAGAAGTCATGGCAATTATAAATGGGCTGGTTCTCAAACATTGATTGTCGACTTAGTCTCACTACTCTACATGATTGCAGAATCATTGAGAATGAAAAAGAAAAAAACAATAAACACAACATATTTAAGGACACTGCTTGCCCCCTTTGCCCCTCCTGGACGAGGGCAGGAAGGACAGCTGCCCCTGCAGCCCCTCAAGGGTAGGCGCCCCTGATCAAGGTTGCCCATTATTTTATCAAGAAATCATGAGACTGTTTTGAAAGGTTTTTTGAAAGTCACATTAAGAAGGATGGCATTGTGGAATGTGGTTCTGATTTTCAGTGGAACAACATGACAGAATATCTAAAAAATCTTAGCCAATGTCAGACTTTGTTGAAAAGCAAGTCTACTTTACACAGGAAAAACTTTGGTCAAAACAGGGGATGTTTGAATGAAGACTGTTGAAACAAACAAAAAGGGAGATTTTCCAAACTGGAGGAATAATTGCTGTGAAGTTGCGAAATGAATAACAGGCACAAAATTTAATCAATGTTACACTTAGGTGTTTCAGTCCAATTGATGCTAAAAAGCTAATTTTAAAAAACTAGATGGACTAAATAAAAACGTTTTAGCTTTTTCGAATACGACAGAATTCTATTCTAAAAATCTACCAAAACAACAATTACATCACAGGGCCTCCAACTCGTTCAATAACTTACCAATTTTGTTTCGCTTTGATTTCGGCATGATGGCAAAAATATAAAACTCTGTAACTTCTGAACAAACTGCTTTCGAGAGTCCTCGTGTGATGGCTCGTGTATGGACCTCCCTGTTTGGTTTGCCTCTTCTTGGAATCGAGAGCGAGGTTAGGAAGATGGTATCTCAAAAATGGCTGCTAGAACATGGAGATCATGGAGAAAACTGGCTCCGGCCAATCGAATCATGGACTTGCCTACTCTAGTAACTATGAGGACTTTTATGTGCACGCCAGTACGTGATAAGCTAATCGCTACATTTAGAACGAAACCAAAAAAAGAACAGAGGCCAAAAATGAAAGAATTGCCATGGAAGAAAGCAGTTGTAAAACCACGAGACGATGTTTACTTTCTATATGATCAAGACCCGCCATCACATACATTTAAAGATGCACTGGACGCATTGCGAGCATATGCATTTTTTGAAGAAACTGTCAGGTTGAACTTGAGGCTCAACATGAACGAGAAAAAGGTGATTTGAAGATTGTTACACGCAAGCAATATAACAAAGCATAGATTTTATCCACCTTACAATGCAATGCAGCATTAGAGGATAAGCACAATGCGAATTGTAGAGGGTTATGTATTTTTCAATGGTTGGACCTGAACCGCTACTGCTGTACCATTTGTCTAAGTAAATAGATTTTTTGGTCACGCATCTGAGCTTGTATAGTAGGCCACCATACACAGACATATGTTAAATGCAAAGCACACTTTTTCCCTGCCCAGTGATTAAAATCTTGTCTTTTTTCCAGAGCAGTATTTTGTTAAGAGCCTCTAGTGTACCAGATATCTCATTTGGTAGTGCTTTGCTTGCAAGTCTAGATTCCATGTCAGAGTGCAAAGTATAGCATTTTGAAGCCTTGTGGAGAGACAACATGATATGATTAGTAAACATTCATGATTGCCATGGTAAAGCTTTAGCATAGGGTTTACTATCCCCTGAGAGTCATGGTTGGGAATCATTTATGATTTTGGCTATGTGTTGTTACAAGCTGTAAGTGTTTTTGTGGTTCAAACTGCAAGCAGGATTCAAATTGACTGAAAGTAGAATATTTTTGGCATTTGCTAAAACCTGCAAATTCTTTTCTGAGGTTTTGGAGAGGTTAACTTTAGCTGAATAGTTTCAAGGAAAAAGACCATATGAATTAGATGTACCATATGCGAAAGATATGACATTTATTTTGCTTCAAAGGGTGGGCATCCAAGCAAAAAGTAAGTACCCCTGAGTTTAGTGTAGTAAGATATCAAAAACTGGGGCAAAGATGAACTTTTTTATTGCAAATGTTTGACAGGTACTTCAATCATAATGGCTTAGTTTTTGTGATTTTGCAAATGTCAACTTTGTTTAGAAATAAGAAAAAATCAAGAATATTCTTGCATTTACTGTTTTCAGCATCAAACCTTGATAAACGTTTCAATAATATTTCCAACTAATAAGTCATCTTATAACTTTTATGACACTTTTTATGACACTTACAAAAGTGGTTTGAATTTTGATCACCTTGTTGTTTGCAACCTGGTCGCCACTGCTGATTTTTCAAACCTGTGCAATACTTTTGCTCAATAAGTGTAGTTAAATGCATGAACAATCCACGAATAAACTTTAACACACATCTTTAACACACTTTAACACTTTAACATCTGTCTAGTTTCCAGGTCTAAATCAGGTGAAAAAAATTTATCCCTAATCCACTGTGACCATTTGTTACAGGTTTTCTTTAATGATTACCTTTAGAATGTCAGTGCTGACAAACAAAAAAGCACCACTAATAGACTTTCCATGAAGGCAAAATGCTAAAAGCTAAACTGTCTGTCCCTAGATAAGAACTGATGCTATCAGGGGATCTATGTTGCTACCAAAACCTTTCAAGGCAAAGAGAATTCTTGTTTTTGCAGAGGTGAGTTGTTTGTGTTTGAATTTATGCCTCTGCCATTTTGGTTTTTTTTAAATGATGAACAGATTTTCCTGAAAGATAAATAAGCGCATTGTGTTTTTTCTTTTTAGGGCTCATCAGAAGGGTGCTTCAGTTGTTGACTTATTAATAGACTTTGTTTAGCTCAAAGGTGTCATTACAGTTTTGCAAATGATTAGGAGCCTCTCTGAAATAATGTTTTTTATTCCGAATTAGAATCGAGGAAAGTGTTCACTTGTCTTGTACAAGTAGATAAACAAAAACTTTTGAGCTGTTCTAAGCTAATCGAGACATTTCCTAAAAGACATTGTGTTGAAGGGTAGTCTATCCCCTCTGTGATTGGCTAACTTAAACTTGAAAGCCTTGCCTTAAAAAGCCTCTGCCCTTTTAGCATCTCACATTAGTTATTGTTGGTGAACACGACAAACAATTGCCTAATCTTTTACATTTGACACCAAAACAAAACTCACAGCAACTCGCTCAGAAGAAGTATGTTATTGTGGTTCTTCATTCTGATTGGTTATTCATGCATTAAACCAAAGGTACACAAAAATCGTGGCCATGAAAAGAGATTCTGAGAACAATAGGGGACATACTGCCTTTAAAAGCTGAGATTGTAATGACTTATCTTGTTATCCCTTGAGTCAAAGTAGTGATCCGTATGATGTCACAGAAGGCAGTTTGGCATGGCTAGTTGAATTCAAACCAATAATGTTTCAATTTGCTGTCATAAGCAACATCTTGCACTTTCATGTAAAATATGAAGAATTTCCTGAATAGGCAATATTGATTTTAATTGAGGCATTTATCATCAAAATTAGGATGAGGTTGCTGTCCATGCCAAAGAAGCTGGAGCAGATTTTGTTGGTGGTAAAGAGCTGATAGTTCAGGTTTGTCAAGGCTGATTTTCTTTTATAAGTCTGAAGTTCCTTTTTGTGCCAAGTATTTTGGCAAAACTGTTATCAGTAACATAAGAAAAATTAGTAACATCAAAATCTGATGTATTTTCAAGTTAGGCAATTGATCCAGAGATTATCCAACTGTCAGAAAAGAACAGGAAGATGTTCTAAAATTGATAAAGTAGTTCATTAGCTTGTTGTTGCAAAACTCCGCAACACTTGAAAAAAATTTAACAAGACTTCGAGTAATAAGGTATTAATTTTTGTTTGATAAAACAAAAATTACAGTGTTAATTTAAGCAAGATGCATAAGTCAACTTCATTGAAACTTCTCACAAGAAGCTATTTTGCAACAAATTGTTTGATTTATGATAAAATTGTCTTAATGGAACTTGTCTTTTTGTTTTTTGATGACATACCAGCTGAGACAATTTCTTTCTGCATTTCTTTTATGCTGATAATATTGGAATTGAAAAGAAAGATTATATGAATTTAACTTGCCTTTTTTTTTCTACAAGGTTGAAAGTGGTGAACTGGAGTTTGATTATTGCCTTAGCAGCTTAGATTTTTTACCAAACCTGTCACATATGCCAAGGATTTTAAAAGACAAAATGCCAAATACAAGAAGAGGTAAGATGCATATCTGTCATATAGTTGAAGTTCTGTGAAGAAAATCAATGTTTTCAAACTTTTAGCATTGATATCTGATGTGTGTCAGACAATGTTTCCTCATTTCAGTCTTTGTAGGCTATCTGAAGAGGGTGTTTGTAAAACCAAACAGGAAATCTTTGCTTGAAGACAAAAACTAGTCCAACTATATTTATATGATTTCCATGATGTAAGCAACTTCAACTGGCTATAAGAGGTTTCTTTCTCCTTCACTAAAGTCATTAAAACCATAGATTTTAAGGTTTAAGAGTGTTATTTTTTAAATAACTATTGTTTGACAATACCCTAGAGATTATCCACTTGCATAAAAAGCTACAAATCAAAAAAGATTTACTATTAATAAAGAAAATGAAAAAGACTGAAAACATGGTAAAGTGAACCATTTTATTTTAAAAGGAACAACGAATCGCCTCATTAACTCTGAATTATCTCCTTAGAGTTGACTATTTTTGCGAACTTTATTGCAATTTTTTTTAAAGCTCAATCAAGTTTTTTATTCTGGTGCCTTATTGAAGCATTGGCCCAAAGATTGAAGGATGTTTGAATTGATAATAGATAATTCCCTCAAACTTTAACGAAAGTTTTAATCTAGCAATTGCAACTTCCATCTTTGGTTTATTAGCCTACGAGTCAAAATAATGATAAATGATGTAGCATCAATTCTCTTCGAGGTACTGCTACAAATGACGTTAGTTCGGCCGTGGCACAGTACAGACGAGGTCATTCGTATAAAACGACCAGGCAAGGACACGTTAACTCAGATATTGCTCTCGTAAGTAAATTTGTTTTTACCCTCAAGTTCATTTGCATTATAACATTTACCAAGGTACATCATTTAACAAGGCTATTAATGGGCATCCTATATATTTCTAATGATCTTTGGCTCATTTCTCTTGTCCGAGTTTGACTTTTTTGATTAATTTACTGCTTTCCTTTTTATTTCATCATTTTGCCTCTTTTGTTTGTAGCTGAGCTTTTCAGACAACGAAATACGAGAGAACATGCGTGCTTTTATATCTACAATCGAGTCTCACATGCCACAATCACTAAAGCAAGGTTTGTCTTGATATTATCTTGAAGTTCCCTTGGTTTTGATCATCAATATATTTTGGTTTGTCTGCGTTAAATGATTTTCGCCCTGTGAGAATGTCTTTGTGACTAGGTTCGCAGATTACAGGTCCAAAGGTGTGTGATTCGTTTGACTGGTATGAGAAAACTTTCAGTAAGAGTGAGGAGGGTTGCTAGCTCTAAAATTCTAGGCGCATGAATCGCAAATATGGTCATATCGAGAGGAAGGAACAGGGCACTGTCCGATGAATATAGCTTCTCGGTGTCCTTAAACCTACCTTCGAATGCTTACAAGTATAAATACAAATATAAGTTTAAATGTGAATACAAATAAAAGCACAAATAAAATGCTAAAACAAAAACAAAACAAAAAACAAGTACAAATTCCTTAAGAATTTTTAAGAAGAGTCTTTCCTCTGTATTTCTAGTCCTCTTCCCTTGTTTTAGGTTTTCGGGATTTCTTTTCTCCTTATTTTTTGCAGAATAATTAGCATCCAGTTTTAAAAGACTCTTCCCTTCTTCCTTCAGATCAGTTCTTCAAGAAGCTGGTAATATCATCGCAATACGGTCCTGGATTGCTATTAAATAAGGAAGAAATTTTCTTATGAGTTAATTGTAAAAGGGAACGTTGGCGAAAGTTAACGGTAGCGCTGACCATGAGTTTAGAGGCAGTGTCGCCCAGCTTACTACAGCCGATGCCCAACCACCACTACATCTAGAAGAATCCATCGGACAAATGATTTGCGAAAATGTAGTAGGTTGAGTGAAACAAATAGGAACTTGGTGCATTAAGAAAAGATTTTATGAGTGCGATGAATTAATTATGTTCCCAATTAAATTTTTGTTTGTTTCTTGTTGTAGACCTGATGTCTTGGTAGGTTTACGAAATTTTAATGTGACCAGAATATTGTCATGAATCTGGATGTATCAAAACACGGCAAATCCTTACTTTCAAACAAAGAAATCGAATGATTATACAGACAAAAGAAAAATGAATACATATTATTAACTATTTTCTAGTAATGGCGTACTGCAAATTGCGTCAAACTTATGCCAATTGGAATTTAGGAAATTGGGGACATTCCACTTGGGATGCATCTTTAAAAACAAAGTGTCTTTGATTTGGTATAATTGATAACTTTTAAAAAGTTCTTTATTGATGCATAATTTTGATATGACATCGAAAAAGCAAAAATGTCAAGGCTTACTAAAGCTTTTTGTGTGATCGAAATTCTAATCTAGGAAACATATATACCACTTACAATAGAAGTTTTTAATTTTTAAGCGCATCGATTTATTTCCCATAGCAAAAGATTTTGAAAAAGTTTTTGTTTTGCATTAAAATGCCCCGAGAGGATTGACAGCAAAAATACATTTTGTAATTCCCCGTTTATAGACCCGATGGAAGTGGCGGGCAATACCACTTTGGGGTGGGGAATTTTGATTACCGGTTTCGAGTTTTTTATCAACTGGGGATGCTGAAATGTGATGGTAAACGGGGATGCTGTTTGTTTTGTGGGTAAAATGGGGGTTAAATTAGGAGAATTCCTGTTTGTCCTCTGCGAAGGAAAAGCATGGCTAAAAAGTGAATGAGGCTTGTCTAAGCTGTGGAATATGAAATAAATGCAACCTTTTTGCGAAAACTAAGTTTGTTGTTCATCTACATCTACATCGATACTGAGCTGGACCGAGTATCGGTATAATGCTCAGAGTGCAAGAAATAATAGATTAATGGATAAAGAGTGCTAGAAGATGCCACTGATCAATGATAAGATTGATTGAACATGAACAATAGTTGTAAAATGGGCTTTAATTATTCACGTGCTGTCCAATTACCCCCATGTCCTTAAATAGATTTCTAGTTAAAATTGGCAACCTCTTGTGTTGTGATCTGTGTGGTGTTGGAACCACTGAACTAAAAAAATTTAAAGATCAGTGGTTGTGACGCCTGATCTCGTTCTGATAACGAGTAAGGCACAACCTCAAGATGGCGGTGTTCGGTTCCTCGTGCAGAAAATGTCTGCAAAATTTAATTCCTGTTACTCAGCAGTTTCGTGTGCAAACGAAAAATATTGTTTCTACTGCATATCTTCAAAGGTTAAAGAAAGACTATAGGATAAAAGAAGCTCCCAAAAAGAAGCGTTGGATCGAACCGACCATAAGAGAAGATCTGTTGTTTTTATATGATGGCAAAGCTCGCAGTACATTCCCATATCACAAATTTGATCTTGCAATGGAAATATTGCGTGCATGTGCAGTCAAAGACGAAAATGTTGGTGTTTATTTGAGACTCAATCTGAATGGAAAAGATGTAAGATTTCTCTTCAAAATTGTAAGCGTATCAAAAGATTCTGAGAGATGAGATTAGGCCACTTATTATGAAGTGTCATTAAATTTAAATCAATTTCATTTCAGAACTATTAGGAAAATAAATTCCATAAGAGTTAGCTGAGATGGCAATGCCAGGGTTGCCATATTTATTGATTATATATGTAATTGTGCGTAGCATTGTTATAACCCAGACTGCAGAGCAGAGTATGGCAGATTTCATCCTATCTCGGGTGTGCAAGAGCAAGATTTCAAGTAAGCAAGTGTGCACTTAGGTAAAGTGTGTATTTAAATTTTGCACAGAAGTGTGCACAACTATGCCAAGGGACAACAATTGAAAAGCCAATGTAAACAAAAATTTAAAGCCAGCAATAAATTAGAAGCCCACAAGAAAATAGAAGCCAGTAATAAATTAGAAGCCAGCAATAAGTTAGAAACCTGCAGTAATCAGGTGTAGCATGTATGGGTTCTCTTGATGCACTGAGGAATTCTGACAAAGCTTTTGAAAACTCAAATTATCAATTATCTAATGATCTAATTATCAAAACTAATTCAAAGCACACAAATGCCTAAGTAAAAGCATAAAAACAACAGATTTATGCCAGTGATATTATTACATATATCCATGAAAACTACATTGCCAAGACAGAAACACATTACACTTGTATATGAAAAGGAAGTGCATAAGGAGGATTACAACACTACATGTTATATTATAAATTAACATAAGATAGATAAACAAAGAAACTTAAATGTTACATAAGCATTACAAGTTTACTAAGGGTTTTTCTAGTGCACTTTGAATAGTCAAGGCAGCACAGAAATTTCTATTTAGTGCTTGAATGTCTCCTGTCATTGGAAGCTGTATATGAATTGGTATGGGCAATAATGAACATAAGGTGTTCCCCATAAAAATAGAACTTTGATGTTTGGCATTAAACAAGTTTTTGTGTTTCAGAAGATTCTTGTGGTATTTTGCAGCATAGATAAACAACATGACAATTTTTTGCTTGCTTCCATTAGCTTAATTTTGACTCTAGCATGGTTTACCCATGTACAGTGCATCAAAAATGCCTTGTTTGCAGCTGAAATGATATGTTTTCCTTTTTTGTTTTTTGTAGATTACAACAGAAAGCATTAAAGGACACATAATCCTACCCAAACAGTTTAAAGAGAAGAAGCTGCTTGTTTTGGCTGAGGTTTTCAGAGCTTCATTCTATTTTTAAATATTAACAATTTTTCCTACTAAAGACATTCAGTTGATAAGCCAATGGCCTTCTTGAAAATTTATTGTAATGATACCCAGCCATAATGCAAACCATTTACCAATGTGCAAAGATTGATGGATTAGGCAGGAATTGTTAGAGAAGAATTTGAAGCTTTCATTAATATTTTTCAGTGGATAGAGTTAAAATCATATTACCTGTTATTTGCACTAGGTACAATACCATCAAAACATACCTCAATAATCTGAAGGTGATCCCTCTGGAGTGCAAATTAGCATTCTTGTTAATGTTAGCTGCACTTACAACAAACTGACCAATTAATCTAACCAACTGCAGATTGGTCTTGCAAACAGTAACCGTTTAGGCATTAGTTCATCATTGTAAGCGGTGTAAAAAATTTCTTACTTGTAAAGGGAGAGCAAGCTGAAGCTGCAAGGGATGCAGGAGCTGATTATGTGTGTGGAAAGGAAGAATTATCAGATGTAAGTTTAAAGATCATTTACCTTATTATGGAGCTAGAAACATTGTTCGACTTTTCTGTTGAATCCAAACATGAAATTTTTAGTTTACACTTTCACCAGAATGTAATTTTTTTCATTTTTCAAATGCATTTTATATTTTGATGTGATTTTTAATACAGTTTTAACCACATTTTCTTAGGTGGAAGCCGAAGAATATGAATTTGATTACTGTCTGAGCAGCATAGAATTTTTACCTAGAATACAACATCTTTCGAAGATTCTTGGAGACCAAATGCCAAGTCAGAGCCAGGGTTTGTGCATATTTTCACGTCATTACATATTTAATTAGATGTAACAAGCAGAAAGAAATGAAAATAAGATATAAAGCACCCATCACAGCTAGGTTGAAAAATATTATTAGATGCTCCTATAATTTTGAATTTGGTGTATATTTGATTAATTTTTGTTGTATTTGCTATCTAGCATCCAAAGGTAGATTTAGGACACTGAGAAGCTGTGCTATTAGAGCATTGTCCTGGTCCTATCTCTCAATGTGACCACACCTTGTGATTCCTAAGCCTAGAGTTACAGAGAAAGTTCAATCTGTGAGAAAGTTTTGTTATGTCAGGGGCTCAAACCTCAGACCCTTGGATCTGCAGTCAGCAACCCTGACCACTGATTCATCCTTACAAATGAGACTGAGATGTGAAATCAATTCTGATTATATTGAGAAATCTTTTAGTCATTTAACAAATTTTTAAATAATAAGTAGCTATATTCGGTTTTTAGGCACAGCAACCAATAACTTGGCATTTGCTGTTAGGGAATACAAAAGAGGGCAAAGATACAAATGCATGCGGCAGGGTGCTGTTAGTTTAGACATTGCAAAGGTAAACATTTTAATATTGTAGCTGTTTGGATCTACTAGTTTGAATTATGCTGGTGTTTTGGCGTCAGAAACTGTTTCATACTCAAGTAATTTAGCCTATTCAATCTAGTTCTTCAGATATTATCCATAAGTTATTGTTAGGTTCATCAGAGAATTATATTCAAGAACTTTTAAGGATATCACAGTTATTATTCTGGAGATTTTTATCTAATTTGAAAGCTTGCAATGCATTCTCAGTTATCAGAATATACCTGTCCAGCTATTCAGAATGTCTAGAAGTTTTCCCTGTCCCAAAAGACTTTTGCGATACTAAGTAGCCAAATTTAGGTTTCAGGGCATGGTGAAGCTGGGACTGTGGGGATGTCTTAATCACATCATGTGATCATATGCCAGGAGTTGCAAAAAGAAGGTTCTTTTGCGAGCTGAAGTTGTTGGGATAGTAGGTTAAGATCTATCATGCCATAAATGAGTTATTGATTACAGGGAAATGGTTAAAGTAACATGAAACAGGATTGCTAATGATTCTGCTAACTTTGATTACAATCTTATTATAATACAGTTAGTTTATTGTAACTAACTGACTAAGACATTGAGCAATTATTTAGAAAGCCAGAATGCTATTTTGGACAAATATTGCAATTGGGTGTTATATGTTTATATTATGTAATGTTGGCTGTGGTATTTATTGACTTGCTCAAGCCTCTTGACACAAGCCTTCTTTCTCAGCTTAGTTTTACTGATGAAGAGGTGGAGGAGAATCTACAGGCAACAATTAATGCAGTTAGATCTCATACACCATTCAATGTTTCACCAGGTAACTGTCAAGAATTTCATCAAGATTTTATGAGTTCTAACAGGTTGTCTATTTATTACTGAATGATACAATTATCTGTGCTATTTATAACCATTTTCACTCAACATAGGCCATAAATTAACAAAATTGTGTAGACCTCCCAGAATTTTACGACAGCAATTCTGCTGCAAGTAAGTCTACATGTGAACTGTTACAAAACCAAAAAAATACGACAAAGCTTATTTTTTATCTATGCATTTTGTTTTGAGGGGGATTCTTACAACACAAAATATTTTTTGAAAACACAAAAAACATTGACCAAGGAGTATCAAGTATCATAAGTTTAAGGTATCCAATCACAGGTGAACTGATTGATCAAACAGTTTTAATTAGCGACTTTATTTATTTTAATGCTGCCAGCCATAAGATATAAAATATGCAAGAAGGAAGAAACACAGGATAGGCTGTCTGCAAGGTAGTGGTCTAGAACAAGGCAAAAAACGATGAGAATCCAATGTTGTATAATAGAATCTAAAATGAATAAGCCAACCTATATCAAAAAGGGTTTTATTTAATGACTTTTTAGATTCCCATTTGATGTAACAATGTTTTCGACACTATTAAATGATGGCACTTAGACATGTAAATCGTCTATTTTAAATTATTGTTTATTGATTTATTTTTGATAATGGATTCTCAGATCCAAAAAAAATTTAACGCCTGAATTATGTTTGTAAACAATTCATAGGGGGATCTGGTCAAGCATAGCAGCACTTTTTCTTGATCCTATATTGTGTTAAGCTGTTTAGCTGAATTTCATGCTTTCTAACTAAATTCTTCCTTACTGTTAATTTATTTTCATTGTTTTCAATTATGTTTTTTCTTTTTTTGCAGAAACGTTCATTAAAAAAGTCTACATTACATCTTGTCGTGGACCAGGACTCTTACTTCACAAAAGAGATTTTCTACGTTCAAAATAGACTTCGTGTAAATCATCATTGTTATAAAGTTTATTGATCGAGCCCTAACCCTAATGAAACTTAGTCACTTTTCAATTATGCCCTAACGTAAATACTGACAAATAGATGGGTTTTAAGCATTTTTCTGCCTTCATTTAAGAAAAATAATATGGAATTAGGTAGGCTTTTGGTATCGCAAAATTTCAAGATGACACGAAATCTTACTTCTATTATATGCTGTCGAAAAATGTTCCGAAATATGCTTTGAGTGTTTGAAAAAATATATGCTGTCAAAAAATGTTCCTTTTTGATCGTGTAGATGGTTATGCAAATTGTACCCAGTGTATAAAGAATCGTTGTCATAAAACCGATTGTACTGGGAGAAATTCGTTATTGAAACGACCGGTAGACCTATTTTTGTTATGTTTACAGTCCCTTTTGGCCGAATTCTGACAACATTACTGATCAGCTACAATCGATTGTTTCGACTCTTTTCCTCTCAGTCATTTCCTTATTTTCCTTTCCTTCTAGCTTCCCTACAAACCAACCTTACTGCCTTTGCTTTTATTTCACCTTTAAGAGGTGATGTTCTAAACAGCATCTTAGTTCAACTGCATCTTCCTAGCTTTTGAAGTACTGGCCAAGTTAACCTGTTTTCACCCATTTTTGTCATTTGATTAGTTTTGTGCCTGCAACAGGTTGTTTCATTTTTATTTTTTCTTACATTACCGTAGTAATCATTTGTCCCCATAAAAATGGGTACCCTCGTGCCACAACACTTTGTCAGATTGAAAAAGGGGGCAAAATGTGCAGGGCAAACGCCTTTTACGCCTTTTACGGCTAATTCAATATCCAAGCGTCAAACATTATTTTTTAGCGATATGATATGAAACATCATTGGTGTCAGTAGCTTTTTTCAGCAAAACGATTTTTTGACGGACAGACGCGCTTCAAAATGGCTTGTGAGAATCTCATTTATTATGCAAGCTGGTTTCAACAACGGCGAAAACATCGTCTATCTTGACAGAGATGGGATTCTGCGTGTAATTCCCCCTTTGAATCCTTCAGAATTCTGTAACGATTTGTCATCATAAAGTTGCACTTGCCAACAGAACAGAAGTTTTTATTTTGACTGAACTGATAGCTTTCCATAGCAAGCCAATCAAATTTTGAAAGCAAGGTTTCAATTCAATCGATAATATTGAATTGGAGACAAAATCACACCGAACCCAAAACGAGGCTTCTCGTTGAATGGCCCGTTGATTGGTGGATACCAGTCATTTGATTAAAAGGTAATCATGATCAAAACGGGTGATAGATTGAGTTTGTTTAATGAAGCACTTGCCCACGTGCTTTTGGATAATAGGTTTAACTGGTATCACAAATTTCCTCGTATCAACCACCTTATATTCTCAAGCAAGAAACTGTCACTTGATTAAAAAAGCTGCTTTCAAAATGGCCTCAAGTTACCTAAAATTCACGATTTTCGCCAGTCTTTTTATTTACGGTTTTTGCCAAGATGCAGATGCAGAAGTCACTTTAGAAGATGTTGGGAAATTTGAGGATGATCCAAGACCGGGAAATCCAGCCGTTATGGACCCCGAAGTGATGAAGGAAATGGAAGCGGAGAAAGAGTTTAATAAAGCCGTAGAAGATGCGCACAAGGGACCCAAAACCGTCGAGACATCGGGGAACAACACAAAGGAGGTTATGCCAAAAATAGACTCTCTTTACATCCCTCGTCATTGCACTAGAAAGACCCAGAAGGGAGATTTATTGGTTGTGCATTACACGGGTTGGCTCGCAAAAAGTGGTCGCAAATTCGATACTACCGTAGATGTGCGACGTCGATACGTGCCTTTTGAATTTGTGCTGGGAACTGGCTATGTGATCCGTGGATGGGAAAAGGGACTGTTGAACATGTGTAGGGGTGAAAAGAGAAAGCTTGTCGTGCCGTCTGTTTTGGGTTACGGCAGGAAGGGACTACGTGGAATTATACCCCGTAAGTATTCGTATTTAATGTTATTTGTCTTCTAATAACCCGAAGTATGTGCATATCCTAATTTAAAAATCACAGTAGAAAGTGTTAAGCGAGCATTCTCTTGACATGGCAGCCAAACTGACTTAATGATTTCCTTTAGCAACCACCAACTGGAGCAGCACACGAATGAAAAAGATCCATAGCACAAACAAGCGTAGTATTGCTTGAATCTGAGATGATAAAATGGCACCTCAGATGCATGCCTTGCTACTAGTTTTTCTTGTGAGGCACGAAATGTTCATATCCCTTATTAACCGATTGGAAGTTTTGCCGTGTGCTCCCGTCTAAGTTCCCTGAAAAGTGCCCTGTTTATCCAGTCACACACTGATATATGACAAAAGCCTTAATTCTCTACTGGTAGTAGAACTCATTTCTGGAGTCTATAACCTCTACGCATTAAATGCTCTTTGAGCCCATTATGTAGTTGAACGTCCATTATTAGGCCTTTCTAACAAAACCACAGAGAGTCTATTTGAATCTCCCCCATTACCTTATAGTCCATTCGTCAGTCTCACTTTTGTTGGTGTTTATTGTATGTACATACAATTTCTTTTCAGCCAATGCCACTTTGGTATTTGAAGTGGATCTCTTGGACATGCGCAGAGCTACACCTAACTATGCACCCATGGACCTCTTCACGTCACTTGACAAAGATGGCGACAAAAAGTTGTCTCGCGATGAAGTTTCTGCTTACGTGAAATATCAAAATAAAATATATCGTCATCCAAACGCAGCCAAGCCGACAGAAGAAGAACATGAACAAATGGTTGATCAGATTTTTCAGAGGGAAGACCGGGACAAGGATGGACATATTTCCCACTCCGAGTTCAGTGGGCCCAAGATGCCACACACTGAGTTGTAAATGACTTGTAGCAATTGAAAAATAGGCCTTTTTGAAAAGAGATTTTTTATTTTGTAACAAATGCGTTTAAATGTGAAATTTGTGTTCGCTGAATCCTACTGTCAAAACTTTGCTAAATTTTCTTTTCTCTTCCATAGTAAACAGAGATCTGCTAAATATAACGAAACGAACCCGAGTTTGTCTATTATTGTTTTATGTAAAAACTTTGGTTTTTTGGTTTTTCTGTGCAATATTATTTTCTTTTGTTGGCAATGTACCATTTCAATGTATGTACATTGATTTTGTTTGTTCAATAGCATTTTTGGTGACTTTGGTTTTTCTATAGAGCAATTGCTTCCATCCTTTTTCATCTAAGATGATATATTTGTAAAGCTATTAAAGTATTTAAAAAAACAGAATGAAATCAACATCTAAATCTTGCTAAATCGTTAATAACTACGTCACTCCGCACTTTCTAGCTATTTTCAGGATCTAATCCGATTTGATTCGTATATTTTCCTGCCCTCGAGGCAACCAATCTCGACATTACTGCCAACTTCGAATATTGTCACCTTAAGGTTGTGACCACATCACCACCTAATCTGGCTTTCGATGTATATCTTGGCAACAGAAGATTCAAAATATTATTTTGTCTTTATGTCAGTATTTGAGGCAATAACAGTCGTGCGTAGCTTTTGCCTTTGGAATTAAATGGTGTGAAGAAAGAAGGCATAATCTGAAATATTATCGGCGTTGAAGTTTGAATTTGTGCCCTTGCAACGATATAGCATGAAGTCAAAGCCAAAATGGCAGGGTTAAAATATCAAGCTTAGGTTACTCAGCGAGGATAACGGGATTTACACTGATAAGCTAAGGAACACATGAAAAGGTCTGGAGCATAGGCTAGGATTTTCCAAATTGCGTTCATCTCATCAATAAAACCTTTTGCAAGGATATAGCTGTTCAAATAGGTCCATGTAGCTGAAGATACTTAGTGGCTCTCTTGGAAATCTCCTTAGCTTCCTGGGAGGGGGTTACTACGCCATGGCACAGGATTACCGTTATTGACTGAGTTGCTTTCAATTTTCTTTCCTGTTTCTGCGGAGGAGGTTAGCTATGCAGGTGTTCGGCGAACGTCTTTTGTCGACTCAGCCAACTTGATTGAAAGGGCTGGTCTTGGTTGCCAGCTGTTTCAGATAATTTCCATCTACGTGAATCAATTCAAACAGTTTTCAATGCAATATCATAAGATAACGCATTCTACCAATCACATTTGCTTCAGATATTCGAACAATGCCAGGTTATATTCCGATTAAACAAGCAATAACATCCCTCAAAAAGATCTTTTTTGTGTTCGCTTGCAAGATCAAGATGAAAGCAGCTAAAACTCGGAAACTTAAACATTTTTTATGTAAACAACATTTTTTATACATTCATCACTACGCATTTGAGTTATAAAATTTTAATTGGTTCAGTTACCTGTTTGTGTCCTTGTTTCGGATCAATATCAGGTGACTTCAAATCATTAGAAACATTTTGCCGACAGTGGGACTGGTGAGAAGAAAACAACTGTGGTTGCTTGCAGTGGGATCTGAGAGCAGGGCGGTTCATGCAACTTTCAATCTAGGAGAAAACGCCCGTTGTGCACTTTTACGACTGATAACAGTGGCAGGGCCTACCCAAAACATTTAGCCACTGCCATGGACTGGAAAAGACATTTTTTGGACTAAAACCAGGCAATTGTTAGACTTCGATTTTCCCTGTAAGGCTCTGCTCTTATCGGAAAATCGCATCACGTGAATCTCCGTGTACAGCGATCGGTGGCAGCGAAACCGCAGATACTCACGGCTTCTTAGTTGTTTATAACTTGTTTGTTATTGTTGTCGGATGCCAAAGAAGAACGACGTAAAACATCTTCTGGCAACCATATTAAGAGGAGATCGCGTGTTTCAAACAGCCAAGACCTCTTTTAGTCACGAAGAGTTCATGTCTATCTGGGCATAAGCCGGCCGCAAGGATCAAACCTACAAAACCCATTTCTTGTGTGACCAGCAAAATCTTTGCTACGATAGCAGCCAATCAAGCATTACAGTGAATCTTTATCAGCTGCACTTGTAAATCATATTTTGGTGGAGTGTTTTGCCATGGCGTGCCCGGTATTTTTCTACAACGCATCTTGCCTGCTCATTCGATTATTGATTGTAATAGCATACCTGTGTGTTGGGGCGGCAGTATTCAGGACTTTGGAAAAAGACAGCAAAGTAGAGACTTTGAACAGAAGACCTGAAGTTGAACAGTATTTTGACTGGTTCAATTTCGCATTTTCCAGCACGACCACCATAGGTATGACATCATTGAAGGTTGTTTTTCCCAGCGTGGATAATTATCTAACGTTACTTTCTTTATGTGTCACGGTTATGTTGCATGTTATGTTTTGTGTTACATTGCGTTTTCGGTTATATGTCACAATGTGTTATACAGTCACCCCCAATTCAACTAAAAACATCCCTTGCACCCAAAGCCGTTGTTGTCGCCCATCATTTCATTTATCTTATTTCATTTCATTTTCATTCATTTTATTTTATATTATTTGAACAGGGTTAAGTGTACATTTGAATGCTAACAACAAGCTAAATGCTTCTTATCATAAAGATAAAACACTCAAACCTTATAGTAAATAAATAGATAATTATATTATCAACTTTTAGGTTCAGTGCAATAACAGCGAGATGCCCCATGATAAACGTTCTCAAAAGACTCAGAAAAAGGTCGAATAACAGCGCCTACATTTTTCTAGTGCCACTTGACTTTAAATTTTCCCCGTTTGCATGTAATTCCACCTGTTCCCACTCTTGACTAGATTACACATTTTACGCCTCTTGTTTACTTCTTTCATCCAGGCTATGGGAATGTCGTCCCGAGTACATCAAACAGCAAGTTGTTCTACATTTTCTACTCAATCGTTGGCATTCCTTTGATGATTTGGTACCTGTCCCTGTGTGGCCAAATTCAAAATGACATATACACGGTCAGTCTCAAGTATCTTCGCACATGTCTTTGGCACAAAAACGACAAAAGATACAAAGATGTTGGACCTGTTCTAATAAGTGTTCTCGTTTTGCTCATATTTTGGTTTGTGGGTTCGGTTATATTACATAAAACAACTGATTTATCACTTCTGGACTGTGTTTATTATTGGTTTGGAACGATGACGACAACCGGTTTTGGGGATATACTGATAATAAACCACGCTGATGTGACTGCCTTCCATTGCTGGATCGTGTATAAATGGTTCATTCTCAACCTGGTCTTCGGAGTCATACAATCAACTTTAGTCTGGGTGCATGGTTTTAATGAGGCAAAACAGTCCATGTGTTGCATTTGCTGGCATCCGGAAAGTCATTATTATGATGATGCCGATACCATTGCAAGGTACAATTTTGAGTTGGCGAAACAACAAGAGTTTATACAACTACACAGGCAGCAGAAGCATTGGTAAAAGACACAAAGCACATTTTTACGGACGGTTTTACAATAAAACGCACTGTTTTTGCCTGACTTGGACTTAAGAGATCACTGTCAGCTTACACAACTTATATTAAAAACCGAACCCATGCCTTACTTTGCAAGGTTTTGAGTGAAGGCATCTATCTGTAACACCAGCGATTAGTTTTGACGTGTTAGTTATGAGGTGTTAGTTCTGAGGTCTAATGATAAGTTTTTGTGTGACCACGTTCACTCTTAGTTTAATGTAAAACCCTGACTTTTATTTTCGCCTCTGATTTTTGATCGTTATTTATAAGACCCAAAGAACCCAAAGACAATAGCCAACTAAACAGATATGTTATTCATCAATCCAATTTTTTGTTATTTGAGGAATTAATCATAGAAAAGCCGTTGATCATGAACGAAGTAAAACCTTCAAGTCAATATTCAAGTGTGAGAAGGAAGAACCGCAGGATAGGCTGTCCGCCGGATTCTGTGAATCTTGCAATGAGATTTTAAAATGAAAGGAATACAGGAACAAAGCAATACGACGACGAGAATCCAATGTCACGAAATAAATTTTCAAAATAAATTAAATTTAAGAGTATACTAATATTTCGCCCCGGCATACAGGGCTTCATCAGAGTAATATTCAAGTCTTGGGGAAAAATATTCCTGGATTCGATAAGATTTGGCCGCTGTTTTTAATAATCGTTAGTAGATATGTGCTAAATATTACCTGTATTTAAACTTAAAAACTTAGATTAGAAAAATTTTATTCTCGGGACCTAGGATTTTAAGTAATTTTAGTTTCACTAAGCTTAGTTGTCGTTTTTCTTTTGTTTAAGTAAAATATTGTTATCAAGTATCATTACCACTTTATTGTAAATGTGTTTAATCTATTAATTTTTTTTATCACATGTAAGGTTTGAAAAGAGTAAATATACTGAATTTTTAACGGGTTTAGGTATTAAAAAATGAATGAAATGTAATTAATCTCGAGCCACAAACTTTACTGCCTGCACTGGCTCCAACAAGTGCAATCGTTGATCTACTTCCCCCCCCCCCCTAGGTTCTCTTATAATGCCTTAATATTTTCTGTAAAACGCGATGTTGTCTGAAAAGTCCCTTGCCAATTTTCGTGAGAACAAAATAAAGAATCGGATCGAGAAATTAGTAACCTGAATCAACTATACATCTCCGACACAATATGGGTTGGTGGGCTTCTTTCAATACCATCGTCTCTTTTTCTGCCAATTACCTAACCCTTCATTTTTGTCCTTGTTATCTGGCACCATACGAGTATGCCAGATTTGAGGGTTAACAGGTTCATCTCACTGTGTTAAAGTTTCAACCTTTCGTGTCCGTATTCTCATTCTAAATTTGTTAAATAATCTCGAAGGTATTCGCTTAAAAATATGGAAGTATTTTCTGTCTTGAGGCGTGAATTCTAATGGCGAAAGCTTAAATATACCATAGAAATATGATTATAAAACACGGCAAAATTTCAAATGGTTTGATAATGGGATATTAAAATTTCGTGTTGCATACGTATAGCAAAGCGTTTATCCGAGGTGTCATTTGATAATTTCAGATTCAAGCAATACTACGCTTGTTTTTGCTATGTATTTTTCTCATTCGTGTGCTACCCAGTACTTTTATTTTATTATCTCCATTAGGTCATATCTCTGTCAATGGATATACGAAGACAAGCAAAGTTTACCTCTGCACAAAGCCGAATATGGCACATAGTTTCTTGCTATTCTGCTATGCCAATAAGGTGAATTGCTAACACAGCCAGGAAGTAAAAGGTAGAAACTGCTTCAACTTTGAAAACTGTCTCCAATGTATCGTACAAATAATATCATACAAAAATTACATTTTTACAAATCAATCACTCTAATTTATAATAATTTGCTCTAAACCATATTCCTAAAATGTTTTAGCTTATATACAAGTTGTCTATGCATTTATGGTGTTGTTCTGCCCATAATAGAACTAGCCTCGCCACTTTTAAAGTAGCAAAAATTAGAAGGAATCGATGTCAGCCAAGCATTTCTTCAATAAAGTTTCTAGGTAAAAATTATACAAAATTTCACACTAAAGCATATTGTGAAAATTTGTTCAGGCGTTTGAAAAAAGTAGATATAAGAATCAACGAGGCAACAAAATATGAGTTTTTATTCGCTTTGTGCCTTTTCTCGAAATAACTTCAAGAACTATGAAAGGTCTGCAAAATCAAGTACATTCTGTCACATGAAAAGCCTCTCTTTCTGTGTTAGATTTTAAAAATGCAACCATTCAGCTACTTATCTGACACTTTTTCGGATTTTGGTAAAGTTTCCCTAATCTCCAGCAGCCTATAGTTTTACAACTTATTTTACTTTTATTGATAACTTAAAATAACACTTTATTTTGCATTTTCTCCCGCCATTGCTAAGAACATGCAGGGATTTACTCGACAATCCAAGGTAGAAAAGATGTGCATACATTCACTGCATTCTCCCCGGTGCATTAAAACTTCCCATGCGTATTTGGCATGTATAGCATAATACACAGAGGACATGTACGCTTTTGCCAATACTCTGTGTAAGCCTTTGCCAGGCACATGAATCAGACGGCCAGCGGTGTTGCTAGCAGGCAGTTCTTGTCAATGTGAAGTCAGTTTCAACATGACTTTCGTCTTGATAGCAGAACTTTCCTCAATCTGGATGTGTACTAACTGCAGGCCCTTACGTTCATACCTCGATTATACTGATTCTTGTTCAGATCAAGAGCGTTTCTCAGCCTCACATCCCATAAGCAGCCAGTGAGACCTGTTCTGTATTGGCCCCTAGAAAGGCTGACAACATCACCATCCAGGCCACCTATGAGAAAACACACCCTTAGCTATGACGTGATTGAAATTGATACCAGTTGTGACGAAACGAAGCGAAAGTTAGGTAAGGTAGATTCTGTTGGAAAGATACTGTTAAAGAGCTTGGTTTTTAAATTAAAACAAGAGTAGCCGACAATTTCATGCAAAGAAGAATAATCTTATCAAAGGTGGCTTTATGGGATTACCGTTGAAACTTCAGTTAAGAACGAAAAATTTTGAATCAGTAATGATCAATCCAGCGACTGAACAGCTGTGAAAGCAAAGACCACATACCAATGTAAATATGGCCAGAGGTATCCAAGGCTTGATCTGATGACGTCATTGACCTTAACACGGGTGTAAAGCCATTCAGAATGTAGGCAATTGAAGCGAAGCTCCCGAAGCTTATTCTAAAATGAAAACAAATGAGATTGAAAAATGCGAGGAAAAAGAGGAAGGGGCAATAAGCAAATTTGATACCATCCTCACACAGAGTCAAGACAATTTGAAGTTGGGACTTAGGAGGCATACCTCGTTATGATAACTTTGTGCGGCTGCCCATCTGAGATATTCTTATCGTCATGAAACTGAAACAGTCCGTTGCCGGTATCGATGCTGTGAAGAAATACGAAAAATTAACAGCGACGTAACTACGAGGCATCAGTTCATAACAGCATTCCTCTGTGAGCATCTCGTTCCCCTTTTAGACGGCCTTCGGAAGGTCTAAAGAAGACCATGTTGTTGGCCTATGTGTAAAGGAGCAAGCACAAAGACCAGCAAGATATGGTCTGTAAAGAATTCAGTGTACATGTGTGTGATAGGGTAAACACAAGGTTTCTCTGAACCTTCTAGAAGACAACACTTTAGAACAAAGCAAAATTATAATAAAACTGCAATAACAGAGATTATTTTCTCCACTTTTCTATAATACAGTTGAAAGCACAGGCAAAATTGTTTGCATTTTGCACAAATCTTGCTAGGCATTGCATAGATAGAAGGCATTAATAGTGAATTTGAAGAGCACGTGCATGATGTTGAGCGGCGAAAATGAGAATAGGCAAAGCAAAAAAGAATGCGAATCCAAACCTAAGCCTGAGTCTACTGTTTTTGATGCCAACAGAAAAGTAGTCACGTTTGCTACTTCGCAGCTCCCCTAACCACAGAATCAGCCCATCTGATGTAGTGTTTACAGTGAATTCTATGTGATTATCAGTTGATGGCCTAAAATGAAATTTTCATCATAAATGAATCATTGTGTTTGAAAAAACAGTTTAAATCTTAAAAGGGAATAATTTATATAAAATCACAAAACTCCAATTTAACTTACGAAACCTTGAAAAATTTCGCTTTGTTTACAAATCTAACGAAAAGAAGTCCAACTTTACCGTTGAAACAAAGCATTGCTTTGAATAAAAAACCGATTTTCAATTAATGTTTTCTTAATAACACTGAAGGCAGTAATTTGTTTTCTTTAAGGGTCAAGTTAACTGATGAAAAACAGTTTCAATATATTTGATGGCACTGAGCCAGATGCCATTTGCAATTACAATTTATTACCAACATAAAAATTAATAAGTTTCTGTGACACATACGTTGTGATGTTGTCTTGAAAGAAGATATACCCATCTCCACTGAACCTTGCTTTTGCGTAGCGAGGAATGGCTGGAAAAAATCGAATAATCTATAGAAAAACTATCATGCACGTTTTGTGTTTGATAACTTGGGATCGAAAATTTGGGTGAATTTGACAAGGGAAAATAAGTAACTAGCTCGGCCGTCCAGTTGGGTAGACGAAAAAGTGTTGCTAATTGCAAAACAATATCTTTCTTACATCAACACATACTTGAAATTAAATAGTACATTAAAATGACACCATAGATACACATAACATTATGATGCGTTCGCTTATGACAGCTTTTTGAATTCCGTATAATCTTGTCCCGGGCTGGCAAATTTCATCCCTTCTGTAAGCCCCTTAGAAAGACTGGTTTAATGTGTAGTAGGAAAATGAACCCACCACTATTGCAAAGGCTTCCTTGCCAACCAAGAGTACAGCTGCATGTGTATGGGTGCGGCGATCTCACTGTTGCTATGCTACAAAGAGCATTGTTCTTGCATTCATTCAAGACACATGTACGCTGCACATCTTCAATATTTCTACCCACTTTTGTGGAACTGAAAACTGTCACAACGTCGTTTACCTAGAAAATAAGAAATTCAATAAAACAACAATATTCGAAAGTTTTGATCATTTTAGGTCGGAGTCATACTCGAGTGCCAAATGTAGCAAGAAACCATAAAAAATGCTCGTAAACATAATATGAAGTATCAATGAACAATAGCCATTTCTACAATGCTGTTACATACTTCGCTTGATTTTCGGCCTTTAAGACAACCTTCCAACTCCACCCCATGCGGTAATGAAAAGGAGACCGACCAAAGAGAATTCCAAAAAGAAAGCTGACAAAAGTGAAAGCGAATAATAGCAGTGCTGTTTGCAAGTCCCGAACGCATTGTCACACAAAATTGGCTTGGCTGGCGTTAAATTTGACTGGTTCCTTCCTGCTCAGTAGTCAATGGGCAATAGAGAAAACATGGTCAAATATGATGCAAGCGCAACATATATTGGCAGTCAATTCGGATCTGCAAAGTAAAAGATGTATAAATAACTCACAATAAACCGGGAAACTGTCCCTTCGAAATCTCTTTGCGAATTGACATCCTTCACTGCCTGAATATTCATAGCTGACAATCTCGGCAAGCCACCAAGGTACATGACAGACCCTACATTAAGCTGTGTGTATGAGCCCGATCCCCTTACCCCAATGTACATGTTTGAATCGAGCCTCATTATCGCCTGTTTGAGCCTTCTTTCCACATACAGCTCATGCCACTGTCCAACTTTGACCGTGTTTCGAGAACGCATCGTTGCCAAGCCCAAACCGAGATTGAATCGAACGTAAACATATCTAGAAATATAAAATATACTTTGAGGCACAACAAAAGTCGGCGATCACTATCTATTTTACAATATTACATCTTTTCCATTTTTTCTTAAATATTTTCTTATCCAATTTACTGGATACACGTTGTAAATATCATTATTATATGAATTTAAGTGTTCAGCCAGCTTGAAAAATCGGTCATCATTATCATTTTAGCCCTTACTCTTTACGATTTAAAGGTCAGAAATATACTTTTTATATATATATGGACTTTCAAAACGAGCAATGGAAAGAGTTATTTACTTTGGAAACGCTGAAACGAACGCAATTAATGTTTGCGCTATACATTATTGAGCTGGTCATTAGAGCTCACTAAGAACAGCTTTGGCTACAAGACTCTTCGTTGCTGACTTGAAACTTTTCTTTGAATTGAAAATTTAAATTTCATGAATATATAAAACTTATTCATAAAAAGTAAGTTTACAAATCACGAAAAAGTTCAACCATGCCCCAGTATAAGGTTCTAAAAACTGTTTGTAAGAACAAAGTTTGAATATAAAATTTAGAAAGATGAACCAAAACTATAAAAGGTCTAAAATTCGTTACCCATTCCAAAGACTGATTGTAAAAAAATCTCCACTTGTGCTGTCCGTGTTCTCACTAATGTAAAACAAAAGGCCGTTCAGCTTTGCAGGCTTGAATCTGAGGTTAACCTTTGTGAGATACTTGACATTTGGACTTTTGAATGCCATAAAAGAATTAGCTTTGAAGAATGGTTGTGTGATGTTTATCCCTAAAAATGAAAACAGATATTTGAAGCCTTGATAACTAAAATCTGCTTAGCAGTTTGATGACAAAGAATCTTTTCGCAACGTAAAATTCAAAATATATATATATGAAAAATGTTGCTCGAGATAAAATATTAGTAAGGTCCCATCAGCCACACTGTTAATCACATTGTGATCCCCTCGCTGGAAGCTGCTTAAAAGCTCATAGAAAAAGCATTAAATCCCAAAGATGGGGTTGTCATCTAATGTTATGATCAAATAGTTTGATGTAACAATTCAAATTATGTCGACACTGGAATAACCAAATTTCAAAATTATAATTCAAGGAATTTTCTAACACAATAAAGTCTATCAAAAATTTCAAAATAGTAGTTACATTAAATGTCATGGATTTAAAGCGGTGAAAAGTATCAGATAGGAGCGAAGTAAATCACTCACGTTGATGACAATATTGGCCAATTCTACCAAGCTGGCAGTCGCAGCTAATTCCATTCGCATTTGATTGGCAGATAGACCCGGCTGCGCAAGGGTTGTAATCGACACAAGGAATTCTTCGATCTTGACAAAGAACTCCACTCCAACCTGCTGGACAGTTGCAAACAAATTGCCCGCCTATAAAACAAGAAATTTTGTATCAAAAAGATACGACGACGTTATTTTTCAAAGGCTATTGGAAAGAATGGCAAAATTGGTACTTTTCACCAATTTATGTCTCTAAATTCGTAATAAAAAGTTTAGTTTATTCCAACCAATCCACTTTGAGCAGGTTTGAAGAACATAGAGATTTCATCTCTTGGGAGGCCGAGTAGCTCAGCCAGTCAAAGTGGGTTTAATGATGTTAATTTCCAACTTAAAGTTGCTTTCAATACTACTTGTTTGAAGATATTTAATGTCTTTTCTCTCAGAATTCCTCCCTCAGGATATCATTAGCTTACCGTTTTGCGAGCATGTTCCATTATTCTGGCACGGGTTAGGTACACACTCGCTAACTGAATCGTCACCAATATTCAAACCACGCTCAATTGGAACTCCGTTTGATGCAGAAGTGACATTTCCAGTTGCATTGGTAAGCAAGGCTTTTAAGTTTGATTCTGTGGTTCGGAAATAGGCATTTGATATGGTGCCAACGAATCCTGATTGGAAATAAGCTCTTACAATGCTGGGAAGCTTTGAAAGATCTGGTACGCCACCGATAAAAAGCGGCGTGTATACGTCCAGCCCGGTTAGAAGTCCGGGACTGGTCACGTATACAGGCGTTTGGTTATCGGTATAGATATACCCGGAACGCTTGTTTCTTCCTGCAACTACCAAGTGCCAAGTTCTTGCCGGATCGATCACTTGCAAGCTTCGTGCTGTCGCCACACCACTGCCAAGGTTGTATATCATGTATGTATAATTGCTGACAATACCAACAGCAAAGAAATCATCGCCAGTCGCTCCTGCAAGATTCAGTAAAACAAAATCATTTTAAAGTGACGATAAAGCTACTCGTCCCATCTTATTAAAATGACAATTCTTTTGCCAATAAGCACAATCTTCACTCCCTGCAATGTCATAATACAAACAGGATTAGTATTAACATTAGTTATTGACTTTATTTCATACATAATCACGGAGTTTATCAAAATCAAAGACTTGTTTCAATTCTTGAGCGGCACGATCGATCAATTTGTGATACTCTCATCAGTTCCCTTTCATATCAATGTGGGTGTACCACAAGGATCATTTGTTTAATTTTTACCGTCTTCTTTAAAGAATTAAAACACTTTAAGTTTATCACCCCAACTGGGATCTTATTTTCTGAATACAATCTTATATGTTAAACTTTGTTGAAAGGGTAAAAATACAACTGTACCACGACAGGGCTGAAAACAATCAACAGCCTGGTGCAAATTTTATAATTAAGTTTTCAAAAGTAGTTGTGACATGATCCAATTTCTTTCCAAAGGTTTAGCTAAAAACGTGTACAACCCAAAGCAAAAACAAATTTCGATCAAAGTCGCCTACCTATTGAGCTCTGAGCTGCATACACGAGAAGTCCATTTTTATGAGAATTTGGGTCGTTAGGATTCCCTCTGAACTGGATTTGAATTTCAAACCGTTCATCGGCATTCCTCATGGTTTGTTGCCATGGATACTGAATGTACGAAGAGTAGTTGTATACTTGACTAAATACTGGGTTTGTGATGTTCAATGCTGGAAAATAAACGTAATGTTTAAACCTATTTTCTAAAAATTGTACAGCAAACTTAGATAGGCGATTTCAGTACCTTTTGAGAAGATAACTCTTGACTTCCCAATCTCTCAAGTCAACAGAAAAATAAAGAAAAATTGAGCATGGTTCACTTTTTTAAATTCTTAGGTTTTCAGAGATTGAAATGCTAAATTTAGGGTTTTGAGGAGGAGTAAAATCCAAATTGATATTCAACTTCACATAAAAAGCAGTCCTGAAGGATTTTTGCACCCAAACTATTGATAATAATTGGGGTTATGTTCTCAGTAATCCCTGCTCAGCAAAAAAGCCAGGACAGGCAATGTTTCCAAGGATGTCATTTTGGTCAATCCATTCTAAATTCTTATACTGTCGGTATAAGAAGAAACTAGTACAAGGGTACGTTTATTCAGAAATAAATCTAAAACAAAGGAAATATCTTACATGACAAGCAGGATGGGCCGTGTCTTCCGAACTGGCAAAGGCAAATGCGCCCGGTCGGTGTCCACACACAAGTACCACCATTGCATGGGTCACCATTACAATGTGCCACCCTCTCGGTACAGTCATTTCCAAAGTACCCGACCCCGCACTGACAAGTGTACCGCTGCATGTCTTCTTTGTTTTGTACACAAGTAGCATTGTTGCGACATGGTCCTCTTTGGCAGGCTGGGATGTCGCACTCGGAGATACTTGACCAGTTTATAGCATCTGTTATTAATGAAAAGATAAGATAGTTGTAGAAAGAGAATCGAAAACACTTTAGCATTAGCAAAGTTAATTAAGAACAGTAAAAGAATTTTGCTAAGAAAGTGGAAAAAGGGCAATTTATCAAATACAAGATAGGGAGAGAGAGAAAATTTGGTATACCATTTGCCAAATTTTTACCCTTTTATTGGAAAACGGGAAGGAGTTAGCAGGGATTGGTCGAATCGGTTACTTTAGTATTTACAAGACTTTAAACCAAAAAAAGAATAGGGCAGATTTGCCATATATAATGACACAGCTGTAATTCACCCCAGTACTTGAATGGCTTTCAGGCCTTAATCAAATCTGATTCAAATGCTTTGCAAAAACAACTGCTTGACGTAATATCTTACCAATAATTCGATATGGTTTGCTGTTAACCTGCAGATCCCGGATGCACCCAACGAGGCTGCTAAAAGAAGGAAGACCAGCCGATGAATTGACAGGACGAAATGTTTTGTTGATGCCACCCAGAAACCAAGAGGTTGAAAGCTCGATGCTCTTGAAGGTTGCATTTGATGAACGGCTTATTGGAACGGAAGAGTTCACTGCTAAAGAACCAGCTCCATAGCGACTGTCATGGCTGAAATGAAAATATTTAAAAAGGTAATTAGCTTTTTAGTTACACTGAAACTCATCAGCAGGGTTTATAACTGATTGAAATTCGGAGTAGCACATCATAACAACCCTGTTCTGCCCATCTCATTGTGTATAGATTTATCAATATAGATTTATCAATGTGTATAGATTAATCATTAGGGGTTATGGTGGATGAAGGGCTAAACTGGGATGAACATTTCAGCAAAGTGGAAGGAAAGATTAACGGCGGTCTGAAGTCGCTAAAAAAACTGAAAAATCTAATTTCACAATCCCAGCTCGACCATGTGTACCGTGCACTTATCGAAAGCCATCTGAGATACGCTAATGTTATTGGGGAAGTCTTCCTAAATCAAAATTGAATACACTCCAACGTCTGCAGGACAGAGCACGCTCGATTATTGATAAGGCCAGACTAAAAGGCAACTGGTCTCATAACTGGCTGACCGTTGAGCAACTAGCAAAGTTCGAACGATCAGTTATGACATACAAAATAATCAGCAGACAATGTCCCGAAAGCCTTTGGGATAAATATCAACATAGGACCCAGCATTCCAACTACAGAACAAGGAATTGCAGGGACCTACAAATCCCAAGAAATAACCTCAAATACGTCAAGAAAGGCTTTCACTATTCGGCTCTGAAAGCCTGGAACGATCATCAAGATCAGAGAGCTCCATACACTCCATACACTCGTGCATAATTTAGCTTTGACTGTAGATAAATTATATTAATGTAACTAGGGTATTTATTTTTTTATTTGGTATTTAGTTGTAAGCTGAAGGAATTTTTGTGTATAAAGAATATAAATGAAAATGAAAATGAATGCAACATCAAACACTCTGCAACAGACCAGTTCACAGTAATCCTTAGCACAGAAAGATATTGACCACGATAAACAAATAAGCGATGGCTTAAAAGATTCCAAAATGGATGTTACTTTTATAAAGCTGAAAATGCCAAAACAATGTTGAAATCTACTAGTTCAGCAAATTTCTCAAGCGATACTGGTAAGGGCTAGTGGGAAAATTTATTAAACTGGAACTTTTTAACATGTTATTTTGTTATTTTAAAGTTTTTTTCGTTTACAGGATATCATCCCAAATTATTGGTCAATGGACAAATGTGCTGTATTGTTATCATGTAGAAGCGATTAAGAATAAAGACATATATTTAACAAAAGCATTCTACCTCGCTTTTATTGTAACCAGATTCCCATTGTCAACACGGCTTTGGCTTGTTATTGTTACAACACCAGCGCCTGCATCAAACCTGAACTCAACATATCCATTGACAATCCTTATTAGTATGAAGTCTATGTACGTTTGATGACCAGCGTAAAGCAAGACGCCATTGCTGTTGGTTGTCCTGAATGTCATCACGATTGTGTTGACCACTTCATTGAACCGGATTGGTGCATATTCGACAAAAGAATGTCCATTGAAGTAGGGAAAGTGTATTGTTATCCCTAAAAATAAGGTTTTGAGGAAAAATACAATTTATGTAATTATAAAATAAGTATACGCTATATTCGTTGAATAAAGTGCAAATTGATATTTATTCATTATCCTGAAAAGTAGAAGCAAATATCTCAATCTGGAAAGCGTGAAAGTTTGATCGGAGTTTATGGTGGGAAAATTTTAGTTTCATGCTGGGCTTAGTCCATTTTGTCAGGTACAATGCTTAGTAAGTAAAAAGATTAATTTGCATTTTTGAAGCAGGAGAATTAGCAGCAGAAGACTGATCTTATGCATCAGTGAAAAATGTTCAAAACATCACCTTTGAAAAAAATCATTTGAGAAGGTTTCTGATGCAATTACACTTTTAAGATGAAAGTAAAAGGGAATTTCTAAAAAGAATTAAAGTGATATGACTTAAAAGCTAGGAAGTGATATACCAACATTACTAGTTATATCGATTTTCCGACAGAATAAAAAATAAGGTGTCTTTTTCATACCTTCGATGCATCTTGGTCCGAAAGAGGGATAACCACACTGACATCTAAATGAATTCCCGTTGTTCGCGTCATTAAAACACGGATATCCATTGCACGGCCTGTCTGCGCATGTAATATTACTTGGTGGAGAAGTCGTCGGAATGGCAGAAGACGTCAAATACATCGATGATTGAGAAGGTGACGGATTAACAGGCGATGCTGAGATGAAGGTCGTATCACTGATAGCACTGGAGGAAATCTTTGACATCGAGATGGCCGTAGATGAACTTCCCAGGATGCTAGTTGCTGTTAATTTCGAAGACAGTGGCGAGATTGAAGAAAAAACCGATCCTGGTAGAATTGACGACGATGTTAGTGAAAATGACGAAGGTACTGGTGACGAAGGAAAGAATACAGATGCATTTCTTTGGAAACTTGAAGAGGCTCCAATTTCTGTTGACAATTGCGAAGGGCTGGGGAGTGTCGTTGTTTCAGTTCGCATAAACGTTGGCATGGGTGAATCACTTTTCGTTGTCGTCACTGTTTGATATGTTGGTTGGAGTTCTTTTGACAATGACGAAATTCCACTCATTGATTGTGATGGGAAATTTGAAGTAGGTTTACTGCTGAGATATGTGTCGATGTATGATGACGCGAATTGTTTAGAGGCTTGGCTCAACATGGCGGTCATGTTGCTTTTTAAAGTATTTGAGATAGTAGGTGCAGGCGAGCCACTTTGTATGGCTACTGAAACAGTTGGGCGTGGTGACGAAAATGTATTACTGAATGAAGACACGCTGGTAAACAAGGGTGATGAAGATGAGGTTATAGCAGAATGGGTATTTGCGGGCTTTTCAGTCTTTAGGGCTGTTCCAGTAGAATATGCTGATGCGTAAGTGCTGTGTACAGTAGACGACAGCCCGAGCGAAGAGTCCACAGACCCATACAGGGATGACTTAGATACAGACAGGAACGAAACACTACCAGTAGAAAACGATAGAAATGATGAACCAGTCAGTGCATAAGTGGACAAAGGTAAAACCGATGATCGTTGAAATTCACAGTTTCTGCCAAATGACCAACTGGGGCAATAGCATGCATATGTATTAAAGCTGTCTTCGCGACATATGCCACCATTCAAGCAAGGGTTGGTGGCACATTCGTTATAATCAAACTGACACTGCTTTCCTTGGTAACCCTGTGGGCAAAGACAAACAAAACCACCCCCTGTTGCATTGCTCCTTGTCCTGCAAATGCCTGAATTTTGACAAGGGTTTGGAACACAATTATTCGAATAACTTTGACAATTTTTACCGAAATATCCACCCGAGCACTCGCAAACAAATCCCTGCAAACGCTCTGTGCATATTCCGTGGCCACTGCAGTTTTCCGTCCGACAGTCAGCCACTCGGGTCTGGCAGAATGCCCCGCTGAATCCTACCTTGCAGATGCATCTGAAATTTGACAAAACACTGTCCCTGACACATCTGCCGTTGTTTTTACATTGGCAAGCAAGTGATTCGCATCTTTGGCCACCGTAACCCAAAGGACATGTACAATTGAAGTTCTGACTCGACGTTCTAGTGCAGTTTCCACCTTGCTGGCAAGGGTTTGGTGTGCAAGGGTTTCGCACCATAGTTGATGTAGGCATCGCTGAGCTTTGCCATGCACTGGACGGCTGAATTGAAAGATCTGAGCGACTGTCACTTTGTATTTCAGATTGCGTCTGTGTTTGAACTACAGAGCTTGAAAAAGGAGGCTCTTTAAGTGATAGACTGGTAAGAATGCGTGTGTCCACAGTGCTGATAGGTGATGGGTGAATTCCGACACTTGATAACTTCACTGAGCTGAACATGCGACTTTGTGTAAACACAGGACTTGAAAAATGGCTCGGCAATGTTTTACTCGACTGAATGCTGGATGCAGCGCTGATGATAGTGCTAGACAAAAAGCTTGAAGTTAACAATAAGAAACTGCTGTTTATGCGACTTTGTGTGGATAGGGGGATTGGAAAATGACTTGTCAATGTTCTGCTTGGCTGTAGGCTGGATGCAGCTCTGCTGGTAGTATTTGACAAAAAGCTTGAAGGTAACAATAAGTAACTGCTGTTTATGCGACTTTGTGCGGATAGGGGGCTTGGAAAATGACTTGTCAATGTTCTGCTTGGCTGTAGGCTGGATGCAGCTCTGCTGGTAGTATTTGGCAAAAAGCTGGACGGTGGCAGTGTGAAGCTGCTATCTGATGAATTCAAGGATTTGGACTGCGTGGTCAACATAACTGAAAACCCTGTTGAAGCTGATGATGTCCAGGGTGGGTATGTGATTTGTTGCTTCAAACTTGTAGAGGTGTTTGCCATACGCATAAAGCTAGATGAAAACTGTGACGAACTGCTGTCTACTAAAGAAAGAAACAATGATTTTGTGCTTGAAGAAGGCCCTGATGCAGTATCCTTAAAAGTCGAGGATTCCAAGGATTGTTGTGCAGTTTGCCGCTGAGTACTCGATAGCACAAACGATGGAACACTGCCTCTGGTGGACACCAGAAAGGATGGGCCCTGCGAAGGCGATGAGATTGCTGCAGAAGTAGTAAATCGAAGACTAGTGGAACTGGTTGCATAATTTGGCAAGCTTGACTGAGCAGAACTCTGTATTGAGAAACGACCCAAGACTGTAGTAATTGCTTTTGCTGTAAGCGGCAAAGATGTTGTCACTGTAGGGCTAGTGCTAACTGGCGAGTGAATGTATGGGGAGCTTGTAAAATGAATAAGCGTTGAGTAACTGGATGGGAAATAAACTGATGATATGCTGTGTGAGCCTGATTGGATATTCTGCATGCTGCTTGAGGCTGTGTTCACATAGTCCGACGAAAAACTCATAAAACGCTCTGCAGTCTGCATGTATGTGCTCAAGATCGGCGTGGTAGTTGCAGCTGCTGATGGATTCCTTTGCACAACAGAACTTGAAACATCTCTTGACATGATAGCTGAGCTTGCTGAATTTTGTAAATAAATGCTGGTTTGAATTGACGCTGAACGATCAAGTGGTGATGTTTGGCCCATGCTGGTACTCAATGATGGTGACAAGGATCGGACTGAATTTGCTGCCACAGTGCTTGAAAAAATTCTTGCCACTGAAAAGGTGACTTTTGCCGATGTTCTTTGCTGTAAACTAGACATAGAGTATGATAAACCAAATGTAACTGGTGTCTTTATTGTCGTTGAGTATCTTGCAACACTGGTTAGTGATTGTCTCTCAGCAGAAGATGACATTGACAACGTCTGGACAACAAAACTGTTGCTTTTCGCTGATGTTAACAAACTTGAGCTTATGGTCGTCATGGAGCTCTGGTATTTTGTACTGGTGAGCAGTGACGAGACAAAGTTCGATTGACTGTTCGTCATGATGTCAGCACTGGGCACTAAAGATGACTGAGTTGATATCCAATAGCTGCTTTTTAAATGCGTTACACTGAAAGCTGGAGTCGAAACTTGTGATGACATTGCCATGGTTGTAATAAAAGTAGCGCTTCTTATGTTGGATATTGCCGATGTAGCAGCTGGAACATAAAACGTTGAACCAAGGGAGACAAACAAGGACGATGATAGACTTGCTGATCTGTTCTGACAAAGAGTGCCGACATATCCTTGCTTGCAATAGCATGCAAAGCTACCGATACCAACCTCCCTACATTGGCCTCCATTCAAGCAAGGGGTAGAGGCACATTCGTTGATGTCAAATTGACAAAACTGGCCTGCATAGCCAGCTGGGCAGTTGCAAGCTAGAGACAAAAAACCATTCTGTCTGCATGTTGCATTGTTTAGGCACGGTGAGGGGGTGCATGTTGTTAATGTATTGCACCTAGGGTCACCTGACAAGTGTCCAGGACACTGGCATGTATAACCGTATGTTCCAAGCACACAGAAGGTATCATCAATGCACTTGCGAGTCTGGTTGTTGCGACAATCGCCATAGTAATCTTGACAGAACAAGCCACCATAATCATTTGGACAAATGCATTTCACTGTAGTGCCAAAAGTGCCACACCTTCCATTATTCTGACATGGGCAAGCAAGACTTTCACATCTAGTCCCATTAAAACCAAACGGACATGAGCAATTGAAAGTACCACTAGACAGCTCGTTACACTTGCCATTGTTAAGACAGGGACTTGAAAAGCACGGCCCAAGAACACTTTCGCAATTACGCCCACTTGTGTTGGGCTGACATATACATCGATAGGTACCATTTCCCCAATCATTTTGACAACTGCCTGAATTTCTGCATGGATTTGGGCTACAAAAATTCACTGCCGTTTCACACAGGGCACCAGTATATCTTGAGGAACAGCTGCAGATAAAACTGTTTGTTAAATCCGAACACGTTCCATTATTCAAACAAGGATCTGAGGCACATTCGTTTATATTAACTGAGCAGTTAGGCCCTGAGAATCCAGGCTGACAATTGCAGATAGGCCTGTCCAATGCCCTAATACAAGTAGCGCCATTTTTACATGGGTCTTGAATATCGCAGATATGAATCTGACATTGCTTTCCCAAGAAAGCTGGTGGACATGAGCAGTTGTATGTTTGTGCTGTGTAGTTATTGCGACACGAGCCATTGTTGCAAGGATTAGGAGAGCAGTAATCAACAAATGTTTCGCAGCGAGGTCCAGTAAAATTCCTTGGGCAAATGCAAGCAAATGAGCCTTGCTTATTCAAACAGGATCCCTTATTCAAGCAAGGAGATGAGTTGCATTCGTTTATATCATTTTCACATTGATTTCCCGTGAAACCACTGGGACAAAGACAAGAGTAGTTATTGGGCAATTTCAGACATGTCGCGTTATTTCTGCATGGCATTATGGCATCACATAAATGATTTTCACATCGATGGCCAGTATATCCCCCTGGACAGCTACATGTGTATGACAAAGTAGTTAAGTTGCTCGTACATGTAGCATTGTTCAAACAAGGGCTGCTTACACAGGAATCCATGTTCGTTTCACACCGTACACCTGTATACATCGAGGAGCAGTTGCACAGATAGCCATTAACTGAGTCTATACAGGTCCCATGTAAACAAGGACTTGAAGCGCACTCGTTTATATTGACTTGGCAATCAGCACCAGTGAAACCTGGTCGGCAAACACACTGATAACCTCCAGGCAGACGCAAGCATACCGCTCCATTTCTACAAGGCTTTAAAACATCACACGTGTGGTTCTCACATCTCGTGCCAAGAAAACCTGCTTTGCAATAGCAGCGATAGCCACCTACAAGATCTGTACAGTTTAATGTTCCATTTTCACTGCATGGATTTGAGAGACATTCATTTATATTTTGGCTACATGCTTGTCCAGTAAAGCCATTCAGACATGAGCAAGTATATCCCTCAGGTGTCCTTTGGCAAGAAGCTCCGTTTTTGCATACATTTGTATCACAAAGGTGGGTTTCACAAGCTGTGCCAGTAAAACCACTAGCGCAGTTACACTGAAACCTATTGATCTGATCCAAACAAGTAGCATTGTTTTGACATGGATTTGAACTGCATTCATTGATTTCTTTTTCGCAATTTTGTCCTGTGTACCCTGGCAAGCACTGGCAACTGTATCTTTCTGGCATCTGGACACACGTTGCACCATGGCGGCAAGGGTTTGTTCTGCATTTAGGAATTTCGCAATGAAACCCAAGATAGCCTCCTTTACATCTACATGTATAGGCATTTATCTCGTCAATACAAGTTGCATTATTAAAACATGGATTCGAGGCACATTCATTTGTGTTGGTTTCACATCTATGGCCAGTGTATCCAGGCAGACAGTTACAGGTGAAACGGCCTATTTCGTTGACACATGTAGCATTATTTCGGCATGGCTGCGATTGACATTCATTTATCTCTGTTTCACAATGTCGTCCTGTATATCCCTGTAAACAACTGCAGTTATAATAATTAAGATAATCATTACAAGTAGCACCATTCATACATGGGTTGGAAATGCAATCATTAACATTTGTTTCGCAGTTTACACCTGTCCAGCCGCTTCCACAATGGCAATCGTAGCCTAGAGTTGTGTTTTTGTTTTCACAAACTGCACTGTTAAGACATGGCCTACTTGCACACATATCCCTGTCTGTATCGCAGCTCTTACCATACCACCCTTTGCTACAGTTACAGTAATAACTACCAACTTGATCCACACATACTCCGTTGTTACAGTTTGCTCTTAAACGAACACAGTCATCTACGTTAATAGAACAGTTCTGGCCAGTAAATCCAGAAACACAAGTGCAAGAGTAATCAAGACCTGTAGGCAGATCAGTACAAGTAGCATTGTTTTTGCAAGGCGATACTTGACAAGCATTGTAATTGATTTGACATTGTGTCCCATACCATCCAACGTCACATACACATTCAAAGCTGTTGAATTTATTGATACATCTGCCGCCATTAAGGCAGGGGCTTGACAAACACTCGTTGTAATCATCAGTGCAATTTCGTCCAGTCCAACCAGGCAGACAATGACACGTATAATTCGAGAGAAAGTCTCCTGTCTGCTCGCAGGTTGCGTTGTTTTTACAGGGCTTGTAATGGCACTTGTTTAAAATATCTTCGCAATTCTTTCCTTGATATCCAGCTGGACATACACAAGTATAGCCGCCAAATATATTGACACAAAGTCCTCCATGTAAGCAAGGACTTGGTACACATCTGTTGACTAGATTTTCACAGAGCTTCCCTGTATATTCAGTGAGACAGACGCATAAAAAGTTACCAGGTGAATTAACGCAACGCGAGGACCCTTCAGCAGAGCATGGGTTACTCAAACATTCATTGACGTCACTTTGGCACCTTGATCCAGTATAGCCCTGAGCACATCTGCAACTGTAGCCTCCAACAAGGTCCGTACATACACCTTTATTGAGGCATGGGTTAGACGCACAATTGTCATACAGATCTGTTTCGCAAAACAATCCTGTGACATTCACTGGGCACAAACAACTAAAACTTCCTGGTGTGTTAATACATGTTGCATTATTTCGACAAGGTTTAGTATTACATTCGTTGACATCTATTTCACAAAAGTTGCCTGTCCAGTTTCCATTGCACTTACACCTGTACCCATTTACTAAGTCTATACAAGTTGAATTTCTCGTGCAGTTATTGTTAATGCAGTCATCAATGTTTATTTCGCAGTTCCTTCCCGTGAAACCAGCCGGACAGTTGCAAGAATAATTTTTTTCCAACACCAGATTATTACACGTCGCATTATTTAAACAAGGCATTGGCTCGCAGTAATCAACCCTCGACTCGCAGCGCTTTCCGGTAAAAAATGGGCTGCAGCTGCAAGTAAAGTTGCGTTTTAACCCCGCTGTTACATCAGAGCAGTTTCCTGCATTGAAGCAAGGGTTCGAAAAGCAACCATTGTACTCTCCACAGTCAGTACCGTTATATCCAGGACAACATGTGCACTTTGCCATGGTGTCATTAGCATTTGCAATACAAATTCCGCTGCCAGCACAAACTGAGCCCCCGACAAATGGGCAATTGTGTGCTTTCACAATGATTTTTATTCGTAAACCAAGACTGCATGTCAGAATGTTGTTTGCTTCCCCTGCTAGATAAAATACTCCAACTCCATAAAATGTTGAATTGAACACCACTGATCCAGTCTGTGTAATATTGGCGATTAATTTGCTTGAATTTCTCGAAACGTCACAACTTGTAAACTGCCTCGAAGAGACATTATACAACTGCCAGTAAACACGCGACATGGTTGCTAGCATTTGATCAAGTTTTAAGGTTACAGATTGGCCTAGCAAAATATTAATTGGTCTTTGCTGCACTGGAACAGGTTGTTCGGATGACCCACCATAACAGTCTTTGTGCCGATGACAAACCTCTCGATCGCTGACACCCAGGTTCACTAATACTGGCAGACCATGAGGTTTGCATGCAACAAGCCTTGAATTAGGACATACCAGGCTGCAGTTTGTTGCGTTTAAAGTTTGTGAAGATATTGGTGTTGGTAAAAGGGTAAACGACAGCAATATTAATACCCACGAGGCAATGTCCTTCATAGAAACGCGTAACAGCGCGAAAACCAATAATGATACAGCCTCCCTATAATACTCAAATATCATTTTTATGTTGTTCGTTCCAAATGGAATTAGCAGCTGCTTATCCAGTTTCATGTTGGCTGCGAATGTAGAGAAATTGTAACCAGCTGGCCTAAATCGAAGAAAATGATGTGATGGCGTAAGCCAATAATGAGTCTATTATACAATGCCTGAACTCCTTCCTTGAAATTTAAAAGATTTTGTTACAAAAAAGACAATTTCATTCTTCAGGCTACTGATTTCGTGTGTTTTTAAAAAGGAAAATTCTCCTAGCCACAAAAAGGCCCAAATGAATACAAAAAGATTTAGTTTGTGGTTTTAACTTTATTGCCGTTTAAGCTTCTAGAATCTGTTTCTTTTTTGGGAGGAACTGTAATTGTTGGCAATGCATATAGTTTTAAACTAATAGACTATCAAACAATGGGTGCAGTGTGAATGAAATTTTAGGAAGTGCAAATAATTTGAAATTTCTAATATATTCTTCAAGATCCTTTGTTCTGCTTAAAATGTATCAAGATGAAGAGACCCTTGTAACAAACTAATGCCATTAAAGACTGTCTTATGGCTCTTTAGCATCATTCACTTTTTCTTATACCTGGACTCCATTGTTTTCTTTTTAGAACAATGATTATATAAATTTCATACCTTTATAGCACTGGTTACAGGTCCATAGAATATTTTGATTTTTTTGCACTTAATACTTCATTTGCATGTGTTGCTCTAACATCATCCAAGTTGGTAAAAACTGCAACAAGGAAGATTTAAATGAATCTAAAAACATCTAAATAAAAGATTTAGCATTTAAGATAACAATTAATGCTTTAGATATTATTTGTACGTTCTGGATTCACCTCCTGGAATTATTATCAATTATGTTCATACAACAGGACTTCTAGTTTCAAGCTTATGTAATGCATATTTGAAAAATGATAATGATTTTTCTTGGAAGTGACCAGTGGTGCCTTTGAAGGGGGCTCTGGGGGGGGGGGGTGGTCAGCCTCCTCTCAACAAGTAGGTTCATATTTAGGATGGCACCCCTGGTAGTGACTAAACTCACTCACTAATACAAGGAAGCTATAGAAAAATCAACCAAACTTGCATATGGGGCTTCAACAGCCAAATAGCTTGCATATGCAAAGCCTGATTTTAAACACACAACCCAAATAAAGCACCACAACTATGCTAAGACCCTGTTTACACTATAGAAAAAAAACAAACTCCTTGGTTCCATGCTTCGAAAAGTGACAATAGGCCTTGCGTTTGCACTAGGTATCTTGTTGCGTGCTAGTTTAGGAATGGCCCAGTCCTTCTTTGGCTTTGCTAAAAAGCGAAACTCTTTGGTTCCATTCCAAAAACATGTTTTTTCTCTAGTGTAAACAGTCAGGAACAAAACTTGTTGTTTACAATTTTAAATTCGGCTTTATCTAGCATTGAAGCAAGGCTTCAAAACATTAAGCATCATCACTGTGCTACTATGTATGCTTCATACGAAAGTTCTTCTTATTCAAGTTCTGTTCTTTTTACTCAAGTGTGAATGGGCTCAAATTTGGATCCGTTCTCTTTGCTTAAGTGTAAACATGATGAAAAAGAGGTATCGTGCCCAAGCAAGAATGGAACCAAAGAGTTCTGTAGTGTAAACAGGGTCTAATTGTTGTCATTGCCATAATTGTTTGATGATGAGCATCATCAACCTTTAAATTTTGTGCTTCCACTTTTAGTTCTGATAAATCACATCATCATCACACCACATAAAAATCATCAACTTTTAGTTCTGATAAATCACAAACTTAACAGATGTTTTAATATATCCTGATATTTCTGAATATATCATTTGAAAATAAATTTCCTCTTGATACAAAATGCTTTATCCGATTGGATGCAAAACCTTTGATTCATGCTCATTGAGAAGAAAACACAAACTTTTGTAATTACATGCTTGTATATATTTTCCGAGACCTGTTTACATGATACTGTATACAAATAAATATCACACAATATCATACTGAGGGCCAAGGGATGTGATGCTGTGGGGGCTACATCCAATAATCAATGCTGTAAAGGAGGCAGTTTCTTCTTCTGCCACTGCTTTTTTAACATTTTGCAATCCTCCCAAAATGCTCTCAAGGCAATTTTATTCAGACTTTCTTAGAAGCTTGTTTTATGGAGCACCTTCATTTTGCTTTAGATCAAGGCCTGGTTTAACTGTAAGATTTCAGAGTGAAATGGATCTCAGGGGCATGTATCTTAGTTCACGCATCACCAAATTTAAATGTACCTTTAGTATTCCAAAGTATGTATGTGGATTTACGCACGTTGAGTTCTTACTATCAGTCGACTTTTTACATAAACCTATTGAAAATCATAAAAGACATAAGTAAAAATAAGCAACAAAAAACATTAAAGAGTGAGTCAATTTTTTAAAAGCAGAACAGCACTGGTTCTTGCTTCCATCAAATCATGTACCTCCGGGATTTTTTAACATAAAAAATGCAGGAGCTCTTCTGTAATTCATAAACTTCACGTAATTCATAAATGAGAAGTAATAATAGGTTTATATCTTCTCCTAGATTTTGACCCAGTTGATTGACTAGGATTGATATACAGAATCAAGAATGGGATAATGGCATTATTTTGTCATTTAATCTTTAACTTTACTAAACCTTATATGGTGGGTATGTTATTTAACTTTTCATTCGATCACTTTCAACGTATGTGGCTTCCTTGGCCTAACTAGGCCGAAGGTTGTGCGTTATGTAAATACAATGATATTTGAACTAAATCACAACCAATCTTGCATAATCTAGTTAAAAAATTCTTCTCACCAGTAGCATGCCTCTGCCTTGGCTATAGATTACTCTTTTAAGATTTCTTTCCAGTAAATCTTACAAATTTCCATCCAACAACGCTGATGACCAAAGATCAAACGAGGCAGTAGAATAAGGGCGGTAAATAAGGAAACAAAAGAGAGTTTTAAATGAACCAATCACATGATAGAATTCCGAACATATGGAAGTGTGGGTTAAAGATGGAGGATAATGCGTCGTTTCCTAGCAACCCACGAAAACAATGAGTCATTGTAGACACGACGAGACAAACATCGCTTACTCGCCGAAAGAAAGTCAAAACTCATATCTAAAGTATTTTTTCAGCATATCTGATTAATTACAACATAAGGATTTTAAGATTAGAAAATTTATAACATTTTTTATAGTATAAATACTATAAAAAGATTTACTATAGCAAACTGAAAAAATAAAAACATATAAACATAGGGTAGTCAATGATGAAAAGAAACTTTCGTTAATTGATTAGGATGATAGCTCAGCTTTTCAAGATTATGACTTGTATACTATTAGAAAGTAAGGAAATAACTTCTACTTCTGATAAAAGAAAACAAACTGTAAGATTAAGAAAAAAAATAGAACGAGCCAAGAAACTAAAAAAGAAAAATTACTGTGCAACTTCTAATATGATGGTGGAAATATGGAAAGGCCTAGACAAATTAAAATTCCTTTTTGAAAATGAGTTTGCAACTGGCATTTCTTATTTTGGATGGGAAAAAATTTAAACCATGGAAGCTGATGAGTTTAAATTCAATATCATCAGATGCAAAAAGGTCTTCAGTCGACTCTCTGGTTTTGTTTTAAAAAAGGACTCGTGGTGTTAAAATTTGTGTCTCGCTGTGATATCTTTGCACATGCAATGCAGGTTCCTTTTTCGCCTAAGCTTAAAGATTTCTCAAAAAATCCAGCCGAGAATGACGGGGGCTTGTGGCTTTCCCCAAGGACTGGGTTTTGTTGTGCACGCAAAAATTCTCACTCTCCTCTACCCACAATAGCTACCGCTCTTACGTAGCTTTTTTAGGGACTACAACTGAAGGGCTAAGCCCTTTTTGTTATGAAAAGGAAAGTGCTCATTTTTATTAAACAAAGGAAGGTCACGAGGACTGGATCAACAGCCATCCTAGTTAGGAAGGAGGGCAGCCAACCAGGTAGTGCTGGCGCCAAGGGGGGTATGGGGAATAATTACCCCCCCCCCCACTTTCTTAAAACATGGTCTACATACTTCTTCTAAATGCGGATTAAAAAGCGCTAAGTAGGGGTAGATCCTATTTCCTAAGAAAAATTAGCACTGAAGCGAGACGTCTTGCTGACCACGCCCATTACCCTCCCACCCTGCAGTAGCTGGCGCCGCCACTGCAACCAGGCTAGTTAAAAGCTCCGCTTTCTTCAAGTTTTTATGATCGTTTATTTTTTCGATCCAACACTGAACTCCCGTGGTCAGGTGACGTCCAGCTCTAATCAAAACCCACCAAAACATCCATTCAACCCCCTCCTCTTCTCTAATGACCAATAATGCAAATATCGTCTGCCCTGTGCCAAACTGACATAACATAGCATTGTTTGTAAACCAGAAAAATGTCTCAGAGGTCAAAAGTAGAGAATGTTTAGGTAAAAGTAAAGAAAATTCCGGAAATTATGAATTGATGCAAAATTTAAAGAAAGAAGAACATTAGGAAAAATAATAATTCTTATTTAGAACCAAAAACAATTTATGAAGTTCCTATGATATGCAAAAAGGTAGTGGAGGGAAGGGTTAAGTTCTAAGAAAAACAGAAGCAACTTGAAAATCTTGCTAAATTGAAATGGTTGCCGTTTGATATATAAAGCATCAGCCGCTCTAGGAACCTCCACCAAGATATTTAAAGCAGATTTTCTTTCTAAACAATCAACCAACAATTTCACCTTGATCAATATAGCTTATACATTAAAATAGTCTAGACCAAAGAGAGAAGAATATTCCCTCAAGGATAAGCGTCATTCCGGCTTCTTTTTTGTACACTTTATTCTGCCAGCACTCTCCGATTTCAGTTCAAAAACTAGACTTAAGGATTGCATGTTACAATGCTGACAAAAGTGGTAAATCATCCTATCCAAAAACGACTTACCCGTTATGTCATTAAATGAAAGGTGTGCGAAAGCATTGAAATTTCACGCAAATATCAAGTTACTCCAGTAGCGTTTACGTCTTAAATTTTGCTTTCTCGAGCGAAATGCAACTTCAGTGACTTGTAAGATCGTGCTTCATCAAGAAAGTAGACACAAACAGATTGAGTAAATTAAAATATTGATAGAAAACAAGATATAATTTCCTGAAATACAATAACCAAATGTATATGGTACGTATTATTAAAAGCTATCATGAATAAAACTACCCTGTGAATAATGGAAACACGATTAGGTAATATTGATTTTTTATCAAGAAACTGGTTAGAATTTGTTGAGGTGCTGATAAAAAAAGACTAACAAGCGCCATGTAGACAATTCACGCATATCCATGAACATCATTGAACGCTTCTTCCACTTTAGCTTAAAACTGATCTTATTTTACATTATCATGGTTTCGTTATACAAGAAATACAATTTACAAAATTAAGACGCAATATAACGAGTGATTAAGGCGTTGTAGCTGCTTCCTATTTTCACAAATGTTCAGAATGAACTAACATGATATAAAATTCTACAAAGGCTTTGTCGTTGTACAGTTAACTTTCATTCTTTTAGCATATCTTCCAATTGTGTCATCCTGCCATTTGCCGCGCGGTGGATTTTTTGGACAAGACAGCAACAATCCAGGGTTGCTAGATGGGATTTATAAAAGAAGGCCAAACGGGAGACCAACTCAGACAAAAAAGGAACCGAAAAAGGCCTGATGAAAAATTTTTCCAAAAATACACTGCGCGTGCGTAGTATCATTTCCATCCATGCGCCCATTGAAAAATTTACTAAACATAAACATTATGTTAACTGACCTTAGTCTTTATTACAAAATGTGAATAATAACTATATTTCCAATCGTCTAAAATTTCAAAATACAAACAATCTCTTTTTGCTTCACGTAGCATGAGCAACCATGTCCATGAACAACAATAAATTTTATTTTGCTGCAACATTTATCATACTGGAGAGACGGAAAATTCCATCATATTTTTGTAGCTTCGATATTCATGCGGAGGAGGAAGACATATGGCCAACTGTATTCAGTTTTACACTTAAGTATCTTTATAAAGCCTATCTTTTGCTGCCACCCATGCAAGGAGGAGAAACTGGGACTTTTTTGTCGCTGCTTTCCCACTGTTCTGGTGTCTTTGCCTGCAAAAATACATAAATACCATTAAAGAAATTAAAATCAGCTGGGTGAATCATGAGCCCTGACAAGCAACAAAACAATTCACAATTTGATATTTATCTATAAACTAGAAACTTAAGATAATTTTATGACTACTCTTTTTTATACAAGAACCAGTAAACTGAAGGTCAGGCTGGCTGTTCTTAATTTTCAAAACTTTGAGGCTGGAATGATCTTAATTTAATTTTAAAATATCAGGTTGTAAGCAGTGCGGTCACCAGCGGTTCAGGCCGCATTTGCCAACAAAGTGAGTGAGTCACCCCTTATTTGTCAATAAGTTTGAAAATTCACTGACATGAAATGGATTTTTTAAGAGGTCTCACAACTTTGTTCAAAATCACACTTTACTGTACCTCCGCCTAAGCTGGTTCTTAATTTGTTCTTATCTTTACATGTACTTAATTTTTGCATGGCCAAGACTACATCCATCGACGTTGTTTTCCATCCAAACCCAACCCAGCTCATCCTCGGCAGCACCACGGCACTCCCCGGTGTTCAGCACTTCGTGTCTTTGGCTCTTCGCAGGTTCTAGGTTACCCTACTCATAAAACCTTCGCATCATCAGCATTCCGTACTCGACCCACCGTAGTTCCCACTCAACCCGGTTCCTGGTCATCCGATTCATAAAACATTGGCAATTCACTCATCAAAGGTTCTTGGTTACCCTACTCATAAAACCCTTCGCATCATCAGCATTCCGCACTCGACCCACCGTAGTTCCCACTCAACCCGGTTCCTGGTCATCCGATTCATAAAACATTGGCAATTCACTCATCAAGGGTTCTTGGTTACCCTACTCATAAAACCCTTCGCATCATCAGCATTCCGTACTCGACCCACCGTAGTTCCCACTCAGCCCGGTTCCTGGTCATCCAATTCATAAAACATTGGCAATTCACTCATCAAGGGTTCTTGGTTACCCTACTCATAAAACCCTTCGCATCATCAGCATTCCGTACTCGACCCACCGTAGTTCCCACTCAACCCGGTTCCTGGTCATCCGATTCATAAAACATTGGCAATTCACTCATCAAAGGTTCTTGGTTACCCTACTCATAAAACCCTTCGCATCATCAGCATTCCGTACTCGACCCACCGTAGTTCCCACTCAACCCGGTTCCTGGTCATCCGATTCATAAAACATTGGCAATTCACTCATCAAGGGTTCTTGGTTACCCTACTCATAAAACCCTTCGCATCATCAGCATTCCGTACTCGACCCACCGTAGTTCCCACTCAACCCGGTTCCTGGTCATCCGATTCATAAAACATTGGCAATTCACTCATCAAAGGTTCTTGGTAAACCTACTCATGAAACCTTGCATCGTCAAAAATTTAACAAAATTTTCATCACTGCTTGCATGGTACACCCAACGGAAGCAAGTCAACATTTCAACGTTTGCGTATTATCCTCGTAAATAATTTTTAATGCGTATTATCCTCGCCATTTATATTTTTATTTTAATACGAATTATCCTCGCCATTAGCTTTGTAATACAACTTTTATCGAATTCTTCGCTACCGCTTGCCTCTTGGAGGGAAGCTATAAAGTGACCATGCTTAGGCCATATGAAATCCCCCTACGTAAGATTGATTATTCAGGGTTCGGTTTGATGCTGGTGGCACACCATGGTTGGCGGCAGAAAAAGTTTTGCAACCATGACATTTTAGAGATTGTCGGAAGATGGGCCTGGGATATTTACAACATCGACTGAGAAACAAAGCTCCTAGGCACAACAGACAAATATTCTATCACAATTATGCTCCATAGTTCTTTTTGGTTTGATTCTGACATGAAGATTCAACAACTTTTAACCGCAAGAAATTGAACACTGTTTGAATGAAGTCAGGAATTAAGGAACAAAACTTTATTGATAGCCTTTCTTGTCTTCCAAAGCGCGATTTTTCTAGCAAAACATGATCCATTTTCGGAATACACAAGTCAACTTTGAAGTAATCCTTAAAGTAAATAGAAACTTTTCACCTGATTCTCATTCATCAAAAGGGCCGCATTATTTCCGAAAAGGGGTGCCAGACTTGCTTCAACTTGATGAGGGAAAGGCAACTGCCTCTAGTTGCTGCATACCACAGGACATTTTCTTCACCATTGTTTACAGCTTCACTCATCCAAGTGACGCTGACTTCGTCTCGTCCAGAGTTTTCTTTCTTCATTGCATCATAATTACATAATCCTAACACATCCTTACCCATCAAATTTATTTTGTACATAAATATATTACCTTGTATGCAATTTAATTCAGTTCAGATCAGAGTTCTACAGGCAGCCACTGTCTCTTTTACTGGCTCTGTGTACTCTACGTTTTAACCAGGACTTGCCGGGTTTGAAACAACACGTCAGTCGATGGATGGATATATTTAATGAGTGCATTGATCGCCGTTCCGATGTACACTAAACTCACTTTACACTGAACAACAGTTCAACTTTTTAGTCAAAACACTGCTTTAAGTTTCATCACCTGAATTGACAATGCATGGACTCCTGATGCCAGCTCATCCTTCAATGTTTCATTGACTAAGCGGTGACGCTGTCAAGTAAAAAAGATTGAAATAAAAAACGAGATTTAGTCTTGATAACAGCAAAAGCAATGAAATAAAAACAGAATTATGAGAGATTGCTCTTAGGAAAGGATACATCAGTATGGGTTTTAGCAACATTTAAAAATGAGGCATCATGGGACATTGCAGCATCCTGGGATATGCAGAATGATGTAAGCGAGAGGAAGATTTTCAAAATCAAAACATTTTGCCAATAAGGGTATAAGTTTATAACAATGATTGTGTAAGTAACTGGGATGAACAACTTCAGACTTAAAACAGTCAATTGCTAAAGTAGAAGCAGCAAAAGGACTGGGCTACAAGCAAAAGTATGATTTATAGCAAAGAAAAAGCTTGAGAAATAAAAAAGCTACCTGTATCAAAGCTTTGTCCGAAAATAATTCAGATACTACAACTACTTTAAAATGTGTTTCTGAGCCTAAAAGTAAAAATAACAAAATTGAAGAAGAAAGAGATTGTTCTCAATCAACAAAAGTTGACACTCAAAACATTTCTGAAAAACTCCCTAGAGTGGGCAAGCTTCATTGAACGACAAATAAAAGCTTAAAATATAACTAGTTCTTAATGGATAGACACACTATTGTGGGGCTGGATTTTGTAGTGAGGGAGTAAGAGGGCACATGATTACCAATTTTAGCATAACTCTGACAAAATGCACTGCAATTTTTGCAAACATTCAGCAATGTAGCAAGAGGGGGGAAGCAAGCTTTCTTATTTAGGCTCCTGCCCCTAGTCCCCTTTGCTTTCCTGGTGCACACATCTGACTCAAGTTTGATTATAAAGAAGCACTTCAACTGGCTAAGGGAAGCAGTGAAAACTAGCATCCCTGAAAAACTGACACTTCCGAGTTATGGTTTCATATAAAAATAGAAACATTGCCTTTGCTTTTTTTAATTTTTGTGAATTCCTTAGAGTATAAATGGCAAATTATAATCTATAATTATCTATAGGTTGCTGTAATCAAAATATAAAATCTGGTTCAAAGCTGATGGTCGCTAGGTCAAATGATTTCATTTAAAACCAACAATCATGATTGTGTGGAGATATAACAAGGAGAGAAAGATAGTATGGGAAGGGGTGCAGCCCCACTTTGAAATGTAGAAGGGGGCAACTCCCACAAGACCTCTTTTTTCACTATACAGTAGACCTCCGATCCACAGGTATATATATATTCTGGTGATTAGATTGCTGCTAATTGTCTACATGCTATCTAGGAAAAATGGCCATCCACTTTTAAAAAGCTTGAAAATCAGCCTCAAAAAGTGGATAAAATATACTAGAAATAAGTAATATTTTGTGAAAGCACAGGAGCAAAAAAATATTTACTAAGCAAATTTGTATCATACCTTTTGGTACATTATGCATGTGACTTTCATTGATAACATTCAAATATCGAGGCTATAAAAAAATCACAGAATGAGATGAATGAACCAGGTTTATAGACTGACAGATTATATCATACTGGGAAATGATATGTCATATATTGGTGCTCTGCTGCAGGAATTCAAGAGCTTGATTCATCAAATTTTATGACTCTTCAAAATTGGGCATCTGGTAATTTAATAACAGGTAATGTAATGAATTCCTAGATTTGAAAACATTCCCGTTTTTCAAAAAAAGTACAATTTTGTGTAGCATGGCTGCCTGCTTTAAGTATGCTTTCACCAGGTGCCTCAATTTTGAATAATGTGATGATTTGACAGATAGACATCCTTCCAAAAAGGAATCTAAGCACTGAAAATTATATCTTTAAAGCTAGGTCAGTAGTCAATTTTCTCGTACCAAACAGAGAATGAAAAGTCACCTTAAAGACCTCTGTCAGTTTCTTTGTTATCATTTGTGATATGACACCTCCAGACATTTCCAGTTTTCTATCATTAACCTGGCTCTGAAATCTGATGGAGAGGCAACAATATATATCAACAAACAATTTTCAGCACTTTAGTCCTAGCACAGTTTTGATCCTAATTCCAATGCATTAAGACTAAAATGAAAATCATGTTCCAAATTGGGATCAGAGTATATCCTTGTGGCTGTGAGGCTTTCCCTGATGGATGTTTTAATGTTATAATTTAACATTTTCACATTGTATCATTAGAGTTTACTTGTAGAAAGTGCAAAATAATACATTTCCAGTCATTTAGAGGGAGGTGGTCATCATAACAAAAATACTGCAGCTTATTCTTGAATTATTTTGTCATTACTTTCAATATGCATTGCCAATATACAACATTTAAATGACAAGGAAGGAAAGGCTTTAATGAGTTTGTTGAATATTATTTTTATTATGACTTCTCTTTAAAGCTACTGTTAAAAAATTTAAATGCTTTTTCATTCCCCCAAGAAATTGCCTCACAAAGTAAAATGACTTATGACTTATTTTAGCCCAGATTCTGCTGTTTAAGATGTGTTCAGGCTACTTGTTAATATTAACACAAATTATAATAACTAATATTTATTAGTATCATTTTAAAAGTCTGAAATGCCTTTTAACAATATCTTCTTACCTTAAAAACACTTTTCCCTTCACTGTTTGATACCATTAATTCAAGATGGCGGAAATGGCTTACCTTATTTTTGAAATCCGTTTGTTTCATTGGCTGACTGTTTTTGCAAAAGAGGCCAGATTGAAAGAGAGAGAGAGAATCCGACACCTGTCTTTCCTCGAGCGTGAATAATCGATGCTCTCTCTCTGATCTTGGAATCAAGCGAGCGGTACACACAAATCAAAATTAACAAGGAAATAAAACAAGCAAGATGTCTGGGAGAGCAACTGCAAAGCGAGGAAAAAATAGAACCAAATCATCCCGAGCAGGAATCACCTTCCCGGTTGGCAGGGTGTACAGGTTCCTCCGAAAATGCACCCACCATCAACGAATTGGTGTTGGGGCGCCAATTTACCAGGCGGCTGTTATGGAATATTTGTGTGCTGAGATATTGGAGCTGGCTGGAAACGCTGCAAGGGATAACAAGAAATCCCGGATCACGCCACGCCATATCCTGTTAGCTGTAGCTAATGACTTAGAGTTGCACAAGGTAACGTAGTTCTTGTCCATGCTAGGCATATTTTTACATGCCTTGTTTGTTCCCGCCATTCGTCCTCCATTGTGAAAGCCAGCGGCTCTTTAAAACAATGGGATTAATTATTCTTTTGAATGATTGTCCTGCAGTGTTTGCTGAACGCTTCTTCGAAAAGTATGGAGGTCAAGTGAAATCAGAGAGAATGTTTAAAGTTGTAGAATTATTCTCGAATATATAGCTCATGTCATAAATTAATTGACTAATAATAAGTGCATTGTTTTTATTACTTTGACTTGTAAATAACATGATCAAGTATAAACCAACGAGGCATGAAAGGGAAGATAAAACAAAGGATATGTTTTCAGAGCAGAAAAAGATTATTTGAGCGGTTTTCTATTTGAAAACATTGTCTGATTAAAATTGATTATTTTTAATCGACAATTTCATTCACAGGCACTTAGCTAGGCCTCTTTTTTCTCTGTTTTGGGTTGAAGACATACCTTTTTCCTGTCGTTTGGACTGTTTGAACACGAGTTACTTCAATTTGAATATTTAGACATTTCTTTAGTTTTAACTGGAATAGCTGCTGTAGTGAAAACCTTTCTATGATCCATTTTTGGCAAATATGAATATAAAACTGAGTGGAACTAAGAATCTGACCATCCTTCTTGTCTAATTTCAAGCAGACATGCACATGCATCTTTACTACAGTACTTAACATGCTTAGAAGTCATTATACATAACTTGTTTAAAAGTATATAAATAGTTGGTCCTTCCAAAACAAGTCAACTTCCTTTTCGAGGTTTTTCTGTTTTTGCCTGTAGTGTATTTGTGGGCAAGTCATTTCACATTTACACGATGAGATTTGTAAAAAGTTTCCTTCCTTTTATATTTTTTCTTTATAATTTTCAGCTTTCCTGATTCCTTTATTTACACTGATTTTTAAACCATAATTTGGTTTTTTTCTAAATGGAGAAATAGCATTGATATTTACAGAAACAGCAAAACATACTTAGATATATAATTAATTCAAATTTCTTATCCAATGTTGCTTGGCCGTTTGCCATGACTCAAAAAAGTGTTGTCCTTTAGTCTTTTTGTGCTTCCTGGGCATACACAGTATTGATTAGTATATATCAAGCCATGCTGGGAATGGCGTGTGATTGCAGGCCCATGCCTTGGCACACGGCTTCCATTGCTCAGAAGTGCAGTTTATTGCATGCCTTAAGTAATCTAAACACTTTATTCTAAAGTGACCAATATTGCCCAACGTTATTTTTTATCATAATTTGACTATCAACGAACGGTGATAATAACGCAATCGTTTCTATTTTTTCTACTTTAAGGTTATGGTAAACGTTTTCTGGATGAAAACATCCATTTTTGGATTTCTTCAGATTCTAGTAGCCGGACTTTCAAGGCATGCAGTGTTAAAACTAACAGAAATTTTGAATATGGTGAAAAACCCCTGTAAGGTTTCCATAGTTTTATGCTGAGGTCTGAAAATGGCTTGACCTTTTAAGCTGATAATCCTTGCTTTGCAGTTGTGGTCGCATGTCTCATTTGCAATATCCCATGGCACTTTCATGTATCTCCTGTAGGGCCCTATTTATTAAAACATGCAAAATCTTAAAGCTTCAATTGACTTGACCCAGATTACATGACTGTCGTTTACGAGTGTACCTTGCAAGTGGGATCAGTAAAATCCTGTTTTGTGAGGACTCCCAATTCTTCTATATACAGGTATGAAAAAAACTATTTTGTATGCAAGGAACCAATCAAATGGCAATTTAATTTGTTCTTAAATGTGTCATATAGTTCATCTAGTTCAGTTACTATTCGAGGAGTTCTATGTAGCCTTTGATCCAAGATCTATAAAAATTTTAGGCTAATAAAATGTGCGAAAGATAAGTGCTGGCTTATGATAGAGTTCGAGTTTGGAAGGAATAGACCAACTATTCCTTCTGTCTGTTTGATGTCTGTTCAGGAATAAAGATTTAAGATAATACAATTTTTTGTGAAAAGGACGCTTTTGGCCCCCCATAACAGTCCAAAATGCAATTTTAAGCATTTATGTGCAAGAAATATGCTTAATCAACTTAATCAACTTAATCAATTTTTTTCCATTTGCAATGTTTTCTCGTCAATAGAAAAATTCTGGTCTGGAAGTTCTTTGTTTTATCCTTTTGTTTCATGCGTTGACTTGAAGCCAGCCTATTCGTAGAACACATGATAAAAACGAGTGCACAAACAAATTTTGATATGGTGGATGCTGATGTTTTAGTGCGCAGACAATCCTTAAACTCAAACTCAAAGGCATGTTAATCACACATTATACTGAAATATCAAAAGTAAAATATTTTGTATTCATACAATTATGAGAAAGCTTTTTAAAGACGATATATCATAATCTTGTTAGCTGAAGGATACATGGAAAAATTCAAAAAGAGCTGTCAAGGCCATTTATCCTACTTGAGTGTTTTAAATTTAGAAGCTACTAAGATTTTGATTGTGTACTTAACAGAAATAAATGGCAAGTTTGGAGAAAATCAGAACAAAAACAATACAGAAGTAACAAAATAAAGTGATAGAAGTAATTACGACTGATAAATCCACTGCTTTCAGAGCCACAACAGGCTCTAGTCTAGTGCCCCAGCTTTTGACACACAATAAGCATTTACAACATCAGCTGGCAGTGTGTACAGCGAATAGCTTAGATTTTATATCTTTATCAAAGAAAAGCTAGACAAACCGTTAAATGACAAGATTTTTCCTGCCTTGGATAGCGTAGTTTCAGAGACTCAGAAACTCTGGTAAACTCAGTTGTGCAAAAAGCACTACACAAGAAAAGTGGCCTAAAATGACAAACGAAGAAGGAACACGACATCGCTGTTGCCAGTGCAGCTGGTCTATCCGCCTATTGAATATGTCCGATATTATGAGATTGGTAAAATCTTCGCAAACTTATTTCCAACATAATAGCTGCTAATATTGGGTCTGCGCACAGGCTCTGACTATCCAGAAGCCCTACCTGAAGCGATTTTTCATAATAAATTACATTTAAACAAACTCTTTTTTAAAATAAATAAATGGAATGCTATGCAGTCTCATCGGACAGTAGTGATGGCAAGCAGTTTTGTTATGGCAAAGGCCATTGGCGATGAGCGATAAAAATTTTGATTTCCTACAATACTTATCTGGCTAGATTGAACACAAGTTTTTGAAAAAGCAAGAAACAGCCCAAATGACATTAACCAGACTTTAATTGGGTTGCTGGAGAAAGGCCTGTGTCCCAAAGACTGATGAAACCAAGAGTAGAGGAGGTTTGATAACAGCTAAAAATGAAATTGAGAAAATCTTTGCTCAAGCAGAGACAGAATGTTTTTTGCAGATAAACACTTTGAAAACAAATCCAAGATATTCTTTTGCCGTTTTGAATAAAACCTCTGCTCGGATTGGAACTGTAAATATTGCCATCAAAAATAACCTTCCTCTTCCTTTCACTCCACATTTATTGAACGCACAGTTAGCTCCAGGCATGTTAATAATATATCATACTTGATAACCTGATGATGAGTTGAAAATATCATGTTAAAACGACGTGTAAATTAGAAATTTGAACTCTACCCCGTAAAAGCTGTGTGCTCATCTTAATCATGTGACATCATTAAAATAAAATTTTTTTATTTCATTTTAATTATGACATATTTCATTATGACAGAGACTTTTCTATTGAGTATGCTTTCACAACAATATAGTGGAAGTCCCATAGGGGAATACTTTAACACTTACCAAGAAAACATATCTTATCGCATACCAATAAAATTGCCTCTAAATTTGACTTCCCCCTGCTTTTGAAACATTTTAAACGTACCTTAAAACTTTCTGTCTCTTAAATTTTTAAGAAATTTCCTAGAAAGTTTTTGGTTTTGCATGCATTGGACAATGCTTGTGCTTGTTTCTTTATTTTCTTCAGTGAGGTCATTCAAATCATGCCATATAGGAGAATCAAGCTAATTTTGTGTCTTGAACACCTCCACTTTTTCTTGTGTTGTAGTTGTGTTGGTAGTAAGAGCCAAGCATAAGTCTATTTCACAAAAAATTAGTTTTGATCCAGGAGTTTTCCTGAAGAACCATCCATTTTGTGAAAGAAAGTTTAGAAACTCTGTAGAAACATGAATGCTTTCATTTTCCTTGAAGGAATCTTAACAAAAAATTAAACTCCGTATTTTCTTTGCAAATGGTAAACCACATTATAGTGTTTAGATATCAGCCATTACAACCTCAGATCCCCTTCAAACTATACTGGTACAACAATCGAGGCACATCTATAGCTCTCAGAAAGGGCCACTGTCTGCCATAGAATATTGAATTAACCAGCTTTCCTTGTCATTATTATTTCCCCTTTGTCTATTTTGCTTTTGAGCATCATTTTCATTCAATGCAATAACATTTTCATGTTACTGGTGGCAATAATCTAAAGGCTTTTGGTTTTTTGGTTTCTGTTCTCAAGAGCTAGTGGCATTTAAAAATAGGAAGACAATAAAAACCATTTCCAAGTGGCAAAAATACCCATTATGTCAGTGGGAGGACTCATGGCTATAGCATTGAAATTTTGTAAGACATTATTTCTCAAAAGACACCAAAAATATTTATTGAAAAGATTGGATGCAAGCAAAAGTGTTTGTAGTCTTAAATTAATTTCAGGGTTACAGCTTGAGTCTTCAGAAAACTTTTTCTAGGGTTTCCTAAGATATACAATGGATAAACCATACAAATCTCAAATGTTTAGGTTTTAAGCGTCATACTATAAATTATATTATATATTTAAACCTACAGCTTTTGTTAGTAATAATTAAAGATAGAGCACTAACAACTTTGCTCATCGAATTTATAGGAATGTACTGGTACTTTTATTCCAACTTCAAATTTTATTCCAATTTTGTACACTTTTCTAGTTGCTTCAAGGTGTCACAATCCCACAAGGAGGAGTTGTTCCCCATATCAATCCTGAGTTATTAAAAAAGAGAAAAAATGGCAAACTGATCAGCCCTCCTGAGCCAAAAGCAAAAGTTGCAAAGAGCCCTAAAAAAGGGGCTAAAGGATCTCCAGTTAAGGCTGCCAGTGAAGCAAAAAGCAAGGTAATACCACATTATGTATGCAAATCTTTTGTGATATTCTTGATATTGCAAAAATCTTTTGTATCAACTCTATAATGATAATGACTTTGAAAAATAAAACATTTCACAACATACTATTTAAAGCTTTTTGGTCGGTCAAGGGTTGGTAAGAACACTGTTGCAAGTATATACCCAGTTGTGGATCGAAATAGGCCAATCAGAAAACAGAAGCAGATGACCCAGGCAAAATTGTCCAATCAGTGCTCGTGCCTATAGAAAAATAATTTTTCTATAGGAACCTAATTTGATGATAATGTCTTGAATACTTATACTGAATAAACACTTAATGAGAATGTTTTGTAATGGTTTTTGATGTAAGTAATATTGAGATTTTGCTGTGCTCTCTTGTAAACAATTCTTAAAATTTTTAGGCTGCTACACCAAAGAAGGGGAAGGGAAAGAAGGCAGCAGCGAGCTCAGACGATCAATCTAAAGGAATTGTTGTGTTGTCAGAAAAGTCACTTTTCTTGGGACAGAAGGTACCTAGATAATATCCAGTATTTTTTTAATGCTCCCTGTTATAGTTTGAACCAATTTTGCAGGGCTTTCACGCTCAGAAATCAACGCGCGCGGCGAATCAAATTTATTTTATAACACAAAGCAATAATTTTTTTTCTATTTAAACGAGACAAACCTTCAAATAAATTAACTGAATGCTACACATTGTGTAGCCATGTTCATGTTTCCCTCTGGAGTAATCTTAAAGGTTACTGTGCGACATAGAGATAATTCATCTTCAAACGTTATCAACCGAAAACAAAGTTATTTGAAGATGAAGATGGAACAGCGAAAACGAAGTCATTGGAGAACAGAGTCATTTGAAAACGAATTGTTTGAATGAGAGAATCGAAAACGGGGTCAATTAAAAACAAATTCATTCATCTTCACTGTCAAGATGAGCTTGAACAAAGGATATGAAAAAGGACAAAACACAGTAATACAGGGAAAATCTTCGTTTTCGTCTTGGCCAAAAGGGTGTGGGCCGGAGCAATTATTTTTTATTATTATTATTATTATTAACTTTTTATTTACAATGTTGGCATATAAAAGGTACAAAATAGCTATACATGTATAAGATAAGATATTTTCATGCATTGCTAATAAAAGTCAACTATTTTCAAAAGCCAGCAATGAAAACGGTTCAAGAATAACAGAAACTGAATGATCGGAAGACATACAAAAACGGAGTACTGGAAACAAGGATTCGATGTCAAACTTCCGTTTCTAGAAAGAGTTTCTTAAGTGGATTGACCTATCAGCATCCGGTAATCGCGCTCTTTAAGAGAAATATTTATCACTGGCCGCGCGACCAATCGCTTTAAAAGATAACCTCAGGCGCGTGCACGCTCGCGCGCTATCCCCCCCCCCCCCAATTGGAAGCCCTGGTTTTGCAAAACTTGTTTCTTCTTTCTGTGCAAAGCTGGAAAAAACAATCTTCCTATCATTATCTGCTATTTAATATTAGTCTTTTGCACCTGCCAGTTGCTATGTTGTTGCGTTTTTAGAGTCGTTAATTTTTGGTCTTATCAAATAGCGTTTAATTCCGGATTTTAAACCCTACAGCTCTCAGTAGTGGAAGGAAACCTCACTGACTTTGAGGTTGAAGCTTTTGTACACCCAACAAATGCAAAGTTTTCACTAAATGGTGATGTGGGAACCTCCCTGACTACCGTTGGTGGTGATGACTTTGTTAAAGAAGTTGAAGCCTTGCATAAGTCACATGGAGATCTGGAAGTATCCGGAGGTAAGTTAAATAAAATTTCTAGCTTATTGTCAGCGAATTCCATTAAGTATTATTCAATACCCCCTGGTCGGTATTAAGAAGTATTCAATACCTTTGCATAGGCAGTTCGTTTGCACGTCTCGTGTTCTCTGCTTACAAATCTTGTGATTAGATTTGAAACGCCCTGTTTACATTGATGTTAGGATCAGATTATAAGTAACAAGTTATTTAGCGTAAAGCTGAATATATGCCTTAATTTTTAAAGAAGATTTTGTCAGATTTAAATTATAAAGATTAAGTCCATCATCACAGAAACGAGAGAACTTTTCCCTGTCTGTCTTCATGAAGGATAACTTTATGTTACCAAGATGCTTTGATCTTTGTTGAATTATAAATTTTTCATATTTTTGGTTTTGATTAATGTGGAGCAACTTTTTGTCTGCAGCCATGATTTCCGATGCGCCAAACCTCAAGGCCAAGTACGTCATCCATGTGCATAGTCCAGTTTGGGGAAAAGGGAACCCTGTGGAGGAGCTGGAGAAAGCTGTCCACAATGCATTGAGTCTTGCCGATGAAAAATCCTTGACTAGTATTGCATTGCCTTCAATTGGAAGTGGAAAGTAAGTATAGCTCGTGGTCAGCTATTGAATTGATTTTTGTGGTTGTTCACAAACTAGGCGATTTATTGACTGACTAATATTTCTTTTGAAAAAATGTATTTAGAGCTGGTTCCAAACATTATCATTATCAAAGAGCAAACATTATCAAAGAAATTATTTGTATTAAGAGGACTGGGAGTCTAAAAATATAGAAACCTATATACTGTTTTTCGTGCTGTATGCACCAATTTTTCCTCAGCATCCTATTCATGGCGCTCCCACTTGAACGCACAGAATTGGCATCCAAAAACACTCTATGACACTTGGCTATGCATAGCATTTGTTGTTTATCAAGAATCATAAACTGATCTGCTATTTAAACTTTCGGTGGTATATTGACACCGCACCAGAATTAAGGGAGATAGAAGTTTTTTTATATTCTGTAAAGAGATTCATATATAACCCTCGGCTCAGCCATAAGTGAAAATGACTTATATCATTTGAAACAAGAAAGCTTTCGAAGATTGTTCTGCAAAATCTCATTATAACTTTTGTTAAATTGATATTTAACTTGTGATTTGTAAATATATTGAGTTTTTTGCATACCAAAGATATTGCTTGCAGGAAAAAATCACCATCATACTTTCAGGTCACATTCAAAACTCTGCTTGCCAAACTCCTGAAGTCATGATAATCTTCCTGTATACCCTTATAGAATGATAAGGTGTTTAGTTCCCAAAGTGCTTTAAATGCACCTTGTTGATAAGACACTGTTTCCCTTTCCAATGCATCCCAAAAAATGTTACTCACGTGCATCGTTAAAATGACTTAACATTTAGATGCATGTGCTAAGAAAACTATGTTTGATTGCAGGAACAACTTCCCGAAGCAAACCGCTGCCCAGACTATCTTGAAAGCCATCTCCAACTACTTCGTTACAGTCATGTCATCATCTTTAAAGCAGATTTACTTTGCTTTGTACGATATGGAAAGTATTGGTGTCTACACGATGGAACTTGCCAAGTTAGAGTAGCCTGGTTCATAACAAGCAGAAAGGACATGTTATGTTTTGTTTATATTATAGTCCGTAAGTAAAAAGTTCCAAAAGCTCAGTAGAAAAGCCTTGGAATTCGGCTTAGTCTTGCTCCGATACAACCTTTCATCCTGTCTTCTCCTTTGAAGTTATTAGGCCTTTGTGTAAAGCTTGTAGAATAAAGAATGGCCGTACTACTGTTATATAGCGTAGAAAACGCTGCAATATTTATGCTCCTATAGACTGCATTCTTGTTTTCCAGCCCCATAAGGAAGCGTCCGATACTAAATAGCACCTTCAAGATTTGATTGAGAGCGCTTAAATTGAAAAGCTCAGATTTTTGTTTTTTCCTCATTTCTTTTTATTTTCACCTTCATTTGTTTTTATCATTATCCTTTTAACCCAATAGCCTAGCCTGAAAAAAACGACAGCTGAGAAACCGACCTATAAAGTAGGCCCAAACAAATCTTGCAAACAAATCTTTGTCGATGTTTATCAATTATCCCCCTCCCCCTCCCCCCATGATTGATAAGTTACTTTTACATTTCTCAGGTTTCTAGCCCCTTGAAACCAAAATCATGGCGATTTTCTCCTGAATACTTTAATACTTTTTCTCATTTTCTCAGGCTTGGCAATCTTTTTCTCAAGGTGCAATTTTAATGTCTTTTTATCAGAAGGTACCGTTGTACTATCATTTTGTACCCAACAGCAACAGCAATAAATTTTAATTTTTTTAACTTCTTCATATCCTCATTTACATTTTAATTTTACGTATTTGAAGATCTTAAGTAAAGATAGTAGATCATTAGCCCGATTTGCAATCATGTTTGTGTTTTATTTGCCGTCTCATTTTAAAAGTTTTCTTTTGCAATAGTTGTTAGCTCCGAAGAGTTCAGAAGGGGCACTAGGAATTGTTTAGGGGCCCCTTGGATAGTTGTCGAGCTTTGAAAACATTTTCTAGGCGTAGCAAAAGTTCTGCGATCAGCGTTAGGCATCCCATTGATAGTGAAACAAAGTTATCAGTCATTTTAGAACAACATTTAGACAGGAGAAGAAGAAGCGAAGAGATTTTGCTTGCGCAATTAAAAGCTGTATTTGGATATCATAAGTATGAAACCTTTATTCTCTCCATCCTAAGCTCACTATTCAGGACACAAGCCGATCGACAACCCATAATGTCCAAAGATGTACAATGATGAATTGAACTGAGGGTAGTTAGCGAAATGAAGTTGTATTTGGTTTTGTGTCTTAAAGGAAGAAAGCTGGAACCTCTTCTATTACAATAGCTCTATTGTGTCGTGTCTTGTTTGGGATCTATAATATTTACGTATATTGAGGTGGAAGGCCAAGGCAAGACATGAGACTTCATACAGCAAGCAAACTCATCTCTATTCACACACGTGTTTACATGGTGTCTACGCGTTGGCCAGGGGGCCTGGGACCTACTCTACTACAGGATCCAAACAGTTGAAATGAAACGAGGCACACGAAAGGTGTTTTAATGGAACTATGCAGTAAGGTTCTGGGTTCACTAACTTACAGGGATGTAGTCGTAAAAGTTTAACAATAGGGGGCTCTATGAAATATTTCAGTTGTTCTTGTCATGTAATTATGCAATTTGAGCATGGTGAGGGTTGATGTTCTTTCAGATCATTGGTTGAGCTGCCAGCTACATTGACTGTTTGAGCGGGCAGCTGAGATCAGAAGCGTCAGCACCATGGGAAGGGCAGGGCAAGCTTCATTGAAAGTTGGGGGGCAAAATGTTTAAATTTCTCAGGTGTTTAGTGAAAGCCGCCACCATGGTTGACGACGAGAAAAATGTTGAGAAATGACAACCTAAGGGTGGTCAGAAAATGCATCTAAAATATTTAAACATCGATTAGGCAGACCCTAGGCAGATTAGGCAGAAAGGTATACAGGAGAGACAAACCATAAATACTACTCATTGACTTTATATTTCTAGGTTTCTATGGCATAAATTTAGTTTGATAATAAAGTTGGGATGGGCCTTATTATCTTTAAAGTTGCGGCTGTTTGTCTTTTTCGAGTATTTCCTTACAGTTTGATAAAATTCTTATTTCTTTTTGCATCTAGCAGCTTTGTTCGTGTCAAACTGAATACAGCGATGTGTCAAAAATTACATTTTCTGTGCTTTTCTCATCAAATTCGCCTTTTAGTCTTCGTTCGCTTGCTGAAGATAAAAATAACTTCCTTGAGAATCCTTCTGTGTCAAATATGAATCCTCAAAAATTTCCGAGCGTTTAATTTCGGACGTTTAATTCTCGGACAGAGGATTTAAAAAAACTTTATTTTGGGCAAAAGTTTCGGCAAATGTGAAAGATGTCAAGAAGTTTCAGACAATATCTTCATTTTCATAACAGAACATAGAAATATGATCTCGAAAAAAACACTGATGAGTGAGTATATGAATACAGTCTTAATTTGAATCAAGATTTCGTTACAATAGCGAGTCAGCAAATAGTGTGCTTAGTCAGCAAATTTTCAAACTTTTCGGCAAATAAAGGATGGCTCGCCCAGTTTTTCGGCAAATTTGACCTGGACCCCCTCCCTCCCTCGAACACAACTGCTTGAGACGGCCCTAAGTCAGGGGCTGCGGTGGCAAATAATGTCAAAAAACTTTTCTGTGACTATTTTCGAACTACAGTAGAATCCCGATATAACGAACCCCAGATATAACGAACTTCCCGGGATAACGAACTAAATGTCTGGTCCCTTGTATTCTGCCTAACAAACTCCTTAGAACTTCTCTCGTTATTACGAACCAATTTTTAGATCCCTTCATCATAATTACCCTCGATATAACGAACTTTTCATAAATTTTTCAACTGTTATTTTTGTTTATTTATTTTCGGTGTTCATTTATCACTTTCTCTTTGGGGAAAATCATTTTTATAATCGGCAAAACATGCCGATGATACATGGCACTGGCTGATGCTGATAGACTCATTGCACGAGATGAAAGTTTGATTGCGTCAGAAATTGCGAAGGGGAAGGGAAGAGGAAAGAGAGCCTGTCCCCTTTCCTCTTCTATTCTCCTTCGCAATCTCTTTCCCCCGTTCTTCATCCTTTGACTCTCTGAGGCTCTGGCACCCAGGGTACAGAAATTACTGCGAATGAGAACATTGACACCAGCTTTGACAATCTCTTGGTCCCAAATTATAAAAGGAACATTAAGATTTTTCATTTTCAATGACCAGCCACAGCCACTTGTATTATTTGAATTCAGATTGATTTTTTGGATTTAAATGTGCACAGAGGTTTGAGATAGCCTAAACAAGCCCACCGGAGGTTTTCTAAGCGTGAACTGCAAAAAGGCCCAAAATAACGTTATCTCTCGGTTTAACGAACTCCCGATATAACCAGTGCTGAGGAGAGGGGAGGGTCAGGGGGTCACTGACCCGGGGACCCTTAGCTATAGGGGCCCATCAATAGGTAGAGGCAGTTTGAGTCGTTGATTGCCTGAGTGTTAAATATATTTTTGTTAAGAAATTCTCATCCTTGGGCTAAAGAAGTTGAAAAGCTTCTGAATGTAACAAAAAAATGTGATTGCAACAGGCAACATACAGCAATATGTATATTATACAGATTTACACTATGGCATGCACCAACATTTGCAACAATGTGTCGGTTGTGATAAAAATTAGTTAGCGAATTAAACGTTTTCTAATTTCTAAGACTTTCAAAATTTCCAAGAAATTTTTATTTTTTGCATGTTGGTGTTAAGATATCAGCTATGCTCAAATTGTATCAAACAGCAAACAGAAGTAATAGCCACAAAACAATGGCCTAGATAAGAAAATTAATAGGACGGGTGAGACAAAATTCTAACAAGTATTAATATTTTTTCATAAATTTTATCATAACATAATGGCACCGTAACAGAAATGAATAAATCTTTTGATATATTCAGATATTCTTGTGTTTATTTAGCTTTAAATTCATTCTTATCAAAACAAAGCAATTAGATAAACATAGACAACCATGTTAAATTTCCGACAAGACGAGAGGCTTTCCGACAAAACTGCAGTTTAGCTCTACAGGGGTTTTTTTAGCCCCCTTTGACCCCTTCTATCTACGCCACTGCCACCAGAGCAGTTTAGCCACCATAGCCATTTTAGCAACCAAAATAACCACCGGGGAAGTTTAAGCAACCATCATTTTCAAAAAATCCTGGGGGAGCATTCCCAATACCTCTAGAGACGTCTGCCTTAGGCTTGCTTTACTATTTATCTTTCGTCCTGACCCGGGGCCCATAAATCCTCTCCGCGATTTTGGATACAACGAACTATTTCTGGTTCCCTTAAGGGTTCGTTATATCGGGATTCCACTGTTTATTTCTGAGATTGGACAATGGAGACTCTAATACCCAGGGTAGGGCTCAGGCTACTTATTTCGGGCTTATCAATCGAACAAATTATCAATACTACCCCCGTCTTTTTTGTGTAGTCAGGCGTGTCCTTGGCAATTTAAACGCTTCTCTTGGCTTTAGTCGTCCTTTTCCAGAGCGCATCGTGTTAGTCTTTTAGACACCAATTTGTTTCTATACAAAGCCATTGTCGTATTCATATTTTGGCGTGTGTTTTAGGAACAGCAACAAAATGCCGAAGTGTCCAGGGTGTAAGAAAGAAGTATATTTTGGTAAGCAATTTGACTCGAAATTTTGATAAACTTTGGTCGCCTTTGCGGCAGGTTACAAGAATCCTACTTTACAAGGAAAAATTTGAAACTTCTTCGCGTCGTTCATTCTTTGGTCTCACAATTTCTATGCCAGTAACTTATTTTGGTTAATCTATTGTCTTTTTCATGTTTTGTATTAAATAGTAATTTGCTTATTAGGTCTCTGAACATCTTAATCGTTGTTAATTCGACAAAGGAAGAAGATCAAGATTTGTCAAGCTCAGTTGCAATTTTGTTTTTGTGACGAACAAAGTTTTTATAGGAAACAGAGTGATCTGTTTATGATTCCTGGACAACTTCTAGGAGGGGGGACGGTGGGGGGGGGGGTTGGCTGTGGATAAAAATTCTGTCAAGTATTGATGCTAATTCTTACAGCAACTTAAGGGAACATAATCCTACTCGAAGAAGACTGAAATGGTTATGACATCTTAGTACCAGCTTTGCTCGACGGCACAGACTTCGTAAAAGCAGGTGGAACCAAGGGCGTGGCCACACTTCTGTCAAAATGTGTTGTCATCGGCTGAAAGCTACTGTGCTACCTACGTATTGTCATATTTCTAATGTTATAGAAATGAAGGCAATGCAAAACCTTCTATTCTCGTGTTTAGGGTGGCTTGGCCGATAATGGGTGGGAATAAGGGAACTATTTGTAATGTTGACTGGGCGTGACCATTTTGCCTCAAATCAATAACAGTTCTGTCAAAAGCAGCTTCTTTTACCGAGTTATTACGAGATCTCGCCTTGTCTATTGTTACAGGATTCAAAGGGATAGCAAATCAGGGTGCTTCCATTTCTAAACTTTATTCAACTGCAATGTAAACAATCCAACATTGCAGGTCCTTTCCGCCAACACACGCCCGCAGCTGCTGGAAAACAAAGGGGAGTAGTGCTCCTTGATTTTCGCAGCAGAGGCCCCGACTGCCATTTTCATCGCATGCTGTTCTTCTTTGGGTTTTCTTTGGGTTTTCTTCGGTTTGGTGAATAATGTACTGATATCACATACTGATTGTTAATCCGGGTTTAACAAAATAAGCTCATGTTAATTATCTTATTTACGTTTGGTTTGCTTGAACTAGCTTTTCTTTTGGGATGTTGTAAAGGAAAGATAAATCCTGTATTCAACGCCCTCTTCAATTTTGGCCTTATTCCAGATATGTGAAATATCGCCCCCTAACCTCATAACCCCACTACATAAGAGGGATTGAGTAAACAATAATTTTATTGATTCTTTGTTAAGTAAAGGACTTACCCTATGTCACTGTACCCTAATTTCCATTTCTGATCGTTGTTTTCAGAGTTTTCTAGCTCCAGAACGAGAAATATTTGAAGGAAAGGAAAGTTTTCATCGAATATTATCAGTCATGTCCTCTTACATCACCCGATCTGACCTATCATACTTTTAAATTTCACCAAAGTAAACTGGCCGAATTCAAGTACCCATTGGTGACACCAAGGGGGTTTACAGGGGGCATACAGTGATGTTTTGTACTCGTTCCTTTTGTTTCTTCCACTGTTTCTTGCACTTGGCACCACTGGACTAGGATAAAAGGCATTTGCACCATAAGAACAAACCGGTTAGAAAGTGCCAGAAATCATTTGGATATCATTGGCACCCCAACTTTACCCCATCCATATTATTTAACGTGTTCACTCTGTTCATTTTCAGCTGAAAAAGTAACGTCTCTTGGGAAAGACTGGCATAGACCTTGTTTGAGATGTAAAAAATGCAACAAAGTTCTGACACCTGGCTCTCATGCAGAGGTTTGTATTCTTATGCGGTATTTCAAAATTACTGGGATTTGACAAACCTCAAAATGTGACGCCATTTTGGATGCAGCTCCAAACGGATGCTTAGAACCTAAAAGACATTCGCATATCATATTACACACACTAATTTCCATTGGGTGACATAAAATGCAAACCAATTAAGAAACAGAAAACGTTCGTCCGAGATTTACCCACAGAATCAAGACTTATGTAGACAAAAGTGTTCTATTGAGCCTGTACGGAAGGATTAAATCGGGAAACTGGGGTTTAGAAGCATATTAAGAATGATATAGCAATGTAGTCTTGTGTTGTATAGTTTTGGAATAAAGTGTCAAATGTTTCTCTTATTTTTTAACGCAAGTCAGTGGTTACCAGTTTCGGTGCTTGTTATGGTGCAATGTGGTGCTTGGGGTATTATTTCTTTATCATAAAAGGGGTCCTTGCTTATGAGGTTAATGCACCTACTTATATTTTCTATTGCTGCCGGTGCCCTTAGCAGATATTGAAACTATGTTTGGCCATGGAAACAACTTTTTCTGCACATTTCTCAATTGATGTGTTTTGGATTAGTGTGGGATTAAATAGAAATGTTTTGGATTATATCCCGGAACAGCAACATGGTAACGTTGGAGCTAATAATACGCCCACGTTCAAGGAAGTAAAGAGATAGAAGAGTGACATTGCTGGAAATATAATTTTTCGTTTCGCATTCAAGAAGGCACAATGACAATTTATCCTATATTTTGATACGATTTTAGAAATCGCATCCTTAACAGAACTTGATTCGAATTTAACTTTTAACTTTAGAACAAGAATTAGCTTTCAATTGTGGCCTGTTTTATCGTCAGTTATTTTTGCCCTCGTTCGCCCATATCTGGTTTAGTTTTGGTCAGGGACAAAGGAGAGGGGAGCACGGGGACGACCGCCCCTTTTGTCCTATGATAAAAAGGGCAAACGGACCAAAGTGCCCTTTTCATAAATTGCCCTTGACATCGGCCTTTATAATGACTAAAGAGATTCATATGAAATTCTGACTGTACTGCTTATACAAGACCGAATTTCTCATAGCTTGTAAAAATATTCCTTATGACAGCAGTTAGCCCATAAACTATTGCTGAGATGAGAAAGTTTTCCAGAGAAAGGAAAGTTTGGAGAGGCCATGGCAAGGGAGAAAGCTAAGACTTTGATAGCAAACACCACATGCAACACCATTCAATATGCAACATGCAACAGCCCTAAAGCAACACCATTCGAACTGTTCAAAATCGTTGGAAATTCGTTTTTATCAGCAGGCACGCCGGAGCCGGGGGGGGGGGATCTAGGGGGCTGTAGTGTTTGCTGAACATTAATCCAGGATTTTACTAAAGAAAATACTGTAGTAGCATGTGGACATGAAATGGACAGTAAATCAGGCCTTATGAAACCCCGAAAGCAGTGAAAACTAGTCTTGATGTCATCTACCCTTGGGCCCACCGATTCAACCAAAGCGTTTTCTACACGCATTATCCCTGTGTTATTCCACTGTGACCATTTGGCTCTTCCACGGAAGCTGATGTTATTTTGCCAAAAGATTCATCTCATCATCGCATTTTGTGCCAAACAAATCGCATTATGGCAGACAGGAAAGCGAATGCGATCAGCAATGTACAAGATTTCCCGGCAAAGAAAATTACAGATTTAAAAACCTTACAGGATTATGTTAGCAAAATACTCTTACAAGGATTTCACGACTACGGACAAACCGCCATGAAAAGTTCTTTGTCTGATTTGTGCAAGGCTCTTTGTTAGTAGCTGTAAGATCAAATCCAACTAGTATAAAAAATCCACCTGGAAATCAATGAAAATACATTTCAGAATTTTTCTTGCAGTCATTTTCATGTAATCATTCACAACTTTGTACAACTTTTAGGCATAATTTTGTAATGTCTTACTAATTGCATTCTTAAATTGGAAAAAGCTTTAAGGGGCCCCCTAAACCTCAAGGCCCTATGGCAATTTGCCACCGCTCCTTAAGACGGTAAGCTGCAAAGGGGCATTTTACTTGAGTTTTCTAAAAGTGGGGGCGTCCCTCCTGTGCCCCCGGCTCCTACGTCTATGTTGTATGTTCTGTCTTATCATTATGTTGAAAAATTGAATCTTCGCCTCTACGAATTCAGATAATTTTCTGAAATGGTAAAGAGTCTTGGAAAGTCTACTTTTTCAATATCGGTATCAAATATCTATAGCAAGTCTATAAATCTCGTCACCGATACAATAATTCATGTTAATTTCGACCGTAGGGTGAAAACCAACCCAGTTGCTCATTTTGGGGTCAGCTGTCCATTAAACCTTCAAAGCATTTAGAAAATTTTGAACATGACTCTCTGCTCAACAATATTGTAGACATCGAACTGTTTTGTAAAACATATTTGTCAGTTCCCTTTACTTTCCACCCTTTTTTAATGCCATTAGAGGACATTTGTCACCAAGAATTTTCTATTGTTTGAGCGGTAGTACCACAGTCTCAACATTGTTGTTGTTTGTGCTATGCTACAGGCAAGCAGAAAGTCCACATAAATGAAATATGTAAATGAACGTGAGTGGGTTGATTTTTAATTCTACTGCCCATTCAACTGTCCACTGTCCATACAGAGATATTGGATGTGGGGATACTGAATCATACGACAGCATTTCTCAGCCTAAACTGCTCTTTCTAAACCTTAGGTATCATTCCCTAGCTTAGGCCTTTTCGGCATTCGCGAAATCTTTCTCAGACCCAGGCTTATATACGCTCAGACACCGGATAGCCAGTTCTTTGAAATCAATTTCCAGCTTTTTCATTTCTCTTCTCGGGTGTTTTCGAAGAATTTCTCGAAATGTATTTCACAAATTTTGATATAGAAGTCATGGAGTTTGGATGTCAATAAATTGACCTAGTTGAATGCGAGAGATTGAACAAATCTTTTATAAGATTTTTAAAAACTTATAAATTAAAAAAAATCATAACTTCAAGTCATTGATGATAAATGAATAAAATATCTTAAAACCTAGACAAAAGGTTATGAGACAAAAGGTTATGAGACAATTCCTTTGTTTCTTATCTATTTGTGAGAAATGCGAAATTCAATAGTAGTAGATAGTTGCTTATGGTCGATACAAAACATTTTCTTTGATAAGATTTGTCTCATTTTTTTATCAATAGCAAAAGTGTGATATTCCTTTTCAACGTCTTAAGGGACAATTTTCTTTTTAAAGCACGAATCTTTCCCATACTGCAATAAACCATGTTACGGGGCGCTGTTTGGGCCTGGAGGTTTCGGACATGGCGGCACGGAGTCACATAAATACTAACACAGTTTTGAGGTATATGTCTCTCTTTCGTTTATTATATCTATCCATGACCCAGTCCCCGATAAGAGGCTTAGGGTGTTATTATGCCAATTCTATCTCCGCTTGTGACGACGAAGTTTTCTGTTTTTAGTTAAGAAACGTTCACTGCAACACGTTATTCAGATATAGTCCCGCTGATCTTCGTCATAATCTCCGAATCTGACTTATTATTTCTGTTAAGAAAGCGTTCACTTGATCAATGGGCACAATAGCAATTGGTCGCCTTTATGACTGCATCTGAATCAAACGTTTCTCATTCTTCTTTTCTGTTGATATTGAGCCAATATATTTTAAAATGTACTTTGTTACAACAAGACAAATATTTCTATTTGTAACATTATGTTAATTTTAAATTTGTCATCCTATGGAGAGCTCTTTTCTCATCCTGTGTATCTTTTCCTCGAACATCGCCTTGCCAAACAGGGACAACGACTTCATGCCTCTGAGTTCTTATTTTTGATATTTTAATTTGCACAACCAAGTCATTCTCCCTTTTATTTGTGATAATTATAGTCCACTTATACATGTAGCCACTCATTACCAAAAAGCCCTGATTAAAATGTGTTTTTCCATAATAAATGCTTTTTATCATGCATTAGTTTAATCCTATCTTATTTTATATCTTTTATCGTCCGCAGATGGTGGCATTCAAGATGGAAATCCGGATAAAACTGACAGAGAATCGGACATAAACTTCAGCTATAGAATTAGTATCTTATTACATTAGCATTTAACTTATTTTAAACCCTTTATAACGCACGTATTTTTATATAAAGCTACAAAACGAGCAGAGTTTTCTGTCTTTTTTATGCATTTCCTCAAAGTTCCTTGCCTTTCTGTTTGACTCATAGAAAAAACACAATAAGGGAAAACTTAGGATGCTTTAAGATATCTTAGTTTTCTAATCACGTGTTTGACAAATTAGGATTAATCGGGATTAAGTAAATCTCCTATCATTTTGATTTTAAGAGACACAACCCTTTATGTTGACCTTCAGTTCAGTAAGACTCTTTTTATCAATTTCATGAAGACTAGCACTTCTACCACTGTGATTTACCGTCAGACGACTGTTTTTTATATATTTCATTTACAAAGTTACAATATATAATTTATATGACACTACCTTTTAACATTGCTAAAACGATATCACGAGAAGCAGGGATGCCAGATTAGTAATTGCAAAATATGCCAGTCTTTGAAAAAATTATGACAAACAAAAATAAAATTTTATTTTGTCTCTAGCTATAGAAATCTAGCTTTAGGAGTTTTCGTGATTAATCAAAAGAGAAAGAAAACTAACATGTCTAAAATTCGTCAATTGCTGCTTGGTCACCATCGTTTTCATTTATCTTTATTTGTTGTTAAAAAATTACTGCTGGATCTTTACTTGATACTGAGGCTTACATCACCTCTGAATTAAAAATTGATAACATTCTATTTGATGTATGAAAGTTTTTGCAACGTCCTTTATTCATATTATGTGTTCTTTGTGAAAAGTTAATATGAAATTTTTATTTCCTGAGGGTGTTTTTAAGAATGGAAAACATAACATTGCAAATTTGTTTGAAATATACCAAAAGATACCAAACTAAAAAAATATGCCAAATAATCTTCAAATTTTTGAATTTGGCATATAACATACCAATATGGCAACTTTGACTAGAAGCCTTAGGCCATATCTTCACCGCAACCATTAAATTGAGGTCAAATCTACAACAAGCATGCTACACAACGTTTAGGTGGCTTATCAAAGGCAATAGAATTCAATAAAATCGACCAGTTTTTTTAGAAAAATTGTGACATGTATCTTTTTGATGAATTTATAGATAACTTTAGAATATTTGTATGGGACCAGTAGATACATTTATGGTATTGCTATTATGGGACAACTGGACGAAAATGAGGCCACGTTAACTATCATTGATTAGCAAATTTTTCAAGAACTTTGAAATGCTTTTGAATGTACAAAAAGGGTAATTTTTCAGAGCATTAATATCAAGTAGTTCTATAACGCAAATAACTTTTCTTGAAATTTCTTATTTTAGAAAGTAGTTTATTTTAGTATCTTTTAAGTTTGAAATAGTAAAGTGGGGATATGAGAATGCTCTGTTTTTGACCGCATTTTCATGGATCAATTTTTTGGTTCAAAGTAAAACTAACAGACTATTCTATGGCTTTAAATTATAGAGAATGATTTAGAAATAATAATTTACATGTGTACTTTGCTCGGTATGCTAAGGTTTTAACCGTTTGATGCTATCAATGTTGGATAAAATGTCAGGCTATAAACCTGGCTCTATTTGCCATTTTTCATGATAGATTCTTTTTCATATCTTCTATTTTAAGCATCTAAAAAGTGTCAAAATATCTAAATAAGATATCTTAAAGACTGATAAATAGCTATCTGTTTGTATCCCCTAGCTCCAACCTAAGTTTTGACCCCCTTTTAAGCGACACAACTTTCTGTTAGAAATTAGCGCTATGCATTTGGTAAAATCAGGATTTTTCATGTTCATCGATGTGCGTTGTTCAGTTGCGTGCATCTACAGGAAAATTGTTAAAAACATTATGACGCAACAAGGCTAACTTGTATTCCAATTTGACAACACAAAATCATATAGAAAAGGCGATGCCTGTAGTACATGAAGTATTTACGCTTGTTCAATAAAAGCACATAAAAAAACCCGCAAGGACGGAGTTTCGTGAAATCACAGACCCAAAAAACCAAAGTTTGTAAATAATTTAGAATTCAAAGCAAACTGTGGATCACGAACTGAGGTTTTTGATGATTGAAAACTTTACCAAACAATGCAGCTGTTATTTTTTAACGAATCTCAGACATTGACTATTTTGCTAAATGTAATAAAAATTGCTCATCTAGCTATATGCCTGTAAATTTAAAGAATTCAGTTCATTTTGCTCTTTTTGATGGATTTTTAGTTTGTGATAGCCGACATAAGGCGCTGGCTTTTTCCAAGGAATACAGTGATGCAACAAATTCATGCTATTTTGAATTTTGCGCCTTCTGCTCTTAGTGAAATAAAGTGTGTAAAATTAGGCTAATTTCTAGCAAACAAATCCTTGGCAAAGGGCCAATAACAACTAGATACCAAGCGTCTAAAATTCAGAATTTTGCTACTCTCCATCTTTTGATGCCTGCTGTAAAACTTATACAGGTTAATATCTAGCCTCGGTACCAGAGCCTCGAGAAACCGGGTATAAGTTTCAGATCAGTGGGTATAAGTATAGCAGATTGATGCGGTGAAGAGAATGAATGGATACGGAGGAGAGGAAGGCATATTTTTTCAAATCCTTGCTCAAATAAATATTTCTGCGACTAAAAATTGGAGACCAAGGTAGCACGAGTAGTTAATCTCGCATGTTCCAGGAAAACATACCTGGTGCACACTAAAGTACTGAAGATTTCGGGACTGTACATTTGCTATAGGAATGTTCCTGTTGTACACTTGTGCTCTATTAAAAAAATACCATCCTGTGCACACTGTATACACTGTATATATCATTGCTACAAAAACTCTAAAGTTATAATCGAGTTTTAAAGCTTTAATGAATTCTGTATAAACTTTACTCCTGTTATAATCTACTGAATTCTGTATAATCTACTGGTTAATGATTTGAAGTCATTCTTTATCAAAAACAATTACGATAACAAATTTCCATATCATCAATTTCTATGGCAGCATTCTATGTGAAGCTATCGTTTGTAACTTCAAAACAGAATTTCTTGATTGGAACTGTTTACACGTACTTAAACTAACAAGATCGCACTGAATTTTTAATGCCATCCCTGCCAATTAAAACAAGGGGGAGTTTTCAAATTATTTCTTTTAACTTTTATATTTGTACTTGATGGTACACTTGGCATTACACTTTTTTCCTAATTCTTTAATATATCTATTTTTTGAATGCATTGCAAAATTTTACATACATCATCTAAGCTTGCTAAACATTTTATTGAAATGAGATTTTCCCCCTTGGAAGCACTGAAAAATTCAACTGCAAAGTGTTTTGAAAATACTTTAGCGCAACCGATTAATCATTTCCTATTTATAAGCAGATTATTTAGAAAGCAAATTGAGGCTCTTAAACGAATATTTCAACTTCTTAACCCTTCCGCAGCCAGCCTCCATTTTGAATATTGCTAGGAGAAAAACAGACGCGTGGACGCGGACAGTGGCCTGGGTGAAGAGCAGGGAACGGTCGAAGCTCAATGAATATCCTTTGGCAAAAACACGCTTTAATGTCCAAGGACATGGTATTTTTACTAACTGGATTTCTTTACGCACAATGAGGTATAAATGTTATACTTTGGGGTAAAAAGAATAAACTGGCATGATGAAAAACCAACTCGCAACTGAAAACTCACAACTCGCAGCTGACAACTCGCAACTCGCAAAATATAGTCCCTCTTTTTTAATACCTTGCATCCTCGAATTCGCCCAGGGGCTCATATATACGAGCCTCGCTATAAGCATCCATCTAGATATGCCAGCTCATAGGGGAAAAATGTACTTGCCATGCGCGCGATGAATCACAGGGTTTACAGCAAATGTCAACACTGCTCACGCAACATTTCAGGACGAATACACCACATTGTTTTGTATGATTAAAGATTCGTCGATAGATCGACATATTCAAAACAAAGGCAGCACAAAAGTTGCATGGTTGTTCTAGCAACAAATGTAACTAGTTCTATTGCCATAACATAGATGAAACTTTAAAAAATAGGCATTAAGTGTGTCTCGATTAAAATTTCCATTAAAACTGATGCAAATTCCAATCTGGAAATGCATTTGCATACAAGTACATATTTTCACACACCACAAAAGAATAAAATAAAATACATAATTTAGATGCAATAAGCAGAAAAGGGCGAAAACACACCAACCATTAGAAAGTTGAGGACATTTTGCAACCAAACTTTGAAAAATCCAGGAAAATGTACACGTTTTCCCCATTAAGGATAGGAAATGATATATCCAAAAGCTGTTTTGTTAGGCAATGAAAATCACTTGAAAATTGTCAAGCACTAGAGTGGTACAATCCATGAACAAAAATTGTCAGAGAAGAGGTTCCGAAAAAGACATCTCCCTTGACCGAAGATAAATAAAAATGCGACTTATGCTAAACACGTGCACTACACAACATGTCTTCAGAAACCATTCCAACAACCACTGAACAAAATCTTCAAAATTTTCCATTTGACTTTAAATTGACTTTCCCAAAGAGGAAGCCACTCAATGCAATGCTATTATAAAGTTAAAAATTAGTAATTGAGAAATAAAAGCCCAGAGTTTCAAATGCGAACCTTTGAATCAGTCTAAAAATTTAGATTAGCCAAGTAACTTTGTAATCGAAAAAAAATTATTTTAAAGAAATTGTCGCGAGAAAAAGGGTTACCTACAGACAAATCTAGATTTTGCTACAAAACGAAACTATTGCCAAAGTAATTGCCAAACAACAAGGTTTTTGCTGGCTATTAGCATTTGTTGTGAATGTATTGCCTTTTCATGGAAAATGGAAGAAACTGGCCGCTACTTTTGATTATTATGAATGTGACTTCGTGATCGATAAGGAATATGAAAGAGTTAAATTGTCGCGAGAAATAGTGTAGCCTACAGAAAAATATAGATTTTGCTACAAAACGAAACTATTGCCAAAGTAATTGCCAAGCATCGAGGTTTTCGCTAGTTATTATCATTTCTTTTGATTGTATTGCCTTTTCATGTAAAAAGGAGGAAAGTTGCCATTAATTTTAAACATGAACGATCACGAAGTCACATTTATGACCAAAAGTAATGGCAACTTCCCTCCTTTTTACATGAAAAGGCAATACAATCAAAAGAAATGATAATAACTAGCGAAAACCTTGATGCTTGGCAATTACTTTGGCAATAGTTTCGTTTTGTAGCAAAATCTATATTTTTCTGTAGGTTACACTTTTTCTCGCTGCAATTCAACTCTTTCATATTCCTTATCGACCACGAAGTCACATTCATAATAATCAAAAGTAGCGGCCAGTTTCTTCCATTTTCCATGAAAAGGCAATACATTCACAACAAATGCTAATAACCAGCAAAAACCTTGTTGTTTGGCAATTTCTCAGGTAATAGTTTCGTTTTGTAGCAAAATCTAGATTTGTCTGTAGGTAACCCTTTTTCTCGCGACAACTTAGCCTTTCCATATTCCTTATTGACCACGAAGTCACATTCATAATAATCAAAAGTAGCGGCCAGTTTCTTCCATTTTCCATGAAAAGGCAATACATTCACAACAAATGCTAATAGCCAGCAAAAACCTTGTTGTTTGGCAATTACTTAGGTAATAGTTTCGTTTTGTAGCAATAGCTAGATTTTTCTGTAAGTTACCCTTTTTATCGCGACAATGTTTCATCTCAATATTGTAATTTTATATAAATGTAGATATTTCGACATTTACCTGCAATTTTGTTTGTTGTTTTGAAATAATCAGGAGTTCTCAATACCGTCGGCACTTGATGGATGTCACCCGGTTTACATGTTGTTTGAATGACATAAATAATCGAGGAGAAAACTGCACTGGCTGGTTTATGGTTTTCTCAATGGCTTTTCTTCGGCAATACTACTGTCATAGTGGCATTATATCCTGTCGCTTCCGTGAAAGCTGTGACTTAATTTCATGGTGCTCCTTCGCATGACCCACAATACCATCGTGCTCCTCTCGGTTGAAATCCCTGTTGCTGCTTGGAATTCATGCGAAACGTGCAGAGATGCTTGATTTGGATCATGTTTTGGACCGTTTCAAGGAAATTTACCCTAACAACAGCAAAATCACGCTGTCATAAATAAAGTCTTTAATGAATTTTCTTCTTAAGGGATTCTCTTTTCGTTTCAAGACATTATTATTGCCAATGAAAACATTTCGATCATGAGCACATTTTGCGTAATAACTTTTTCAAAAAGCACTTTTTGTCCTTTTTCGTCAACTATTTTTCAATAGCATTGTTCACCGCATAGCTCGCAACAAACAAATGGTTTAGAGAAAACCGTCGATTAACTTCTTCCAACATAGATAGGAAGAAAAATTCAACAATAGGCAATATTTGCGCATTAAGTTTCTTACAAGGCACAAATTGCCGAGAAAATCTCGTGGACTCCGACACAGGTTGGAAAGTGGGAGCGGGGAGGGAGAATTTTGCACCCACAACAAACGATTTTGTAAAAATGCTTTATTGCTTGCTCTATATGCTTGCTTGCTTTTGGAAAAATGCTCTTAATCGGTGCTCCTTCATTGGAGGTGCTGCTCAGGGGCGTCGCGACTGGGGGTTGTCACACCCACCCCAATAGTATCTCAATAGGGAATTTCAGGTAAAATCCGCTCGGTGGAAGAAACGCTTTAGGTATTTCAGAGACCTTCCTGTCATAAAATCAATAAAGGATCAAGCAATCTTAGGTAAAATTGTGCCTCGTGTCCATTTCTCCTAAAGTTTCTCAGTAGAAGCGTCAACTGCAATTCACTATGAGCTCCAGATTTTTCTTAACATTCATAAGGCATGCTAAGATGGAGAGAGAGATCTAAATTTAAAAGTAATTGACAACCTGGTATTTTTCAAGACCACGGCGAAATTGTTGTTTTTATCTGCTGTAAAAAAGTTTTGCAAAAAGACAATAATTTTCAATAGGATTAGGAGGATTGCTTTAGTGAAATCTGCTTCAAAGAGTGCATTTTCCAGGGAACTAGAAGCATCACAATTCGAAAATTTCCTGCCCCTTCCGCGGCAACCATGGTGCCGCCTCAGGTAGTAACTATATATTTTGCCCGTCCCGATATAGAGATTTGACAAGACTATTAGGAAAGTCGGTTATTATCATACAGAGTTAGATTGACAAAATGTATTGCAGAGGTTTGTGACACCAGCTAAAAAGTTTCAGGCAATAATTTTTTAATCAGGTAAATTTGCATTCCACACCCCCCCCCCAAACGAGGCTTGCCTCGCGACGGCCCTGCCTGCTGTATGGGGCAAATCGAATTTTTTTTCTGTCGGCAATTTGACACATCCAGCGTCGGCAGTTACGGAGAATATAAACTTCGGCACCTTGAAGGTTTGTCTCTAGCGCCACCCCTGGAAATAATGATTAAAAGCTCTTTCTTGATATACCTTGATTAAGCATTTCTGTTTTATAAGTTTCATCCAGTAGTATGTCTACTAGATTTCCGAAAACAATTAACTTTTATACTTTGACTTTGAAGTTTTTACTGCATATGTTGAAGCCATGTGGAGTATTTGCGCCCGCGATTCCGTGCCGCCATGACCAGCGTCATGCATTTTTCCCCTATGCTTATGCCAGCATTTACAATTCAAGATTTTTATCATGATAAACATGGGCTCCGACGCAGGTTGGAAAGTGGGGGGCAAGAGAGATTAGACGTATGCCCGGCGTATATTAGATCGGGAATGAGAAATAAAGTAAATGAAACATATTCAAGATGTTTTGTTGTCAACATCGATTTGAACTGTTTCGTTTCTCCCTCAAAGTGAACTTCCAAAAAGTGAAAAAGCTTCCTAAATGAGCTTTTTATTTGGTAAATGCCAGATAAATTCATGAGCACCATCCCTCGCTTAATAAGTTCCCATGAGGCAAACTGAAGGATTGGCAGTATTTCCAAGTTCCATATTTTACATCATCTGACCCAGCGTGGAATGGTAGTCGTTACTATGTTTGACGTGGAGTCTGGGTACTACAAAACATTTCCGCGCAACAAGCGACCAGTGAGTGTCGGGCTGTGTGAAGGAAGATAACTGTCAAACTGACAAAGTAAGTACCATTTTTCACCATGAAAGCATCATTTGAAGGTATTTTGTGGCAATTTTATTTTATCACGGTAGCAGGATAAAGACGAAACAACCGTTCTTCCTATCCATTTGCACATTGTGCCTTTATTTTTGGCCCCGCTCTATATAGGCCTAAGGAATAGCCTCTACCATACCGTCGTAGAACGGGTAATTCTGTTCATTAAATACTTTTGACATATTAGTTTTCATTCTTAAAACGATGGTTTTTTAGGTTTAGAATAAATTTGACATTTTGCCAGCTCAACCAGCAAAGCAACCGCGTAGGGCCGTAGGAACATCCATGTACAAAACATGTGGACAGTCATCTTAGCGATTTTAGATTTTTTTGCTAAGAAAAACAGGGGGTGGTCCGATATTTTGATATTAATAAACAACACACATGTAAAACTATTTGCTGATCAAACTGTAAATGACAAAAATGTTAACGAGAAACAGTAATGAGAAATGTGAAACATATGGTTGTTAGTGCTTTTTGTGAATTCGTCGTAAACACAACCAACAAGTTTTGTTATGGAGCAAGTCATTGTAGTCAACTTTCCTGTAAGAATACCTCTTCTAAATAAAAAATTGACATTTAAGAAATTTTTATGATTTGGAAATTGTACATCTTTCAATTTTATTAAGATGTTCGGATTTTAGCTAATATAAAAATGTCACTGAAGGACATCATATGGCTCGAAAGCTCTTTATAGAGTTATTTTCATATGTCCATCAGCTCTTTTTGTTTAATGATGTTTTATGAAAAATTGTAAATTATTTTTTTAATATCATATCTTAAATTTGCATATTTTATTCACTAAGTATTATTGTAATTAATTGATGATAATTTTTTATGAAAGCAGAGAGAAAAGTTTTAAAACAGAGAGTGATGAAAATTTGACTTTTGTCACTTTATCATCAAGCAAAAACATTTATATCAAATATATGAGTTCAATTTACACTGAAAATATGAGAAAAACATTATGTTTTATTTTCCGTTGAAAGTCTTGTATGGAAATTGAAAACAGATAATAGCTTGCACTAGCGAGTCAGGTGGAAATCTGTGAAATGAAGGCTTGGCTGCTCAACTCTATTATTTTTGCAAGTAAGCAAAGCAGAAAGGTCCAGTTTTTTGCTTCTGATTTTTGTTATTCCATTGTTAAGATTGATTTCGAAAATATTATTAAGTTTCAACAGGCAATTGAGAATTATCATGTGTACGCATTTGAAAATTTTTGATTTCCAAGTAGACAGATAAGCTTGTTTCCATGCTTGCCTGTAGTGGTGCATGCGTAAGAAAACATGCAAATTGAAAGACAGGTTAGAGTGACCCTTCTAGTCAATATCTATTCTGTGCTGTGAGTCTCCTGGCAGATCCAAGAGAATTGATAGGTCTGAGTGGACTGCTTGCCATAGACAAGATAGTCATAGTCCGTATTGTCATCCTAATTAAAAGGTGCAGTGTTAACGACTTTGTGCATTGGTGAAACGAGCACACTGGAAACTTTGTTTCTTGCCTGGAGAAGTTCCTTTTCAAAGTTTGTGATATAAAAAACCTTAAATATAACGATGTTCCCGGTATAAGGAACTAAATATCTGCACACTGGGCCCTGAACATGAAACTTTGGAAGTAGAGCTGGGAAAAAGTCTTACCATTGCAAAGGAGCCTTAAAATGGTTTTGTTGGTGCTCCATGACACACCACTACTTTGAATATGGTTATATTTAGTAATACCAGTCAAATTATCAGCCCGAGTTTAATATCTTGGCTCTGCAGTATTCTGTAAATAAGGGTTTCCTTTTCGTTGATAGAATATTGTTGAACCTTTCACTTTTTTGCCCATAAAACAGCAACATTCAGACTGAGAGACAGATGAGCCCATTTTAGAAACTTGAAAGGTATCAGAATCACGTGCTAGAGTTAAAAAGGACCCTTCTGTGGTAGCATGGACACCTGATCACTTTAAACCAGACAATAAAAAAGTGCTTTTCCTATACATTACATAAAGGGTATACTTTGGTATGTGAATCTTAGCCGTTTTCAAGATTTTCCTTGATTTAGTGTGAAAATTTTGAAAAATCTTTGCAAAACTTCTACATATTTATGTAAAACTTCACCAGCATAAAGATGAATATGCAAGAAAAGATAAATTCAGTAAATATTTTAGAACTTTGGGTCATATGCTACCTTGAAATTCATATATTATCACCTGGTTCTACATTTGGAGTTTAAAAATTACTTTAAAAGCAGAATCTTAGTTCTGGCTACTTAAAATATTTAGTGATATTTTATGCCTTCAATTTCCAGTGGTTTTCACGTCTTCAAGGTAGCATAAAATGAGTTCCATAAAGGCTTTAGAGATTTGATCAGAAATTTAATAAAGATTCAAGATATGGAATCATTTCCATTAGAAAAGAAAACTATTTTTTTGGTCTATTTCAACCTCTGGGCCCAGGGCAGGGGCGGCTGGGAGAGATTTTAAACTGCTATTAGAGAAAATCGTGGTATCAGGGCATGGCTGCCGCTGTTTTTACTTCCAACTACACCCTCTTCAATGGTTGTTTTCAATATTGCACTGTCTTTTTCTATGCTCTACCTCATCCTTACATCTTGATTTTCTTGGCCGCAAGTTGAAAACACCTTGCCATTTTCTATTGTAACGCTCTCTTTCTCATAGTCATAAAGAGAAAAGCAAAAAAATCAGGGAGGGGAGGGCTATGGCCATGGTCGGAGGTTATTTGATCTCTAGAGCAATAAGGCCCATTGTCAGACTTGTCAGACTTATAATTTTGAATTTGATACTAATCCTAAAAATATTGTAAAGTTGCAGCACGTTTCTTAGTTCTAAATAAAGTTCAGAGACATTCTTTCAAATTTCTACTAAAACAACCTTTATTGGAATATATCTTCAGTTCCGAGGTCATGTCTACACATTCAGTCTTTCAATTACGACTGTAGGCTTTGGCTTTGACGGCCTGCGGGCCGCAAATGAATATCATCAGCTTACGATGAAAAGGCTCTCTGTCCGTAGCCGTAGCCTCTTTTTTGTTGCTATTAACGGCCCTCTTTTAATAGCAAAATCATATCGGCAAGTATCGTACATTGAAATACTCAAATATTTCTGATAAATGCTCATTGTTAACATAAAAAACCAAAGCACCATAATTTTCAATTCAATTTAAGTGCAGATTTGGATTTTCGATGAAACTAACGTAACAGCCTGAGAATAAACTACATGTCGCTTCACCAAAATAATAAGAGAGCGCTATCTTTCAAATATTTAAACAAAGTCGCTTTTGGTGTGTTTATTGTTGTTGTGAAGAAAGGATTGTCTGTCAGTATGTCGGTAAAACACCTAACGTAAACTAGAAACGGCCATATGATTTATTTTAAACGCAATATACCACATGCATGGAAGAGTGAACTGGGGAATCTTGCTATTAGAAGTGACCCGGCTAATAGCAAGTCCGCATATATTGGGTCTTTCACAACAGCATGATTGGCCACTTTACATCACACAAGGAGACACAAACAAAGGTGGATATGAAAGTTGCTATTAGGATTCACAAACCTAATAGCAAAATTTCAGGGCTGTGGCTGTAGTATTTGTTTGGGGCCGCCAGATGAATGCGTCACAATAAGTGTCACAACAAGCATAGGAGGGAGGTCTTTTTTGAAAGAATCAAATCAGTTTCAAGAGTAGCGGCTTCTGCTCGCTCTACCATGGCTATATCACGCCATATCATTGCATAATGGCAGGAAAACAGTTAGCGGTCCAAATAAACTATTATTGCCAAGGATTTCCAGTGCTAGTTTTATTTTGAAGATATATGACCAGTAGATTATGACTAATAACGCTAATACCGCTCCCAGCCGCCCCTGGCCCAGGGTGGTCTGGTCCCTTTGATTTTGCCTAACAAACTTCTTAAAAATTCTCTCAGTTTAAATGAAACTACAGATATGATGTATGAACTCTCGTTATTGCAAACAAATATTTAAATCTCTTCATCATGAGTACCCTTGATATAACGAAATTCTTACAAATTTTACATTTGTTATTTTGATTTATTTCTTCCTGTGTTCATTTATCACTTTCTCTGAGAAAAAATTGTTACTTTCATTGGTTAAGCATACACTGGCAAACAGGCACTTTTTATGATTCTTAAAATGCAGATGAAATGCATGCAAAAGTTAACACCCTTTTCAAGACTTTATGACATTTCAGTGAAAAAGCCAACACACAGAAATGCAAATTGTAATGTGTGATGAACAAGATTATTTTATTTTTGATAAAGTGTATACTGATGTTGGGGATAGCATAAACAACCCAACGGAAGGGTTTTGATGTGTATACTGCGAAAAAAACCCAAACAATTTTCTCCTGGTTTAATAAACTCCTGATAAAACAAACCATTTTCTTGTTCTCTTCAGAGTTCATTATATCGGGATTCCACTGTAATGTAATGTAAAATGTTATTAACTTGGGACTTTGCAATGCCAATTTGCAAAAATGTATATGCATTTACAATATATGGTGGGTGCACAATAAAGTACCTGTCTGCTGAAATGATTTAATGCAGTATTAAAAATATGCAGTGATTCAGCTATTTATAGCCATGGCAGGCAACTTTTCCCCATTTTTTACAAACTTAAAAAATTTATAGACAATGGTAAAGAAGTTTGATAACCTGAATAAATCTGATGCAGAAAGAAAAGGTCTGGCTAGCAAATATTTCTCAAGAGCCCCACTCAAAACCCCCAGTTTTCATCGAAAAATGCAGTGGTAAACATTTATCAAAATTAGGTTGCAATAGCTGTAGGTATATATAATACAGTAAATGGTTTAAAAAATGAAAAAACGGAAAAGAAATCTTATGAAGGAAGGAATTTTTTATTTAGCTTCTTAAATTTTAACAGAAATAGGTTTTTTGCCAAGTAAAAGTTTTTAACAAAAATAGAAAAGAATTAAAAAAAGAAATGAAGAAAAGAATACTTGGAATAAATCCTTATTGGGTAAATTTCAAAGGAATTCAGGTGGCCCAGGGCCTAGAGGTCTAGGGGGCCTAATAAAGTAATAGAATCCTGTTCAAAAATTGAATTAATTAAATATAACAAAAGTAACAATTGCAAAATTTAGAAGTAAAATTTTCAAACAATTGCAGGAAAATAACTGCAAGAAATATTTTTAAATGAGTTCAAACTAATCTAAAGGATGCGATGTCAAAAAGTCTATAATACAATGGGTTGTAATACAAGTGTGAAATGAAAAGGATTTGAGTTTGAATCTATTGATTTGCAGATGCCAAACATTAAACTGCAAAGCTCGGATGGCGAGATATTTGATGTTGATGTGGAGGTTGCCAAGGCTTCAATGACAATAAGGACAATGTTAGAAGGTATATATTTTATTTATGGTTTTGCTTGTCTAAACCCATTTCTGATTTCATGCATTCACAAGTCAGTAGGCTCCTTTCCTTTTTTTATATGTATGTTTTATATAATATTTTATGATGTTCAGCATGGCTACCAGTTGAACATTGTGTTAGGTTCTTGATGGCTTAATCCATTTCTCAAATACTGGTTCTCGTTACTTATAGACCTTTTAGGCCCAAAGAAAGCTTATTTTAGCAGATATTATAATCCTATGGGTTGTTTAACATTTACATAGTTAAAACATGGAATTATTATACGGTGAAAAGTCCATATCTCTAGATATTTCTTTGTGTTGTGTATATGTCAAGTTTCAATTTTTTTTCTCAAGACCTTGTTTTGCTTTTTTTAGCTCAAAGTTGTTTTATTTAGTTTGATATTTTATAACTATTGACCTGTTTAACCTTTTCTACATTGAATTTTTCTTTAGACCTTGGCATCTCAGATGCAGATGACGAGCTTGTTCCACTCCCCAATGTTAATGCTGGTATTTTAAAAAAAGTAATCACTTGGGCACAGCACCACAAAGATGACCCTCCTCCTCCAGAAGATGATGAAAACAAAGAAAAACGAACTGATGACATTGACCCATGGGATCAGGAATTTCTCAAAGTTGACCAAGGAACATTATTTGAGCTCATTTTGGTATTTCCAATTTTCTTTCAATTTTTTTATATATTTTTTGTAGTTTTCCAATATGTAATACTGTGGGTTTTAACAACATTGATTCTTCTTCAGTGGCTTCAACATTAGCTACATATCAAAAATGGGGAAACATTTAAAGTGCTTCTAAGTTAAAAAATAGTTTCATTTTGAAATAATGTTTCTCCAATTAGAAAGCAATTTTATTTTTTTAATTGCTATATCGTATCCCATTTTTTTGCTTGTGCTGCTCAAGATCTGGCCTAGGCTATAAAAGAAGCAAACAGTTTGTGATGTAATTGGCAGCTCAGAGTCACACTAGAGTTCCATTCTCGCTAATGGCCCAGAGTTGACAATTATTTCAATGTAATAGGTTCTGGTTTGGTAACAATAGCAGTTAAATTATGAAGCCTGTTGAAATATATACAGAAAATATGGATTAGTAAGGTCTAGTTCACTCTCCGCCCTCAGTAACCTGTAAGTATGACCATTGTCAGTACTGTGGCTAGCCGCAGACAGTTTGCTATGACAGCAGCTTTTTAACCCTGGTTCATAACATGTTGCACTTAATGCCATTATTTCCTGGTTGCTCAAATCAAATCAAGTCAAATTAAAACATTCTTCGTCATGAACTTTGCTTTCCCTTAATCCACACTCACTTTGGCTCCAAAACCTGCTAGACCTGCTGTTATGGTGCTCATCCATTGTATTTCCATGCTCATCCGAGCAACATCATCAACATTTTCTGACAACAGTGGGGACATGCTTTGTTTGTTCATTTGTACTTTCCAAGCCTGGTCACATTTTATCCATATTCAAATTCTATCTCTGGAAGTGATTTAATTCATTGGAATCAGCAAAGATTCAACCTTGGTTTTAAACTGAAAAATGATATGACAAATTTTTGACCTAAGAAGCATTTTAAATGTGCTAGATCCTAAATTTTTCACAATTTTTATCTTAGAAGTTTTTTTCTAAAAACAACCTTTGCTCTGGCTCATTTAAGAAATGTATTTTTAAATTTTTTGGACTAATTATATGTAATTGATGTCCGATTTAGCAGTCATTATGATGTATTTTGTTGAACAAAAATTGAGCCTGTCAAGTGGATGATTACAGATTTTGTGCACAAGGCAGATTCTCCTCTATCCAGCATGGTAGATTTATTTTGCCATGTCTGGTCTCATTCAAAAGTTTTTGTTTTGTATTATAGCTAATGAAATGACTTATTCTCAATATTGTTAAGGTTGTTCTCAATTAACATGGTTCATGTTATTCTTCTCGCAGGATGTTTTTGGAGTCAGTATGACATTAATTAACACAAATATAGGTAGAATGAAAAAATAAAGGAAATTATTTTTTATTTGTAGGCAGCAAACTACTTGGATATCAAAGGACTGTTAGATGTTACATGTAAAACAGTTGCAAACATGATAAAAGGTATTCATTTATGTTTCACCATTTTAAGATATTATATTCAGTATTGGTGGATCTTAAAATTGTTATTAGTGCTCATTGATTTAGTTTCAAATTGTTAAAAAGTGCTCAGTGAATGCCGCAAGTATACTACTGAGAGAAATGTTTTACTTAACAAGCAGTGCAAATTTTAGGTGGTTTGGTATTACATTTTACTATTAGCACAGGCTACATTAAGTAAACTAGAATGTAATTTACCATTCCTGGGATGTAAACTCTCTTCTGAATGTATTAGCCCAGGGATTATATTTTGAATTAAAAAGAAAAGCAAATTTTAATTTAGGCTTGAATGAACTGATTTTAAATCATCTTCTTACATTAACTGGATTCCAGTTATAGTCCTCCCTGATTTTGTCCCCCCAAATATAGGCTCATCAAAAACAGCCATTGCAATGTCAAAATATTTGGAATTTTATTGTAACCTTTTAATGTTAACTTAACGGGGCATTGACTTTATTCCAGCTTATTCATCTTAGTCTCATATCCTGAAAACAATTGTGGAATAAGGTTAAAAGATGGCCTTCCACTGCCTCTAGCTCCAAATTGACCCAAGTGACCTTCAGAGTTTCAGATTCAATAAATCAGCAGAGTTTCAGGTTAATAAATGATTAATTGTGACAATAATTTATTTTAGTCATTGGCGTAATAATTATTTGTTGAGGACATAAAAGCTTGCATTTTTAATTTGTATTTTTCCTTTTTCCATCTAATAGGGAAAAGTCCTGAAGAAATAAGGAGAACCTTTAATATAAAAAATGATTTTACCCCTGAAGAAGAAGAACAAGTAAGAATTCATTTTCATACATTTACTGATGCAGAACATATACCTTGTGTTTCTGCCCTTCTTGATTCTCTCTATGCTATTCTGATTTTTATGTGTGTTGTTAGATACAAACTTTGTCTTCATTCTCATAGTTTACTTAGAATTTGCAATTTGCCTAAAACTTGCATTTATTAATTGGTTGTTACATTTTTTTCATTTTTAGGTCAGAAAAGAGAATGAATGGTGTGAGGAGAAGTGAAAAGTCAGTTGTTAGAACTCAAGTTTTTTCGTGTTAAAATTGAAAGCCTTGCTTTGTTTTTCAAAAGAGTAACGAGAAGACCAAATTTTTTCCTGTATTATACAATAAGGACTAAGCTTGTGCAATTTCTAATAGGTTATTGTATAAATTAAGTTACTTTTTGAGCTTGTAGTTAAACAAATTATTACATGTATAGGCATACAAATCTATTCAACTGTGTTTTTGCACATCACCTGTCTAACAACAGTTGTCATCATTTTAATAATGAAAGATTTATTTCTGTAGTGCAGAAAATTTTATGTCCAAGAGCATGGTCGATTTTTGGTCAATCTTGATGAATTAAAAGATAATTTGTATATGTTTAGAATGGTAATGAAGCCTCACTTTAAAACCAGCAAAGAAAAGTTTTAATTAAATTTTCCTTAAGAAATGTTGCATAAGTATTGATTGACTAGTCTGGCAAACATGTTACTACATCCAATCTATCACTCTGTTCTATTGTGTGCTAATCAGGTTTTAGATACTGATGTACTGATGATGGAATAAATGCTCATATTGTGTATCTCATCTTTAACAAAAGTCAGGCAGCTGCAAAAACTTTCTGAGCATGAAATTTCAACATAACAAATGTAAATTTAAGAAAGGCTTGAAAATAAACTCCAGAAACACTACAAATTGGCAAAAAACTGCAAAAGTTGGTCATTTGCAAAATAGATTGTAGCTAAAAAGTGAATTGACATGACAAGTTTCAGGAAAAAATCTTTGCTGAGGAAATGTTGACATGACAAGTTTCTTGAAAAAAATCAATGTTTCCTGAATTTTTCCTGTGAAAGTTTTATAATGCTTGGGTGCGGAAATTTTTTTTGGAGCGGAAATTATTTAATGTACGTGTAGTGTTTACTGTTTACTGTTGGGGGGGGGGGGTCATCAAATAAACATTGCTGGCCATAAGATCGCTTTCTACGAGTATCAAGAAAGGCTGAATACTAAGCAATCAACCAGTTTGCCCAGGCAATGCAACCAGGAAATTTTTAAAATACGCAGAAGGACGATGCAAATATCTAGAAGTAACTCAATGATTCTTTAGTTTATCATAGTTTATCAGTTTATTATCAACACAACGAGATTATGATGAAACAAGTGTGAGGTAGTCATTTCTTTCTTTCAAGGGCATGTAGCTATTTTCGTTCAAGGTAATTTTATTCCCTCAAAATCAGTTGTTCGTCATTTCCACTATAGGAACTGAGATATTTGTTTCTTGAATAAAAAAACATTTTATGTTGAGCCAATAAAGTAAAAATCAAACAGTATATTTCTAACAAAACGCTCAACATTTGTTGATTCAAACATATGCTTCAAGCTGTATTTTTGGTTTTCCCGCGCTTGTTGAATGGGCATCAACATTGAATAGATTGCGTCAACATTTTAGAAGTTTTGAGACAGGCAAAAAAACATTAGAGAAAAATCTGAATTTGAAAAATCTTGTCTTACAATTTTTTTAACCAGTGTGGGATACAACACTTGACCGCAACTGCATAGGCAACTTCATCCAAACAATGCAACTACAGGTGCAACGTCGTTGAAACACATCCACTACAGAGTAGGCTTTGCCAATTAAAAGCTTAATTTGACAAATCATTTTTTTGTATCCCAATGTTTATCGAAACAAGCCCTCAGTTTGAGTCTTCAATGGCTTTTAGAGCAATAACATTTACTCGTGATGTTTTAAAGAACCGGGAAGTCCGGAAAAAAACGAGTATCGATCGACGTGTTTAAGTCTTTAAATGATTCTTGCCCTCCACCACTGCGAAACATGTTTCAGCGTTTTAATCATGGCAAGGATACACGAGGAAACGGCTCACGTCTTATACTGCCAAGAGTCAAACAGAAGCAGGAAGAAAAACGTTTGCCTTTCAAGGAGCACTAATTTTTAATGGATTGTCATCCGACCTTCAGACCGAATCTTTCTTTGTAAACTTTAAACGCAAAATAGATTATCTAAGCTTTGCACGATAATCGTATAGTATTTTAACTTTTAAAATTTTTTACTTTGTCAAAAGTTTCTTTAAACAGGACCCTTATTGATAGCAGTACTTTACTTGTACTGAAAAGGCGTATCCTGTATAAACAGGTATTATTATTATTATAACCGTAATAAGGAGAAACGCAAATCACAGTCAAAAATCAACGTATCAAATTTATGAATCTTTGACTTGTGTTTAGTCCCGGCATGAACTAAAGCGAACTAAAACTTGGTACAAGTGTACAAATGTTGAAATTGGTGTTTCTTAATACTCAGAAAGTTTGTCTTTGTAAGTCAACGGTAAAGCAGCTAGTCGCCATTCAAATTGTACAAGCACTTTGAAGAGATGAACTTTGAAATTAGTGGTTACAACTGCAACAGAAGTTAGTATTTACAAGGTCTCGAGGGAGAGGTAAGCAATGTTAAGCACGTGCTTTGATGCGACCTGATGCACCGACCTGCAAAAGCGTATGCTTCGATTCAGAAATTCTTGAAATCTCTTGGGATTGAATGATTTCAAAATGAATGCTTACTAACGATTGAAACTCGACTTTGAACTTTTTGTTGTTTTCGACAACGTACTGCAAACATTTCATTGCATAGCAATATAAAAGCACAAACGAATTTCGGTATTTTTGTTGCAATCTTTAAAACTGGCTTTAAACCAAAGATGCATGGTCTCGTATCTAAAAAGAACACCTCGCAAAAAGAAACTAGGTGGGAAGAAGTTCTTCTGCTGCAAACTTTCGAAGTCTTTGTCCGAAGTTGACACAGAGGCCATTCAGGCAGTAAGGCATTTTTGGTAATGGTGCAGACAACCGGATAAACTTCCAGGTATCAATTGCAAAACAGTATTGACTTGTTCAGTTTCTGGTCGAGGTGCTTCTGGTCGTTTGCACACAAAATATAAAATGGATTTATTCAGAGTAAACAGTGACCACTGAATCGTCTTGACGTTCATCTGCTCCTTCAATATCTTGAATAAGAAAACTGGTTAACGTAATGTCTAATGTTTACTTATTATTTTATATAACTCCTCGTAAAAGTAGCAGGTTAATATGCTTCCACGGGTTATTTTATGCTGTGCCGCTGCTATAACAAGATGGCCGTTGTTGTGTATCAAAGGCGAAGATATTCATTTGAACATAATTTCAATACAATTTAATGCTTTCTTTTGAAAGACTGCTACCCCCACCCCCATCATAGCTACCTCTACCTGACGATTCGGTTTCCAGTTAACCCTTTTTTAAGGTAGATTAATTAGTAAGTAATGCACGTGTATCATTTCCAGAGAAGCCTGCGCTCGAAGAGGGCAGCGGGGCCAAACCGCCAAGAAAAAGGGCAAAACAATAGTAAAACAAAGAAAATTGCTCAATTTCACAAGGGTAAGGGGGCCACTGCCCCCGCTGCCTCCTGGCGCAAGCGCCCTTGATCATTTCTATATAAAAGTTTGTTACAAATCTTATGAAAGAGTTAATGCATATATTGGGTTGCTTTTATTGTAGGAAAAAGTCCTTCTAAATGGCTTTGAAAAAGGCAAACATTTAGTAAACTAAAGCTTTTCGTCTGACACTCTTCAGAGTTTAAAACGTCAGAACATAGATCGAAAACTCTACGCTAAGAAATATATATATCCAGTTGTGGATCGAAATAGGCCGATCAGAAACACGAGCACATGACTGTAATGACTGTAAAGGTTGACCAATCAGTGCCGCTTGCCTATTAGAATGTTACCAGTGGAGTCCTAAGGTGAAAACGAACTCCTTTTGTCTACACAGTAGCGGTTTTTTCGTGCTTATGTAGATAGATTCTAAAACTGCTAGGTGGAACGACGATCGACGAAAAAAGTCCTTGCAGATCCTCTTACACCACTGGGCAAAATCTACAGTTCTTCATGTAGAACAATAATTAAGTTTCATTCACCAAGTTTGACCGAAATCTACCCCTTAATATAGCAGTTTTAGGGATCATTCTCAGACATTTTAAATTCAAGCTAAAATATAGAATGTTGAAGTTTATTTCCAATGCCTTTAAGAAGATTCTTTTAACTCCCAGAATAAGGCTACCAAATTTTCTTACAAGCAGTAATTTCCTGTTATACTAAGCTTGTGTACCGATATGGAACCCACAGGGGGTATTCAGTGTGTTCTTGGAGAGGATGTCTTGCAGATGAAAGTCAAATGTTCTTGACACGAAAATCTGTCAGATATTTTCGTTACCAAAGAGTCATATCAGTTTTGCTTTTAATAAATCATTTTAATATTCTTAAATACATAGAAATTATGATAAGACGAAAAAGTTATTTGATTCTTCCAGTTTCAAATATATCAGCTATAATCTATTTCAAATTTGTGTAAATAGTTAAAAAAGCCTACAGAGTGACGGAGCTCTCATTGCTTCTTTTAATATACGTAATGATTGTTCTTGTAGTTTTCAAAGTCTTTCTAGTTTCGAAACCTTTAAAGTCTAATTTTTTCTAATATCTGGATACATAAAATACATTTATATACAGTCATAAAATGTGTTTATTAACAAATGAAATCGTACATTTTTAATCCTATGGCTGATTTTCTTATGAATATAAGTCAACTTTAGACCGCTGCTGTTGGCTAAACTTCTTTTTCCCACCATCATCCCGACCATCACTAGCTCCCTCAAAATTGGCGCGCAGCTTGTTCACATAGTCTTTACTTGGCAATTTTTCTTTGGTTTTTGAATTCTCCTCGCTAGTTCCTACCGTATCGAGGTTATCAGTGGATGCACGTAGGTCGTCACTTAGTAACGAGAATGCTTGCTGATCAGATTGAGGCTGGGCCAACTTTACCTGCGTATCTGCCTCCTTTTGGATAACAGGAGCTGTTTGGGTTGGTGCTGTAAATGGATTTCGTCTTTGTTTTTCAACGTCGAGCTCATCCATGGATTTACTCCGTGCTTTGTCACGTGTCAAGAACGGATTTCTTGATATGCTTTGCAACCCAACATCGTCAGTATCCCTCTCATCGTCAGGCTGACTAGTACCTCTCGCATCACTTGCCTTTGATGGTGCAGTCTTTGGTGTAACTGTGAAAGAAATCGATTCTTGTTCTGGCTGAATGTAAATTGATGAAACTTCTTTTTTTGTTCCAGGACCAGACTTATTTCGAGTTTGTTTCTTAAGCATTTCTAATTCCTGATTTTTGCTCTGCAGCTCTCTTCTCAGTTGATCTATTTCACGTGATAACTTTGAATTTTCAGCTTTTATTTTATCGATTCTATCCAAATCTCTTTGGTGTTTCATGTATACTTCAGACAATTCGTTCTTCAAGGCTGCTTTTTCGTCATGTAATGCTGCACTAGTGACATGTGCTGACGTTTTTCCAGGAACTTTAGACTTCTCCATGGCTCTCCTCAAAGACTCGTTCTCATTTTCAAGACGCGATCTGGCCTCTTCTTTTTCTGCAAGCAGCCTGTCTAACTGACGACGTTCCCTTGCAACAGCCTCGAGCTGGGACGTGAGAAGTTCCTTTTCTTGTTTCTGCCTCTTTGCATCTTCAGCATCATGCAATGCATGCCGAGTTAAATCTTCGCCCCTGTTTATGTGTGCTTCTAATTTGTCCTTTTCTTTTGTAAGATTATCGAGTTCTTTTTTGAGATCTTGATTATGTTCCTTGAGCTTGTTTATTTCAACAGCGTTTCTTCTAGAATCTTCCAAAGCTCTTGCCAGTTGATCACTTTCTTCGTGTGCACGCATGTCCGACTTCCTCATCAACTCCTCTTGTTTTCTCGCTACCTCTTGCTTTAACTGCTCTTTCTCTACTTGGATTTCCATTATTTCTCCCCTGGTTTGATCGAGTTCCCCTAGACATTTATTCAAATCCTCTTGCAGTGCTCTTTTTGTATTTTCGGTTTCTCTTCGATCTTCTTCGATCCAGTCTAATTGTGTCTTCAGACGAAAGATCTCTGCATCGGATTTTTCTGCCCTATTTTTAGTTTCATTGAATTTATTCTTCAAATCGTTGATTTGTTGTTCAAGTAGCTTGATCTTTTCGTCGTCATTCTGCTCCATCTTCCAAGCATAATTTGATGCATATTGGTTTTTTGCATCTTCTGCTGCTCTTAGCATTTCTCTCATCTCGTTTAGTTGCATCTTTCCAGACTCTTCAATCAACTGCATCTGCTCTTCCATTCTTTGTAACTCCTCATTGTGCTTCGATCTTTCTTCTTCTTTTTCTCTATTAGCATCTTGTAGCATTTTTAGATACCTTTCCGTCTCTTGAGACATTTCTTTCGTCTTATCTTCATTGTCTTCAAGCTCAAAGTTCATTTTTCCCACCTCACTTTCAAGTTCTGCAATTTTCTTTCTTAATTCTTCGATTTCACTCTCTAGTTGATCACGCTCTCCAACCCTCAAGTTTTTCTCGTTTTCCCATAACATATCAACATCTTCTTTAAGTTGTTTTAGCGTGTTGATGCTTTCTTTAAGTTTGGCATTCTCTTTATTTCGATCTTCCATCTCTTTATGCAAATCTTCGTACTCAACCTCAGCAAGCTCGATTTGTTTCTCAAGCTTATCCTTCTCGTCGCCCAGACATCGATACTCTCTCTCCATTGCAGACAGTCTTTTCTTTGATGTTGCCAGTTCTTGTTCATCTTGTTCTTGTTGTCCTTTCAGGTTTTCATAATCTTGCTTCAATTTTAAGAGCTCATCTTCTTTTCGTTTCAGGGCCATTTCTATTCTTTCATTCCCTCGCCTGCTTTCTTCATTTTCATGTAAAAGCTCACTCATCTGTTGTTCACTACTAACTTTATATGCTGTTAACTTCAGCTGCTCTTCCTTTAACGTATTATATTCTTTTCTAATTCCTTCTGCCTCCTTGAGTGTTAGTTCAGCATCGACCGTAACTGCTTCCATTTTGTCATTAAGTTCATTTATCTTCTCCCTTTGAATCTCAATCATACCTTGCGCCTCAGTTAGCTTTCCTTCAATTGAAGCACGTGACTTAGATGTATCGTGCAGTTTTATTTCTAAAATATGACATCTCTCTTCTGTAGCAGCTAATTGAAGTTCACATTGATGAAGTTCTGATTTCAAAGTTTCGTATTCTGTTCCGTGCTTTATATCCTTTCCTTTCAGAATCTCTAACTGATCTACTATTTGCATTTTCTCCTCCACCAGCTTCTCCTTCATCGACAGGGTTTCTCTTTTCAAAGACTGTAGTTGATTTTCCAATTCGTCAGCCTTTTGTGTTTCTTCTTTCGCTCTATCTTCACTTACTTCTATCTTCTTCTCATAGTCTTTCAAAGCTTGTTGAATCTTTCGATTTTCTGTGCATTGCCTCATCTCAATTTGTTTCATCTTATTTATTTCTTCCCTCAGCATTTGTCTTTCTATTTCTTTCTCCTTCTCTTCATCCTCTAACCTCTTACATTGTGATTCCAAAGTACTCACTTTTCGTTCCGCTTTCATCAAATCAACAGCAATTTGCCCACTCTCTTTCATCTTCCCTGAACTCAACGCCTGTAGCTCCATGACTTCAAAACTCAGCTTGTCAATTTCTTGACCCATGCTTTTTCTCTCGAGACGCAAAGTTTCAATGTCATCTTCCAATTTCAATTTGTTACTTTTTTCCTTTCGTAATTCAGACTGCAAACTAACTGTCTCCTTTTCATCCTCTCTTTGTTTTTCTTTCAGCTCACTTATTTCCTTTTCCAAACCACGTAACTGACCTTTTACATTTTCTAGACTTCTTTCTCCTTCCTTATTTGCCTCATTCATTGTTTGTAGTTTTTCTTTATGTTCCTTAAGCTCCATCAGAGCTTGCTGTTTATCAGATAAAATCTTCTCTTCTTTTTCCTGGAAAAAGACCAAATTCTTTTCTAACTGCTTTTTTTGTTCATTAAGTTCAAGTATCTCATTTGATTTTGCATCTTTTTCTCCAGCTATTGTGAATTTCATTCTTTCATGTTCCCAACAACGGTCTTGTAAACCTCTCAATTCTTCCTGCAATTTCTGAACTCTATCTTCATATTGTTCGCATTTCTGCTTCAATTTCAAAGCTTCTTCCTCTGCTCTCATCTTGTAATCCTCGTTGCTACTCTTCTCTCTCCTTAAACTCCACACCTCTTCTTCAGTCTCCATCACGTGCTTTCTCAGTGCCGCAATTTCTGCTTCCAATTCTTTTATTCTTCTATTAAGACTCTCTTTCGTACGGATAAAATCTTCCCTTTTTTCTTCGTATGTCATTTGCTCTCTAAAATTTTCAGCAACCTTCAGCTCGAAATCGTTCTTAATTTGCGTCAATTCTGAACATTTCTCCTCCAGCAGACCCACATTCTTCTGAGCAATCCCAAATTCAGTTTTCCATTTGTTCTCTTTTTCCTCAATTTCATTGTTTCTGAACCTTACATCTAGCATTTGCTTTCGCACATCTTCAGCCTCTCTTTCAAGCGCTTCATTCCTATCAGAGAAGGCTTTATTAGCTGCCTCCAACTTTAAGTGAGCCCGTTGCAAAGTGTTACATTCGTCTTGCAAGCTTGCCAATTCTATCTTGCTCTTTTCTGATTCACTTCTAAGCTCGTCCGTCTTGTATCGAAGTTCTTTGTTTTCCGCCCTTAACATCTCGAGTCGCTGCTGATCGCTGCCTCCTTCACGTTTGAGACATAAAGCTTCATGTTGAACATCACGTAATTCTTCTTCAACTTTGGTCAGCATCTGTTTAAGCTTTTTGTTGTCTTTTTCCTTGTATTCGAGTTCACTTCTATTGTGTTCCAAATCAGAATTGCTGTTTCTGAGATTTCGTTCTAACTGTTCTTGCTGAACTTCAATTTCTTTGATATCACGTTGATACTTTTTGCATCTTTCCTCTAACTCTTCACAGATTTCATTTCTTCCCTTCAAATTTTCCTTTAGTCTTAAGTTTTCCTGTCGATGTTCGTCATACGTTGCTTGTACGTGCTGGTACTTATCATACAAGTTCTCTTTATCTCTGTTCGAATGATCAAGTTCTCGATGTAACTCTGCCAACTCTTTTTCTAGCTTTGCGTATCGTTTCTGCGCAGCAATTATTTGCCTCTGTGACCGAGTTTCCTCCTCTTTTCCAGCCTCGATTACGATCTCCAATGCCGTTGTTTTTTCTTGGAGCTCCTTTACTTCTCGATGTAGCGCATTATTTTGTGCCTCGCATTGTTCTAATTGCTCCTTCACATTCTCAAATTTTTGGGTGGCAATGTGCAAATCTTGCTCATGCTGGCTGCATTGTTTGACGTATGACAGAATTTCACGCTGCATCTCGTTGTCTCGGACTTCCTTAGAATCACATTCTGTTTGAAGCTGTACCGTTTTGTCCTGCAATGTGTATATTTCTTCTTCCAGCTGCTTTATTGTCTTGCTAAAATTTGAGTTTTCATTCTCGTAATGACTTAGCTTTGTTTTGCAAACAAGCAGCTCTTCTCGGGATTTCCTCTCCGCAATAACTGACTCCTCCTTTACTAAACGCAGCTCCTTGAGTTTTGTTTCGCAACTCTTTAAATCCTTCTGCATAATCTCGTTCTCATACAGACAAGTATCCATTTTCATTCGTTTGACGGCAAGGTCCTTGTCCAGTGCATCTACTTGCCTCTGCAGCATAACGTTATCGTCATGCATTGCTCTTATTTCGCTTTCCATTTTTCTCTTTTTTTCCTGGTCTTTGGCACATTTTCGTTCCACCGTGCTTTCTCTTTGCTTGAACAAGTCCAACTCTTTCCTTAGTTCTCGTATTTCCCGCTTCCCAGATTCCAACATTTCTTGTGCCACTTCTATCTCCCTAGCACCGGCTTCACATTTGTTCTCAAGATCAGCAATCAATTTCTTTGCTGCATCCAACTCTCTGTGGGCATTTCTCTGTTCTTCTTTGTGTCTCACTTCGTTCTCTTTCATTTGGTGCCCTAAATCCATTTCGAATTCGTTGCACCTCTGCTTCAATTTATTTATTTTGTCGTCTTTATCTGCCAACTCGAGACTGTATTCTTTACACATTTTTTGTTGAAACGATACTTGACTTTCCAAATTTGCAATCTCATCCTCTCTCTCCTTTAACTTTCCAGAATCCTGGGCTAGCATTTTCAAATAGGAATTTTCGTCTCTTAAGATCTTCAAGTTGTGCTCCAACTCTTCGATTTCTTTCTGCTTAAAACCAATCTCCCTGCTCATTCTATTATTATCTTTCACTATATTGTTTTCCTTTTCTTTGAAGCGAGTGACGTCCTTTTTCAGCCTTTCTATCTCTTGGACAAGAACCTTTCCGTTTGACGTTAGCCGCTTGATCAGTTTGCCTCGTTCTCCATCGTTTCTATGTTTATTTAATTGGCCTTCTTCTTTGTTTATTCTTTCATCTCGCAGCGCATTATTTTCTTCAATTAAATAAGCTCTTTCTCTGTCAACCTCGTTGAAATACTCTAACAAGACTGACTTGAAATCTTCCTCCATACTGCTGACTTTCTTTGCTAGAAATTTTTCAAGCGATTCCCGGTGATCTGTGCTTTCTCCATTTTTGCCGTGATCATAACCAACATGTCCGTTGATTCTTCCTTTGTCGTTGAGCGCAATCATTTCATGTTTGCCTTGATGATACATTTTGCAGTTCGACTTTCGAAACAATATTTAAATATAGTCAATTTGGTGTGGCTAACTGTAGCTGTTTCGGGAAATCCGAAAGTTGACTTGGTGGCATTTTGTGCACGTTTCAATTCGTTCCTGCCAAAGGAATCAAAGAAGACATTACTACTTATTTCATGGTAAATAGACACATAAATCACAAAATCGCCCAGATATAATGTCCCAACTACGAATGGATTGTCTTTGATCATGGTTGGAATGCATCTCTTAGGTTATTGTTGAACACAAACAGGCGGTATAATGTACGATACGTACCAAATGGCGATATCAAACATATAATATTTTGAAGTTGTTACCCATTTAGAAAACATATTCAATACCTCGGAAATCCACTGATATTTTAAAGTGGAAGCGATCCTGTCCCTTCTCAAGTACACTGGATTAAACCTCTCTCGTGCGACTCTCACAATATTATGACACCTTGAGTCCAATCTTGATTGGAACGAGATAAACAATTACTTCTTTAGTATTCACATATTCTTGACTGATAGATGTTGCACAAATTGCTCATTTTGTATTTGTATTTAATGCTTTAGCAATCCTTTTATCTAACTCGATGTTTTATCTGTTCACTTTTCATACTGCTGTTCCTTTATGAACAAACTCGATTTCTATTTGGATTAGTAGCATGTTTGAAACCTTCAAGCAAACATAAGCATCATGCTTCAGACAATGGCAGGCTCGGCTCTATAAGAGTGATTCAACAAAGCTTATAGCGCGCAACCGTTGAAGCTAAAATCTCTTTTGGAATTGATATTTTCAGGAAAGATTTCAACTTCAAATAATGTTCTGCAAATACGCTAGGGATTCTACGCTAGGGCTAGGGATACTTACGACAATGTGACAAACTTGAATTGCTTCAAGTTCTTTTTTAAACTTCTGGCAATTTTCTTTTTGAAGTCTCTTTTTTAAGCTACTAGGATTTCGAGATATCAATGGCTTGTTTTTTCATCAAACATTTAGCAGATATTTGAAAAAAATACCAGTAATTGGTATCGAAATATAAATGAAATGATAGATAAAGTTTAGGTGCTAAAATCTGGACTTGATCTGGTTCCCAGCAAATTTTGTTGTTACCAATGAAACTTGAAATATTTACAAATAAAGCTAGAAAATTAACTCAAATGTTAATTCAATTAGAACTATTCAGCAATGTTGATAAATCAATTTGTCAAATTCAAAAATGCACACAAGTATTCCGCGATTTGAGTTTGGTAACAGTTCGACATTCTTGAAATCGACAAAAAATCGCATTATTGCGTAAAATCGACCACTTAAATCTTATCACTTCAAACGCACTGCAAAATTTTGCCTTGATTACAAATTTAGCAAGTGAGATGACTGTTTTAAGTAGCTGAGAAGGTTTTATTTTGTTGGGTGTGCAAACAGACATTTGTGTTATTTGCAAATTCTCGAGCAGGAACCAGCATTGTGAATAATGTTCAATTTTCAATAGTTCCTCTGATAAAATGTGTGATGCAGTGTAAATATTAATGAGAAACAACCACAGAATACAAAGCAGAGGAACCGTAGATAAAATGTCCGGTAAAGCTTAAAGTACTTGCTAATGGCTACAATTGTTAGCCTGCAAATGAAGTCTCGCGATAAAACTTCGCCATCATTACAAGAATACTTGGGGCGAAACTGGCTGAAACTTGGTTGTTTCCTCGTATTGAAGTTGATTGAAAATCCTAGTTGAAAGTTTCAGTGAAAATGTGTTCCCTGCATTTAACTTAGCTAAAAAAATTTACCTACCCTTGCAGTGCTAAATGCCTTGAGCTTCATATGGCGACGCCATTTAAGCAATGGTTAGGCCAAAAATCCTCTTCATAATATACAGAAAAGCTTCGTCGCACAGGTGCCTATATTCTTCGTCTTCTTTGGCGGGAACTCATCTGTGTACGATTCATACCAACAACAGGTGGGCCAATTCAACTCTCAATGTGAAAATATGTCCAACGGAGACAGGATTCTCATGGATATACAGTTAATAATTGCTTTTTGAATAATAAAGTTGTGGTGTGCCTCGAATTTCAAGCGCCAGCCGTCTTTAAGCAGCTAGTTTAAGACATTAAAACTGCATTAATCGCTAATTTCTTCCTCCAAACAAATTCTCGTGTTGCTTCTGGCTGTGTAAGATTCAATGAATTCCGTAAACTTTGCAAAGAAACAAGCTGATGTGTTTGGTTTGCATTCTTTACGAGCGGTGTTTGCTATTGTTGTACGATGCACCTCACTCGTAAACACGCACTCGGATACTGCAGCTGTTCCAATAAAATTGCTTAGAAACGAGCTACGCCAAAGTTTCCTTTACACATAGCTTGTTAGCGACTTTTACCTGGTTGCCCTTAGTAATATAGCTTTCTACGGGTCAATCAATAAAAGATAGCAGTTTTAATGTTGTTTTTTGCGCACGTTGCTTTTGCGCAAAAATAAAAATATCACTTTACTTTCCTGACTGGCCTGAGCTAGCGATGCAATCAGTGAGCTTTGCAAAATTTCTTGTTTAGTCCATAAAGTAATTTAATTTAATTCAACGAGACATATTTATAGATTAACATATAGATCGCTGAAACAAAAGGGGGCCTTCACTCGTTAGTTAACCTACTTTGAAGGCTCCTCCTTAAGAATTCTGCTTCGATTTGTCTTTTAAATATTGTCTTTTAAATAATGTTATTGTTGTTGTTGCGTTCTTTAGTTGATTTGTTTTTAATTTATATAACAAACTAGCTTTTCGAAATGTAATAGAATTTGAATTAAATTAAATCAAATCAAATCAAATCAAATCAATCATATCTAGGCCTAAAAGTATTAAGAACTAAAGCTGAAGGGAGTTATACGAATCAAACCATTGCCAATCGTTTTATTGCATGGGAGGTACCGTCAAAACTCTAATGAAAGAACGAGAGGCCCTCACTAGATTTTCGACTGATTTAGAGAGGCCCTCAATTCAACGACGCACTGATGAGCTTCTAATTACTTTTCCAGATCGTATGCAACAAAAAAAGATTTTTGAAAGATTAATTCATTGTCAATTTCATTTAAAAGAAAATCGTTAGTTCTCTACTCTAAGCTGATCCTCTTTGTAACCGATTCACACTTGAGGATAGGAACACTCCTTCCATGGATAGGAGGGAGGGGGGAGTCATCAATCACTATATGTGAATGTTAAAGAGAGGTACTCCTTAGAAGGGGGCGCTTATACGCGGATTTACGATCAGCGCAAGTCTCCAAACCGTAGCGAGTGTTTAGTTGCCTTATCTGACAGATATCTGTCAGTAGCCCCTGACTGCAAAATAAATTGCTTGCAAAAGTCTTGGTTAACTACTTCATTCTAAATAGCATTACACTTTCCCCCATCAAAAAATGCGGTTTAATCTGAATTTCTATAATGCTAAACGTATCATACGTAAACGAGGGGAGATAGGGTGCGGTGACTCACTTGCAATGGAAATTTTTGGCAAAAAGGATTCAGTCACAGGGCGTTCTGAGGTCTTCTGAAAGAGATGGTAGTTCGATAAAACATTGGTAAAAGCCTGTCTTTGACTACTGTAATTCTAAAAGATTGTAGATCATTTGGAGAAACTGAAGTGAAAGAAAACCCCTCAGCTTGAGTCTGTGCTTAGATTCCTCCCTAAAGCACTTGGAACGCCCTGCCTTTTTAGTGTGCTATTGTGAAAGGTCAGCCAGACAAGGGTTTAGAAATGAGTAGTTTATTTGAACAGAAAGTCAATCTAACAAGAGACAATGCGAGCTGTAGACACTAATCTTTGTTTTCAAAATTAGTTAAGAACTTTCATATATAAAAATCTAATTCCACAAACGTTTATCGCTTCTTTTTCTCTGAGCTAACATAGACGCCTTCCTGCAAAAGAAAGAAGACAAATTTAAGCAGTGCTTGATTTAAAGAATATGCTGTTTCAAGATTTACTGACATTTTAAAAGTCTTATCGACACCAAATCTATATTAAAAGGTAATCAGTTTTTTGAAACTTTATAAGATAACTTTTGTTTTGTTTGTTGACCTTAATGCGATTGCTTTTTACAGAGAGGGGGAAAGAACTTGATAAGTGAAACAGGAGCAAATTTGTTTGCACTGGTGCTTTTAGAATCGCATCATGAAAGAATAAAATAAATATCAGAATAATGTAGCTTTCATGAAGCTAAAAATGTAAAAATCAGCTTTTAGAAAACCTAACGAATATTCCCTTCTGCATGTAAGGTAAAGGTCGCTGATTTAATAAAAAGAGAAGAGTTTATGTAGTACAAAAACACACACAACATTACACCAAAGCAAGTGTTATTATTGCCAAAATAACTTCGCACAGGCAACCACGAAAATTTTACGATACGAAATATTATATAAAAAGCACTCTGAAATCCGCACAGTTGATCTTTTTCTACGAGTTCTAAGCAATCTGAAAATACGCATTCTCAACGTTAACCGAAGTCCCCTTTCAAACTATTTTAAAAGTAAATTTGAAAAGAAATATTTATTTTTATATTTGTTGCCAGTTTCGAGAAAACCAACAGAATGGGTTTTGATGAGAAAATTTCATCAGTATGTTTCAAGCACTTAGCTTGTTTGCTGAAGAAGGCGCAAAAAGTATACATCTCAGACTTACAGATGCTATCCACAGGCAGCCAGGATCGTCTCCATAGTGAGCGCCAACTATCTCACGTTGTCCAGCTATCGGTCTTCCATATTGCTCTCCAGTTGCTTGAAGATACCTACAGTGGTATTTCATTATTTAATAAATTCATGCAAAAAGTGAGTCAATTGATCTAACATCAGTCCAAATTACAAATCAGTTGCAACTTTTCTATTGCATCATTTCATTAATAGCAGAGGATTGATTTATCTAGCATTTGGGCACCAAACAATGTTTGAAGCTCTGATAAATCTCTGAAAAAATGCTTTAATGAGTGCAGGCAAAATGCCATGCTTTCTCAAGCTGGTAATTCTAAAACTCTTATTTCAAATGTTGTTCATTTGTGAGAAAGTTTCAAAAACCAATGGCTGAAGCATACTTTTTTGAAATTTTAAAATGCAAAATTCAACAAATGAGGATAACTTAAGAAGCCTAGAAGAAGCCTTGGTATTTTCAAAACATGTCTCTTGGTCACAACTGCTGGCTATCAAACTGGTAATACAGTTATAACATGCTTGTTACACTGTGTATCACTTACATTCCTGTGTCAGTGTGCTTAAATTTAATCTTCTCATCTCGCTTCCACTTTTTGCTTTTACAAACAACTTCCCAATTGTCCCCTAAGTAAATGCAATCAGTTCATCAGTACATCACAAGTGAATAAAATTACTACACTAAGGTCTTAGATGCAAATCCAGAACATAGTCTACTCACTTTGCTGCCCCCTTTTCATCTTTCATCTCAAAATCAACAATAATAGAGCTAAGCTTCAATTTTTTACAACACGGCCAATTATAAATAAAATACAATAGAATAGAATCATAAAAGCCACTAATACAAAACATTGGATCAAAAGTCATATATAAAGGCCCTTATTCACTTTTGCTCTAATGAAGCCCGTATGCCGGGATGAAATATCAGTCTTCACTAATTTACGTGTATCTATTGTTGTGCATTCTCGTCACAATGCGGTGTTTCTTATCGGTTACATTTTCATTGATTTTTCTCTGCAAGAACTCCTTGGAGTCCGTTGAACAGATTGCTATTGTGACCTTTGCTTTATTCACACCTATTTAAGTGCTGTTTTGAAAAGAGGCAAACTGCTCAGCTTTGTTGTTGATGCTGAAAGCGTTCTATATTTTAATAGCCCTTGCTCTAAAAGCTCTAATTTGCCAGGTATTTTACCAGGTAACAGAAAAGAAATTATCCCATAATTTTTTTAAAATACATTTTATGCAAGCATAACCTTGATGCTGATTTTTAGAAATGATGTGATGCTCCCTGAACTGTTGGCATACAATCATCCCACAACCTAAGTTTGTCTGTGCAATGACTGAAATTTATCACATGACTTTTTCAAAGCCAAAATTCAAAAAAACATTAATCAAAAAATACACTTTAATAACAAATGAACAACAAATTGGTTTATTTTAAGCACTAAAAACAAATGAAACTTTACAGATTTATAAACTTTGAAATATAAAGTGTCAAAAGAAAACATGATTGTGAGAATTCTATAAACTGAAGATTATTTCAATATTGTAAGTGTTCTGAATTGCTCACATTTGCAGTACGCAAAATTAATTGTTTTAGCAAGGAGGTTTGTGATGTCAACATCTTCTTGGCTCATCAGCCAAATTAATTGGATTTCAATTATGTTTGGAAGTTTTTCCTTAACAAATAGAATCAAAATTGTTTTTAATCAGGGCTAAAAAAATTCTTTAGGAGGTAAATGTTGTAGGCAGGCCAAAAAACTGTGTACATTCCGACAAGTACCAGACCACATATGAAAATTTTGAGTCCCAAGATTAATACCTTGTGACTTTGAGTTAATAAAAGCACTTTAACTAAAAGTCATTTTTAATAAGCAACATGTTTTATATTCAAATGAGCAACATATTTTCAGGCCTGAATGAATTTTATTTGTTAAATTTGTGATGGAAAGCTAATGTCAGTGTTAAGTCAAAGGGGTTCTTGCTTCTGGTTTTTCCAGGATGCCTATCTCTTTGCATTTGTTTAATGCAATATGTTTATCAAAGTTCACAAGCTCATGCAGGCTGTCAAAAACTATGCAAGACGGAAAATCTCTTAAGTTAATTTTACCATGAGCTTTTTACTTCAAATCTTGTAGTATTATTTATCTCAGATATATCATAGCAGAAAAACTGTCAAAGAGCTAACCTGTGTCACCATTCCCATTCTCTCCAAAAGCACTCACTTCCTGATTTCTTGAAATCGGTGACTGAAACAAATGACTATGAAGGTTTCTTTTTGTTGATAGATGCTGAAGTCTTATAACTTCTCCACATTTTACTGGTTCGCTGGAAAAAAAGAGAAGAAAATAAGTAGATGGTCATAAAATCAACATGGGTATTGTTGCATATTTAAAATCTGGCATGTATAACCTCTTTCAAACTAAATCAAAATTCATATTTTACAAGAAAGCTGGTTATGTACATAATCACTTTCTATAAGAATTATGTGATATTTTATCTTATCAAATCGAGCATAAATGGTATAAGAAGCTTGTTGTTTATAAGACTGTCTTTAAGAATGTCAGATACAAGGCAGCAAACAAAGGAAAGGAAAGAGGGTAGCCAAAGGGTATAGAAAGGGAAAAAAGACACATGTATGTAGATGAATCAATGTTACACATCAATGAATTTTAGAGGAAGAACCTTTATTCAGGTGCTTAAAATAGTGTTCCTATTTTCTGCTTAAAGTTTCGCAGCACAAAATCATTGCATAATTTGCCACCTAGACCCATGGCCTAGATATTTTGAGGGATGTTGTTAAAAAGCAAATTACTTGATTATTGCCACCAATCAAAGTGATATTCTTTATAAACAAAATATGTGCTTCATATAATATGGCACATGACCACAACCAGTGACAATCAAATGACAATGCCTATCATTGTGCAACTGACTGGAACAAAATGTTAAGAACCAACCCTCTATTGCAATGTCCTTGATGTTTTCCTCTGACTGTCCAGTAGCTGTTATGATCCTCTATTTGTTCTGTACCTGTTACTGACTGTAGCAAAGGAATAAAATAATTAGGAAAATATTATAATCAGAGCAGATATGTATAGAATAATGCAAAAATAAATTTGTATGAAACTCTCTGCTCTCTGCTAAAATCACCAGGAGACCGTCTTGCATTTATTTGGAACTCAAGGAAACCTTCCATAGTACTCTCAGTTTGTGATCACTTTTTTACCAGCTTTTTCATTAAACATAGTTATATCTCTTAATTATTCAAGATTCAAATTAAAGTACATCTTATTTGCATTGTTTTTAAAAGACTGAAAACTCCAAGAACAGGCTGAACACCCCAAGAACACCCTAAGAACAAGCCATAAAATCCCTAATAAGCGGCTCAATACCCTTTAAGCCTGGTTTCCATACAGCTCTTTTTTGTCTTTTCTAGTCTTTTCTAGGCTTTCTTGAGTACGAAAGACAAGGAAAGACTGAAAGGAAACGACCTCTAAAGACTAGAAAAGACAAGAAAAGACTAGAAAAGACAAGAAAAGACACAGAAGAGCGGTGTGTCTTCATTCTATCTCCAAGACCAGAAACGTACCAAGAAAGGCTAGAAAAGACAGAAAAAAATTAATGGAAACAGATCAAAGACATACGAAGACCAGAAAGAGCTGTCCCATGATCCCTTGCACACAGATTCTTTAGAAAGAAACATGGCCAAAAGCATGCATGAATCTGAGCCTGATGCCAAATTAATGTCAGAAGTTCAAATGTATGATTGCCTGTTTAACAAATACAGCATAGACTTCAAAGACAAGCATAAAAAAAATAATTGCTCTTTCTTCTAACTTTCTGGCATCTTTGATGTATAATTGTCATCAGGACAAAAAAATTGCTTCCAATAAAAATCTTCTGTTTATGGCAGCCATTATTGATACGACTTTCAAATACGCACCAAAAGAGTTGCAAAAGAAACACAACACAACAACCAGAGAGGACAAAGGCTGACAAAGGCTAGAAAAGACTGGTAAAGACAAGAAAGAGCTGAATGGAAACTAGGCTAAAGACCAGGAAAGACACTGCTCTTTCCTTGTACTCAGGAAAGACTAGAAAAGACTAGAAAAGACATGAAAATGCTGTATGGAAACCAGGTTTTACAGGCAGTCGGCCCCTTCAATGATTGGCTAAATATAAACAATAAGTCTAATGTGAATAACAGATTACACTGATCGCTTTGGCTGGCCTGGCTGGGGTAGTGGACGGCATTTGATACTGCAAGCAAAAAGCTTTCAGAAATATGAAGAAGATTATAACTGGAATTGAATGATGATAATATAGCACTTCCATTTTGCATGAAAAAAGACATGAAAATGCTGTATGGAAACCAGGTTTTACAGGCAGTCGGCCCCTTCAATGATTGGCTAAATATAAACAATAAGTCTAATGTGAATAACAGATTACACTGATCGCTTTGGCTGGCCTGGCTGGGGTAGTGGACGGCATTTGATACTGCAAGCAAAAAGCTTTCAGAAATATGAAGAAGATTATAACTGGAATTGAATGATGATAATATAGCACTTCCATTTTGCTGTTGACATGTCTGTTGTACAAACCAGACAGGGGAAAAAATTTTTCTAGCCACAGCTTCATTGGCCATTTGATTCAAAAGTAAGCAAAATAGGGGACAGACTGCCTTTAAAACATATAAAAATTGGCATATCATTCTAAAAATAATTTGGTTTCAGTGGACAGTATTAACCTCCATTCACACTTTGGTGCGGCAAACATCAGTTGGTTGTAACAACACCAAGAGCATTAGACTTATCAGGTCCATTCCTGCCCCAAAATTAATTTTGATTAATTCACCAAATTATTTTTTTAACAACATGCCAATTTTGATATGTTGTAGAGGGTGTTCAGTCATTTAGTGGCTTGTTCTTAGGGTGTTCTTGGGGTGCTCAGCCTGTTCTTGGAGTGTTCAGTCTTTAACAAATAATGACCTTATTTGGCCAAAATTCTAGGTTGAGACTTTGGGAAACGCAGCTTGATAATGAAACTTATAGCCAGTACCACAACAACAAAAGACATAGTAGTTCTTTTAGCTTGAATCTATTCAACAATCCCTTGTTACATTTTAGTAGACAAAATCAGTACATTGCAAAAATCTGATTTTATTTGACAGTCCAGTCAGTAAAAAGGTAACCAATCCATTAATCAGACAACATCAATTAGATAAATGTTTTGACTCTAGCTAGGAGTCACCTTCAGTATATTGATGTAAAGGCGAAAAAATTATAAGTAAGGAAAGGCGAAACAAAGGGAAATGCATGGAAAGGCAAATATCACATGATTAATGATTCCCTTTTGTAACCTTTTAATATCTTACAAAAGCAACCTCTCCAAGCAACCAATGTATGAATAGATTATAAGATATAGAAATCCAAGAACGAATAAATAGCCTTTCTAAACATGTTTTTTCTGAGAAATAATGTCAGAGAATTCATTACTCTAGGGAGTCTTCAGTTTAATAAATTTTATATCCTTTTGCAATCATTATAAGAAGAAAAACATTTACTGTTGTTTGTGCTGATCATCACAAAATGTTATACCAAACCTTTCTTTTAAACACTTTATTGTCTGAAAGATTTTTACTAGTGATTTTGACTAAAGAAAATAAAAACCTGGTATCTATTTTCTGTGGAGATGGATTATATTTTCTGTTGATTAAGATTGCTGTTGTTACTTATGTTGTTAACACAAACATTTGTTACTTACTTGCTGACCACTTCCTGACCCATATTTCACATCATGGGAATGCAATCGCACATTTTGCCTCATATTCCGCAACTTTAATATTGAGCCACAAGTGACGTGTTTAAAATCTGCCAAAAGTAGAATGAAAGTGAAAAGTGGAAAAACATTTATGAATATCTTGTTATCAACAATGGGTTGACATTTGCTCGCAAATCTGAGTTCAATGAGAATAATATTCAGTTAAATGTTTACTTTCATTACAAGTCCATGTTTTGTGCTGTAAAAACAAATCTTGCCTTCTGATCCAAACAGAAAGGAGTACCAAACATGTTTCAGAACAACTTGTTTGATCATCTTAACTAAACTTCAAACAAAATATAAACAATGAAGGTTGAGATTAATAAAGACAGCTTGCAGGAAAAAATTGTCAGTAATTCTCAGCCTTGCTGCTTGGGAGATGAAGTAAATCAAATCAAAGAATATTTTCTAACTCCAAAAAGGGTGTAATATACATAACACGTAACATAACAAATACTGCAATGTAGGCTAAGAGCCTGTTATAGATCGTTTATCCAAATACTTTTTGTTTTTTTTCTAGGTGATGCTCCCGAAAAACATTTATGTTTAAAAATAGAAACAGAAAACATTAAAATATGCCTGAGTACTATCTAAAAACATTGACTAAACAAACACTGGGTCACAAAAGCATTTTCTGTCTCCACAATAATTGTCCAGTTTCTGTTTGAATAAGTTCAATGATTTGGCATCTACTACATCTCTTGGAAAACGGTTCCATTCATGTGCAACCCTTACACTGTAGGGGCACTTCTTAACATTGGTGTTATACAGTAGAAATCTGCATAAAAGAACCTAGATTTTTTTCTGGCAGCCTTGATAGATTCTTAATTAACAGGCTGCTATTCTAAATTTCAGTCTAAAAGGTTCTTAACAAAGTTCTTATATACGTACAGGCCTTGCACACATTAACAATGCTTTCCACCACAATAATTCTAACAGACGCACTTAAACCAGCTTTGCTTTTCATGTTAAATTTTAACCAATCAAATGAATTTGTGTTGTTAGATTGTCCAATCAGAATGCAACATACCATAACCTGATTTAATCTAAACTGGTTTAATTTGCCAGTGTGAATGTGGTGTAAAAATACCATTGAAACTATTTTTTCTTATATAGATATATATAAGAACCTTTTCATATTTCAGCCTCCTGCGGGTTCCTAATTATGGGGTTTAAAAGATTAATCTTCAGCCACAAGGTTTTTATAAAAATAGGTTCTTTTATGTGGGTTTCTACTGTATCTTTCATTAAAGATCGTCACTGCATGTCCCCTCGTTTTCCCATAGGTGTTCATTTTGAACACAGACTTTACGTCATAGCAGCCATGTATATATTTGTAAGTCTCAATCATGTCTACATGAAATGCTCAGTGAACTAAACTTGGAAGACTTAATCTCTTTAGTCTCTTTCCGTATCCAAGATCTTTCAGTTCTGGTACCATCTTGCTTCCTCTCTTCTGAACATTTTCGATTACTTTTATGTCTTTTTTGTAGCAAGGGGCCCATATGATGTTGCTATTTTCCAAGTGTGGTTTGACCAAGCTTGTAAATTAGGTTTTTAACATGTCCATGTTTATATATTCGAAGGGCCTTAAGCAAGTGCATTTTTGCAGAGCTAAATAATAAAATAACACTCTTATTGATATAAAGAAACCACAGTCTGCAAATAGTTGTTAAAATAACTTAAAGCCTTTTTCTTTATTTATAACTAAAGTTATTACTAAAAGCTTATCATAGAAATTCCTCTCAAAGTTCATTTGTGAAAATCTCAACAAAGAAGGAGTCAATATTAATAGGGACACTTTTAAACAAGGGGTGCTCTTTCCTTGATTAGCTTAACAGCTTAGAGCGCTCCTTAAGTACATGTCAATGTAATTCATCTGAAGGTAGCACAAAATAGTGGAAACATTTCATAAAGAAGCACTTTTTGTCAGACAATCTTAAGACTATAAACATCAAATCAGATAAAGACGGAAAGTAAGCAGAAAATTTACATCCCCATTTTGATAAAAAACCATGTGAAAGGAAGAAAGACAACCAGTCAACCACCTCTATCAGTATAAGTTTTGGTGCACTCTGGATTCTTCAGTTTCATATCCATTTTCTTTGTTATTCATCATATTCAAATTAATCTGCTTCATCTTTGTTTGTATATTGTATCAGTTTTTGTATAAATGAATCAATGCTTTTAAATATTTTTGATTTTTTTCTTGTAATTTCATTATCTGATTATCATTTTGCATTCCATTGCATTATGTATTTATATTTGTTTCTACCTAGCATCCAAAGGTATTTTTAGGACACTGAGAAGCTCTTCATATCAAGGATGTCTTAGTCTTTTCCTTCCTCTGGATGTGACTACCCCTCTTGACTATACAAAGGCTTCTTACCAATTTACCAGGGGTCCGGACTTCATAATTTCTTTGGTGTACTGGCGCAAAATGAAGAAAAAATGAAGTGTTGGCTTTAAGGTGGATGGGTTTGGTGCCTTGGTGTTAGGTCAGCGTAAGGCGTATTACCAGCAATTTTTGGCAAAACAGATTATTAATAGTTTCTATTATGCATTGAACCAAACAAAACTTTGGGATTTACATTAAGTTGTAGAACCTTCAGTGCCATGTCATAGTACACTTGCTTACATCTGGCGTGAAGTTTACATGGATTCTACCCTTGCAAATTTATCCAATGCCGATAAGATTTTCATTTCTGAAGAGCTTTTCGATATTGGAGCCTTAGCCCGTATATTACGAAATTAAAAGTCCTAATATCATATTATAAACCACACTGATTTTATCTAATAAATAGTTGAAAGTGGCCTAATCCTTTTGTACGCTGAATATTGTTTATATTCAATCATAAAGGAAATAAGTTCAATTTATTTTAAAATTCAGCAAAACGCACAATTTAGAATACATTAATGTAACTAATGCAACTATACTTACAGCAATCATAGATACTGATGAATAAAGAATAATAACATAACAACAAATAACGAAAGTTGTACGGTTGGTTGAGTTTCTTAAGAAGGGATTCTCTCAAAAGGTAAACTAATTGAGTAAGAGTCTCCTCTTTCCGTCAGTTTAGATTAATAGGCGTATTTTAAAAGAGAAAAAAGACTATCAGAGTTCAAAATTTAAAAAAAAAATTGTAGGTAATGAAATGTTTGTTGGTAAGTTTGAAGAAGAGATAAAAAATGATTAATGAAAAACAAATTAAATGTTCGTAAAAACTTACTTTTTGAAACATCCATAGCTAAAGAACTTTGGAAGAGAGCATCAATTAAGAAATATCCGATAACAAGTCGATACATTTTCAAGTTTTTAGATAAAAATTCTCGCTTCACTCTCTCCATTTTCTGCCGCTGTGTTTCCACTGTGGTGACGCCAGAAGACGAGCCTCGTTCTGCAAATGAGGAAAACTCCCACACAGAGGGAAGTTGGCGAATCGGAACCATGTTTTGAAAGCTACACGTGTGAAAGACACTGGAAACTCCAAGAAAAACATCCAGAATCAAACACTGAACATGAATCTGGTCATTTTGGGGATAATCTTCATTGTAGCACTAGTGCTGCTTGCACTTTTGTATTATTTAGGGGTTTTTCTGAAGGTGAAAGTTGAGGTTAAAAGACCACCATTTGCAGAATGCACCTTTCTGTACAAATTCTACCAGGGGCCTTATAACACCTCTGGCAAAGCATTTGACGAAGTTTCCAAGCTAGGGAAGAAATTTTGTTGTGCTGGCATCTATTTTGATGATCCAGAAGTGGTAAGGGATATAATGATTGTAAAAATTTAAATATCTGCTCCGTTGGTCGCCTCGTGAATCTCGTGCATGCCTAGCAGACAAACACCCTTTTCGACGCTTAATAACTTAACTAATAGCTTTTCCTATTAGATACCTGTAGCAGAAGAAGAGAGATTGTTTCTGAAGAACAGGTACTCAATAGGAAAGACCTATTTAGGTAATTTAGAAAGATAATTTTTATAAAAAAATTTGTTGTCTATTTTGGCCAACGTGTAGAGGTAGTGTGAGATATCGCACGTGCTGAGTCCTGCTTTACAAATGCTGCTTTATCAACCATATAAACAGATGCTTTTAATAAAAGTGCATTTTCAAACTTTTTGTGCAATTCAAAATTTCTGTATGCAGTGCTAAACTGACCTTTATCTATGTATCTCGACATGTATATCTCCCGTACTTTGCAGATATGTTCATTAGAAGGATCGGGATTCTTTGGACTAGCAATAAGTTTAAAAAACAGTACGAGCCAGTAGCTATTAAAACGAGACATCCATTCATGTTTATGTTCCTTACACATGAGATATATTGCTGAGCTTAGTTGGGAATCATTAAGTTCCCAATGCTGGAGTAGACTCCTTACTTTGTTTTACAAAATGGTTAATAATCAAACACCTGCATATACAATGGATCAAATTACCCAACTTCATCAGTTGCATTACCCTCTTTGCACTCAGGATGTCATTGGATGAATAATAGCAAGAACAGAAAAGCTCAAGTCTAGTTTCTATTCTGATTGCCTGGCTGGATGGAATGAACTAGACTTGATTAGACTAGATTAGAGATTGGACCTGCACCATCAGCTACTTCCTTTAAGAAAAAGTTGATCTCCAAAATCCGTCCTTCTGCTATCTTTGCTTTTGGATTCCAAGGACTTAAGTATTTACCGTATATGTATTTGTTGTATTATTATAATCTAGTATATGTATATATAGTGTTAAAATTTTATTATTAGTTATATTTAGATACATGTCATATCCCAGGGGGCAGTCATGATCTATTGCTCCCCCTTGGTTCCGTCCTTGTAATGTAGTTAAGTAGTTAGTATGTACTCTTTTAGGTAATTTGTTATTGTAAATTTTTATACTGAGTAGAAAAAAGAACAAATGGTACTATATATGTTAGTGGATATTCCCCCCTGTACCCAGCCCTGTAACCTGGCCAAGCTTGAAAGCTTGATGGAGAAATTATTAAAGCAGAACAGTTAAGTCAGCTTTGAGCAAATTGTGTTATCATTCTTGTCATTGTTGTTATAGGTGGCTTCAAATGAAACATGCTTTGCAGTTGGTGTCCTTATTGAAAAGGAAAAGGCTACACAAGCTGATACATTGGAAGTAACCCAGACAATGAAGGGTGTTGGGTACCACTCAATTAATTTTCCTGTAATTGAGAAGGCAATGTGTTCCACATTCCCTTTCAAAGCCAATTTCCTGTGCATTTTGGTTGCAGTTTCAAAAGTTTATCCAGCTCTGCGTGATTACATCAAGGTATCCAGCAATTCCCACAAATATATTCAGGCAGCATTCAATAAGATATTTTACAGTAGATGCTAGCATTAGGTATGGGTGTGCGCTGTTTTTATTTGTGTTTAAACAGTGCAATATAAAATAAGCAATATATAATTTTTGGTGGAGTTTGAGGTTTTTCTGTGTAGTGCATTGTAGTTTATCTAATATTGAATAAATCCTAATGCTAGCCTTCAATAAAATTTGTTTAACTTTGTAAAGCCTCGTTCATCATCATCTTCATCAAACCAGCTTGAATCTGGGGGATTTCCACTTAGGAGCAGGTGACCAGATGTACTTATGTCCTGTAGCAATTTCCATTTTGAATGGCCTTCCCAGTCTTCTTGCACCAAACCAACCTTCTTCATCTCTTCTTCGATCTTTCCCTTTCACATGTTCCTGGGCCTTCATTTCCCTCTTTTACCCCTGCCTTTTTGCCATCTCATCAATGGTTTCCTCCAAACCGAACAAATTTAATATTTCTTCTTATCAGTCAGCTTCACCCAACAAATTGCTCTAACATGGCTCTTTCTGCCCTTCCTAAAATCGAATGTTCATTTCTGGTAGACACTGTGTTTTTCTCTCAAAAAACATTCTTGTCCTCATACAGTTTCTGCATATTCTGCCTCTCATCTTCAAAGAAAGCTTTTTCTTAGCAATAATTCATAACATTCTCTAAATTTTCTCCATCCATGTCAAATGCTTACAGTCACTGCCACTTTACATCCTATGCTCACACTTAATCTGTCACTTTAATAACCGATTCCATCTGCTGTTTAAATCTCATCCAACAGTTATTTTATTAGCTCAACTTCTCCATTTTAGATCATCAAACATTGAGCACAAACACAATTTAGCTAGACCTGGAGTAACCTTTTTCATTTTTTATTGTTCTTAACATAAGAATTACAGTTATAAGTAGCTAATTCTGTACGTTTTTAGGAGCATGGTATATCTCCTCACCCATACATAGAGTACTACAAGGGAGATAAAATATTCTTTGTTGCTCCTTTGGAGAAGCACATGGAATTCTATGTCCCAGAATATGAGGAAACCAAGAATGATCGTGATGGCCAGTCTGAAAAAAGTGAATGATAGCTCAGTCTTGTTTGCTGCATGATGCAACAGATGCACCAATTGCATATAGAATACTGCTAAATGATGCTTGCACGCTTTCAAGTTAAAAAGGCTAGAAGAATAGATGTTCTGTTGTGGCTTGGTTGGCCAATATTTAAAAAGCTTTAAACATTATAGGATTAACCATTATGTGATATCTGATACATTTTGTCATTTAATGTAGAATAATTACCACAGCCTCAGGAGCTGCTGAATTGTTTCACTGCTAATAGCTGAATATTTTCTCATTAATTTTTGTATATTTGCCATTGTGTTGTTAATCCCCTTAATTTGAACTGCAGCAGGTCAGCAGGACTACCATGTTTCAGTTTTATTATTTGCTTATTTTTCAGTAAGTGAGCAAAACTTCAATTCATTATACTCCTTATAATTAGTGCATTCATTGTTTTAGAAATATTTTTGTTAGAATTTGTATCATGTTGTGTTTTTTTGATCAGATTTCTGTATCTACACAAAAGTAAGTTGGCAGAGGTTTGTCACAATCAATCTTGACTGATTTCTTCAGAACTTCATGCCTCTTTTTGGGAATCTGTCAGCTCAATGCAAATAAATTTTTAGGTCTATAAATATTCTTTATAAGAAGAGACTTGACACCTTACAAACCGCAGTTAGGCAAATCATCTTTAATCTCACGTGGCTGCTGATGAAATCTCCTTCATAGTCACATTACACGCAGTTTAGATGATGAGGGAATGGTAAAGAAAGTATGATATGAACTTTTAGTATTTTACGAGAGAAATCAAAATAATTTTTTTGACAAAGTAAAAGACAACGCTTTAAGTTTGAAGCAAAGAGTGATGGATGGCGCCATACAACTAGCAATAACAAATGGTCAGTGGCGGACAGGCCCCCTTTAAATCTGGCCAAAAGAGCCCCATCTTTGCAGAAAAAGGACACCATTTTGGAATGTGGGGCCTTGAGATGTCCCATTACGAATAATAAATATCATGGATTACATCAAAACTGAGGTTGAATAAACGTCATAGCATGTTGTTATAAAATGGAATGGGTCGAAGCCAAAAAAGAATGACTATTTTAGGTTATGAAAGGTTAATAGAGATTTGGAATTTTTAATATGATGGAATTTTCTGAAATTTTTTGTTTTTCATAGACCCAGGTTCAGTTAATCTACCCGGCATTAATTGTAGAGTTCACTTAAATTTTTGCCAGTTAGCAAAAAATTAAGGAGTTATTCAGTAACAATCTGGGCGTTAACTTTCTTTTTTCTCAAGCCATAGCAGAAGATAATGCGATGCCAATGATACTTCAACAGGGGTTGCTGCATCGTCCAAAAGACTCGTTTATCTAATAATCTAGTTTTTTGCTTGCGCTGGACTGTTTAGTATAAAATACGAACAGGGACCTTCTTGCTATGATTTAGCTATAATATCATGATTAAGATATCAAATTTTCGTATATAGAAATGATTCGCTTTCGCTTTATTTGTCGCTAAGCAAGTTTTTCCATTTTGAATTTTTAATAGAAATTTGTACAATCCAATAGACGTTCAATGTATTCCGCATGTGAGTGAGCCACAACTTCTACAAAGCGAATCAGTGTACCTTCCTTTCTAGTTTGCTATTTTTAGGTCTGCCAGTTTTAGTTTAAGTTTCAGCAAAGATAAGGCTTCCTCATACCTCAGATATTCTGTAATTTAAACTTACTATCCTTTATGCATCCGAGGTTAGTTTTCTTATAACTTTTAACTTTGTTTCTTCGAGATTCTCTCTTGTGCAAAATTACTAAAATCCAAATCAGACAAAATTTTTATTATTTAGTGTTAAATTTCAATTAGTGTACTCAGCGCCCATTTTTAATCAACAGCTCAACTTTGCTATTAGTGCTACATATGTTATGATGCTTAGAAATTGATCGATTATGATGAAATACTCCCTTGACCACGCCCTGATTTTCAGACCACACCCACCTGGTCCCCTCTAGTTATTTGCGACCGGTTAAAAATTCTGAGCCAGTCCGCCACTGCAAATGGTGTTTTAACATGGACACTAGCATAAATTGGCAGTGGCACAAAAAAGCATGGAAAAAAAAAAGTTTGATATCACATTCCTAAATAAATGGTCAAATGAAAGTTTAACATCACACACCAAAGGTTTCGGCGTTGTAGGAAACTCAAAATGTTGTCCGGATTGACATGGGAAAGCCAAGTTGCCCGGATTGAAACAAGAAAGTGGACAAAGAAGATCACTTAGTGGGTACCAGTTTCAATGAAGTGCATGCGAAAGACTTAAGAATCGCCGCCTCGCATGATTCCGTAACAAAACTTGTCCGGATAGCCCGTTGACACGATGAGATCGTCTATCTAGAAGGATCAAAAGTTGTACGGCTAACCGGGGCCAGCTTTACAGTGGGGTTTCTCGCCCCCTCTATCCACGCCACTAGTTCCAGGAAACTTCTTTTGGCATATAAGCACTGATCTGGGGTGGTAAGTTTCTTGGGAGCTCACGCATGTGGATACGGCATATAGCCAGAATTAATGACCCAGCGACGTAATTAACACAACGGCGAGTATTTCTTATTGTCATTTGAGGTGTTATCTTACGGTTAGACCGCAGCCTAATGAGAACCTCGAAGTTGAAATGTTCTTTTCAAGTGACCACGTTGTGTAAACCGTCATTGCCTTAGCAACTCAAATTCTCCGATGTAATGTCATCACGTAGCAAGTTACACTGGAGATGAACACACTCCATCGCAGAGGCCGTTTATTGGCAAACTGGCCCCAGTTTTTTAAGCTAATGCACAAATCAAATTCCTACATCAAGTAATATAAAAGTTAAAAATTGGCTTTGAACAAGCAACCATTTTAAATATTCTAGCTTTTTGTCTGACACTCTTCAGGGTATAGCTATTTTTACTTTTTGTACCTTTTATATAAAACAAAAGGATAATAAAACCAGGATCTAAAGTAGTTTCCTTTTTTTAAAACTGTAAGTATTTCTCAGAAGACTTTAACAGTTCTTAAATCTTAAGGTGTACAAAAAGTCGCAGCTGTACATCCAATTCATTCCAAAATGATTTTCCCGTATGAGGAGAGGCTTAAAATGGCATGCTTTGATGTTTTATCAACAAACGACAATCCATCTTACATTACTTAAAAAGAAAAAGACATTTTCACTGCTTGGCATTCCCAAATTATCTTTTGGAAAGCGTTTTCGGAAAAAAATTGTATCTGTAGCTGGTACAGGTTTCGGGTTGACAAATTTCGAAGTCCCTTTTTTCGTTAGGTTAGATTAACTTCGGTTAAATTTGGTTAAATCTAGGACATAATCATCACCAGCAGCTGCTGTTTTCCAAGAACTACTACCAAGACTTTGGAGCCGCAGATTCAATTTTCTAAGCATGTACAGAATTTGATGTTAACTTACTAACTCGTGAATAAAATACCAACAAAATGAAGGGCAAAAAGCTCCCTCAGAAATCATGCCCTAGGCATCAGAAAATCAGTCATGAGGCTACGTTCCCACAGCATTCGGCGCAAATCGCTAAACCTACCACTGATTTAAACAGGAAGAGGTTACTTTGGAATTGTCCATAGTAACCTACAAATTTAATTGATAAAGGAGAGGGAATGGACAAGAAAAGACTCTTTTCCCCACTAACTGCCGATGCACCAGTCCTAGCTAATAGCATCCAAATAAATGCTAACAGCATAAAGGAATGCCTAAAGGTACGGGAAAATAAACAGTACTCTCTTTTTGTCGCCTTTCACTAAGCAAAGTGAAACCAACACTACGCCAAAAAACCTTAAATACCCCCAAGAATAACCTGGGGAATTAAAACCGACATGAGACATAAATCTTGCCCTAGCATTACTAAACAAAACCCCCGGAGGCCAAGACTACTTCGCAATACCAATAAACGAGTGACGCAAATGCAAGAGAACCACGAGAAGGCGTGGCACATGAGACCAAAAATATGAATAAAAGTCAATAATCAACTCAGGAGTAACAGCCAATTTAAAAGCCCCTCGTTAAATTGACTCTGATTAAATTTCATTAAATCATCATCTAATTTGCCCTCGCTTCTACATTTCGCAAAAATAAAAAAGCTCAATTAAAAAGTACAATGTTGATTACATTAAACAACCTGTATCTTAATTGTTTGAATTCAAAAGGCAGAAAAATTTCGGCAAAATAATCACAATTCTTGCAGACAGTGATTTTCCGACACGTACAATTTAGTGCCCCCAGCCCCCTAGAGACATTGAGTTCCTTTGAAACCCTTTAGCGCCAACAACTTTGGCGCTGTTTTGCCACGCCGCCCTTTTGTTCTTGCCTCTTTCAAGTTATTGTCGCTATTTGTGAGTAAATCATTTTCATGTTCCGTTTACCGGCACTTATCGTTGACTATAGAGAAATTCAAAATCATTGATATCTGAAACTTTGCCGTTTTTTTAAAAAGTTGGTGTGTTTCTTTGATCAATATTTGAGCTTGTAGGATCAAGTGTTTATTAACTGACGGAGAGTAACTTTAGTATATGCCCAGTTCTGAGTTTATTTTTAAAGGTTTTTGCCTCGATTTTTAAAAAAATCTTAAGTGACGTTTTTTATGAAAGACGAAAATTGGGTTGGTGATATTTTCTTTCGTTTATGCAACCCTACGTCGGATAGGACATCCAAAGTCTCTCTCGGTCTACTTGAAATATTTGTTAATAGAAAAGTATGCAGTGAAATCTTCATGATAAACTTTATTAAAACTTCAACTGAAAGTCATCAGCATTATTGTTGCGGGTTGGCGATAGCAGTGCTATGGAGATGACTTGCGCTTAGTTACGAATTCGCGTCTCCACGGAGAAAGGCATCTCACCCTTAATTGTTTACTCTATAGTAACCCCTTTGTATAATGTGCCAATTGATAAATGAGTTGAGTTTTTGAGTCTAAGTGTAAAAGAGCAACTCTCTGTTTCTTTCGCAAGGTGCCATCAATCAATTGATTTGGATCAGAGAATTTACTGGCTGCTTCTAAAGGCTTGTTTTGCTGTCAAGTTTTTTTTCTGTTGTTCATTTTTGATTACCCATCCTCTTACGGCGAGCAAACCGCTTTCCACCTCAGACAATAGACTTTGTGCGGCAAAGAAAACAGAGCGGATAGTTGAGCACGCGCTCTGGATTACAAAGAGACTCGATGTTGAGAACTGCTATTCTCTTCAAACAATAGATAATAAAGTATTGTTTAAGAAGCGGCAAGGGCGCTCGGCTAGTCGCAGACAAAGTATCCGTGAGGAAACCGACAGGACTATCGCTTGTGATTCTGATTGGCCAATACCGTTCAAGGGGCTGGGAACCAGATACGCATAAATACGCGAGGGGAAGAAGCACAGTACATTCTGTCCTTAGCAAGGCACAGCAAGGAGATCGAGAAAACTCTCATAAATTTGGATTATTTGTTATACTTTGAGGAATACTGACAAATATGTCTTACGAACCAAGCAGTTCAGAAAGCGATTCACGTTGCACCAGCCCTGATAGCTGTGACGACTCTAGTCTTCATTCAACGCTGAAATATCACTGCATTGACAAGTCGAAAAGACTAAAGGCAAGTGCAAGGGAGAGAAAACGCAGACACGTATTAAATGTTGCATTGGATTCCCTACGACTCAAAGTTTCCTGCTTGAACCAAAATCCGCAGAAATTATCGAAAATCGAGGTTTTACGACTGGCCATCGACTATATAGCAATGCTGACTTGTTACCTGGATTCAACAAACAATGGGTACTACCCCACCCCTGCTCCTACGAGGGGACCATTTCAGCCAACCTCCTTCAGTCAACATCATTCGGTACCTTCTGGTTACTCTTTTCTTCAAGATTTAAGCAGACAGGTCAGTTACCATATTGTAACGTTAATTATATTACATTGCTTGTGCCGTTTTTAACCTGTTACCCCTTTTCAATTGAAGAAATTTTTATCAAAAACATGTACGATCGATCGTTTTCACCCTTATTTTCTAAAGGGCAACATAACTTTTTGTCTATAGTCGTTACTAAGTTCCCATTTTTAGCTTCCATTTTAATTTAACAGTGCAAATTACTTGCGTTTTAAAATGTTGAGAGTTTGGCCTTCATCTATAAAATTGACTTGATTTGCCGCGACATTCACGCGGTGGTTAGAGACATTCATTATCTGGTTTAATTGTTGGCTTAAAATTTCTTGACTCAAGAGCTGTTCTCATGGCAACCTGCATGCGTACATGCTTCTTGCCTTGACCACGTTTTGACCCTCATCAGCTCACAAGGGTCAAATTTCTTTTCAATGGTTGCAAATTTAATGAAGAATTGCTTTGATGCAGGTTTATAGATTCTTCAATTTTCTCAATTGTCTTATTTTGTCAACAGAATGCGGGTTATCCGGAGTCTTCAAGCAGTTCGGAGTTTGACATCTATATCAGTGGCTTGAGTGCGAACTGAATCAGAGATGGACAGAACAGAATCAGAAACGTGATCGATTTTGCATCAGCCAATCCACATTAGCTGTCGCTTGATGTGCTGAAGAATCCTACACAGGAACAAGTCGTCTCCCATTGGCCAGTTTAGGGCTTTCCGTTTAGTCATGTGACTTGCAAACTTCATATTGAAGCTGACGATTCAAGCGTATGTTTTGAAATCTTTGGACATTTTAATTGTAAATAGAAACACTAGCAAACATGAAAATTGTACATTTTGTAAACATAGCTATTGACATTTGTATATTTGTAAATAGAATAAACTAAATTTTTGAAAGTAAGAAATCAGAAACATCATTTAAAATTGCATTCTCTCTCTTGTTATCTTGCTCGATTAGACATGCAAACTAAACATATTTTGGGAAAAATTTCAATGGGTTCAGAAAAATGAAGTTACAACCTAGTTGGAACGTCATTATAAAGTCTAGTTATAAAGTCCTGCTAATAGACAGGTTAAAAAGGCTATTTCTACGACATGACTATGACAAATGAAATTTGTAAAGCCTTGTCAGAAAAGTTTTGTTGTCTTGTTTTTTATTTTCTTCCAAGTTTCATGATGTGTTCCGAGGCTAATAATTTTTTGGTTACACAGTCCATACTTGTAAACCTTATTTTTTTTAAATATAACTCATATGATTAAAGGGAAACTATTAAAGATAAGTTTCAAACTATTATTTTGGAAGAAAAATTTAAACATTTTAAAAATTTTGATTTAAACATACAAAAGCTCTTCGTCTGACATTCTTTAGAGTATAAAACGTCAGAACAACGATCGAAAAAAATGTTACGAAAAACACAAAATGCGGCAAGGTGTTACCGTAGGTTATAAACCGGATTGGTGAACATGATACGGTATTCAGCAATGCGACGGCTTGGGAAAGTTTTCCTTAAATGTTTCAACCTATCATCATTCACTGATGCAATTGCAACTGAATTCAAGACTAAATCTCTTTGAAATAGCCAGCTTGATCTTTTATCTAATCTTATGTAAATAATTCTATTGTGTTGGATATCCTTTGTATTTGCTAATGATCTATTTATATTACAAGTTACATTCGATGTAAAAGAGTAGGTAATAGAAAGTCACTAAAATGCTCTAGCGGTACATAGAAAGTTACAAAAGACAGGTTATATAAAGTTGAAAAGGTATGCTTGAGTTTTTAGGGCATTCTTTGGAAGGTACAGTCAGTTGGTTAGGCGATTTATGCAAGGAACGTGGGCTGAAAATCCCCTCTTAAGAAGATCGTGAAGAAGACAGAAATCGATAGTTGGTAGAAACTGGTAAGGTGCTTCACCATTGGCCGAAATTGTCCATACCATTTGATAATGAGGATGACGACGTCCCACCCTAACTTTCTTATGCTTACTTTCGAAGTGAATGCAAATTTCATATTTCAAATGGTAAATGTTTATATTTGTGGTCTCCACCATTATACAATATTGTCTTGCTGCATTCTTTGCAAAAAAGCCTGATCACTAAGAAACTGGTTTATCCATCCGAACATTTGCGTTCACACTGACCGTTTGCTTACAAGTCACATTCCAGCGGCGTCCTACCAACGTTGTCATGATTACCAAACTTCAGCCATTCCGGTTCTTCCAAGGACGATTCTCCATGGAAGGTGCATCACGGAACCCGAAAGTATTGTAGCATTGTTATTGAATGGAACAAACAAATTCAGCATTTCAACAATATCAAACATCCATTGTCTGAAATGTCTCGAAAACCTAGGATTAAAATGAGATAAGAGACGTTTAGAAAAGCAATTTCGGGGAAAGATATCCGGTATGCTAACCTCTCGTGTTCTTCATTATTCCCCTTTATTGACTCATGCTTCATATCATAGTGATAATCCGTTCGCTTTAATTTCACCCACGTGCTCAGTATCAAACAATCAACTTAACTATAGTACGGACGACTAAGACGATTTGTGGCGTGTCCCCATTCAGTCTTTATTTGAAGAGAGATTAACATATTTTCAACTGTAAATTCCAAGTGCCTCCACAATATTTTTCGTTTGGGTATATTTAACGAAGTGTGAGAAATTTGGCGCGCGTGGAGCCTCTCCACCTTGAGCTGAAGTCATTTGTTGCCGATATTAGCAATGAATAAAGAATTTCATGAACCGACCACGTTTTCCCCTGTAGCATTGCGGATAACCGCTCTATTTCAGAAAGCTTTTCTATCACAGATTACTCTCTCTATTTCTAAAAGTAACTAATTTAAAGAAATCCGTAATTAAACCAATTTTGTTTGTCCCCTTAGAAAGAATGCCTTTCTTATTCTAACTTTTTGCGATAGTTAAGAAATAAACTAATGATACAAATGCATTATTTTTCAAAAATTGCAAAAAAAATTCAAAATTGATATTGCTTGTATCCAAAGTCTTCGCACAGGACTTCCAGAAGAGGTTTCCCTCCGAGTTGAATGCAGCATGTCTAGTGGACATCGATGAGTGTAGATTAATACCCGTGTAGAAACAATACCGTAGATGGATACTGTAATACATACAAATAGAGGGTGGCTAATCAAGAAGACAGGAATCAGGTTGAAGATGACTCAGCAATCTGCCCAGCCAGTAGCTATGGAGAAAGGTGAGATCATTGAAATACTGCAGAACTCGACTTGTTTCACTAAATTCAGCAGAAAGAAGAAAATGTTGGCAAAGATAAATCGACATGCACCTGGAGAAACTATTAATTGAAAAATGTTAAAGAGCTTGATCCATTTCTTGAAAAAGTTCTGAAAGACTGATCATTGCCTGATTTTGATTCCGAAAGTCCCCCCACCCCCCACCCCTCTAGAGTCCAAAAGCCGCCCCCTAGTGGCCAAACGTTGCCCCCGTAGCCGGCATAATTACATAACAGTCGGCATTTTGGCCGTTTTAAAATATTTCTAACATTATTATTTCAATCATTTGGAGCCCTGTTTCAACAGCACTCCTTTCCACAGAAAGTAAAGTAGATTCCATATGGTGGATTGGTCAAATTGGTAAAAAAGAGCAGAATCAATATTTAGAAGCAAAATGCCTTAACTCTGTCGAGAATTAAAAAAAATTGTAGAAAAGCTTCAAAAAACAACGAGATAGGGGAAAAGGAAGAGTTGATTGTGAAGCAGTGTACAATTATGATGATGGTGCTGCAGTATATGCATGAAAGTGGACTGTATAAGGCATTACCCAATTTGTACAGAGCCTACTCATTCTTCTGCACGCTGATACCTGTCACATCAGCCAATGGTGAGAGGTCATTCTCAAAACTAAAGATATTCAAGAATTAAAAACGCAATTAAAAACGAAATCGGGCAGAGCTTGGACTACGATGAAGTACTAGACCCTTTTGCAAACGTGTCAGAAAAGAAGGTTGAAATTGAAATAATTCAAATAACGACTGCAGTAGGGATGACACATCATGTATAAGCTCCTTAATGTTAAGAGGCCTATACTGGTTCCTTTAAACCCTTATTCTGTTAGTTATATCGTACGACAACCCATTTGACGATTTTGCAAATAAAGATATTCCCAGAAAACATTGCTTTTAAACAGGTTACAAACCAGTTTAGAAAATTTAAAAATTTGAATTTTTCAAAGAAAACTCATTTTGAACTAACTCTTTCTTTTAAGTTTATATAGAAGGGTCAGAAGAAGGTTTAGCTTTTGCTGGACCATGAAAGTCATCATATCACATTTGAGAATAGTTCAAAGCTAATTTGAGCCACATCATTTACCTATTATTATCTACTATGTAATAGCCTGTTTCCCAGACCCAGCACAAGTTCGTTTCATTTACTCTGATGAAGCCCTGTATGCCGGGGCGAAATATTAGTATATTCTTTAAATTTAATTTATTTTGAAAATTTTATTTCGTGACATTGGATTCTCGTCATCGTATTGCTTTGTTCCTGTATATCTTTCATAACAACACTCATTGCAAGATTCACAGAATCCGGCGGACAGCCTATCCTGCGGTTCTTCCTTCTCACACATTATACTCTGTAACAGTCGGGAAATTTTGAGTTGATTAAACCCACCCCCATCCACCCCCCTGAAGTTTCATGAAAAACCGCCACTGATCGAAACTGTTGCATTATGGCTCAAGGTCCTGCCCAAAGGAGGAAGATGGATAATCTATTGTTGGCAGGCATGAAAACGTGGAAGTTCATGTGAATAGAGCACGTGCCTCCCTACTTTCCCTGTAGAAAACAAGACAGCGCTCAGTTTGCAAGTTGTAATGGGCATACATACATCCACATTTGCTCGGGTTTCGGTTTCTCGATATTGCCCACTCTAACAAAGACTGAAGTATTAGCTCTGACCGCATGATCCTATGAGCATGTGCAAGGTTGACTACTGGTGTCCTCTACTGTTTATCGAATTGATTTTGCCATTACGTCAGCCCTGGTCCTATTTTTGCGGCAGGAAATAGGTAGTGCGGTTGAAGAAAATGAAGCGGAGATGATTCTCGCTGATATCTAGAGTGCTGCACATGTCGATGAAAAAGGAGCACGAGAGACCAAAGATACCTAGGGAACTAATAGCGAGATTAACAAACATGATAGAAAAATAGGCTGAGCTTAGGCTGTAAACGAGAGGCGAGTATTTCTCTCTTGCGGTTAGCTTTGATATCTAGATTATGTGAATGAAGTTCCGTATTCTAGATGAATGGGCGATTGTCAGAAGTGACTAGAAATAGATCAGGGCGGAAAGAGTCTCCTGTTATTACAGAGAGTGAGAGAAATCTGAAAATGTCTACGTAAAGAGAGCAATTAGGTATAGCTTTAAAAGACTGTATCAGGAAGTTTAATGCAGAGTTATGGCGATATATGAATCGGCCTTCTTCGAGGTATGTTTTGCAGCCTGCCACAATGTTAGGTAACGTTTCTAGCATACTGCATATTGAAAAAATAGCAACCTGAGGGATGTTCCATCTAGATAGGTTTTTCCGCGTGACAAGTGAATTGCTCAG